CAAACGATGCATCGTACTATGATAGCTTAAACCGCTATAAGAAATCCTTTGTACCTGTTTCAGTGGGTTTATTTAACAAGAGTCTACCTTAATTAATTAGCATTATTAATTTTGTAACTGTTGTATTTTGTATTGTTTTTTTTGCTCGTTTTAGTGAATGTCTGCAGCAATATGGCGATGCCCATAACAAATTTCCTGTCAAGGACAATCAAGTTTTACTACTACTACTACTTACTACTACTAATAGTTCAGCCACAAGTTACGTCGTTGTTTGGGAAACGCACCCCTGATCGGTAAACAGTAGGCACCAGTTAATGCAGTTCAAGGTCATTCATTGCCTGCACTGTACCAAAACCAAAAATTACTAAAACATTTTTCTTCTATTTCACCTGTGTGACCAATGTAAAATTACAGAAGACACCACAGCTAATGCATGATAGTTTTGCCCCTCTTTGTTTAATTTTTGGAAAAACATTTTTGATTTATACTCCAAGGCCTAATATTTCCCTTCTACCGGATACAGAACTTGCTATTTTTAGGGTTTTAGAACACTTTTTCACCCTTCCAAAAGATCTCCAAAAACCCCTTACTCTAGGCATGACTGTGGGCAAAAGAAACTAATGCTAAAAAACTGGAAATTTCCTTTACCTCCTTCTTTTTGAATCTGATGAATGAATATGGCCTCCGTCTAGGCATGAGACGATAACTGTTTTCAGTGTATACTCCGGTTTGGAAGAGGGCACAGTTTTAAAACCACCAAAATTTTCTGCAATACCGTTCCCAAGATATGTGTACAATTTTTTTGTTTATCTTTTTTTGTTTGTTTTTTAGGACAACATTATCTCCAGCAGAAAAGATGTTCAAAGATGCCTTTTTCAATTGTAAAATAAAATCAGTTTTTGAATACGTTTATAAAATAAAATGAAATATGTTTACTATTCCAAATTTTTAAAAATGCTTTTTAAAATAAAACATACTGTTTAAAAGAAAGAAATGTTCTTGTTTTTAGCCCAGAAATTGTAAAAATATATATTTTAGAGCAGTGATCAAAATACAGTGAAACTGTGATATTTTTATTCCGGCCCATGCCTACCTCCGTCATCCATTTGGAAAGGCTCCGATTTATGAAGTCCAATTCTGACAGAAAGTTCTTTGCTACCTGGGAACCCTTTCTCTGATACTTAGATCTAAAACGTTCTCAATCCAAATCCAGCATCCCTCACGTAAACTGACTAGCACACTACCTTTTAGGACTTTTTATGACTACATACTCTGTATCACTACATTTCCATTTTTGTGGATTTTTTGTGGATATCCAACAGCTGAATCCACATACATGGCAGTTCATATTATATTTACCAGTAAAGTGTGTATATTCTGAGACAATGTTGCTTGTTTGTTTTTTGTGCACATAAAAAAAAACATTTTTTTAAAAGACAGATAAAACCAAGAACTTTGGATGAATATTTTTATAATTGCTGCTTTTTTATCATGTTTAATTTCATGTTTTTATGCTCTATTTGCTTGAATGTGTTGTTCTAAATGCTTTGTGTGATTGTTCTTTATCACAATAAACCCATTAGAACACACTCTTGTATCTTTATACATGATTTTATACACATCTTTGCTTTAAATGATGATTGCAATGTTGTAATACTCCTGAGTGTTGGTTGGTTTGGTTTGTGGCTTTTTAACACATCATCAACAACAACATTACAGTAAATCTTTTTTTAAAATAGAACTGCCATAATGCACTCCAGAGTATTGATGCTTTCAAAACCAAATAAGCAGATTGTATTAAAAGTCATGTCTGTCCACAAATTAACAATTATTAATGTTGCCAACTTGACATGTTTCACAGTGGAGAGTTTATCACAGTGCCAACAAGAAAAAAAAGAAATGATAGTCAGCATATTTTGACCAGACTCATCCCTCTATCGCACAGGTTATTTACTACTGTGACTGGCCCATGCCCCACATACTGAGAAGATGCAAGAGCCGAAACAGATTGTAGCCTCTGTGCTTTGATTAACAGCGCTGGCCTTGGGGGAAGCGAGTTATGAGAATATATGGCAGTTGGCACACACTACATAACCTACTTCTACAAAAGTCTGTGAATCTAAAAAACTTCAAAAGGAAAGAACCTGGGTCACACTTCACAGTACAGTCCTCCTGTTACTGTATCATTTAAGAAGTTTGGAGTGGTACTAATCAACAATTTGATGGGATTAGTGTTGGTAGGGTATACTTCTTAATTGTAATTGGATATTATAAACTTATGTTTGACTTTTTGAACTAAAATAGGTACCATACCATTTGTCAGAACCAGTTCAATATGTTAGCATTAGCAATGAAAAATACTTTCATTACAGAAATTAAAAGTTATATATGCTAATAATATAATGCACATGGACTACAATAAACAATTTTTTATGAATTCAGAATTTTTATAACCTGCATCAAAAAAGATAACAAATGTAACAAATTTAATGCTCATTGTTAGTTCAATTTTGTGAAACCAACATTTTTGTTGTTATTATTATTATTATTATTTAGATTTTTACATATATGTGCAGATTGCACATCACTGCTAACAAAAACATCACTCAATATTAGGCATGAGACAATAACCAGTTTCAACGTTTGCAGCAGTTTGGAAAAGTCTAGGCTTTAAAATCGCCAAGTATTCTGTTATACCGATCCTAAGGTATATGTACATTGTTGTTGTTTTTTACATGTTTTTCACAACTATTTTATTTAGTTTTTTTAGGGCAACAGTATTTCAGCAGAAAAGGAACATCCACATCAAAAGCTACTGGTCCAAAACATTTTAAATGTGTCTTTGAATAAAACATATTGTGCTCAATGCTGGGTAAAAGTTGTTGTTTTTTACCCAGGCGTTTAAAAGAACTTATTTTAAAGCAGTAATCCCAATACCATGATATTTTTATCCAAAGTTATTATACCATCAAAATCTTATACCGGCCCAAGCCTACTTAATATGTTTAATTAATAATTAAACACATTTTGTTTGTGTTAACTATTGGATGGAAAGTGTTACCCAAGATCAGTATTATCTGAATATTAAAAGGTGAAAACTTGACAATATCAGTACAACTAAATTCTCTGTGTCAAAATGAAAGTCATTCACCAGCTTTAAATGTTTTAATAAAAGACATAGAAATAATGGAAATAAGACTCAGATTCTGTGATATTTTATCACACCCAGCTTGACATAATTTCGTTATAGTGTGAGCGTGTTTATTTAGATTTAGAATAGCAATACCTACTGGTAAGCTGATCTAAACTTTGGACTTTATATATCTAAAACAAATAATATGATAAAAAAAATGATATAATAGAAACGCAATTGTCAAGTGACATCAATTCTATGGCTTATTCTTTAAACATGACTTTAAGAACCTAATGTAATATTTTAAAGGGGGTGTAAGTTGAAAACCTGTGTGTGTAAACAACATTAACAACCAATCTCACAGTGGAGAGAAAACAGCCGCTAAGAAAGCATCTGATCATAGGAATATGGCTATGTTTGCACAAACTCTGTAAAAATCTACTAAAAGTTCACCGAAAATTTTTTTTTTTTTTAAATCAACCGAATTCACCAAAATCAAGCCGACAATGTGACTCAAATTACACTGTTCAGAATATAAAATAGATAATGCATAACCAAAATAGATTTCAGCATGAAATATTGATATTACAGTACAGAATGGCTTTTTTGCCATATGCTGATGAAGATTTGCTTTATGTCCCACTGAACGGATGAGAGGTTCACAGAAGTGTGTTAAACATCACATGATTTTCCAGGAAAAACATCCCAATCTCACATAGAATTCAATCTGCAAGCTTTAAGAGATGCAGGGCGAGTTTGATTATTATTATATTAATGTTTCATTACAAGACTACCACACATTGATAATACAAATATGCTTGATACATGTAAATTATATCAAGCAAAATCAGCCATATCTGAATGAAACAATATATTTTAAAAAATAATAGAAACAAAATTATGTTTTAGTAAAATTAACCCATTAAAACTGGTATCTCTTATGTTTAACTATTTGTTTAATATTGTTTAATGAAATGTTTAATATTTAACTACTTTCCAGTTTAGCCCACTAGATTTGCCACGTGTAAGTGAACAATGTAAATGAAAGTAAAATGCCTTGAATGGATAGTTCACCCAAAACAGAAAAATATATCATCATTTACTCATCATTCAGGTCACAGACCTGTATGAGTTTTTCAATTGAACACAAAAGGAGAAATTTTGAAGAAAGCCCTAACCATTATAACCATATGTTTTTCCTATGCTAAGGAAGTCAAGGCTTACAGGTTTTTAACTTATTTCACATATATTCTTTTGTGTTCAACAGAATAAAAGAAACTCATAAGGTTTAGAAAACTTGAGAAGGTGAACAGTGAGTAAATTTTTCATTTTTGGGTGAACTATCCCAACACAATCTCGACTTATAGTTATTTCTTCCCAATTTCTTACAGGTAACCAAAAGTCTGTCTATTAAAAGCGCTCATTAGTCAACAAATGAATAAACGGTCACCAAAACAAGTGCATGAGGGAGGCAGGTGCACTAGTGGGACAGGTGTGTTGCATCTCTGACGACACCTTCAACGTCCCGCAGGGAAACACTTAGAATGATCCAGCTCTTATATTTCAGGTTATTATGAAGCTTAAACCGGATTGAGTTCCTCTCTTAAGTTCGCAACCTGCACAACAAGTTTGTCCGTTATATGACTGAAATCAATGACAGCGATTCCGCTCCTTCTCCAGCAACCTTCCGCGCTTTTGTTCCGAAACTGCGCTCATTTCCCTCTCGGATAAAATAATTAAGAACTGCTCTTTAGATAAGAAATGCGCTGAAAAGTGATTCGCAAATATTAACAATAGGCACCGGCAACCTTATTGTAAGCATCACAATAGAATAACCCACAAGGAACAGCAAAGAATAAACGCTTACCGTGCGTACGGCGAAGGAGAAAGACGGAATGTTATTGTGATTTCTGCGTAACCGGAAATATCCGCGGATAACGGAGGACGTGCGGTTGAGGTTTCCAGGTAAGGGATCGGCTGTACCTGCTCTCTCACTGCAGATCGCGGACTGCGGCGTCGCTTCACTCTCCACAAGTGATAGGGCTGACGTCACTTTCACAACAGCAGGATGGGCGGAGCTCCGTAGCGCTGCACAGATGTGCTCGAGGATTAGCGCGCGCGGATCCAGAAGATGAGCTGCACAAAATATCATGTCAGGAAAATAATGTGACATGCTCGCTCTGTGTGGGATTAAACATATCTAGCAGAGAGGTTGAGTTGAAAGAGTAGAAAATGAGAAGTCGCTGATGTGGAAGTCTGTTTTAGTTTGGAGAGTTACAATAGATGGTAACAGAAGTGTTCAGTCAGGTTTTTAAAGATGGTGAATTTTAGATGTAAACGACTGATAAAACATACACTCATCATGGCCAGTTTACTTACTGATACCGGGTTGGACCCACTTTTGCCTCCAGAACTGCCTTAATCCTTCGTGGCATAGATTTAACAAGGTACTAGAAATCATCCTCAGATGAATATGTTGGTCCATATTGACATGATACCATCGAGCAGTTGCTGCAGATTTGTCAGCTGAACATCCATGATGCAAATCTCCTATTCCACCACATCCCAAAGATGCTCTATTGGTTATATTACTATTATTATTATATATTATATATATATATATACTATATATTATTATTGGTATATTACAGTGAACTCATTGTCATGTTCAAGAAACCTAAAAAAACTGAGAGGATTTGCACTTTATGACATGGCGCTTTATCCTGCTGGAAGTAGCCATCAGAGGATGAGTACACTGGACATAAAAAGAGGGACATGGTCAGCAACAATATTCAGTTATGCTGTGCCGTTGACACAATGCTTAATTGGTGATAATAAACCCAAAGTTTGCCAAAAAAAATGTCCCGCACACCATACCACCACCAGCCTGAACCGCTGATACAAGGCAGGATGGGTCCATGCTTTAATGTTGTTGACGGCAAATACTGACCCTACCATCCGAATGTCGCAGCAGAAATTGAGACTTATCAAACCAGGCAAAGTTTTCCAATCTTCTACTGTCCAATTTTGGGGAGGCTGTACAAATTGTAACCTCAGTTTCCTGTTCTTAGTTGACAGGAGTGGCACCCAATGTGGTCTTCTGCTGCTGTATAGCCCATCCACCTCAAGGTTGGACGTGTTGAGCGTTCAGAGCAGTTCTTCTACATATCTCGGTTGTAATGAGTGGTTATTCGAGTTACTGTTGCCTTTCTATCAGCTCGAACTAGTCTAGTCATTCTCCTTTGACCACTGGCATAACAAGGTATTTGCGCCCACAGAACTGCCGCTCACTGGATATTTTCTCTTTTTCGAGAGAAATGAAAAGCCATCCATGAAATGCATGAAAATCCCAGTAGATCAGCAGTTTCTGGAATACTCAGACCAGCCTGTCTGCCACCACCAACTATGCCAGGTTCAAAGTCACTTAAATCACCTTTCTTCCCCATTCAGATGCTTAGTTTGAACTGCAGCAGATTGTCTTGACCATGCCTAAATACATTGAGTTGCTGCCATGTGATTGGCTGATTAGAAATTAATGTTAATAAGCAGTTGGACAAGTGTACTAATTAACTCGGTCATATTAAAAGCTGTGTCGACTTAAGTGTAGAACCAACAAGGTAAACGGATAGTTTATCTAAAAACAACAATGTTCTCATTATTTACTCACACTGCAGGTTCCAAACTATGGAGGTCAATGGTTACCAGATTTTCAGCTTCAGCTATCATGCTTTATATTCAACAGAAGTTAAACAGATTTAGAACAAGTTAAGCGTGAGTAAATAAAGATAAAATGAAAAAAAAAAATCCTTAGGTGTAGGAATCACAAGAAAAAAAAAAGTTTTTGCTCTTAATTTACTCAACCTCAGGTCATCCAAGAACATTAAAAGGGATAGTTCACCAACAAAAAAATAAATTGTAGTTATTTACTCATACTTGACTTGTTCCAAATCATTATTTTCTTCAGTTAAACACTAAAGAAGTAATTTCGATGATCTCTGGAAAGCGATAACCATTGCTATCCGTAGTAGGAAAAATCAATGGTTACCGGTTTCCAAAATTCTTTAAAATAACCTCTTTGATCAAAAGATGGATATATATATATATATATATATATATATATATATATATATATATATATATATATATATATATATATATATATATATATATTAGGGATGTAACGGTATCAGAATTTCACGGTACGGTAATACCTCGGTATCAATGTCACGGTACGGTATTTATTGAATCATTTACAGGAAAAAACAAAACTTATGAAAATACTCCAAAAAAGTGCCAAAAGTGTCAATGACATACAAATTAGCCATCTATCTGTAAGCTTTGAAACAGGAACTTCAATTTTAATAATAAAAAAAATATTAAACCATATAAAAAAAAAATTTAAGTTTTTAATTTAGTATTGTTGAAAACTCATCACATTCAACATTTAATCACTCACTCACTTAGATAGAGATGGGTTTAAAGGAAAATTATCATATAAATATAATCTGGTAAAAGCTGGTATCTCTGGGCATTTACAATGTCCCCTGCAACAGAAAAAAAAAAACCTCTCATTTGGTACTGAGGTTTCTGGGACAAGAGAGATATGACTTATATGACTTATTTCTTGAGCGCCGAAAACGCTGGAGAGGCCGTTGATTGTGTTGGAAACGCTGCTGCTCCGTCTCAGTGTGGATGGGGAAAGACGGAGACATCTGAAAACGGAGGCAGGGCTGCAAACGTTCGCCTATCTGATTGGGGCTTTTCCTCAATATTAAGTAGCCCACACACAGTTCAGTCTCGCATCCTCTTCTTGTAAGTTAAGACTTCCCAAGTTTATCAAGGCTGCAGTCTCCCCCTTCTCAGTTTGATATGGAAAACATACCGAGGACACGCGTAAATCTTCAAAGGGAACAGTGTACTTTATAACTTCATTCACATCACCTTGGCTACGTTGTTTCACTTTCTCAACAATAAAATGTAAACATGATTTAAGGAACTGCCTATTTTCTTTTTAATATTAGCAACTTAACAGACAGCAGAAATGTTGAGGCGTCGTGCTGCATATATGAGCGTCATCTTCACTGTGTGCATATTTATAACAAAACGGAGCCTATAACAACTGCCTCCTTTCAATTTCAGTGAAAATACGAAACGCACCCTCTCTTTTGCTGAATATCAGTTTTAATAATCGACAATTATAAAAGTATAACATACAATAAGTTTATACATTGTAGGAAATAAAGGCAAGCGATCAGTCAATGTACTTGGATTAATCATTAACTTATCTTTGCGCTTAACCAAAACATGTTACCCGTGAACAAGTAACTTAATAGATTCCAATGACCAAAGTCAGGGAATTGGCCTCTGTCGTTAGATAAAGACAACAACATGAATGAAATATCACGTTTAGCAAATATAGTGAGATTAGATCCAGCGGGAGATTCTTGATGAGCAGTCCGACAAGCAGAGCTCTCATCTCATGCTGGAGCGCTTGCCCGAGAGTGTCTGTGGTCACGTGATGTGCGTTTTCAGCGTTTTGGTGTGGACGGAGAGCTGTTCAGAAATGCTGGGTAAAACGCGAGTGTGGACGCGGATCGTTTTCATTCTACAACGCCGTTTTAAAACTAAAACGCACTCTTGTAAAAGGGGCCTTAGAGTTTTACAGCTCTTTTTGATCCCCGCTTCTTGCAGCACACTCCATTTCCGCATTACTGGATCTGTAGCGACAACAGACCGCAAGGGATGATGGGGATTGTAGTTTTCGCTACCTCCCGTTCGCTTCATTCGCCTGAGCAAATTTTCTCAGAAGACCTATAGTTTTACCGAGTCATGCGACTTCGGTAATATCGAAAAAAATTAATATTGCGGTATGACGGTATTTACAATACCGTTACATCCCTAATATATATATATATATATATATATATATATATATATATATATATATATATATATATATATATATATATATATTAAATTAAAAGACATAATTACACTAATCCTCAGTGCCACAGAAATAAGAATTGATTTTTATCATCAATATTGAGATCAAATATTGTTACTGTCAATTCTATTGGATGCATTATATTATTGCCAAATAATCATTTTAACCATTCTAAAAACAACTACAAAATGATCTTATTGACCCAGACTATGAACAACTCAATCTCATCAGTCTCAGGATTAACGGTTTAGATTTTATTTATCATTTATTCAGATATTAATTTACATGTATTGCTGTTCTCTGCTGCCCCCTTTTGGTCAAGCAAGAAAGTAAAACCACAGAGAAATTTGTGTGATGACACTAATGACACTAAAATAAACATTAGCATAGAATGATTGCTATTATTTTAATTAAAGGGCCATTTGTAGCTCAGCATCAGCAGCGGAGCCGGTGAAAAAACGTAATTTAGACACACATGAAAATCTCCAAAATGATTTCCCCCAAAGTCAAATATCTCCATGTATCTCTACAAACCTAGACGAGCATGTTTCAGATCTGTTCAGCATCTTAAAAGGGGTCACCTGAGCCTCATGTTCATTCACAGAGATAGTCTCCATGTACAGTCTACTTTCTGAGATTTTCATCCACCTCCTCAAGGATCTTCTTCTCTAGACTGGATGTGTCATACTCCTTTAGCATATCATACTCTCTCCATGGTTCTCCCCACTTCTGCGCATGCTCCATCTGCTCTGGAGTCAAATACAGGTCAAAGCGGATACCCTTAATGTCAAACTTGGGGCGCTCCCAACGTTTAGACCACGGCTTTGGCTTCATTTTTACTTTTAACTACAAGAGAAAAAGAAAAGCAAACAAGAAATCTTTTAAATTTGGTGGCTAAACACCATAAGTGTACAATATAACATTACAGAACATCACAGATAAAGATGTTTGACTGAAATGTCCTACCGGATTGACTGGGATGTCTTTCGTGAGCTCATAATGGACAGGTTGCATGTCAAAGTCAAAAGTGCTGTATTCAGGCAGAGCGTCCCTCAAGTACATGAGATTGTCATCCAGTCTCTTCTCCAGCTTTAACACTTCAATCTTACGCATACGTGGACTGTACAGCTCATAGCATATCTCTACTCCTACAGTGAATAAAAAATATTAAATTCAAATCCATGACTGAACGGTAACAAAAGTAAAATGCACTAGTAATGTAATCATATGAAAAAAAATATATCAAGATTATAATCATCCAAAATTGTCAGTTATCTATATTATCATGCTTTTGTTAAAATGACTCGAAATATTAAATGTCACACACACACGCACATGCGCACACACACACACACACACACACACACACACACACACACACACACACACACACACACACACACACACACACACACACACACACACACACACACACACACACACACACACACACACACACACACAGTTTTGCAGCTGAAAATGAACAAACAACAAATAAAAAGCTTTATGGGCTTTATTGCAGCTTTAAGGAATTTAAACATGCATCTCTGCATTTAGGATTTGTTCACTTATGTTTGCATTACTTCATGTTTGTAGTTTGTTGTGCTTTTTTTAGGTACATTTGCTCATATTTAGAACAGCTTGTGTGCCAAAGCAGCTTACTCTGCGTTTTTCTTATTCGCCTTATTCTTCGCGTAGGAACGAGAGCAGCCATTTAAATCTATTTGACTTGAGACTTGTGGTCACATTCACTTCCATTAATTTTTAGACATTAAAAACAGCTCATTCTGCTGCTTTATGTTGCAAAGTGTTATTTTCTTATTATATTATTCTGCTTTGTCTGTATCGTCATGCGAACACTTGTTTGCAGAGCAAGTAGTTTGACTGTTTTCTGCCATTTATTATTTCTAGTCATTTTTCCCATAAGCAACTGGATCGGAAGTTCTAAAACAAATAGCAAAAACGAGTACTTCTGCATTGCAAAATTATTCATTTTTATTTTATGGTGAGCTTTGCTGTGATGTGAATTTCCCCTTTATTTTATTTATAAAGTCTAAATTAACTAACTAACTACTCTCTGTTTACCATTTACTTTCATTTGTAATTTCTCCATTGAAGTCCAGTATTCACTATTGTAAAGTGAATTTCCTGGTAATTTAATAATTTATCAAATTTACAGTTATCAAAATTCGATTATATTGACTCAACATTTCAGCGCTTTAGAACTTATGGGCTGCATCTGAAAGCAGGATTCATTCCAAGATTGGAAAGCACTAAGGTGTGCCTAAATGCTAATCTGGCATCACTTCTTGTCTGCTGAGATTCCTTCATCTGATTGTCTTCAGACGTCATTTTGTGTGTAAGTTTTTGACCAACCTTTCCCACTTTTGATGTTGTTTCTAGCGTGATGTTAGTGTTGTGTAATTTAAATAATAAAAGTAATCACTAAAGCTTTATTTTGTTCTACATAATTAAAATGTTATGCTGCTTTAGCAGTCTGTCCAAAACTAAGCTTCCAGACACACCCATAATGAAACAAACTGAAATTAAAAAAAGTTTTTGTTTGTTTACCTTGCCCATCGATGACATTCCTAAGTATAAAAGTAGCACCCAATCCTTTTCCAGAGCGCTGAGTGCAGATTCCAACAAAGCGATTCAGGTTCCCGCTCGCGTAAGGATCTGTCATGGTCACTGCTAAAATGCTGCCTACATGAAACAGTAAAGAGAAATGCAGTTTATAAAGGAAGATTTATTTTTTCCAGTATTTTTATCTTTCTAGCAGCACATACAGAGCTAGAGTAGTCTGCATTTCTTACCAACGTAAAACTCTGGAATCTGCAAAACTTTCCTCCTCTGTATCATATCTTTCCGTTCTATATAAAACTTGATTTGGTCAGTGCGCTGGCGAGGAGGGATGAACTCTGGACTTAAAACCCTAAAATAAATGAAAGCACATTGAAAAATGCTACTCACATGCAGTTCAGTTTTAATGTTAAAAAGTGAAAGACCAAAGTAGCTAAACGTGTGAATCATACATTACACAACTGACAGTAATATCCATAAGAGGCAACATTTGCATATTTTTTTAATTAATATTATATTGATTAAATGTATGATTATAGTAAATCAAAAATAGTAATATAGTAAATGCATATTAGGTGATACAGTGGTTCAGTGGAAAGCACTGTTGCCTTACAGCAAGAAGGTCACTGGATTGAACCCTGGCTGGGTCAGTTGGCATTTCTGTGTGGAGTTTGCATGTTCTCCACACGTTTGTGTGGGTTTTTCTCCAAGTGTTCCGGTTTCCCCCACGGTGCAAAGACATGCGCTATAGGTGAACTGAATAAGCTAAATTGGCCATAGTGTATGTGTTTGAATGCAAGTGTGTGTGATTGTTTCCCAGTACTGGGTTGCATCTGGAAGGACATTCGCTGTGTAAATCATATGCTGGATGAGTTGGCGGTTCATTTCGCTGTGGCGACCCCTGATTAATAAAGGGGCTATGCCAAAAAGAAATTGACTAAATGAATATTAATGCAAGTGATGTTTCTAATGTTTCACCTAACTTTAAATAAAAAAAATTAAAAAAATCACAATATGGGTAAGATAAAAATTCTGACAAATGGACAAAATCAAGTGGCAAAGTATAAATATTTTAAATTGCATTGAATTAGTATTATAAATTAGTACTATTCTGTCAAGATATTCGTCAAGAAAGTATTGTTCTTGAACATTAAGATACACATATTAGTTCAATGTCAACTTAAGAAACAGTCCGTACATTGTTTACTTTGGTACTTTGATTATTTAGTGTGAAACCGCATGTAATAATGACTTCAAAACATTAGCACTATTTAACTGACTGTGAACAACGTTATACTTTTCATTATTATTGGCTGATAATATTCATTCAATTATTTTCTTCAGCTTAGTCTCTATTTCAGAGATCGCCACAGCGGAAATAACAGCCAACTATTCCAGCATATGTTTTACACTGTGGATGCCCTTCCCACTGCAACCCAGTATAGGGAAATGGTCGATAATATGATGACCCAATTGCACAGAATACTTTTCTGAAATTATATTAAGATGAAAGTCTGAATGTGCAAATGTAAAACCAACTTTACCTCCGTTTCTTACCTCAATTTCTCAGTTTGCACTATATATGGGTTTGCATATGCACAACTCTGGTTTGCACTCCTTGTCATATGCCCTTAAGTGTAATTGTATTGTTTACAAATGTTTATTTTCACTTATATTCTTAGATTATAATATATCTGTAATTGTATTTTTTGTTTCAAAAAATAACAACAATAATTCTATTTTTTACATTAATATTACACGTTTGGCATCTAGGCAATTTCGATTCTCTTTATATCCTGTACATGTAGTTGATTTGACAATAAAGCTGACTTTGACTTAAACCACACATCTGACAAGATTGTTTTGTTACATATTTGCTGTAATACTACTGAACGGCGTTTTAGTGGCTGTCATGTTCCGATTTCTAATGAATTATGTGTCACCTAAAGAAGCAGGATGGTGCAAATCAAAGCATAATCATATCCACATTGTACATACCGCCGGACTGATGCCTCTTCTTGTGATTTGTCTGTGAAAACGGGTTTGGTCGGAGGGATGAATTTTGAAGGTCCATCTGACGCGTGTCTCATTACCGATGTCGACAAAAACCCTAGACATGAACAATAGAATGTTTTATGTAGAAATTAGTTTAAATATCAGGCACAGACAACAATCTGTATGCTCTTTAATCTACCACAGAGTCGGTGGTGTTTTTTTTAAGTATAGCGTCATTAGCATTCTTCTATTATTATCAACCAACATGAACTTTGTAATGTGTAATAGTTACATACTCTCAGTCTGAGGTATATTTCTTAAAAATCGTAACAAGCCCATCATTTCTCTCGCCCTCCTTGTGCACGCCGCCATGTTTGACCTCTGACAGTGGAGTGTGAACATGAAACATTCTGATTGGCTGTCTAGCCACAATAAAGAAGAATGTGAATGGCTGGATGAAGGGAACCCAAAATACAGTACAAGTTTACTGCATATGACTAAGAAGTATTACATTATTTTAATATAATTGTTGATTATTTTTGTATTCATCAATTATATATATTTCATTTATTAACACATTTATTAACTTGTAATAAAATATGTATTATTCATTTTAGTGTGATTTGTTTTAAAATTATTAAATAGTTTTTATTAATTGTTTGAATCCTATTTAATTAAATTGTTTTCTTACTGATTCGATGTGTTTAATTCATTTATATGAATTTATTTATCTTAGTATGTTGCTCGATTTTTTATCTCATTCTTATTTTTTAGTAAAATAAGTTAGCGTAGCGTTTAGATGTTAGCGTAGTGCATTGCATATTAAAACGGTGTGAATGGTGATGTTTTTTTAGGGCTTAATCAATGAAACTGTGCGCATGCGCCGAGGGGCTGATCCTTGGAGATCCTTGTGGCGGAAGGTTCGTGTTTAGCCCGAAGACGCACGTGGATCAGTGTGCCTTGTCTGCGGTGGTCAACAACACCATCACAAAGTGGACTATCTAACACTGACGAATCTACCAGCGGACTGCTTGAGCCACAGAGAAGTAAGATATTCGCTTACTAACTTTAACCATCAAACTTCTAAACTTATTTTGTTTGCTTAGTTACTTGTAACTTACAGTATTTATTTAAAGTGGCTGTGATATAGTAACTTATGCACCTAAAGGGTTGTTAGTAATTCGCTGTACCTCGTCCACACTGTTGATTTAACATTAATACTTATTATAATAGTATTGTTTACAATGCTTACGGGTTTGTGTCACTATTTCTTTATTTTAGAGATTAAAATGTATATGCCTTTATTTTTTAACTAAATTGGTGACCCCGGGCCCTTACTAGACTGTTTTTGCCTGCCTTGATGCAACCCAAACTATTTGTTTGACCCCTGACTTAGTTCATATTGATAACTCATTCCATATAGAAGTCAGCAATTGTAAGTCTCTATGGATCTAGTAATTACTACATTTGTAAGTCAATATAAGTTTTTCCTTTGAAAAGTTAGCTGAGATTTTAATAAATATTTAGCCAGTGCACACACATACAGGACCTGCTATACAAGTACAGTAAGCATAGTGGGAAAAGGTTTGCAGAGCATTAAATGAATGCTTTTTCTCTGTCTTTCTTCAGGATCATGCCTGTCGTGCGCTTCTACAGGACAGAGGAGACTGGAGAGGCTCGGGCCATAAGAAGGATTGCACAGCTGTATCCAGATGTCATTATAACAACAGAGCTTTGCTACAATGTAGAGCTGGATGGTATGAAAATATCATATAAAATGGAAAAACTATTGTGGCTATGTTGACAGTTGTATTTAAATAATGCTTTATGCAATATAGATTGTTACAAAGCAGCTTCAAACTTCTAAATTATTCTGCTTAATTCGTATTATTAATTAAACCACACTGCATAATGTTACTGTTTTTATTGAGTGTACGTCAGTTCTGTGTTGATACAGTTCAATTTAGGGCTGCACAATAGATTGTTTCAGGATCAATATCACATTGTGATCATTCCCAATGGTCACATCGCAGGATATGAAATGTTAAGTTTATATTATAATTAATCATTTGCATGCGTTTTTTTTAATGCCTGTGATTGTATAATACCTTTAAAAAGCATTCAGGCTTAATAAATTGTACCATTTGTGACTTAAACTAGGAATAATATTATTGAATTATTTTTATCATTTCGTTACTGTACTTGAATACTGTTCAATAAAAGTACTCAAGACACTTCTAAATACAGAAATGCACTGCAAATAGCACAGACCACATCGAAAATGTGTCGGTTGACCCAAAATGTTTATAGATTGTTTATTAGATTTTATGGAGATGCAAATACTAAACATTAATTCATCAATCTCTGACTAAACATGTGCATGAAAATACTCGCAACACATACTCAAAACACTTCCAAAAACAGAAATGCACTGCAAATAGCACAGACACCATGAAAATGTGTCAGGGGAGCCTAAAATGTTTATAATTTGCTTATTAGATTTTATGGAGATGCACTCGCACTGCAGAATCACCCCAATCGATCTAACAGTGTTAATTCTTTCCAAATAGAGATATTAAGTCATCTGGTAAAATTGTATTCATATCGCAATAAATCTTGCAAAATAATAAAAGAATGCAATGTTAGATTTTTCCAATGTCATGCAGCCCTAGTTCAATTTAATAATAGGATCAAAGTTGTAGCGTTTTGACGAAAATGAAACAAAAAAGCAGCTCAGATAACATTTGTCATTTTCTAGTTCAGTTAAGCAATATTTAGTAAAAATGCTATCTCACAAAATTCTTGACGAGAGTGGATTCTCTGTGGATGATCTACTAACACTGACTGCACAAAACAAAGATCAGCTCCTTTATAATGACCATAATAATCTACCAAAAGCAGTGCATATTAATAATAACATGGCTTGCTAATATGTTAAGATAACTTAATTCTCAGGCAGTTCAAATAAATAAACACAAGTGGAGAATACATTTTTACAGCACACTCTTGACATGTTTCTGCATTGCTTTTCCTTTAGCAGCTATCAAAGCATTTCAAATGCAAAATAAGTTGGATTGTACTTTTTAGGGGCATTAAATGTTGACATAAAGACCAAAAACATTGACTAGAGTAAACCTTTAAAAATGTATTTATACATCCAACTTATATAAAGTTTACATCTGAAACTAAAACTCTTAAAAATGCATATGTAGTCGGGCCAGTCGCATTAAAAAACTGAATATGATACTTTCTCTTTTTGTCATTGTCATCATCAGTATCTCCTCTTTTTCTCTTAGGTCCTGATTCTTTAAGTGTAGCACAAAAAGACATTTTGCGCTGGTTGTTTAGTCCACCATATTCTGTCAGTTTGTTAGAGGAGCCCACTCTAAAAGCAGAACATGGAGCAAGACTGGTGGAGATTGGACCCAGGTAACATCATATTATCATGGCATGTCACTGAAAATTTTTATACAGCTTATTTCACAATTATATCTTGACCACTGTAGGTTGAACTTCTCCACTGCTTGGTCCACCAATGCTGTATCCATCTGCCAAAGTGCAGGTCTGAGTCAGGTGACGAGAGTCGAGCTCTCCCGCAGACATCTCATCAAGGTTAGGAGAGCAGCTTTAAATAGACTTACATTACAGTTTTTTCCCTTGTTTTAATCAAAAGCTCTTATTTCTTCATCCCCATATAGCCCCAGGAAGGATGTAAAGTTGGCATGAAGGACGGAGAGATGGAGAGTCTGATTTCATGCTTGTATGACAGTATGACTGAATGTATTTACGCTCAGCCAATCACATCGTTCGCAGTTGATATTCGGCCACAGGATGTGTTTGAGGTGGACATTCTGGGAAAAGGGCGTGCTGCTTTGGAAAAGGCCAATGATGAACTTGGTAAGACACATGTTTAGAGTCTGAATCGCTTTCGCATTCACAAAAAGGTGATAACAATAAGACTGATAACTCAATAATGATAAAAATATACTTTTTTGACATGTGTCAGTGTACAAAGTTGCTTTGTGTACCATGGTATTACTAATTGGGAGGCAAGTAAATCGGCTTTATTTAAACCAAATGCTTTATTCTGCGTCCAAATACTCAGACTGTATGGGTGGCTCAACAAATGGTACTAATGAACACTTTGAGAGCGCTGTAATAATTTTGAAAATCATGATCAGCGTTTATACATTCCTGCCCAATATCAGATGGCCAGAAAGTGATTGTTTTATATTTAGGATTCAGCAAATTTAGAGACTGTAGTTTACACCATTATTTTGTAATAGATTCACTTTAATGTTGGTATGATTAAAAAAGGGGTCATAGATAATTTTCTAAACCCAAATGAGTAGCAGTTTGGACCCAGAAACATTCATACATTCATTACGACTTAACAAGTAGATAACATTCAGCACAATCTAAATGGGCAATCAATAGAAGCTAACAGTTAACTAGTAGTTTAATCACAAATATTCCATCATTATAGAGTACATGTACAACTTTATAAAAAATAACAATAGCATAACTTCTTGAAAGCTGTAGGAATATTTCAAGAGTAAAGATACTGAATATTTGGATATGAGATTCAATCAGCTGCATTAGAAATGCACATGCAGGCAGTGCTCAGTGATGACGTTTGCAAGTCTTTTAACAAATAATGGACCAGTATTTTAAGGTCACATGATAGTTAACATGATTAGGAGTTGTGTACATGTCACAAGATAAGTGGAGCCGAGTTGATTAGATCACGAGTTGCGTGAAGAGGGTGAATGAATGATGTATGAGAGACAAAGTAAACCAGTGGGTCACGCTAAAACAGAGATTAGTTAAGGTCTGCTGGCTTAGAAATAGTATTGTGAAATTGATTTCTGACCAAGCCCATGAAAATGTTAAAGTTTCCTGTTTTTGGAAATATGATCATTCTTTAAGGGGAAAGAATTGTTTATTTTAGAAAAATAAATCTTGGTGGTGTCTGCTCACTGAAATGGTTCTGGTTCCCATGCCAAATGTGTTGCTAAATTGTGTTTTTTAGTGAGATTAAGAATGATCCAGATACTACTTCAATAGCCATCTATCTAAAAACCTTCTTGAAAAAAAGTGTAATTAAAAAAAATGTGATTGATAAAAATGTGTTTGAAAGATAGAGATAGAGACCGCTTTAAGCCAAATTTTAATTCACACATTCCTGTTTTGTGTCATCAGTTTGGCAGGCAACCCTGAGTGCAGTAGCTAGTTTAGTCACTAGCTGTCAATAATAGACATTTCATCTTGAATTTTACCAAAGGTCTTTATGAAAGTGTTGCTATATATGTTACTAGGAAATATTAATGTTGGCCATATATTATTTTTTCTCTTTTACTGTGTGGATTGAGCAGGGTTGGCATTTGACTCCTGGGATCTGGACTACTACACTGCACTTTTCCAGAAAGTGAAAAGAAATCCCACAAGTGTAGAATGCTTTGATCTGGCCCAGTCCAACAGGTGTGTATGTGTGTGTGCATGTATGTGTGTACTGGTTTTGATGGTTTACAAGGACAGACATTTTAATAATACATTGGTATGACCTAGGTTACAACATTGAGGTGGTTTACAAGGATATGTCTGATGTTCTTATAAATCAAAACATGTGCAAATCATACTTAACGATGTCTTTTGACATTTAAAATTTCCCACATGTTTCCTGTGAGGTTTGGGTTTAGGGTAGGATAAGGCCATATAATAAGCATTTTTACTGTACAAAATACATTTTGCTTGTGGAGAGTCCTTGTAAGCCAAGGTGTGTGTGGTCTTTAGAGAATAAACACCAAGTTAAAGTGAATTCTTTACATTCAATAACATGAATTCTCTATTTGTTCTGTAGTGAGCACAGCCGTCACTGGTTCTTCAGAGGGAGAATGGTCATTGATGGAAAAGAGCAGAAGGAGACGCTCTTCAGCCTCATTATGGGCACTCAGCAGCACAGCAACCAGAATAATGTCATCAAATTCTGTGACAACAGCAGGTTAGACACTTCACTGTGAATGTCAGTCCTCTTCAGTGGGTTTTGGGCAGGGTTTTCATAATATGTGGTTCTTGTGTGTTTGTAGTGGTATTAAAGGCATGGAGCTGAGGTGCATGTATCCCACAAACCCTGCACAGGCCAGTCCATATGAAAGCAGAGATACTACCAGACACGTAATCTTCACTGCAGAGACGCACAACTTCCCTACCGGTATGATTCTAAATGCGTTCAGTCTTTGTTTTATTACACATACAATATACTGCAGGCCAAAATAAATTAATTTTAATTATCAGTTTTAAATACTAAAATGTTCTTGAATATGTCTAAATGTTTTTTTTATAGGTGTTATCCCTTATATTCTTTATTATTTTCTAAATGTATCTAATCAATTTTAGCAATTCATACAGTTGAAGTCAAAATTATTAACCCTCAAATGACCAAACATTTTTAAACTCAATAGTTTTAACAGCTCATTCCTAACAACTAATTTATTTTGTCTTTGCCATGATGACAATACATAATATTTTTTGCTAGTTATTTTGCAAAACACTAATATTCAGCTTAAGGTTCAATTTGAAGGCTTAAATAGATAATTTGGTTAAATAGACAATCTTGTTTATCAGGCAAGTCACTGGACAAGAGTGGTTTGTTCTGTAGCCAACTTAAAAAAAAATCTTAAGAGGGATAAAAATATTGACCTCAAATTTACTTTTTCCAGGAGAAAAATATTACGGTAAATACTGTGAAATTTTCTTTTCTCTGTTAAACATCACTTGGGAAATAATGGAAAAAATGTATATATCCCAAGAAGACTTAAAAGTTTAGTTTGGTTATCTAATGTTTCTATTTTATTTTATTTCAGCTCTATTTTAGTTAACAAACATATTGTAATCTATTTACTTTTAGTGACTAATAGCAGTTTTAGAGACCATAACCCTAATGTTTAATTTAAAACAATAAAATGTTTTTGTTACACCTAGGTGTTGCTCCATTCAGCGGAGCCACAACTGGAACTGGCGGGCGAATCAGAGATGTGCAGAGTGCTGGAAAGGGTGGTCATGTGATTGCAGGCACTGCTGGCTACTGCTTTGGTAACCTGCACATTCCAGGTAAGCCTTAATTCATTGAACTCTTAAAGATATTAATACTGTGTTCTGTTTTGGGATTAAACCTCATAAATAAATTGTCCCCTAAAGTTCAGATTACTCTCTCTGTTTGCTATATTTTGTTTTGTGAGCCCAACCCCCTTATACTAGAATCTTCTTTCTACTCAGGTTTTGTGCTCCCATGGGAGGAGGAAGGCTGGGAATACCCATCAAGCTTTGCTCCTCCACTTCAGGTGGCCATTGAGGCCAGTGACGGAGCCTCTGACTATGGCAATAAGTTTGGGGAGCCAGTTCTCGCAGGTGAAATCAAGCAGCCATCTGTTTATCTGTAAATATAAACTTGAATTATTTGAAATATTTGTTTTCTTTTGCATTAAGGCTTTGCTCGTTCCTTTGGAATGCGGTTGGCTAATGGTGAACGGCGGGAGTGGATTAAGCCAATCATGTTCAGCGGTGGGTTGGGATCTATTGAGGATCCACATGTGAGGAAAGATCAAGCTGAGCCAGGTATATGTGGAAAAATATATTTTAAAGCTTTTCCTGTTAGTCCACATCTTTTCTCCTTACTTTACTTATAGTGACTTATACTTTTATATGTTGCTATGATTGATGCATATATAATGTAGCCAAAGGGTCGGTACACACAACAAAAGCAGTGACAAAAACAAGGCATTAACAATGTATTTTATAAATATTCAAAATGTTGGTAATGTTAAACATAATTTGTTTCAGTTTACAAAGCTAAATTTTTAAGCAGCCATTACTGTACTCTACGGTGCAACATTACTTTAAATAAGAAATTAAGATGCAAATATTTAGTATTGTAATTTTACAATGAAAAAATTAAATTGACTGTTTGTTACTGCTATTGCATTTTAATAATTCTTGTCTAACAATTTAATAATCAAATGTAATCAATATTGTTAATTAATATCCACATATTATTGGTCAAAATATGTAACAATGAAAGTTAAAAAGAGGTTTTTAAAAACAATTTTCAAGGTGTAAAAATTTTTCAGATTTTACATTAAAGCTATTACACATGGAAATTGCTAGTTTATCTAATAAATAATAAATTTGCAGTGCATTTCTTAAATACAACAAACAAATATCTACAAATAAAATGTATATAACGTATTAAATATCACACATTAAATAAAAATTTGAAAAAATAAATAAATAAAATAAAAATAAAAAATTTCACCCAGCCCTAAAAAGCTTGACAGAATTTTTTTATTTTATTTTAATTTAACGAGCTCCCCAAAAGTATTTCTCTCCCTTGAGAATAATTAATTATTTCTAAATATACTATACTAATCATGCTGTCTGGTGTATTATTTTTGGTATCACAATAAATCTCAGAAAAATAAAGCATGCCATGTCAGTTTTGTGGAAATAAAGTCTTAACTGTGACTTTTAAACAGTTGTGTACATTGTACACTTGCAAAATAAAAGTATTTCTTTGTGCATATATATATTTGTTTATCATACTGGTCCAAAAGTTTTGAACATTAGTGTGTGCTAATATAAATTTTTATTCCTTTCACTCTGTTTTTTTTTTTTTTTTTTGTCCATGGCAGGTATGGAAGTGGTGAAAATTGGAGGTCCTGTGTACAGGATTGGTGTTGGTGGAGGTGCTGCTTCTTCTGTACAGGTACACCAACATGCTTTATTGGAATAAATATACACGTTGTTTGCCTCTGTATTGCTCATATATATATATATATATATATATATATATATATATATATATATATATATATATATATATATATATATTATTATTTTTTTTTTATATATATATACTCAAATTTGACTTTTGCATGCTAAAAGTACTTGAGTAAGAGGCGTTTTACTTGATTTGGGTCATTAAAAAACTCTGACTACCAATATGATATAGGTAGCCTATATCTGCGGTAATCAACCTAAAACTTACAGTAGGTTGATATAAAACCAAAACAACACCCATTCTTGTCTTAAGACATTTTATTTAGCAAATTTTTGAATAACAGTAAGTTCATGTCATGTTAAATATATAGTAAATTTGCTGGTTTTAAACATACAGAATAATAATACAGTTATGTAACAACTATAACATTACCGTTATATCTTAGGACAAATTTGATTAACTTTTTATTACCTACACCAAATGTTGACTAATAAAGGTACATTTATAACAACTATTTATTTGTTAGACTACTGTATTGTCAAACCATGTTGCATACAAATGCATTCAACAGACTTACATATATGACAGTGTATTGCTGTGAAGGACAAATAAAACACGAGACAGGTGTTTAGAAAGAGTATAGTTTATTTTGTTTGACCTGCAAACTTATATAAACGATAAACTTTCAGAAAACAGCCTGGAAACATTATAATGCGCGCGCTCGTGAATATAACCCGCGGTTGTCTTCAACGGTTGTCCTTCTTTGCTCAACAACTCAGCTGAAAAACAAATCACTTTTGATAGTAAGTGTTGTATTGTTATCTCTCAGGTTGCATTTCAGCTTAACGCGCTTTTTGAATAAATTAATTAAAAACAAAGCAGCTGCTTGCCATTGCGACAGCAATGAGATCAAAATGGTGGAATCCGGGGCTGTTGCTGGACGCTGCTGTTGCAATGGAACGTTCTATTGAGTGTAGCCTCTTGGTCATTCTAAGCTCTTTGCATAAAGTTAAATCATAACAGGTACCATGGTTTCTATTTCAAACTATAGTAAACTAAAGTTTGAAACTAAAGTTTAAAATAGACGATGAGTGGGCCTCACTGCTCCCACCCACCATAACCCTCGCAGCGGGGTCCCACTACCGGCCTCCCGTGTTTCCCTGAGGGTCCTCAGGGCTTGTTTGTTCCCTGCCTAGGGCTCAAAAGCGACTCGCCCCAGGGAGTGCAAGTGCACGAGTAAACCGGGCGCCAGTCCGAGCCAGTGTTCACTGGATGCTGCTCGGCGGCACATTTCGAGCAACAAACACGTAATGTTCCTTGTGATATTGCGTTTTTGTACGCAAACCGCAAGGAACTACAACACAGACGGGCCCGAGTGAAGCTTCACGAAGCGGACTTCGTGAGATTGGCGTAGCTCCACTCGCATTGTCGGTATTGAACTCACCTTGGTCAAGTACAATCAGCAACACCGAGCGAACTGACAACGCTGAGAGAGAACCGACAGGCTTTATAGGAATGCAGATGCAAATTTTTACAAGACATGTCACTGCTGTGAGTCTCGTTGTCATGGTGAGCGCTAAATAGGGCTTACCTCATTGGAGCTCTGCACACAGACTCGGGAATCTGCGTCCATGCAAATTGCGGTCAGCTAGACAAAAACATATTAAATATATTCAATATATATTTTAGCATTTTTGGTGCTGTGTAATATTCTGGGATGCAGTAGAATATGGAGACAGATGAATATAATTGGGTATATGCCGAGCTAGTGTTTTTCCCATACTTTTAAACTTCCGGTGACCTGTTGTTGTTGTTTTTTTCATTTTATACGGTTCCTTTTACAGCATCCATCTTGTAATCTCATTAAAATGCATTCAGTTAAATAAACTTTGGCATTCATTTAGTTGTTCAAGCGTAAAACGAGACAAAAGGCCTTTTACTCGCACGCGCCCTGTAGAATCAGCAGGCTAGCCCAGAAGCTCCATTAAATTTACTGGGGTAAAATAAATGCTCATATTATAAAGACATGGCGGAGAAAATATAATTTAATGCAGTGCGTTTTGTACAATCTGAGACCAGCTTTATATCGGATATCACTCAGCCAGTGGAGATAGCTGATTTTTAAAGAAAACTCCTAGTAGTGGTAAGCTTCTTATTATCCAACATGTATTTAATATGGTTAGCGCCTATCAGTTTAGCAAGCAGCCATATTTACGCTACTGTGTAATGCTGCCCTCTACTGGCGGACATCTTTACTGCACAGAAACTACATACTGATCAAGGCAAAATTATCCCTCTCTGATTTCTAAAAATACTTTATATATATATATATATATATATATATATATATATATATATATATATATATATATATATATATATATATATATATATATATATATATATTAACACATTTTAAACATGATCGTTTTTTAATCTTTACCATGATGGTAGTTTGTAATATTTTACGTTATTTTGCCTAATATTTAGATTAGGGTTAACTAGATTAATAAGGTAAATTAAGCAATTTAGATTATTTAGGCAAGTCATTTGACAATATCTGTAACCAATGGAAAAAATACATTTCCTAAGTAATTTATAGTAAACACTCAATTAATTAAGTACCATATTACTTTTAATACTCTTGTCGTATTTATTAAAGGCAACACAGCAATATTTCTATGGCAATGTTTATCATTTTTAAAATGAATAGCTTCATCAAGTTAAGTTTTTCATCTAATATTAATTGTTAACTTTTTATTTTAATTGTAGTTTACTGTAGGTATTAGTAATCTTGCTAGGTTTTCTTGCAATTTATGTTTAGTATTGAATTATGTTTATTATATATTTAAATATGATCTGTTTAAAAATAAGATAGGATTTAAATTCTTTTACAATAAGATTTTAAACAAGTTAAAATCAGATAAAAAATAAGTTACTTAGTTTATATATATATAAATGTGTTCATTTCTCAGTGAATATAGACCATTTTCATGGCTGCTGCATGGAGGGCGCCATAGCGACCAGCGTCTTTCGGTAGAATGCTAAAAACTTCCGTTCACAGCGTGTACAACGGGTAATTTGTGCTCCGAAAATGGGTTTCAATAACGTTTTAATGGATAACAGAGTGTTTTTGTGACACACAACTTAAAAATGTGTCTGTTAAAGCCGCTATAATCTGTCACATGTTGTTCAAGCGCGTCAGAAATAGGAGAAAAACGTTTTCCTTGTTCATGTGTCTGCCTTCAGAAATACAGTGTGTGTTCCCGGCCTGTCAGCTGTTAGCTCAGCGGCTCTTTAACACACACACACACACACACACACACATACACACACAGATAGAGAGAGAGAGAGAGCAAGCAAACCAGAGTACTGGCATGAAACTTAACAGGTATGAAAGTCATGCAATTTACAAAAATGACCAATAAAAGTCTGTTATTGATACTCTGCTGGCTGATTTGCTGTTCATTCTAATTGCGAGCCGTTTGTTTTATTTTGTGTGTTGTTTTTATATAGCCTATATTTTCACTTTGTCACAGTTATTAAATCAATGGGTCAGTGGCACAGTACAGGCTATGTGTGTGTGTCAAACATTTTGGTGAATTACATTTGTTTGGGCTGGTTATATATTTGAAATAAAGAGAAAATGTTGACTTTAGCGATGACAAGGCTTCATTTAAACTGCAGAAGATGCCGTCTGACAACGAGGGGAAAATGCCTCACAGCAGCTGTTTTTCATCCTATTAGATCGCATTTCTTTAAATGATCAGTCCAGGAGATGGTGCTGATGGACAACAGTATTAGTTCAAAGAGGATAAAAGCAGGTAAAATAGATTAAAACTATCATTTCAAAGCTGTCCAAATGTGACTGTTTACACGCATCAGCTGCCGACCGGAAGTTCTTCGCATTCTCCTTGCGCATACGCGCAAAGCATAATGGGTAATTTTGAGTTCCAAGAAAAAGGTCTATAGGCAATGTATTTTGGTGCATTTAAACAAAACAGATGTATTAAACGGATATTATATTAGTTATATTATTTATATTATATTATTTATTTTTATAAATATTTATTATATACATAAACTAATATTTTAGTCACCAAACATATTTAGAAATTGAAAGATAACACAATTAAATTTAAGCAACAAAAAAAAAAACAATTACAACCTACAAATTTTCAACTAAATCTTTCACATTTTTTGCTTCTCTTGATTTTTTCCTCTTTTTAAAATCTGTATTTATTATTTTTGTATGACATATAAATTTCGCTGTACTAGTTTTTGGACCGTTATCGCAAGTTATTTTTTAAAAAAGCTCAAGATTTGGCTTCAGTACTGACTACTCTAATGTATATGCACAAAAATAATATTTTATAGCTTCCTATTAAAAGTATGAATTTAAAAGAAAGATTTGTGAGGGGTGTACTCAAATGAATATATATATATATATATATATATATATATATATATATATATATATATATATATATATATATATATATATATACAGTGTTATTTTTTGTTAATAATATCTAATAATAATTATTAATATATAATTATCTAACTAATAACGTGGGAGGAAACCCACGCGAAGGCAGGGAGAACATGCAAACTCCACACAGAAATGCCAACTGAGCCGAGGTTCGAACCAGCGACCTTCTTGCTGTGAGGCGACAGCACTACCTACTGCGCCACCGCCTCGCCAATAAACTGTATGTTAACTTGCCAATGTATATATATATATATACATACACACACACACAAACACACACACTATAATGCTTATGTCAAAATATTTCTCTTTACTATAAATTACTATAGTATTTTAAATGTGTAACATCTGGTTTTATTGTATTTTTTGTTTTAGCTGTTATATACTATAATGTGTTTCTGTTTAGTACAGCATATTATTTACAGTAAATAACTTAACTGAACAATTATGCCTCATATGTTTAATTGACAGTTTTATTGATCTCTAAGATATGATTGACCTGGATTTACATTGCTTTGATTTAAAAATGAAAATGGTAAAATAGCTTGTTACATTTCCCAGGGGGTAGCTTTTAGTGTAGTTAAGCTACATTTTAAGTAGAGTAGCTAATAGCTTAGCTCACTACATTTTTCAAGTAGCTCGCCCAACACTGCTCATATCATGTGCAATTACCAAATATGAGTTTGTATTATTGTAGGTTCAAGGAGATAACTCCAGTGCCAGAGACCTTGGAGCAGTTCAAAGAGGAGATGCTGAAATGGAGCAAAAGATGAACCGCGCTCTCAGGGCCTGCCTGGAGCGTGTGGAAGGAAACCCAATCTGCAGCATTCATGATCAGGGTGCTGGTGGCAATGGTAGACGGGTTTCCTTTCACAAGCTAAATTTGACAACTAAATCACAAACACCCTTTGTGCTTTGAACAATCAGAAAGGTTGAATTTAAAGTGATAGTTCACCCAAAAATAAAGACTGTCATCATTTACTTTCCCTTCACTTGTTTCAAACCAAACAGTTTCTTACTTCTGTTGAACACAAATGAAGATATTGTAAAGAAAGCTGGAAACCTGCAACCACTGACATCCATAGAGTTTGTTTTTCCCACTATGAAAGTCAATGGTTACAGGTTTTTCAAAATATCTTTGTTTGTGTTCAACAGAAGTAAGAAACTCATAACCAGTTTAGGGTGAGCAAATAGTGAGTACATTTTCATTTTAGGTGAACTATCCCTTTAAATATGCTTTTATTTATATAGGTAACGTGTTAAAGGAACTAAGTGAACCTGCTGGTGCCGTTATCTACACTGAAAAGTTTAAGGTGAGATCTAGATTTATCAGAACATCAGAATAATGTTTTTTTCTATAACAAAGTGTTTCACATTCATATTTCACCCTAATGCTCAGAGAGGAGACCCCACCCTCAGTGTTTTGGAGCTTTGGGGGGCGGAGTATCAGGAGAGTAATGCTCTGTTGCTCCGCCCCTCTGACCGGAGCTTCCTAGAGAGGGTCTGTCAGAGGGAAAAGTGTCCTGTCGACTTTGTGGGCAAGATAACTGGTGATGGCAAGGTGAGTCGCACTGTATGTGCCTTTTTGTTGTGTTTCAGGGAGGATGCTTCATAACACTTTGTAATTTATATGCTGCTGTATAGATCGTGCTGGTTGATGGCTTGCGTAAACAGAATGATGTACTTGAAGGTGCACGAAACCCTGTGGATCTGGAGCTGGACTGGGTCCTAGGAAAGATGCCACAAAAGGTGCAAAAATCTTTTATTTTGATGATCACATTGACATTGTCTGCATTTGCGCAAAACATCCAAAAGGAATAGTTTGAATAATAGTTTGCTGTTAATTCACTCCTGTCAGATAATCATACATTTACCCCTTTTTTAGTAGAAAATTGAAGAAGATTTTAAGCTAAAACCATTGTGATTAGTCATGAAAAATGCAAGTTAATGCCTTCTGGGACCTTGAGAGTCAAAAAATGCATATACAGGCAAAACAAAATATTGTGTTTAGGCAAAACATCATTATGTAACTGGAGGCTTGCTCGCAGTTTCGGACTTTTGTAAATCCAAACTATTTGTCTAGGCTGTGAGTATCTTGAGAGTATCATCAGGAGTCACATTTAATAAATTTGTTTTGCCTCCTTGTATATTTTTAGACTCTCGAAGTGCCAGGGGCCACTTTCATCTTACTTAAGAAAAATAAAGTCACCTACATCTCAGATAACATTTTAAGAGTGAATAAGTCTAACAATAAATCAACATTTTTGTGTGACCAATCCCTGCGAGAGCAATACTTGCAAATAAGCTAGTAATTGTGGTAGAGTGAACCCTGTTTTATGGTAGGTATTGATCATTATAGTATTAATTAATTATCCCTTTTGCTCAGTCAGTATTATTATTATTTTTTTTTCAGGAGTTCATATTGGAGCACAGGTCTGTTTCTCTGCAGCCTCTCACTCTTCCTGCAGGTCTTTCTGTTCTTCCAGCTCTGGAAAGAGTTCTCCGGCTGCCTGCAGTGGCCAGCAAACGCTACCTAACCAATAAGGTATAGTACTTCCTCATTAACACATTTAGTATTACATAACGTTTTCAGTGTTGTGTTGTGTATTGCAGTTGTTTGCAACTTGTGACAATATTATGCTTATGTGGTTCCAAACCACTTGTGAGTTTCTTATTTCTCTTCAGTGCAGAAAATATTATTAAGAATGCAGGAAACTGTTGAAACCGCCATTGGCATCTATATAAAATACTATCTAACATTCTTCTTGGGTTTTTAACAACAACAAAACAACTCAAACAGTAAGTGCTTCAGCCTCCAGGGGGCAGCCACAGCCATAGGAGAGCAGCCCATCAAAGCTCTCTCCAGCAGCTGGAGCTCGAATGGCTGTAGGAGAAGCTCTCACTAACTTGGTTTTTGCGAGAGTGTCTGCTCTCAAGGTGATTTTTTTTTTGCATATATATGTTGTCTTGTGCATAGTCACACGCATATGACTATGCACAGTGTTGGTATAGTGGTTGGAAAACCTTGAAAATGCTAGAATTTTAATGTACTCTTAGTTTATTACTCTCCTTAGTCTGTGATCTTTGATTTTAAAATAAATATAACAATAAGATGAAAGATGACGAGTAAAATGCAAATAAAATGCATTCAAATAAATTAATTCTGTTTTGCGGATTATGGAGTTCTCTGGCTGCCTGCAGTGGCCAGCAAACGCTACCTAACCAATAAGGTATAGTACTTCCTCATTAACACATTTAGTAATAAATAACGTTTTCAGTGTTGTGTGGTGTATTGCAGTTGTTTGCAACTTGTGATGATAAAATAGTTTGCAAATTAATACTCTTTGCAATATATCTAGACATTGCATTTTTTTAATAGTTCTATATAAATGTTTAAATTATTTAAATGTCATGGATTGATGAATTGTTTTTTTAAATGTGTCATGTTTTCTGGATAATAAGTCACATCTGATTATTAGTTTACAGTTTTATTGTTGAGGTGGGGAAATTTTTACTTTGGTTTGGTAAGTTATATTTATATAATGTCAAACAATTGTAAAACAGTCTTTTGCTAGTGCTTGCTTGAAAATACTTTAAACATGTATATTAGTTTTGCCCACTCTATGGCAGATATTTTATATATAATTTTATTCAAAACAGAAAGAGAAATTAAGATTGTATACATCAAACAGAAAAAGCATTAATCAAAATTCAAATTATACCACTGGTCATTTATTCTGCTCTCAGTTGTGAAATGGTTCGAACCTGATATGCAATGTTCTTGGAAAGAAATAGAAAAAGACCTTATTTTTCCAACACGTCTGCAAGACTTTCTGTTCTCAGGCTTTAACCATAGGAAATGTATATTGCGCTATGGACCTATTTTATCCTATACCCTCCAAATTTTTAAAAAGGTAGAAACTTATTTTCCTTCCAGAACCACCTGGCATAATCATTCTACTCTGTGGCACAATGTGAACTTACTTTCTGGTAGACAACCTTTTAATCAACCATCATGGGCCAATAAAGGTATTCTAACACTAAAAGACATAAATGGAGAAAAATCAATTTTAGATTTTCAAGAGCTGGTTAACAAATTTAATATATCTCCCAACACTCTTTTTATATATTTTAAAATAAGGGCAGCACTAAAGGCTCATAAGACACCATGGGGTAAGGATCTTCATACCCACCCGATTGTGAAATGGATATATAATGCTCCAAGAAAAGGAACTGTTTCCTATCTCTATTGCTGTCTTTCTAATATTAATGCACATAGTTTCTCAAAAGAAAGACTATGGCTATCTGATATGTCTCGACCCAATCTAACTATCGATTGGAAAACTGTATGGCATAATACATTCCACGCTTCCACAAACCCTAATCACCAGTTTATTAATTTTAAAACTATCCAAAGGGCATATTTAACCACACATATACGACATATCATAGGTTTATCTCCAGATCCATATTGTAAGTTCTGTGAACCACAGCGTCCAGATACCTTTTTACATATGATGTGGGAATGTCCGGAGGTACAAAAACTTTGGGATTCGGTGCTAGACATTTTATTTAAAGTTACAAAAAAAAAATTTCCCAAACACCCTATACTGTTACTATTGAATGATAACTCTCAATTTCCCTTAAATGCAAAGGTCCGTAAATTTTGGTTAGCTGCTTCAACTGCTACAAAGAAAATGTTGGTACAAAGGTGGAAACCTCCTCATGATCTCTCAGTTAAGCACTGGTTACATTCATTATTGGAAATACTGTATCTGGAACTGTCATCAGCACGGATCAACCATGCCAAAGTAGACATTCTTACGGCATGGAAAATCTACATATGCAACATCAAAGAAATCTTGGACACTTAACCCTCATCTGATGCTACGGATGACAACTTAATGGAAATTATCTAACAGCTTGGTCTAAACTATAGTTATTCTGTGTTTCCTGATGTGCGTATAATGGGGTGGGGGTGGGAATTATATATGGGGTTATATCTGTTAAAAGTATTTTGTTATCTGATTGTAAAAATTGTATATTCTCACTTTCGGAAATAAAAAAACTGAATTACAAAAAAAAAAACCAGAAATGACATAGTTCCTTTAATTATAAACAACATTCATTTTTAACATCAAGCAAATTTATTGTAAAATTTCTAAGATCTGATGTACAAATCTGATGTTTCTCTTCTATTCTTGTTTTCTTTAATTAATGTTTATTGCGTTAAATAGTTGCTTTATATATTAAATCACAGCTTGTTTCAGTTGATGCAGTATAATGGGAGGTATAATCTAGAAAATGTGACTTGTATTACAAAATAAACTTTAAGGGATAGTTCATCGAAAAAATGAAAATTTACTCACCATTTTTTTTACCCTTATGTAGTTCCAAACCACTTGTGAGTTTCTTATTTCTCTTCTGTGCAGAAAATATTTTTAAAAATGCAGAAAAATGTTGAAACCGCCATTGGCATCTATATAAAATACTATCTAACATTCTTCTTCTTTGTTGTTTTTAATAACAACAAAATAACTCAAACAGATTTGGAACAAGTCAAGGGTGAATATATGATGACAGAATTTTGACTTTTGGCTGCGCCATAGCTTTAAAAGACATTATAAAGGGACACATTTATACTTGAGTATCAGCATGTTTGCAGTCAACAAACATGAATGAAACTAAATTCACTGTGTTCTGTTCCAGGTTGATCGATCTGTGACTGGTCTGGTGGCTCAGCAGCAGTGTGTTGGCCCTCTCCATACTCCTCTGGCTGATGTGGCTGTTGTTGCTCTTTCTCCGTTCAGCCTCCAGGGGGCAGCCACAGCGATAGGAGAGCAGCCCATTAAAGGCCTGCTCTCTCCAGCAGCTGGAGCCCGAATGGCTGTAGGAGAAGCTCTCACTAACTTGGTTTTTGCAAGAGTGTCTGCTCTCAAGGTGATTTTTTATTTATTTTTTTGCATATATATGTTGTCTTGCTGTAGGTGGAAGACAGGGTGTTTGTATGGTGGTTGGAAATCCTTAAAAATGCAAGAATTCTAATGTACTGTTTTCAATGTTTAAAACATGCTTCGGTTTGTATAAGGTTATATAATAATTTATTAGTCTTAGTTTATTACTCTCCATAGTCTGTTATCTTTGATTTTAAAATAAATATAACAATAAGATAAAAGATGACACGTAAAAATGCAAATAAAATACATTTAAGAGAATAAATTCTGTGTTGCGGATTGGGGAAACACATAATCAGTTGTTCCTTAGAATGTTATAAAATAAATACAATCTGAGTAGATGTAATGATGTATGCATGTAAGTATTGTATATACTTTGCCATACTTACTGGAAAAGAGATGGAAAATGCACCTAGTAAGTGCTTGAAAAGTGTTTAAGTTTGACTTTGAAAAAGGTGTTAACCCTGTATTCATGTGTTCACAGGATGTAAAGTGCAGTGGTAACTGGATGTGGGCTGCTAAACTGCCAGGAGAGGGAGCTTGTCTGTGGGACGCATGTCAGGCCATGTGTGAGGTTATGGGTCAGCTGGGAGTGGCAGTGGACGGAGGAAAAGATTCACTTAGCATGGCTGCACGCGTCAGTGGAGAAACTGTCAAAGCTCCAGGTATCAGTCTTGTATGACATTTTGGATCATTCTTCTTCATAAATGTTTTGGGGGACATTTTGCATTTTATGATAGGACAATAGATATTGACAGAAAGTGAATGTGTAGAGGGGTGGGGGGGTTCAGGAAAGGTCTGCAAGTCAGGACTTGAACTAGATAGGCCCGCAGAACAGTTGCATGATATATGTCAGTGCACTGATGATTAGGATATCGGAACTGATTGTATTTTGGAAATTTTTGTAATCAAATCGTCCTCTTACATGTAAAAAAATAAATAAAAGTTCTCATTCTTTACATTATGATTAGATGAACAAGAACATGATTATATATACCAATTCAGAATATTCGAATGATTTGTGAAACGTCATTTGACACTAATGCTGGGGTAAGGATACTAAAAATTTGGCTTTTTAAATTCTTTATTTGTTTTATATTTGTACTGCTCAAACTGTATTTTTAATCTAATGAATGCATAGTTTTGCATAAGAGACATCTTTAAAAAAACATCAAAAAGTCTTGATACTAACCTATAGATTCGAGTTTATATATTACATATGTACATTTTATATGTAGAATAGAATGTATATTATATTTTCTTTGACTCATTAAATAGAATAGTTTAATTAAGTTGCAGCAAATTAAATCATCACAACAGTGTCCCATATAACAGCGCCACCTATTGCATTTATTTGTAGCTGCATGGTTTAATTGAGGTTGCCCATTCAACCTCACATTTAACAGTGATTTTTTTACCAATGTTTATAAATGAGCAAGGTCATTTTTACATTATTTCCTGTTTTTTTTTTCTTTTGCTGAAAGATTTAGTTGATTTAGTTTGAATGGAATAAAAGCATTTTTATTGTAGAGCTATATTTAAGGTCATAACATTTTTTGCCACCTAATATTTTTATATATTTTTTTTGACTGTCTACAGAACAAACCACTGTTATCCTGTGATTTGCTATAATTAACCTAACTTGCCTGTTAAAACTAATAAGCTTGTTAAGCCTTTAAACTGCACTTTTACCTGACTACTAGCATCTAGCAAAATAACTAGTCAAATATATTGCTATACAAATATTACTTGTCAAATATTACTAAGAGTACTATCATCATGGCAAAACAGACATAAAATAGTTATTCGAACAATGTATAAAAATATGCTGAAAAAACAACATTTGGAAAATGTTTGAATTAATTTCACTGGAAAGCTGGTAATTTTGCCTTCTACTGTATATTTGTTTGTGGTCTTTGTAAGATGTCACATATCAAACAGGTCTGCTTGTGTTTCAGGCTCTCTTGTTATCTCAGTGTATGCTGTGTGTCCTGATATTACGGCCACTGTGACCCCCGACCTGGACAACCCTGAAGGCAAAGGTCAGACCCTCTTTAAGTTTCTGACATTGTTTTTGCTATTAGTCTAGCGGTGTGTTTATGTTCATCTCTCTCTCTTCTTTTCTCAGGTGTGCTTCTGTACGTGCCTGTGAGTGCAGGTAAATACAGGCTGGGCGGCTCTGCTTTAGCTCAGTGTTTTGGGCAGCTGGGAGACTGTAGTCCAGATATGGATCAGCCAGACAAGCTCTCCGCTTGCTTCAACACCACACAGACATTGATTCAGGGTCAGTATGTGCCTTATAAGCTGAAATTTTACTTGCTTGTGCACTAATACAACTTTGTTCATTTATAGAAGTAGTTTACTCCCAAACTCTGGTCTGCTTTTCTCAAAGTGCAAAGAGTTTTTTTTATCTCTCTGCAATCTGTTGATTTTAACTTTATATTGCAGATCGACTGCTGACTGCTGGACATGATGTCAGTGATGGGGGACTTATTTCTTGTCTGCTGGAGATGGCCTTTGCAGGGAATTATGGGATAGAAGTGGACTTGCCGTTAGAGGGCGTTGATGGTTGGTAATAGAATTTGATTTATGTTTTGGTAAAAGATAAAGCTTATGATAATCTGTTTATGTCATCCATCAAACATTTTCATTCACAACCTTATAACAGTCTGCATGGAAATACTGCAATGTGAATAAAAAGTAAAAAAATCGGTATACACGTTTGAGGAGGATCTTTTATTTATATGCTAATATAGTATTAGGTAGAACAATGTGGAGGAAAAAAATCACGTATCTCACAGTTTTGATCTGTGGAAAGGCTGAACTATGCCGTTAATGTCGAGTTCAGACTGCATGATTCTAGCCCCGATTTTGACTCACCGACAGGTTTTGAGAAATCGCAGACAAATGTCTGAAATCACAGGCAAATCGGAGCTCACTCATGTGAGTAACAATCAAACAGTGTGAACTGTGAAGACGCAATCTGAGAGAATCAATGATAAGTCGCTGACACCCATGAGATATTTGGCATGCTGAACATCTGGAGCTGTCTGAGATTTAAATCATGGCATGTGAAATGTGTTCTGACTGAAAATAACATCAGCGATTACCTACAGCCAATGAGAGAGCAGCATCTACTAGTATGGGTATCTGCAGGCCAGTGGGAGGTTGGGGAAGAAGTTAAAAGAGCTCATTTTCAGTTTATTTGGACCCAAGAAATGGAGGAAAACCTAGTGGAAATTCGGCTGGAGCACTGTGTCTGTTTGATGTGTCATCTGAGCAATATCACAACCGGCTCAATAAAGACAAGAGAGTTAGGGTTAGGGCTAAGAGAGAGAAAAGTAGGAGAAATTGCTAATTCCCTTTAAAACCCAGGTGAGCAAAATAAGTAAAATTTAAACCCCACTAAAAGCTTCTATCTCATTATGTAGTTCTTAACAAAAGATATAATACGTGACCTCGCTTTGTTTCCATGTGATATCTCGCGTGTGTTTGGTTGTGAGATGTAGTTTGCGGACGGAGACACAGTTGTTGTCGATTCTTCCTATTGTGAAGTCATGCATTGTGAAACCCCCTTTTAAACAAAGCAATGACTAAATGCTAGCCCAGATAGTCATCTGTGACACAACTACTTTGACAATCGTGCTGTCTGAACTCGGCATAATATGCGTTTGTTTGTTTTGTTTTGTTTTGTTTGTTTTTTAAAGCCACAATTGTGGTTTTAATAATGTAACAATTGTGAGATAATGCTATTATCGTTTCTCAAGTTATGTTGTTTTTTTAAATCAAATGATTCTGTTTAAACTTGGCAGCTAGTCATTTACCTATGCACATTTATAATCCTTGCTAATTTTAACTTTGCATTAACTTAGATTGTTACAAATACATAAAGCAATTAGAAATCAGTATTTCAACTGTTCAATGTAAATGAGTTTTTTTGTTTTTATTTTCTTGCTTTTGAAATGTTACTTTTTAGGAATCTAAGTTTAAGTAATTTTAGTAGACTAAACATTTATATCAGTTGGTTGTTGAGGTATCTTATTTCTGCTTGCACCTAAAAAATTATATTTTAAATGTTTAGAAATAACAACTCCAGAAATTTTAAAATCTCAGTGGAAGCTTTTTGTCACTTATTTATTTAGTTCTATATTTTATTTTATTTTTCATTGTTATTATTATTATTATTATTATTATTATTATTATTATTATTATTATTATTATTTATACATTTTTTATACAGTTTCTAGCAGAAACATAACAACTATAGACTCTTCCTCATGTCTCTCCCCTTCTTTCTCTCAGTGATGGAGGCTCTGTTTTCAGAGGAGCTTAGTCTTGTTCTGGAGGTTTGTGAGCGTAATGCATCCAGTGTCTGTCAGAGATACACAGATGCTGGCCTCTTGTGTCACAGAATTGGCACAACATCTGGTTTTGGACCCGATGCCAAGGTGAGCTGTGCTCTTTACATCTAAATGCAAATGAAGAGTTCAGATGTAAAAGTGTCATCTGACATTTTCTCCTAAACTAAGCATTTTTCTCAGCTTTGTGTCTTTTTTTCTGTTATTTTACTTTAAAGGTGGTGATAAAAACCTATTAATCTCCTTCAAAGAGACTTTACTGAAACTACACACAGAAGCCAAAAATGCCTTATAAGAAATGTTTAGATGGCGCTTCTAGGTTTTTACATCTGAATTCTTCACATACACAGATTAGTAGAGTATTGAATATAATTGATTGACTGTGTTTTAGGTCAGAGTGAGTCTGTGTGGACGGGAAGTGCTGAACGAGCGTTTGCCCACATTAAGGGCCATCTGGGAAAGCACTAGTTTTGAGCTGGAGAGACTGCAGGCTAATCCACTGTGTGTTCAAGAGGAAGAACAAGGACTTGCTTCTCGCACACAGCCGTACCTGAAGCTCACCTTTGACCCCTCTCAAACGCCGATCATTAAAGAGCTCGGTCAGACCATAGATGTGTTTCACAATCAAGTAACTTTTTTTTTTTCATTTTCCTGTATTTTAAGATGTTAAGCTTGTGCTTCAGCTACAGGGAAAGCTCGTGTTGCTGTTGTGAGAGAGGAAGGCAGTAATGGAGACAGAGAGATGTCCGCTTCTCTCTTTATGGCCGGATTTGAGGTAAAGACAAAATAAGACATATCATACACAGTGTAGACTACTGTCCCAAAATTTGGGGTCTGTGAAGTTCTTATTTTTATTTAATACATTTTTTGTTAGTTTTGTCTGCAAAAATAATTGAAGGAACACCCCAACGTTTTTGGAAATAGGCTCATTTACAAATCTTCTACAGTTAAACAGCTGAGTTTTTATTTGTTTATGCTGATTATTTAATATATTTAGACAGTCTCTGGGTTTGGCGGGAACACATTTAGCTTAGCTTAGCATAAATCATTTAATTGGATTAGACCATTAGCATCAAAAAGATTTTTGATCATTTTTCTGTTTAAAGCTTTACACTTCTGTAGTTTAATTGTATTATAAAGCGAACAGAAAATTTAAAGCTGCTATTTTCTAGGCCGATATGGGTAGGAACTATATTCTCATCCTGGCGTAATAGTTAAGGAACTTTGTCAGGCTCAATGATATTAAACAGTGACTGAAGCTAAGTATCATCGCTGCATAATTTCATTTTGCCTGCTGTGGATTCAATTATTTATGTTAAGCTAAGCTAAAGTGATCCCGCCAGACTCAGAGATTAGCTGAATAGATTCAAGAATGGTACAACTCAAGTATTTAAATCTGGGGGAGTTGTAAAATTAGTCAATTTCCACATAAAGTGGATTATTCCTTTAAATAATTAAGAAAGAGTGCATTCATTTAAAAATTACTGTACATGTATATTTATTATTTTAGCAGAGATTTACTAGTACTGTTAAATGTTTGATTTTATCGGCTAAAAAGACTTTGTTCGTAGTTTGACTTGATATCCAACTCTCTGCAGGTGTGGGACGTCACAATGCAGGACCTGTGCTCCGGCTCCACGACCCTTGACCCTTTCCGAGCAGTGGTGTTTGTGGGTGGTTTCAGCTATGCAGATGTGTTGGGTTCGGCTAAAGGTGAAAATCATACTATTGCATGTTGCAGCACTTCCTACATATCACTGCTTAACTGTATGTTAGTTCTGCTGATTAATGTTAACAAGCGTTTAGCATCGATGATCTAATATTTGTGAGGCAGCTCATTTAGCCCTGCACATCAAAATCAAGTGCTTTTTTTCTTCAGTTAATGATCAGATGTTTATTTGTTTTATTTATTATTTATTTATTTTTGATAATCAGGATGGGCTGCCACAGTGACCTTTAACAATAGGGCTCGTGAGGAGTTTGAGCGTTTCCGCAAGCGTGAGGATACACTGAGTTTAGGAGTTTGCAACGGATGTCAGCTGCTGGCTTTACTCGGCTGGGTGGGTGAAAGAGAGGATGGAGGTAAGAGATTAAACTTTCAATCCTAACACTGTTATTGTGTATTATTGGTTAATGACAGTCACAAACTAAACTATGTTTTCTTTTCTGTGTTTTTTGTTTATTTGATTTTTCCAATAAATTTAGTTTTTTTTTTATTGTAATAAATTATATATTTTTTCATATTCATTTCCATTGCAGGTTCTGATGTTACTCTGACCCATAACAAGTCTGGTCGGTTTGAATCGAGGTTTGTGAGTGTGGGTATCCTGCCCTCTCCAGCCATCATGCTCAAGGGAATGGAAGGCTCTGCTCTGGGTGTCTGGGTCGCACATGGAGAAGGTTAAAAATCTGTCCATTGTAAAACTGTACTCACCAAGTGTATTTACTACTACAGGGTATCAGCAGGGCCTTAAAATGTCTTAAATTCATGGAATTATTGTCCTGTAGGTTGTTTTAATTTCCCTATGTCCATTTAAAGCTGCAGTCGGGATAACACCCATCCAATTATCAACAATTCATCTAAAAATATATTTTTAAAAACTCAATTTGTTTTTATCTTTTTTTTACCAATATTTATGGATTTATAGACCATATATTGTGAGGACACTGACCTGGACAGGCTGTTGTGCATACAGTACATTATATATATATATATATATATATATATATATATATATATATATATATATATATATATATATATATATATATAGGTTTTTTTAGGAAAGGTTATGTTAAAATATGTGTATCTATACGACTAGGGTTTGCCTATTTTGATGCATTATTTAAAATGTGTAGCTAAGAACTGAATAATTAGAGTTTTGATGGGGCAAATAGAAAACTGGGTCTGGGTTAAAAGGCAGAAAAATTGTTTTATTATTTTTTCTGTTTTAAATTGCCTGTTATTTTATGTTAAAATGTTTGGAAATGTTTTGCATTATCTTAAAATTACCCTCTGTGTCTCTGGGTTTTTTATATATATATTTAAAAATTGTTTAGGAGAGATTCCAAAATGTCATAAAAAAGTTGCCACATTCATATTAAAAATATTTTTATATTAAAAAAATAATCAGAAATGAACTGTCCAATACATAACTTGGATTGCCCTTAAATACTTTTGTCTAAAAAAAATTATTCTTTTAGGTTGGTCCAGGTAAAGTAATACAGTGACCAGTGCAGTAAGCCAAATTGGTGATTGGCTTACAGTACTGTATGTAGGATTATGTAGGAGAAACTTATTCTGTACCCTAATTTTCATAATAATATAAATGAACACACGTCGCTGCTAATACGCAATAAAGTGTATGTTGTTTGTTCTGCAGGTCTGATGCAGTTTCGTTCTCCTGAGGCTCAACAGAAGCTAATTGGCTCCTCTCTGGCTCCTCTGCGTTATGTGGATGACTCGGGCAATCCGACTGAAATCTATCCCATTAACCCCAATGGCTCTGCGCAAGGTGTTGCAGGAATCTGCTCGGCAGATGGACGCCACCTGGCCATGATGCCCCACCCAGAGCGGGCAGTGCTGAGTTGGCAGTGGGCTTGGGCTCCTCAGCACCTCAGGGGCTCATTGGAGCCATCACCGTGGCTTAGCATGTTCCGAAACGCAGCAGCCTGGTGCCAGAATTCATAGAGATTTGATACCGTACAATTCTGATAGATGACCAAACAAATAGTCTGACTAGTAAACTTTTGAAATGGATAGTTTACACAAAATTGACAATTCTGCCATCTTTTACTCAGATTCCACTAGTTTTCTTGTCATCTCTTTTCTTCTGTTGAATGCATAAAATATCTCTAGAGTATTGGAAACCTGTAACCATTGTCCTTTATAGAAATTGTATTCCTGCTATGGATGTCAGTAGCTACCCAAAATGTATTGTTGTTTAACAGAAAAAAGAAACTTATAAATATGTGGAACCACTTAAAGGGATAGTTCACCCAAAACTGAAGATTCTTTCATTTATTTTTCATTTTTATTTTTTTATATTTTCCCTTGATCTCTTCCAAACCTGTCCCAGTATTTTTAGTTCTGTTAAACACAAAAAAAGATAATTTAAAGAAAGCTAAAACCCTGTCACCCTTGACTTCAATGTTTTTTTTTCAGAAGCTTTTTTCAGAAGACTTCAAAAGTCAGTGGTTACTGGTTTTCAGTTTTTCAAAATATCTTTTGTGTTCAACCAAAGAAAAGTAAAACTTCTAAAGGTTTGGAACCACTTGAAGGTGAACTAATAGTCATATGCAAGTACATTAAGATTTTTTGGCTGAAGTTTCTCTTTAAAGGTTAGTATATATGGTAAGTCCATTTTCATTTTTAGATGAACTATCTCTTTAAGACCCGTGGCATCTATAGTATAACGTCTATAGGAGTTTTTTTTTTTTTTTTTTTTTTTGGACAAACCTTTTGAATTGATTTCTGAATATTTTTAGAATACAAATCAGGTTTGTTGTACTTTGAATTAACATGTACGTTGACTTAACATGTCAGAAATTATACTCGAGTATTAGTGGTAGATTTTTCAAAATATACATTCCAAAAATGATTAAAAGTGCTCTGAATGAAAAAAAATGCATTTATAAAACATTACTCTTCAATTTTGCATTTCATTACTAAGGGAAAAACTCCATAAATTCCGAAACATACATTCCAGAAATAATTCAATTTGCACTGCTTTCTTTAAATGAAACACTAAAATACTAAAACTAAATAGTTGATTAACTATCAATAATTACATTCCACTGAAAACAAAATGCATTAAATAAATTCTTGCTTACACAATGTGTCTCAGTGTCGTTTTTATGTATGTGCATAAAATATAAGCTTCAATTGTAAACGACATATAAATATTTATTAGAAACGTGTATATTTACAAAAAAACATTTACATTTATCACACACCACACATCCTGTCTTTAATAAATGTCCTTAAATGTATTAAAGCATTTGAACTCCTCTCATCTTGAGTGCTGTATGTCCATTTCAGACTCATTATTGAAAATCCATGTGCAGCCAGACCAAAGTGCAGCAGGTCATAACACTGTTAACCTTTGCCAACAAGGTTGATTAGCGTCATTTGAACATGCTAGCGTGCGCATTATCACAACGTGTCGGTCAGCACACCCTGAGTGATGGAGTGCGTTCGGGTCCTCTGGGGCCCCATCTGTTGATTGATGTTAATAATGCAAATAAGCAGAAGAAAGACCACAACGAAATCATCCAGGATGCCCAACGCACTGCTCAGCGGCCCGGGAAGAGCCGCCAACGACATGGCGGCGCCAAATCCACACACTGCCACCCGCAGGAGAAACAGCCACACCAAGCCACCCATATTGCCCAGCCCCCTGACCAGAACCAGCAGGAAGAGCGGAGCATCACACAGGTAATCTTTCACCTACAAAGAGCAAAAGATGACTGTCATTTTGGAGCTTATGACAGAGCAGGTATGACAATAAGAACAAGTCTGTTGGCAACTGTGCCCTGCGCTTTCACTACCTTTGATGAGCAGAAATAGGGTGTGGTGATGTGATAGTCCAGAGCAAATAAAACTATAATCTCGCTCTGCTGAGAAGTAATCATGGTAGTTGCATTGATTTTACAGGGAGTGGCATGAGCTTGTCAACAATGAAGGTTATATAATGACTTTATTATTATTTATTCACCCTCATGTGGTTCCAAAGCTTTATGGGATTCCATAATCCAATAAACACAATAGAAGACGTTCTGAAGAACATTGGAAACCATTGACATCTATAGTAGGTGAAATGAATAATGTGGAAGTCAATGGTTACTAGTTCACCACATAAACACTATGTATCTTTTGTGTTAAACAGAACAGACAAAATCCTATAAGTTTGGAAAAAGTGGAGTAAATTGTATTTCATTTTTGGGTGAACTTTCCCTTCAACGGTCTTCAATTGAGCATGTAATGTAATTGAGCAAGAAATCTGAGCATGTGCAGTGCAAACAATGTTAATCATGGTTTGATTACTTGGATGGATCAGAGCTACAGCTTCATTGTTTATAAAATTGATTCTTTTTTTTTTCGGCTTAGTCACTTTATTAATCTAGGGTTGCCACAACAGAATGAACTGCCAACTTATCCAGCATATGTTTTACGCAGTAGATGGCCTTTCAGCTGCAACCCAACACTGGGAACCATCCATACACATTCATTCGCACACATACACTAAACAATTTTAGCTTTCCCAATTCACCTATACCAAATGTTTTTGGACTTGTGGGGGGAAGCCGGAGCCCCCAGAGAAAACCCACGTGAACATAGGGAGAACATGCAAACTCCACACAGAAATGTCAACTGACCCAGTCGAGCCTTGAACCAGCGACCTTCTTGCTGTGAGGCGGTTGTGCTAGCCACTGCGCCACCTTGCTGCCCTTCTAAGATTTACTTTGCCAAAATTGGACTGATTTTTAGAAAAAAAGCAGGGTTTACCTGTCTTGGTGCGCCAGAGTATCGCTTGTTATAGTCTCTCACGTGTCTCAGCACTTCTCTCTCTTTACAGTCAGTCTTGTTCTCACTGAAAAGGTGGCACATCTTTTTCACCTGAATATACAAAATAAAAAAACAAACTCCATTAAGAAAATGTATTTAGCAAATATTTTAAGAATAAAAATCCAATATGTGCATTTTTGCACTGAAAATTTTCCATTGATGAATCACTATACTGTAAATTCACTACTTTCCTAGATTTATTAGAGGTTGTCACAGGGGAATGATCCACTTATTACTTTTGCACATGTTTTTATGTGGCAGATGCCCTTCCAGCTGAAACCCATCATCGAAAGTACACTAACTCGTGAACCACCAGTGTTGGGAAACACGCATATACTCTCATTTACACACACACTCACACACTAGCCAATTTAGTTTATCCAATTCACCTATACGCATGTACCCAGACCACCCAGAGGAAAACCACACAGACAAACTGAACACATTTTCTTTACACAGAAAGCTCTTTTGGTCCAGCCAGGAATCAAACAAGGGGCCTTATTGCAGTGAGGCGACAGTTCTAACCACTGAGCCACTGTACTACTCTGGCTGTAATTTCATTATGGTCTATTTGAATTGTATTATTCAAAATATACGAATTTGAAACAGGGGCATGACAAACACCGTCAAAGCACTAAATAAATTACAACTCATAAAAATGTTTCTCCATCATGTCTGTTGTTTTGTATATGTGTGAAAATAAGTGCAATATAACAAATATACACAGTATATCGTCACCTTGTAATTATAAGATTTTATCTGCGTTCTGAATGATTTTGAGATATTGAGCTTCAAAGTTTTTTCATGATTATAATATTTCCATATAGCAAACAGTATGTGTGTAACATTTGTTTTTTAAATAAAGTCTTAAAATGTAGACAACTTGTGAAAAACATCCCATAATGTAAATTAGTTGCCATTTAATAAGAATATGTTCTTAATTTTGACAAAAATGTCAAATAGAACCTTATAGTTCTAAGGTGAAGATATATAATATAAACTTATATTAACAAATAATATTTCTTTACATTTAATTATATATATATATATATATATATATATATATATATATATATATATATATATATATATATATATATATATATATATACACACACACACACACACATTTACACATATATTTATTTATATAGATATACATTTCATAGTTATACTTCTGTCTTCTGTCACTGCTGTGTATATATGTGTATGACAAGTATGATGCGTATATTATGTGTGTGTCTTCACTGTGGACGGCAATGTAAGACTTTCAATGCACAGGAAAACCTGTTTCCTTACTGTGCACATGACAATAAACAAATAGAATTGAATTATTAATCTTTATTAAAACACTTAAATTGTCTTATTTTAAAACCTCAACTGATTATGATATGTCAATTCAAAGATGGATAAACAGAACAATACAACTATCAATAGAAGGAACGATCAATTTAATGACAGATAGATAGATAGACAAAGTGGAATAGAGAATAAATAGACAGACAGACAGATGATGGTTGGATGGATGGATGGATAGATTCTTACCGTCTGTCTGCACAGAGGGCAGCTGATGGCATCTAACCAGGAGCAGTGTTTCCAGTAGGATATCAAACATGGTGCTACAGAGTGAAACAGATAGAAGATTAATAAACTTGGCAGACAGAAATGTGAGTATTCATTATGTACAATAGTTTATATTTAACCCCTTTCACCTGAAGGATGTCTTAAATTTCCCACCATATTGACTGTGATAATTCTGTAATGCAGTTTGTATTCTCATAATGTTAACACTACACCCGAAATATGATTGTTGCTATTTATTTTTATTTTTTAATTCAGGTAAATTAGTTTTATTTATATTGATGCAAGAATTTAAATGTTTATGAATTAAATTAATGAACCTGGTTCACTATTTCTAGATATTTTGTAGTTCATGTGATGAAGGAAGAATTATCAGAACCACAGATATTAAACCTGTTCTCCCCTTGTCTGCATGGGTGCTCCCCCACAGTCCAAAGATATGTGGTATAGGTGAATTGGATTAACTAAATTGGGCATCCACTGTTGGAATAGATGGTGGTTCATTCCACTGTGACGACTGCTAATAAATAAGGGACTAAGCCGAAGGAAATTCGATATTAAACCACTCACTAAATATACATAGTATCTGTTATTTCAGTCTGTTTATTGTGCTCATTTAACATGTATAACGCACAATCATTACAGTGTGTTTGTACAACAGTTTAGAATTTTGCATTTTCTATTAACAGTACATATTTCCATCAGTGTTTATTCACATGATCTGGGTCAGATGAGAAGTACAGCAGTCATAACTATGGTAACAGTATAATATTAAATTCCCTATACAACAGTGCAGAGTCAGATAAGCACCATCTGCTCTCTCACAGCAGACCAGACTCTCCTATCTCGAGTCATCCAGCATGTTATGATTGGTGTTGTGAAACGCTGAGATCTAAGGTATGATATGCAGTAGAAATAATGCTGTAGCATATTTTTTTGTTGTAGTGATATATTGTTTAGTAAATTGGCACACACCACAGAATAGATGCCCACAGTTGGTCTCAACAGGATAGGTGGCCATCTGTAAACACACAGGGCAATGGACGTCCCTGCTGCCTGCTGGTAACCACATCTTAGGCAGATCCTGCATGTATGACATTAAAAGATCATTAATGACATTATTTTCACATATAATCATACTAAATGTATTAGTAAATATTTTTATTTTGCATTTACAGGGTATTAAATGAAATTGGAATTATTAATTTTCAAAATTCTATATTTTTTATTTATTCAATTGTCTATTTATGCAAATTATATTTTTGTATTTTTACTGTTTTCTGGACTTTAGGAAATTAAGTTTTTGGGAACTCTATGAAATGTTTTATTGTGTTTTAAAAATTGTTTCTAAAAAGAAAATAAGGGTTTTAACAATTTAGTCTTATTATTTTTATAATACCTATTATTATTTTATATTACCTAGTATTTCTGTCACAGTTTCTAAAACCAACCTTTGATTTTGATGGATTGTAATGAAGAGTGTGTGTTACTGTCTGTACATTTTATAACAAGAGTGAAATTCTGGTGAAGTGATTTAAAATGTCGATTAAAACAATTATATGAATTTTTAGTAGTTGTGTAGTTGTAAAATGTGTTTGTGCTATAAATATTTATTTTTTTGTTTGTTTATTTGTTTATTAATGAGGACATTGTCCATTTCCAATTGAAAACGTTGAATACGAGTGAAAATATTTTTAAAAAATCTATATAAATAAACAATAACCTATGTATGGCAATGGTTACTGGTTTTCACCTTTCTTTAACATATCTTCTTTTGTTTGTTTAATTATTTATTTATGTATTAATGAGGACGTTGTCCATTTCCCTTTTTTTAAAAAAAAGTCTTAAAAATCATACAGAATTACTCTTTTTTTTTTTTTTTTTGAAAGTAATACTGCACTAGGGATAGGCTCGGGTTGGGTTTCCCCATAGAAAATATAGTTTATATAGTATTAAATCAATAGAAACCTATGGTACGTCCTCACAATACACAAAAAGAAAAGTGTGTGTATGAGTATGTGTGTGCGCATTTTTACCTCTCTGTTGTTCACGTGAGCATTGTGTGGACAACCTTGACTCCTTATCTTTGGTAATAGCGAGGACCTTCAACAGAGAGAGATGATGACATTAATATACAGCTTATGTTCGCCTACTGTACCAAACTAAGAAACCTCATATAAGAATGAAGGACTGAGCTCATAGTAATTAAAGGTGCATCCCTGAATTAGAGTGAAAATCTAGGCAATCATCAATAAACTAAAACCGAATTTATCCTATAATATTTGCTTCACTGGTGTCATGGTGGTGCAGTGGGTAGCACAATCGCCTCACAGCAAGAAGTTCGCTGGTTCTAGCCCCGGCTGGTTCAGTTGGGATTTCTGGCATTTAATACTAAACACCTTATTACATAGATTTAATAATTTAGCAGACACTTGTGAATTACAAATGAGGATAAGAGAAGATCAAATCATCACAGAGCCGCAAGTTTAAGTTTATTAGGAAGCTTTTTATTATTATTGAGTACATATGTTACATGAAGGCATAGAAAACAAATGAAGTAACCACTTGGGTCACTTAATAAAATAAGAAAATGTTCTACGTATTTAAAAAAATCTACTTATTTTTTTCTGTGTGAAGTTTGCATGTTCTCAACATGTTGGTGTGGGTTTTCTCCATAGTGTTGTGTGTCAATGCAAGAGTGTATGGATGTTTCCCAGTATTGGGTTGCAGCTGAAAGGGCATCTGCTGTGTAAAACATATACTGGATAAGTTGGCAGTTCATTCCACTGTGACGACGCCTGATTAATAAAGGGACTAAGCCGAAAAGAAAATGAATGAATGATTATTTGCTCAACTTGTATTCAGTGATTAGTCAGGATAGTATGACTAGGTGCACGTCTACCAAGATAACACAACACCACACGGAACCTTATCAGTATTTAGAAATAAATGTAATAAAGTAGCAACAATTAAATCTAGAAATCCTGCATTCAAGATATCCTGATATAACTGTCTGGGAATTTGAGAGGTGTTAGAGTTTAAAATAAAGTAACATTATGGTTCTGAAGAGCGTGTTGAACTCTGTGATGTCATGTGGCAGTTTGTCTGTGCGGTGTATTTTATTGCTTCAACATACCATAACACAAATGACCTGCAGTCTCAGGACACAACACTTCATCATAACACATGTGTACATGTAGAAAGAAATAAGTAGAAATGTAGAAAATGATGTTCCCTAAGTATAACACATAAAGTGCAACTTACTAATTTCTGGCCAGTACTTGCTCAATTATATAACAAAATAAACAGTCGTACTACATTTGATTACATTTAAATTGAATGTCTTGCTGACAAATGCATTATAACACAGTGTTGGATTGTTTCAAATAATATTTGGGTCAAATATGGACAAACGGTTTAAGGTTTAGATCAAATAAAAAGCTAAATACATTTTAAAATGTGGCATAGTGGCAAAGAATAACGATTTAAAATAACAATTAGTATCTAATGGCTTAAAACAGTATTTCTCAACCACGTTCCTGGAGGACCACCAACACTGCATGTTTTGGATGTCTCCTTTGTTTTTCACACCTTTATTACAGGTCTTACAGTCTCTGCTAATGAGCTGATGATTTAAATCTGCTGTGTTTGATTAAGGAGACTTGGAAAATGTGCAGTGCTGGTGGAACATGGTTGAGAAACACTGGCTTAGAGGGATAGTTCAACCAAAATTGAAAATTTGATCTCTGTAAGCGGTTCCAAACATTTTTGTATTCTTCTGTTTACCACAAGTATAATATTTAGAAAAAATCTATAGATAAAGAATAATCTATGTATGTTATAATCAATGGTTACTGGTTTTCAACGTTTTTCAAAATACCTACATTTGTGGAAAAAGTCAAACATGTGGAACCACTTGATTGAGGATGAGTAAAGATGACAGAACAACTCTAAATAGCTTTTTAATATATTTTCTAAAGATTCTTGCTCTATATATGTCTGACATGCTTTTATTTAATCTAAACTGTAGTTACACTGGATTACATTCCATGACAGATTTAAATAAATCATGATAAAAATGTAAAAAGGGACATTCTAACACTTCAATTACACTGTAAAAAAAGGTTTCTGAAAAGATGAATGGGCACAGATACAGTGCTCAGCATAATTGAGTACACCCTGTTTCGAAAATAAATATTTTTCTCCAATTCTAAGTGAATATAGTCAATGTATTTTGTTGCATTTAAACAAAACTAATTTATTAAACAGGTCTTATATTTATTAAAATAATATTGTAGTCACCAAACATATTTAGAAATTAAAAGTTAATTTAATTAAATTCAAAAATATTGCACAAAAAATATAACAACCTACAAAAAATTTAACTGAAATTTTCTATATTTTTGCTTCTCTTGGTTTTTCCTCTTTTTTTAAATTTGTATTTAATATTTTTCTAGAACATATATATTTGGGTGTGCTAGTTAACTACTATCATAAGTTATTTTGTTAGATAAGCTCCAGATTTGGCTTCAGTACTGACTAATCTAATGTATATGCACAAATATAATATTGTATAGCTTCCTATTAAAAATATGAACTTAAAAGACAGATTTGTGAGAGGTGTACTTATATATGCTGAGCACTGTATGTGCGTTAAATAAAATAAAGACTCACCTGTTGCTGTAGCTATGATTAGTGTGCATGTTTTCTGTTCGTAATTCAGTTGCTTTTCTCTGGTGGACGGCACTGACTGGAATACTTTCTCACTGCTTCCCTGTACACAGTAAATTTGACAGACGGTTAATCATTAACCAGGGATTCGGTCCCAAATCAGCCCCTTTTTTCAGAGATTAGGTAACTACACCGATTTCCTGTATATTTTCGTAATTTAGGAAAGATACTTGCAATCTTACTGCCCTCTATAATTTAGCCGTGCATGTAAATATGTATTGATTTAGATCATATGTGCGTAATAAAGCTAGGGTTCGTCCTCAATGTTGTATTTTTGTCATGTGACCACTATAGACACAGATTGAGAGTCTCCACCTACTTTAAGTAGGTTAGGTGTCTGGTTGACCTGTCAATGGTTTACCCTAAGTTTACACAATCTAAGATGCTGTCCCATATGGATTACCAAAGAAATGCATTTCACTGAGATGATCATTAAGTTAAAATAAAGCTAAAGCTGCTTTAATACTATACACCTTCTTACATACATTTAATAATTTAGCAGACACTTGTGAATTACAAATGAGCATAAAAGAAGATTAAATAATCAGAGAGCAGCAAGTTTAAGTTTATTAGGAAGGTTTTTGTTTATCATTATTGAGTACATCTGTTACATGTAGGCATAGAAAACAAATTAAGTAACCACTTGGGTCATTTAATAAAATAAAATAAAAGTGTTCTACTTATTTAAAACAAGCTAAATCAATAACAATTGAGTATTGTTTGACAGCGTAATTGTTTTATGTTCAATCCACTTAAATTTGTAAAAAGCAGTTAACCTAGGCCATTTGTGTTGAGACAACATGAAGGAATTGTGCGAAACCTTGCATTTTTTACATTGTTCTTAGTATTTCTGGATTTATGAGTTAAATATATGCAACTAAAACTTAATTGTTGTTTTGATCTGCATACTACTAATGATATCTTTTTCAAAATGTTAAAAAAATTGTAACTAAGCATTTTTTAGTTTGTGTAAAAGCATCGAATTTTTGATTAACTGGGGCATTTAAGGCTGTTTTAGCATCCATAAGGTCTTGATTGAAAGAAGTTGTGCCACCTGTTTTGGAGGCTTGCCTCAGCTTCTCTGGGTGTCGAGTTTTGCCGTGGTAATCATTTTATGGCTTTATCAAGGCTTAATGTGTTCTTGAATCTCAAGTTGAGAACACTTTTGACGATTAATAATTAAATCTGAGGTTTAATTATTTTAAATTATTTGGAGGATTGTTGGAGCTTAGACGTGAGCAGCCTTCTCCATGCACCCCATATCCGGAAGTCAACTTAAAGAAATTTTCATAAAATTTTTACTTGTTTATATAAATTTTTAGACAACACATTCCAATATTTTAACTTCAGAATGATTAACATGGTGGAATAACTTTGATTTTCTTTTTTTTTTTAAATGGAAACATTTTCATTTTCTGAAAAAATAACTGCTCTAAAGGACAATATATACAGTTTAAGTCAGAATTATTAGCCCCCCTGAATTAGTAGCCCCCCTGTTTATTTTTGATGCAGAGAAGATTTTTGTCAGCACATTTCTGAATATAGTTTTAAAAACCCATCTCTAATAACTGATTTATTTAATCTTTGCCATGATGACAGTAAATAATAATTGACTAGATATTTTTTAAAGACACTTCTATACAGCTTAAAGTGACATTTAAAGGTTTAACTAGGTTAATTCATTCTATAATTATAGAATGAAAGGCAAGTCATTCTATAATTATGGTTTGTTCTGTAGACTATAGAAAAAATATAGCTAAAAGGGGCTAATAATTTTGTCCCTAAAATGGCTTTTAAAAAATTAAAAACTGCTTTTATTCTAGCCGACATAAAACAAATAAGACTTTCTCCAGAAGAAAAAACATTATCAGACACACTGTGAAAATTTCCTTGCTCTGTTAAACATGATTTGGAAAATATTTAAAAAATAAAATAAAATTCAAAGAGGGGCTAATATTTCTGACTTCAACTGTATATTTTTTAATTAGTAAGAATTATCACACCCTATTAAAGAATAAAACAAATATGAAACTTTTCCTCAAACTCACACAGTACCTAATAAATTCAAAGAAAGGGTGTTTTTCTTTATTTTTTTAGTTTAAGTGCTATTTATTTACATGCTTCTTAAAGAAATATATTCTCATTTGATGAAATTAACTCGTGCAACTTAGTTACCCCACTTCCAAATTGGCTCCATACCACATCAGTGTATTTGCAAGGCTAAAAATTTCCCAAGTTAATATTTACATTTCTCGTTTTTGCCTAAACCGCAAGGTCACAGTGGCTGAAAATAGCAACAGCTAAAGGCATATAGGGGTGGGTTAAAAGCCCAGATCAGAAACTGAAGGCTGTCATGGTTTAAAGTCCAGTGTCATGTCATTCAAGCATTACTACTACCACCCTAAAAGGCTGTCCCGTATATATCATGTCCAACAGAAATGAAGCTGTATATCTGACTTATTTCTGAGTTGAAGTGAATTGTTTTAATTTAACCAGATATTTGTCATTTCTGGTGGAATGAATCTAGGGATCAGTTATGAAAAGTTTAAAGCATGTTGAATTGTGAAAATACAGTATCTGCAATAAAGGCACTAATAATGTGTGATGTTTTATGAAGTAATCCCACATGTGTTCATCCCATACTAGGTAAACGCATGTGACTTCACAACACAATCTTATCTCATGTTTTTATTGCAAAAAGATAATAAAGGGTTTGAGAGACGTCAATGTTTAATGTTTAACAACAGAAAAAAAATATCTGTAAATCCTCATTAAGTATATACTCTCTTCCTTATAATACTTTATTATTTTATAGTTTTTTTAGACACTTTTATTAATAGCGACTTACAAATATTAATATAATATAATATAATATAATATAATATAATATAATATAATATAATATAATATAATATAATATAATATAATATAATATAATATAATATAATATAATATAATATATTCATTTTCCTTTGGCCTAGTCTCTTTATTCATTAGGGGTCGCCACAGCGGAATAAACTGCCAACTTATTCAGCATATGTTTTACATGGCGGATGCCCTTCCAGCTGCAACCCAGTAATGAGAAACACTCTCATACACTCTCATTTACACACAAACACTACTGCCGATTTAGCTTTTTCAATTCACCTATATGTCTTTGAACTGTGGGGGTAAACCGGAGCACCCAGAGGAAACCCACGCCAACACGGGGAGAACATGCAAACTCCACACAGAAATGCTTGCTATAAGCTGCCAATGCTAACCAATATATGATTATATTATATTATATTATATTATATTATATTATATTATATTATATTATATTATATTATATTGTATTATATTGTATTGTATTATATTATATTATATTATATTATATTATATTGTATTATATTGTATTATATTGTATTGTATTATATTATATTGTATTATATTATATTATATTATATTATATTATATTATATTATATTATATTATATTATATTATATTATATTATATTATATTATATTATATTGTATTATATTATATTGTATTATATTATATTATATTGTATTGTATTATATTATATTATATTATATTATATTATATTATATTATATTATATTATATGCATGATTAAGATTGTATGGGCAAATAAAAAAATAGTTTGTTGTCACAAATAAAAAATGCAACTTTAGCAGCAAGATTATAGACTGATTATTCAAATTTATTAGATTTAATAAACCAGAACAAATGTAATGTGAACAAATGGTTTTTTTTATTATTATTTCAGTCATTTAAACTACTTTTTCAGTTTTACCTAAATGAACATTGCAAAAAATATAATTTAAGATATTTTAATTTATTATATCTAATTTAGGATATAATTTAGGATATGTTATAGCTTACTGGATATAACAATTTGCAATGTGTGTTAAAAGAACCAAATCTGACCTAAATAAGCATTTAAAATTATAATGGAAATTATATTGGTTAACATTCATGATTTAGGGGCGACACAATGGCTCAGTGGTTAGGACTGTCGCTTCACAGCAAGAAGGTCACTGGTTCGAGCATCAGCAGGGTCTGTTGGCTTTTCTGTGTCGAGTTTGCATGTTCTCCTTATGTTCGTGTGGCTTTCCCACAGTCCAAAGACATGCGCTATAGGTGAATTAAATTAGCTAAATTGGTCGTAGTGTATGTGTGTGAATGTGAGAGTGCATAGGTGTTTCCCAGTACAGGGCTGCAGCTGGAAGGGCATCCGCTGTGTAAAACATATGCTGGATAAGTCTGTGGTTCATTCCGCTGTGGCAACCCCTGATGAATAAAGAGAGTAAGCCAAAGAAAAATGAACAAATTAATGAATTAATATTTACACAAATTAAATGTAGGTGTTCTGGTGTTGCTCTTCTTCCTACATTATATCTATGGTTTCTTACCTGGTCCAGAATGATCATTATGCTGAAAGCTGGCCATTAGCAGGATGACCAATAACAACCAAATTACATACTGGCCGCCTTTGATGTAATGTGTAGAATTTTATTAAACACAACCTTTTCCACTGCCTATATTCATTTACCACGGCGTGGGACACCAAGCGAGTGCAGCAAATAGGCGAGTCACATTCACTGCTGCTGTGCCAGTCTCTTCAGCTCTCTGCTCTGATTGGCTGCCCGATGTCCTGAACTCAAGACACCATTGGTGTTTTATTTCTTGCCGTTGCGCTCTTGATCCCATCAATCCCCCAATCCTTATCAGCGGCGTCGATTCACGAAGAGTTTACGCTTCAGTTAGTGCGTAGAATCAATAGACGCGAACGCAGCGCTAGGCAAATACACTCGCAGGTGGGAAGTGGAAGCGCATTGTTGACAGGTGGACGGAGATATTTGCCCGACACACTGAGGAGAGATGGATTTAAAGAAAACGGTGCTGTGCGAGAGCCTGATTATTTGGGTAAGACGCTGGCTTCTCTAAAAATCAGCAGAACCAGGAATTGTTCATTTATTTTCTTTCATCAGCTTCAGGACGTTAGCGTTACCTGTCGCAGGTAGTCGTTTCCTCCTGGCATGGTGTAAAAATACCGGAAATAAGACATTTATATGTGCGCTCGTTCACGTAAGCCAAACGCGGGTTGCGGTGCATGATTACAACATTAACTAATGCTCTCGTTCCTCCTTGCGTCTCCCGCACAGCACGTGACACCGATATATGTATACAAAAATGAGGACAAACGAGCCTCTGAATGCGGTTAGACATGTAAACAACACGAACAGTCGCAGCCAACTTCCTCATCCGATTTAGACGTCTAATCAGGTTAGCTGGAGTATTTGTGGAATGTTACTTATGCAATCAGATATCCCCAGTCTCTGTTTAATATGATGTCGCCTTGATTTTTGACACTGCGCTGTGTGATCGCATACGGCGCGTGCACGCGATTGTCTGCACTTGGCTCTGGTCCAGGGCTGTGTTTACATCGCGCTTGCATCAGGGCCCCTTCTGTATAGTTCTCAGGAAGACTTGGAAGATGCAAAACACGGTTATCGTCGCCGATTCATGCTCTCAGTCATGCTAGTGTCTCCGTGTTGCAATTTTTTTATTCATTTTGCTGTAATAAATGACAAATTCTTGCTTATAATTGTTGTAATACCTAAATGAAGGACGCTTTTAAGGAGTAGTTCACTCAAAAATGTACATTTACTCACCCTCATGTGATTTGAACCCTTTATGAGTTTTTTTATTCTGTTGAACACTAAGATAGTTTGAAGAAATCAAATCCAATCTGTCTGTAACTGCCTCAATTCTCTCAGAGTGTGTGGAGGAAATTAAAACGTGGATGCATCAAAACTTTCTAAAATTGTATTGTTCTAAAACAGAGGTACTCCTTTTTGGCACACCAGCAGCCACTTTCAAAGACAGCGAGTTTTAATTGAATCTGGATAATGCTGTCATCTGTCCATCTACCAAAGCACGTAACCTTGGTGTCTTTTTTTTACACTCATTTATCACTAGACTCGCACATCAAAAGCATTACAAAATCTGCTTTTCATCATCTGAGGAACACTGCAAAAATTAGTTCCTACCTCACTCAACCAGATGCTGAAAGACTCATTCATGCATTTGGCACTTCCAGGATTGACTACTGCCATGCACTCTTTGTTGGTTTACCTGCTAAATTAATCAAACGGCTACAGTACATTCAAAACTCAGCAGCACGCATTCTCACACACACTCCACCACGACAGCACATTACTGGTGTGCTTTATAGCTTGCATTGGCTCCCAGTTCAGTTCCGTATCATTTTTAAAACACTCACAATTGCAAATAAAGCTCTACATGATACCGCTCCTTCCTATATCTGTGCCACTTTCTCGCTCCCTACGGTCTACTGATACTCTCACCCTTCAACAACCACCCTGTAGACTAAAATCAATGGGAGAGAGAGCTTTCTCTGTTGTTTCACCTAGGTTATGGAATACTCTCCCTTACTCTCTAAGAAATGCTTTCACGCTAGCTAATTTTAAGAAGATGCTAAAAACAAATCTTTTTCAAGACTGCATTTTTAGATTCTTGATTATTCCGTGTTTATATTTTAGAGCTTTTTTTAAATGTATACTTGTATTTTATTGCATGTTTAATTTCTCTGTGGTTGGAGAAAAGTGCATTCTAAATACAATTTATTATTATTATTATTAATATTATTAATATTAAAGTTGAAAACCTGTAACCATGCATTGAGTTCCATATTAGAGGGAAAATATGCAAGTCAATGGCTGCCGGTTTCTAGCTTTCTTCAGAATATCTTCTTTTATGCTCAATAGCTGAAAGAAAGTAAAAATAATTTTGGATCAATTAAAGGGTGTTTAAATGGTGACCGAATTTTTATTTTTGTGTGAAATGATCTCTTTAAATGCATCGTGAGCTGAGATTTATTCTTTAGTCAGACCTACTAACTCAAAATTAACTCAGTTTATGTGTAAAGTATTATTAATTAAAATATTATTATAACCTGTATTTTACTAGAAAAAGCACATTTGCATGAGCACCCTGGCCAAGATTAGACTAAAACAGCCCATAAGGGTTTAAAAATGCAATGCTGTTCAAAGATCTTCTGGTAAATGTGACATAATCATTAACATTGCGATGGAGCTTTTTGTTAATGTTTACACTGTAGTATTGCTTTTTAGTGAGACTTCTGTATGCGTTCAAATTTTATTGATGTAAGAAACACTTTTAATACATAACCTATTAAATATTTATGTTAAATGACCTATACTATGGTTCTGCCTCATTCACATTCTTTTATTGTACAAGCAATGCAGTTTCTAAAATAGAGGATTGAGAGGTCACGAGACAATGATAATCAATGAAAGCAGATGTGAAAATGAAATAAATAAATATGAAAGTAAAATAAGTCAGCCTTATAGAATAAATCGCTTGAATGAATTGCTGAATAGCCAACACAATCTCACAGCAATTTGTAACTTTTTGATTTAGTGGCTAATTTGTAACTCGTACAATCTAATTTGTACAATTTAGTACAATTTGCTCATCACCCAATGACCGTTGGGTTTAGGGGCGGGGTTGGGTGCCATGCCTCCTTTTTAAAATCGTACATTTTCGTACGACTGAACACTTAGCCACTAAACTGACAAAATGTAAAATACTTACGTTTTCTTGTAAGATCAGGCTGAAATAACTCATTAAGACCAAGACTTACCTATGGTGATTTTTATGTCTTATGTATTTATTTTCCCATGACATGCCTAAACAAGCCAGGGTATCTATCTGCACTTAAAAACAATCATTTCCTTTAATTATCATTATCAAAAAATCAATGGCACTATCAAAAAACCTAAACTTAAAGGCCTGCCCCTGAGCTGTGAGCAGATTTCTCAAAACATGCAAATGAGATTGTATAGACCAAACTTGGTCGTGGAGGGCCGGTGCCCTGCATAGTTAACTCCAACTTCCTCCAACAGACCTGCCTGTAAGTTTATAGTAGAGCTTGATTAGCTGGTTCAGGTTTGTTTAATTTTGGTTGTGGAACTAAAATATGCAGAACACCGGCCCTCCAGGACCAAGTTTGGACACCCCTGGTATAGACAGTCACTCACAGCAAATAGAGCAAGAACAAGGGTTACTAATTGCCAGTAGATGGTGTTGTTACATCAAGTAAATGTTTTATATTTAAAGAGTTTTGCTGAAAAAATATTCAGAAACCCCTCTAGTTGTGCACGATTGCTGAATGTATTTAATCCTTGTTTTATTGTTATTCTATCTACAGTTCCTATGTTTCATTTCTTTCCTCAGCTGCAGACATTCAAAACCGCAGCGCCCTGTAAGACTGTGGAGGATCTGACCTCAGGAGCAGCCATGTCTCAGGCTCTGCATCAGATGTGAGTGTGTCACATTTATTCACTGGCAGACTAGCTTATGTCCTAAGCAACTTTCATTCCTCGTATCTGATTTGTACAAGTCTGCCTAAGTGATCAAAACCGGTTTTACAGATCTCAGCCTCTCCCACCTTCTATTCTTTTCTTGCGCTGCTTAATGTCAGTTGTTTTATCCAGGTCAGCATTACTGATTTATATCTCAGACTGTCAGTGTATAAATATTTTATCGCTTGCGTTGGGTTGTTGCTCGTTCTCAGGGTCATATTACCTGAAATTGGGTTTTATTTGTATATTGTTTGTTTTTTGTTGTTTATGTGTAGTTGCTTTGTCGCATGGGTTTCCGAATTTTTCAGCCAGCGACCCCCAAAATAACAATACCAGTGACTCGCGACCCCCAATATTCTCTGAGGGGGTTATAAATATATAAACCTTGCACAAAGCGGTGCACACATACCAAAACGCTCAAGTCTATTCGTCGTTTCATTTTGGGGAACAACACTCGGAAAAAATCCTCCATGTTGATAATGACCTGTATTTATTTTTAATGTACATGAGTGCCGTAAAGGTGTCTGAAAGTTTAACCTGATGCTATAAAATGAATGTTCTGCATCTGATGCTATTGCTGTTTCTTTAATGTAATCAGCCCAGGAGTTGCAAAAAAATTAAAGGCTGATGGTTTTTAATTTGCATGTTGTTGTTGTTTATATATTGTTTATTATTAACATGTTAACAATGTTACTATTAACTACTTTTTAGTTTTTCAGTAGGTTATGGATAAAATATAGTTATTCTAATAGTTGAATAAAATTAATTTGATTTTTGGATTTGGATTTTTTACCCATTGTCTCGTGACCCGCTCTTTGGGAAACCACTGCTATCTACTTAAATATCTGCTTTAGAGAGGTTGCTCCAAAATGTCAATATTGCAATAGCAAACTAACTGTTTGTTATGGCAACTGGACATAAACAAATACATTAGAAGTGGTCTTTATCTTTGACATGACAACTTTACGTTTCCAAGACAACATAAATCTGTTGTCATAAAGCTGTCATATCGTCAAGAGGCATTATAATTGTATAATCATATAAAATAATAAAATATGAGGAATATTTTTCTGATCATGTTATCACTAAATATATATATATATATATGAAGCTTTTAATATATATATATATATATATATATATATATATATATATATATATATATATATATATATATATTAATGACAAATTTAGCTTGTATCACTGTAGTTGAGGTCAAATAAAATATTAGGGCAGTGCTCTTAAATTTCTGAAATTTATAACAGCTTCATAACATTTAGGACTGCACAATATATCGCTTCAGCATCGATATCACATTGCGTGCATCCGTAATAGTTGCATCGCCAGATATGCAATGATGAGTTTGATTACTGTTGACCAGAAACCACAGGTCAAAACACATGAGATTTGTGGAGACACTGCAGAATTTAACCATATATCAGTGTTTAAGGCTTGTGACTGTGTGAGCATTTAAAGAGAGTTTCACGCATTGTAATAGTGCATAAAGAAAGGTTAATTTCATTGAATTATTTATATGATGATGAAGATTATGCAATGTTATTTCACATTTTATTATTCACTTTCTCTGCCTGAATAATGTGAGACTCTCCCCAGAAAACCATCAAGCACTGTTATTTTCATTTTAATATTTTGCTCTATTGTGTTTATTTATGACTGTAGGTTGTTTATTACATGCATGTAGTAAATTGGGGAAAATATATTTCACTCCTCTACAAAATCATCCCAGTCAGTCTAAATGAATGACTTTCCTAATGGAACTATTTAAGTTCTCTGATGAAATTGTATTTATATCGCAATGTTTATCGCAAAGTACAGAAATATCGCAATGTCATGTTTTTTCTATATTTTTTCTATATTTTTCTATAATGACAATTATGTTTATGACAGATTTATGACAAGTTTTGTTGTATTAGTAATCTCAAGTTGTCATGATAAAGACAAAAACAGGTTGTATTTGTTTACGTCAAGTTGTTATATTTGGGCGAATGACGAAATTTGATTTGACTTAATTACAGTTGTTGTAAGCATGCATAAAATTTCATTCACATACCTGGTGTGTCTTGCATAATTATAAAAGTTTAAAAATAATCTTATGGACACCCCTTCAAGAAAAGTGTTACCTTTTTATCTTGTTTTACACATTATTTATTGCTGATGATGTCATTTTATTTTTACACATAACAGAAAAGTTATATGGCAATAAACTAAAAAAATCTTTAATGTGTACTGCAATTAGTCTGTAGAGTCTTGGAGTTTGACATAATTCTAATTACTTTAAACTACAATTGAAAGATCTGAATGAATGAAAGCAAGTGAATTAGCTAAAACTGAACTGCTCTGATCAATATGTTTCAATTACAGAGATCCTTCGTGGTTCAGTGAGAGCTGGCTGGCCCGCATTAAAGAGGATGTTGGAGATAATGTGAGACTCAAGGTAGATTTATTTTTCTTGGCCTTGGTGCTTAAGTCTAATGTTGAGGGCACTCCCAATGTATAATGTGTTAGTCAAAGCTGAAGTCTTTGATTCTATCTGTTTTTACAGATGAACAACCTCAAAAAGATCCTGCAGATGATTGTTGACTATTATAATGAGGTAAACGACTTACTAAAGGTTTGTTTTATTGAAGTGGTTACATAAATGTAACCTTTTAAGATGCAGAATGGCATCAGTTAAACTTTAACTCTAAAATTATAGTAATAGGTTCACACATGCTCAAAGTCACATGAATTGTAATCGCTTGACAGTTTAAGTGAACTGTGTGAGCTTGGGTTGATTGTACTATATTTGCATTTTGTTTTGAACAAGCAAAATATGACTGTACATAATTAGTGTCGCTCACTGCTTCACATCCAATTTGCTAAATAAAACAAATACTCCTTTCAAAAGGTGCATCGAAATTGCATACAGAAAAATATGCTAACATGACCTAAATATTTACCACTGAAACAGTGACAAAAATGACAAGCTGTGTGAAAAACAATGAAAGCAAGTTTATGTAAGAGATAAAGTACATCAAGCTGTTTTCCCTCATAATAAAGCATGAACATGTATAAGACTGAAGGACTTTATTGTGTTAAAATAATTGGCATGATATAGATTATCCCCCTTTTTACTCCGCTATTTGCCACAAAAGTAAACCATTTGACACAAAACATTTATCTGAGCTGTAATAATTTACTAGCTGATTAATTGAATGTATACAAGTACAAAACAAACAGCTGGATAAATCTACATTGTGTTACTTATTCAGTTGCAAGATAGTGCCAACCTGTTTTACTTTACTGTTATTTGTTTAATCGGTTGTTATCAGGCAAAAACATATCGTGGCATGTCACGACTGACCAATCAAGTATTCCAGTGAGTTTTGTAATAAAGATTTGTTACATATATTTGTGGATTATATATAAAGTTTGAGATTATGTGGATTATTTACCCATTTATTCATGACTTGCACATTACAGGTGAAATGAAGTATTTTAAATATTTGACTTTGTCAGTAATGTTGTAATTCATATATATATATATATACAGTTGGAGTGAGAATTATTAGCCCCCCTTTGATTTTATTTTTTAAAATATTTCCCAAAAGATGTTTAACAAAGCAAGAAAATTTTCACAGTATTTCTGATAATATTTTTCTTTTGGAGAAATTTTGGCTAGAATAAAAGCAGTTTTTTTATCATTATAAAGACAAAATTATTAGCCCCTTTAAGCTATATATTTTTTCGATAGTCTACAGAACAAACCTTCATTATACAATAACTTGCCTAATTACCCTAACCTGCCTAGTTAACCTAATTAATTAACCTAGTTAAGCCTTTAAATGTCGCTTTAGGCTGTATAGAAGTGTTTTGAAAAATATCTAGTCAAATATTGTTTACTGTCATCATGGCAAAAATAAAATAAAGCAGTTGTTAGAAATAAGTTATTAAAACTATTATGTTTAGAAATGTGTTGAAAAAATCTTGTTTCTGTTAAATAGAAATTGGGGAAAAAATAAACACAAAACAACTTGTAAACTTTCACAGGGTGACAGCAGGGTAGGAAAAGTATGTGAGCTTCTAGGCTACTGACTTCTCCAAGAGCTAACTGGAGCCAGGAGTCAGCTAGACTATCCAGTCAGTGTGATTAGATGGGATGTGTTGGTTAAAGCTGCCCTGCTCTATAAAAAATACACACCAGTTTTGACTTTGCTGTTCTCAAGAAGCATTGCCTGATGTGATGTGAACAATAAAAACAAGAAAACAAATAATATTTGTGTGCTATTAGTTTAAGCAGACTGTGTTTTTCTATTGTTGTGAGATTGTTTTTAAGATGCTGGAATGCTTAATGAAACGATGCATGTATATGATGACCATGTGTTCAGGTTTTGGCTCAGCAGATGTCAGATTTCCCTCTGCCTGATCTGATGCGGGTAGTAGAGCAGTCAGATCAGGTTGAGTTGGGACGCCTCCTGCAGCTCATCCTCGGCTGTGCAGTCAAATGCGACAGGAAACAAGGTAAAGTCACAGTGGACTCAAACCATTTTGTCATAATTTACTCTCAATCACATGCTATTTCAAAACTGTTATGCTTTTAATTTTTATATAATATGTCATGGCTTTATTTAGTAGGCATTCTTTTCAACACTGCAATTGTTGTTTGTCTAGAATATATCCAGATAATCATGACCTTGGAGGAATCTGTACAGCATGTGGTGATGACTGCCATTCAGGAGGTCGGAGAAGATTCATATTTTATGTGGTCATATATTATCTTTCATATAGAATGAAAATTAATTCTAATGTTTTTGTATTAATTACAGCTTATGAGCAGGGAGTCGGTGTCTCAGTTAGGAGCAGAACCTGCTGGAGACACTGAACAGCAAGTATGAAATTTAGACCATTATTATATCATCATGTTGATATTGCCCTTAAATGTAATATTTGAATAGCGTTTTTTTTTTTCAAAGTTAAAGAAAGCCTTAGAGGATCTGACTGAAGTCATGGCAGAGAAAGAGGAGCTAGCACAGCGCTGTCAGGAGCTCGACATGCAGGTGAGATGAAAGTCAAGATATAATAATAATAATAATATGGATGTTAAGTCATGTTTACAAATTTCTTTGTTTCTGGAATGACACATTTTTGAGCATTTCAAATGTGCTGCAACTATGATTAAGCAGCTTGACAATATAAAGCAAGTAAAATGTGCACACAATTGGACCAAATTTGGGTGACACACATTACAATTTTGTGTCGTTAATTTCCCACATGATATTTTCAGATTTGTCCCAGTGCAGCATAAAGAATATAGAAACATAATACAGAAAATTATTAAAAAGCACATTACAGATTGTTTCAAAGAGGCTTTTCAGAAGTAATCTAAAAAATATACAGTAAAAAGGTTGCAAAATCCATCAGTTATGGAATGACCTCACTTTCAGTTACAAACAGAAGATGTATATGGTGTCATTGTTCATCTCATTTCAGATGGATTCAGTTCAACTCAGTAACATGTCAGTTATAAAACAATCTCTATTTTTCACAATATTAATACTTTAATTGAAGCTTCAAATAGCATTGAATCTAAAATGGCACATACGTTTATACTGTAGCTATAAATGTTTCATAATCTAGACATGAATGTAGACAGGAACAGGATTGAACTATTCATGTACTTATTTAATATCTGTCTTAGAAAATGAAATATCCAGAGACAGCAGGAGTTTTAGTGTCTGTTTGCAGACTGTATGTTTTGGCTCAGTGAGGAGCATTTCAAATTTATACTGTTCTGTTTCTTCATCTTCATGGATGAACAGATTTTGCCTTTTATTGCTTTTTTTTATAACATGTCTGTTCAAAGGCTGATGTGTTTTTAGATTTTACAGAGAGGTTAAGTAATCTGTAATGGAAAGTATCTAAATTGAATATTTTAAGTTTATTTCATGGCATTTGTGGTAATTAGTATTTTTTCATGTCAACTTTTCTATTCCCATAAATGGGTTAGAAATTCATGTGTTGCTGATTCTTGACAGATTGAGTTGTAAAAGTATCCATGACCAATGAGAGGTAAGTCTAAACAAATGCATGGCATCTAGCTTTAGCTTAAACTAAAACTTTGCGCTGCAACTAACCAATCTAACCACTGGAAAAAAAACCTGGTCTAATCTGGAGAGGGGGTTTGTGTGTGCGTGTGGAAAAAAGAGCTCATGGAATGAGTGGTGATGGAATTATTGGGTGTTTTTTATATTGACGCACTCTGAAACAATAAAAAAAACATTTAACATGCTAAACATTAACAGTGGAATAATTTCAACCAGTGAAATGCTATACTTATTTTGTGAGCTAAACGTGAAACTATTTATTTGGAGTTTATTTAATACAATTATAGGTGGTTCATTCCGCAGTGGCGACCCCTGATTAAAAAAGGGACTGAGCCAGAAAAAAAAAATGAATGAATAATAGATTATACTGTATGAAAAGTTATATAAAATAACATATATTTAAATATTTATCTGTTTATTTGAGTTAGCTGTCCTCTTTTTTCAGGTCAGTATTAAAAAAGCACCACAAATAATGCTAAATTAGTTGCCGTCTATTTTAATTAACTAAAAACTAAATACATACTTTTTTATTTAAATAAATAACAATTCTTACATCATTCTCTCTATATATACTACCATTCAAAAAGGTTGTAATACTTATATTAAGCATGAATGCATTTTAATAATCCAAATTGACAATAAATACTTTAAATGAATTTGTAAATAAATACAAAGTAAAATACTTTTCTTTTTTTTTCTATTTTATGTGCTGTATGTTTGTAATATGTTTGTTTAGCACAAAATCGGTATATTACACTGATTTTTGAAAAGTAATGCCATCATGGGAATAAATGACATTTTTAAATATATTCAAATAGAAATCCATTATTTTAACATATCCATATTACTATTTTGACTTTATTTTTGATTAAGGGTTTAGCAAACTTGTGAATGGTAATATACACTATATGCAGTCCTATATTCAGATAAACCAAGTTTTATATAGATCATACATCCCTTGACACAGTAAACATCACATATCCCAGAATGTTCTGTGTTTGACCTTTTCCCTCTTGTTTAGGTGACAGTGCTGCAGGAGGAAAGGAACAGCCTCCTGGCAGAGAATGACCTCTTGACCGATCGATCCAGTCAGCTTGAAACTTTCGATGACCCCAGTACTCCATCAGGCCGGAAGCACAGCCAGTTACAGTTCCAGTTGGAGCAGCTTCAGGAGGAGAATTTCAGGTACAGCTTCATCTGACAAGATAACTGCCCAAAAACATACAAGATGATAACCCGCATTTGAATGTAATCGCAGTTGTGTCATTATTGAAACTAGATAAGAAATTATCGTCGGCTTGCTACAGCCGTCAAAGAGCTTGTCAGAAATATCTGCAAGTTTGGCTAGTTTTTATCAGAGGGGTTTGAGAAAGTCGATCATATTGCAAACATGTTTTGTAGCATTTGCTCACATGACTTAGCAGATTGCCAGAATGTTTCAATTACAATTTACAATATTGCTAGTATATTTTAGCATGTTTTCATGTTGTATGTTGTTGTTATGCTATTTGCTATCATGACTATCTTGATAAATACCCTTGATAAAAATGTTTTTACCTTTTTTAATGTCATATGTTGCTCTGGAACTCAATGCAAACATGTTTTAGCATATGCTAGCATGATTTGTCATGTTTCCAGAATGATTCTATAGAATAATCATGCCATAGCATGGTTTTGCAAGATTTATAGCTAACGTGTTTTTATAATACTCTGTGTCGCTAGAATGTTGCTTACCACATTGCTAACCATTTAAACATGTTGCTTGCATAGATGCTATATTAGCTTTCTGTAGGCCACTGTACACAAATCATCCAACATATTGTAATGGTTGAAGAGAGATTTACCATGAGTTTGGCTGTTGCCATAATAATTTTTATTGCTAGCATGTTAACGTGTTAATAGCAGATTTAGCACATGTTAGCTTGTTTAGCATGCTGATTTCATGCTTTAGCATATTTGTTAGCATACTGATGTTGAAAGTTGATGTCATGATTTGACACAATGCTTGCTTAGAGCTACAGTAGGCAACATTTGTAGGCCAACAGTGGATCAAAAACTTTTTTAAACTGTCCAAAGACAAGAAAAGGTGTTGTTTTAGGAAAACATTGTTTTTGATTTACTTCAAATGCTTATTACTGTGTAGATAGATACCATTTAGTGTCTGGTTTTATGGGTTGCTATACATAACCTAACTGCCGTATTGGAACAAAGACATTGTGTGAACACCTAGAATAAGTTGACTATACATTTGCATTTTTAGCATGTCAATAGCATGCCAAAGCATACTATATGTAAATAAATGATGCTAGCATTTTTTTAACACATTACTGGTATATCAGACGACAGTAATTAAAATAATGAAGCAAACATGGGTAAAATGTCTCTGTTGTAAGTTACCACAGATAAAGACAGATTATGATTGTATTTTAAGATATTTGTCTGGCTTTTGTCCTCAAACAACTCTGATATAAAAACTTGATACACATGTCATCCAAAGCTTTTTGTTTTGATTAGTTGTTTGACAGTTGTAGGCTGTGAAATAAATGAAATCACTGGGCATATTGATCTTGAAATGAGATGTGATTAAGACCTACCTGGAACTACTTCAACTGTGCAGTTCTCTGAAACTAATAGAGCTTATACACAGGGACTTTTAATTTTAATTTTACTTTGAACTTACAGTGAGCTGTCACGCTATTATAAACTAATCACATTTAAGATCTGGTTTGTTTTAAATCAATGATCTTCACTGTATGATTGAAATATATCTGATTGACAGTATTAATGTAGGTCTCATATCAGAAGCACTGCGTTAAATTTCATTGTTTGGCGCCATGTCTGTAAAATAAGAACATTTATTTTACCGCAGTATTTTAATGAGGTCACCTGCTACTCCTCTTCTGTTTAAACAACCTTTCATCATGTTTTTTGCTTGAACAACTAAATTAAGTCTATTTAAGGGATTATATTTTTATTAAATTACATTATTGATGTTGTATGTTGTAAAATTAACCTTATGAAACTGTAGGTCTCATCAACCTTTCACTAAATCTTTAATGTTGCTTTGCATATAGCAGAATTAAGCATTCAACGACCCCACAGTATAAAGTGTTTTGTGTGTGTATGTGTGTAATATCCAGACTGGAGGCAGCTAAAGATGATTACCGCATCCACTGTGAAGAGCTGGAGAAACAACTGGTGGAGCTTCAGCATCGTAATGACGAACTGACCAGCCTGGCGGAGGAGTCGCGCTCGCTTAAAGATGAGTTAGACATATTAAGGTGCGTGTAAACTTGTTTAAAAAATTTTGTAATGTGTAGTTGTTGTCAGTATCCATTTTTTGGCTGTTTTAAGAAGTCTTTGTGATTCAACTGTTTGTTTAGGAGCTGCTCTGACCGGGCAGTGAAGCTCGAGGCCTCTGTTGAGACCTACAGAAAGAAGTTGGAAGATTTAAGTGACCTCAGACGACAAATGAAAGCTCTGGAAGAGAAGAATATGACTTACATGCACAACACGGTCAGCCTTGAAGAGGAGCTACGCAAGGCCAATGCTGCAAGAGCTCAGTTAGAGACATACAAGAGACAGGTATGAACATGCTAGATGTTTTATTTTGGGACATATTAGTCAAAAAGGTGTTTTGTTTTCAAACTACATATGTCAGCAAAGAGAAAGATGCAATGCTGCAAAATTAAGACATAACCAAAGCTGAGAGTGAGTATCACAAACTGTAGTGTCATTAAATAGATGAAGATGAATTTGGCCAAAAATGAGAATTGTTTTTTTATTTGCCATATTTAATTATCAAAATTAATTGCCAATTTCTTTCAAATTTTGGCATTTTTTTAAAGTTTGCAAGTACGTTTTTAGACAATATTTTATTCTACATCTAGACATTTAAAATGTTTGGATTTTTCAATTTATGCATATCTAAATATACAGTAGATTTTTTTGTTTACTCTGTAAACAATAAAGGATCTATAATTTACAAAATAATGTACTTGGAAGAAAACATGATTAGTATATGCACTGTATAGTTTTTTTTCTAAGAATTTTATTTTACTAATTATTCATCAAACATTCAATGAATTATTCAAAGGGACATTATAGACCGGGGGGCCCAAACTTTCTGAGAACTGGAGGTAAGTATACAAAGCTATATTACATTCAAGTTGCCATGGGTAATTTCCTAATTGATTTCATAAGATTTAAAAGTAAATAGAAAACATTACTTAAAATCTTAGTGCAGTTTTTTAAATGATAACTTATTGCAATTGAAACGTAAACAAGCACATTTATAACACAGTGGAGTTCAATGAGGAATACACTAGTCAAGCACAATCTGCCTTTGCCTTGATTTGTCCTCTATTCATTGGGTGAGAGTACAGTATGTATGTTAAACTAAATCTGATTAATTTACACCATTTAATGGAAACATTTAATTTCAGTTAAATTTTCAGTAATTTCAGTTTTAACAATAAAACAAACAGACAAAAGGTTACATTAGATTTAAAAATGACAATTTCTAAACCATGCCCATCATTCGTCCTCTCTTCTTAGATGGGATGACAGGCCAAATCAAAGGGTACTATTTAGTTTGGGCTTCGCTGGTATAGATATTTGTAATGACAGTGTTTTTTTAAGCCATTTCTGTTCCTTTAAGCTTTTTATTCAACAAAAAGTCAGGGTATCTTGAAAATGTATTAGTTTTCAGAGAAACATCGAGCAGTACAGCTGATTTAACACTGACATTAATAATATGAAAATGTTCCTTTAGCATTAAGTCAGTATATTTGACTGATTTCAGAAGGATCATGTGATACTGAAAACTGAACTTTTTGGGGGATTTAAACTGTACAATATGTACAATAATATAATTGTACAATATATACAAATTGTACACATATGTTGTAATGTTACTAATTGTACTGTGGTTTTTACATGTTAGTAAATTCAGTCTTGGTAAAAAAAAAATGTACTGTTTCTATAACTTCAGGTTCAGGAGCTTCACAAGAAACTGTCAGATGAATCACGAAGGGCTGATAACCTGGTCTTCGAGATGAAGAAATTACAGGAGAAATATGACGCCTTAGTGAAGGAGAGAGAGGTAAACAAAGACTCATCCATTTTCAAGCAATCAGCCAGACAACTAAATACATCAGATGACAAGCTGAAAGGGTTAGTTCACTTACAAAGGAATATTGTCATAATTTACTCTTCCTTCACTTTTTTCAAACCAGTTTCACTTACTTTTTTTGTTGAACACAAAAGATATTCAAAAGAAAGCTGGAAACCTGTAACCATTGATTTCCATAGTATTTGTTTTTATCTGCGGAACATAATGGTTACATGTTTTCAGATTTCTTCAAACTATCCAAAATATAGTGTTCAGCAAAATAAAAAAAACTTAGTAATTATTTTAAGTGTTATTATTATTTATTTGTTGTTTATTTAATTACAATTTAGTTTTATTTACTATTATTTTTATTTTTCCTGTGGGGGTCAGAACTCAAATTACATGTATGACAGATACTATCTTTCGAATCAATGTAATTTTCTGATATGTTTTTACATTAAAAGTGTTCAATAAAAATATATTTGAAAAAAAAAGAAAGAAACTTTGTAAGGTTTGGAACCACTTGAGGGTGAGTTAATATTGAGTATATTGTAATGCTAAAGTGTGCCATTTCTTGTGCTACTAGTGACACCAGACATAAAAACTGTGCTAATTGTGTTTCACCAGAGGATCAGTATTGAACGGGACACTCTCAGAGAGACCAATGAAGAACTGCGATGCACACAGGCCCAACAGGACCAATTACTTCTGGCAGGTACTGAATGCATGCACTGTATGCTGAATGCATTTAAATGACAGACAGTGCAGTACATATTGACTCTCTTAAATGTGATAGCGGCTTTTGCACTGCTTGAGGGGAGTAGTTTGGCATGGGCATTTTTAAATTTTGGCAAGACACATGACGCAGATCAATAAGAATTATTAAAATCAACTGATATTTATTACCATAAATCCTCAGTAGACTGATTGCAAAAAGAATTCTGTGACATTATGTATGGCAAGTTGTCAGTATTCAAATGAGACATGATTTAATTAAATGTGTTAATTTAGTCAGCTTAAAATATATATTTATAATTTTTTTTTCCGGCTTAGTCCCTTTATTAATCCGGGGTCGCCACAGTGGAATGAACCGCCAACTCATCCAGCAAGTTTTTACGGAGCGGATGCCCTTCGAGCCGCAACCCATCTCTGGGAAACATCCACACACACACTCATACTCATACACTATGGACAATTTAGCCTACCCAATTCACCTGTACCGCATGTCTTTGGACTGTGGGGGAAACCGGAGCACCCGGAGGAAACCCACGCGAAGGCAGGGAGAACATGCAAACTCCACACAGAAACGCCAACTAAGCCGAGGTTCGAACCAGCGACCTTCTTGCTGTGAGGCGATAGCACTATCTACTGCGACACTGCCTCCCCATATATATGGGGGTTTTTTTGGTTAGTTTTTTACACAATAGTCAAAGGGTTTTACAAGAAAAAAGTGTTGGTCAGACCAAATGTAGTACTGCAGTTATATTAATATTCTGACCACAGTTCAGCCGTGAAAACAGCTATTTTAGTCATCTCTCTGAGTTTTTTAAAAGATCAGTAAACACAAACTGAAAATTGAGCTTAAAATAGTATGAAATTATTTTTACACTATTTTTTTTTCACCCTTCATAGGAAAGTATCAAACAGGAAGTCCAAGCCATGACAACCTTGCAGCTGAGATGTTGCCCATTGAGTACAGGTATGATGTAAATTATCGAAATTTCTTTGAATAGAAATATGACCAGGTTGCACATAGGATGAATTGGTCCCTCAAGGCTCACTCAAGGAGACGAGAGAAAGGGTTATTGATATTATGAATGCTTTGAAATGTATCATTATTAATGTTGTTATTTAAAAAAAAAACATGAACATCACAAAGTCATTAACTTTATTAACTGAATTTCAGATGCATTAATGGTAACAATGTCTTTAGTAATCATTTGAATACATGGTTATTATATGGTTTTATTTTTCGATCATTCTACTCGCTGTACTGCTTCCACTTTGTTGGGCTAAGGCTTGATCAACCCCTGTCCTACTTGATAACTCAGGTAACATGCTTTCGCTAAACCCAGATGCTACTTTTTGGGGTTTGCGCTTAGCCCAGCCCAACGGAGCTCTATCAGTACCCTCCGCAACTGGTCCAGATGGTCCTCCCAACGCTCAGAGTGGATGATTACATCGTCTAGCTTAGCAGCTGCGTATTCCTGGTGGGACTGGAGCAAAATGTCCATCATTCTCTGGAACGCTGCAGGTTCCCCATGCAACCTGAAGGGAAGACTGAAAGCAGTCTTTTCTTTGTCTTCTCCTGCTAGGGGTACCTGCCAATATCTCTTTGTCAGGTCCAGTGGGGAGATAAACCTGGCTCCACCAAGACTGTCTAGCAGCTCATCCACTCTGGGCATTGGGTATCTGTCAAAGCTGTAGATGTCATTTAGCTTGCGGAAGTCGTTGCAGAAGTGGAGAGTGCCATCTTGCTTTGGTACCATAAGTATCGGGCTGGACCAGAGACTCCAAGATGGTTAGATTATTCTCAACTTCTACATCCATGGTATTTCATCCTCGATAGCCTGTCGGCAGGCCTCTGGTACCCGATAGGACCGCTGCTTGTCTATTTGGCCAGGAGGAGTCCGGATGGTATGCTGTTATAAGGTTGTCCGCCCGGGTCGATCGCTGAACACATCCCGGAATTGACTGACCAGGGATTCCAGCTTGATCTTCTGACAACTGCTCTCCCATCCCTACTATTGGTGGGGAGCTTTGAGTGAAGGCCACCAGGTCTTTTCGGGGTGCTACCCATTGCTTCAGAAGATTGATGTGTTTAGAGAGGTAAGCATGATCGAACACCCAATAAAGGGGGAGAGCATGCTCAGAGCCCAGCGGCTAATCAGCAGGCCAATCAGAAATAATAAATAACACCTGTCTATTCTGGTGATTGTGCCGGAGAGACATCCTTCTTAAGGAGAACAGAAGGAGCAGTCGGGAAAAAGAGAGCACACACACACTTCCACACGTTGTGTGAATATTTAAAATAAAAATATACTACTCACCTGATATCGCAGATCCTGTATTTTTTTTCCCACTCAACAACGAACATTATTACAATGTGGTAGACCTTCTCCTCACGTCGATGTCCTGGCTGACGAACCTTATAGTTGACCGGCCCGACTTTTCTACAATGGTGCCCGGCCCTTGCCAGGATACCAGAAATGTCACTGTGGTGGTGGAAATGAGTATCAGGACTTTATCACCAGCCTGGAACTGTCGGAGTTGTGCGGGCCCGTCAAAGAGACTTTGTGGGGCGCGCTGGGAGGTCGCTAGATGTTCTCGGACCAGAGGCATTACATGGTCTATGAGCTATCGGATGTCCCGAACGTGCTCTATAATGCTGCGATGCGGAGCCGGTTCATGCTCCCATGTCTCTTTGGTCACATTCAGCAGTCTGCGGGCTGGCGCCCAAACAACAATTCAAATGGAGTAAAGCCGGTGGATGCTTGAGGTACCTCCCTTATTCTGAAGAGCACGTAAGGTAGCATGAGGTCCCAGTCACGCCCATTCTCTGCGACTACTCGGCGCAACATCTGTTTAAGCTATTGGTTAAACCGCTCCACCAGAGCGTCTGTCTGGGGATGGATGTGCGAAGCTGTTTTACCCTGAGTAGCCAGCAGAGATCATTCATCAGCCGAGAGATAAAGGGGGTGCCCTGGTCAGTCAATATCTCAGAGGGAATTCCCACTCTGCTGATGATCTGGAAGAGCTATTTGGCGACGGATTTTATGTTGACAACTCAGAGGGGAATCGCCTCGCGGTATCTGGTGGCATAGTCGATGATGACCAGGATATGTTGATGACCGACTTCGGCAGCTGGCCCACCAAGGTCCATCCCAATGCACTCGAAGGCCACCTCCATGATGGGAAGGGGTATTAGCAGGCTGGTGGGAGGTTTCTTCTGTGACGTTCTCTGACAGATGGTGCACTCCCTGCAGAACCTTTTAACTTCTGCCTCCTAGCCAAAGCGGTCTAATAAATAGCAAGTAGTGCTACTGTTTATAACAAACATAGAAGCCCAATAGCAATGCTAGTATATGGTAGTTTTAGATCTTTTGGTCTTTCAGCATCAGTTGTGCATGTAAAACGTTTCATGCATGCCTGTGTCTTTAGAGAGAAGTTCATCCGCCTGCAGCATGAGAACAAGATGTTGCGTTTGCAGCAGGAGGAGTCGGAGAAACAGCGAATAACTGAGCTACAGCAGCAACTGGAGGAGGCCCGACGCGGACGCAGCCAACTGGACACTGACAACAGGTACACATCCACATAATACACCAGACATACAGTAAACGTACTGCACTGAACATTGGAAAAGCATTTTCAAAGTATTCTTTTAACAAAGTTAAAATTGCATGATATAATTGCAACACTAAGGATTTTTATTTAATTAATTAATTTATTTATTTGTTTGTTTATTTAAAAACAGTATGTATTTATGTTAGCCTGATATGTAGCTTTGTGTAAGAACTTGTCTCAAATAACTTTGGAAAAACTTTTATCAGAGAACTTCATATAATCAATCAAATATTGCAAACAAGTTGGTTGCATTTATTTGCATGATTTAGCAAGTTGTTTCATATACAATTTAGCTTATATATATATATTAAATTTCTTCTCGTTTTATACTGTATGTTGCTCTTATAATCAGTAAAAATTTGCAAACTTGGATCAGGACAAGACCAAGCCTCTCTCTGATCCCCAGGGCTCTGCAATAGTTATGGAAAATCCAAAGTGAACCAAAACAAACGATTACAATTGGCTTAAAATTGACAATGCTGCAATCAGCAGAGCCTGGATTTTTTAACTGTTTTACTTGTTTTAGCATTTTATGCCATGACTTAAAAATTATTCATTTTTATAAAAAAAAATATTTATTTAATTTATTTCGTATTATTATTTTATTAGTTTATTTTAAAAATCAATTGTTTATTGTATAGTAAGTGCTACTGTATATTTGGTTTGTACTGTACTTTCTGTAATTACTGTAAAGTCACATCTTACACTATAAGTCAAACCATGCCATGTATTTTGCCCTTTTCTGGGTACAATTGGGTCATCCATGTAATTTTGCCTCATATTTATGGAATTTTAAAAATTTAGGCGTATTTAGGAATATCATTTTGTCTTCTTTTGTGTATAGCAGTAGTCATATTCTATAACAGGGATTATTTTATCTGTTCACAGTATACACATGCCCATGAAAGAGTGTTGTTTCTTTAAGGTTAAACAGAGAAAGGATCAGTGAACTCCAGCAGCAGGTTGAGGATCTGCAAAAGGCCTTGCAGACACAGGGAGCCAAACCTGATGATGTAAGTTATATATATACGCCACTAAGTGGTGCTGTTTTTGTTGTTTTTCTTTTCCTTTGTTAAACACAAAGGTGGATTTACAAAAGAATATTGGGGAAAAAAACAGCCTCTGACTTTTATAGTGATTTTTTTGTGTGGATAGCAATGGCTGCTTTTTTCCACTTTTCTTCAGAATATCTTGTTTTGTGTTCAACAGTATAAACAAATTTATAAAAGTTTAGAGCCACTTGAGTTTGACTAAATAGTGTAGAAGTTGTTTATTTATGTTTTAAACCATCTATCTAAATCAGGGGTCACCAACATGGTGCCCGTGGGCACCAGGTAGCCCGCCCGCCAGGTTCACATGAGTTGCCCGTGGGCCTGTTCTAAAAATAGCTCACCATAGCACCACATATGAGTAGGCTGCATCTAATATTTTTATAGGTATTCTTTTTAAATCACACTTGCATTGGTGTAAATTTGAAAATAACTTTAAGTTATATATTTAAAAAAAAAACTTTAAAAACAATTTCAGACAAATTAAGTGTTACATATTGATATTTATACTTAAATCATTGTTGACAACTACTGTGAGAAATCATTAACATGATCAATGTCTTCACATAGATGAATATTATTAATTATTAATAATAACATATAATTAAAAGTAAATTAAGAAAAATGTGTTATTTAATAACTGGTAGCCCTTCACACTAATCGGTACCCAAGAAGTAGCTGTCAGTTTCCAGAAGTTTGGTGACCCCTGCTCTAAATGATCTGGATTTTATGCATTTGCCTTTCTGTAAGAGATGTTGGATTTAAAACTGTCATTGCTTGTTTGCTTTTATACAGTCTCATTTGAAGAGGAAGCTGGATGCTCATATGTAAGTTTAAACATCTGATCAAATGAGTTTTCTTTGATGTTTTGGTTGAGATATTGCTTTAAGTAAAGCCAAAAGTCAACATTTCCTGGTAGTTTATTAATCCCCATGTATTCCATGTTGTGTATGTTTTTTTTTCAGCTAAAGATAAAGTAAAGTAATCCTTTTATGCTTCTTTACAAGATGTAATCTCAAGTTGCAAGTGCCACCAGAATGTGTCTTCAGCTAAAATACGCCATGTTTACAATTGTCCCTATTGGCAGGGCAGCAATAACACTCTTAAAATGCAAATTCTGAAATCCACTTTTTGCTGTAATTGATTATTTTTCCCCCAGGGTGCAACTGAATGAGGCACAGGATGAAATCATGAAGAAGAAAGAGCTGCTGGAAGACCTTCAGCCAGACGCTACTCAAACCAGTAAGTCAATATAAGTTCATATAATCAGACTCTTTACATATTTGCTTTTCACAGTCTTATAGGCAAGATTCATGCTGCCCTACACAAATTATGATGTCTATAATCCCATAATTAACAATTTAATTAACAATTTCAAGAGTCAAACATAATGTATTGAACTTCCTGTCAGTTTTAAAGGTCAATGTCACTTTCAGGTGTGAAGATGGATGAGCTGATGGCGGCCTTGAAGAAGAAAGATGAGGACATGAGGGCGATGGAGGATCGATACAAGATGTACCTGGAGAAAGCTCGTGATGTAGTTATCTTTATCTTTCAAACACAGTGTCTGATTCACAAAAAATGTATGATGTTTTATGCGTTTCTTTGTTTTAAGTTTTACATTTTGATGTCCTTTATATTTTTTTTAGTCTAAATCATGTACAATTAAGAATCCAAAATGTAACTGAAATGTTCTTTCATATTTTGCATTGTGCGAGAAACTACATTTGGAATAAGAATTATGAAGTATGAATTTCTGCATCATTTTAAGCTCTGCACTTTTTCAAATCTGTACTTCACAGAAAGAGAGCCGCATTACCCGCCTCTTCTAGTGGTGATGAATCATATTGTTTTGTTTTGTTTTTTTCTTCAGGTGATTCGAGCTCTGGACCCTAAGCTAAACCCAGCCTCAGCGGAGATTCAGTCCCTGAAAGTGCAGCTCTCTGACAAAGACAAGAAGATCATTGCTCTGGAGGTTTGTCTTATGTTGTTCTTGTAGAGCAGTTTCAGATAAACTTGCTTATTTGTGTGTTGTTTACTTGTGACTTGTATCCTTTTCCCTCATGTTTGTCCTCATTTCCTGTTATTATGCAGAGGGAGTGCGAGCAGGCCAAACTGAGGGAATATGAGGAGAAGTTAATTGTGACAGCTTGGTATAATAAGGTATGATGATGTACCATAATCATTTATAATCTACAGTTAAATATATTTTTCATTAAATAGTTATATTGATTGTGTCTATATAGAGTTGAAGTCAGATTTATTAGCCCCCTTGTTTATTTTTTCTCCAATTTCTGTTTTACGGAGAGAAGAATTTTTTCAACACATTTCTAAACATAATAGTTTTAATAACTCATCTCTAATAACTGATTTATTTTATCTTTGTCATGATGAGAGTAAATAATATTTGTCTAGATATTTTTTAAGACACTTCTATACAGCTTAAAGTGACATTTAAAGGCTTAACTAGGTTAATTAGGTTAACTAGGCAGGTTAGGATAATTAGGCAAGTTATTGTACAACGATGGTTTGTTCTGAAGACTATCAGAAAAAATATATATAGCTTAAAGGGGCTAATAATTTTGACCTTTAAATGTTTTTAAAAACATTAAAAACTTTTATTCTAGCCGAAATAAAGCAAATAAGACTTTCTCCAGAAGAAAAAATATTATCAGACATACTGTGAAAATTTCCTTGCTCTGTTAAAATTCATTTTGGAAATATAAAACAATTGAAAGGGGGGCTAATGATTCTGACTTCAACTGTAAATATATTTGTTCTAAAGTTATTTATATTTTGATTTAAAACTGAATGCTATTTATTTATTTTAATGCAATTGAAATTCCTGGAAGTTATTTATTTAATCTTGTTAAAGATGCTGCAAGGTGATTATATATTAATTCGCTCATTCATTAATTCATTCAATGATTAATTTTTGGTCCCACTTTTTATTAAGTGAACTTAACTACTAGGTACTTACATCACAAAATAAGCTAAATGTACTCACTGTTCTTCCTAATAAACTGCAGATGCTCTTGAGATGGGATACAGGTAGGGTTAGGGACGGGTTTGGTGATATGTGTGGGTTTAAGGGTGGGTTAAAGTGTAAGGGATGGTAAAACAGTGTTATTATAAATATATTACAAAAATAATTACAGTTGTAATTACATGCAAGTATTTAATCAGTCATAAGTACAGTATAAACACATATATTTACACAATAAACACATTGTAACAAATTATTAATTTTAGTGTAAGTACATGTTAGTTAGGGCTGCTTAATATAATATAAAGAGGGATCGAATTTTTTCTAAAGGATTTTAATGTTTTAAAAATTGTCATCTTGTTGAGATGCTTTTTGTTCAATGTTCATTTTGTCATACAGAGCTTGAATTTCCAGAAGATGGCCATCGAGTCACGACTCAGCGGGCGAGCCAACTCTCTTGTGCCACCCGGTCAGTCCTTTCTGGCTCAGCAGCGTCAGGTGACCAACGCCCGGCGCACCATGTCCATCAATGTGCCTGCCTCTTCTTCCAAATAACCCTGTGCTTCAATTCTTCCCAGCTTCCTCTCTCCTCCTCTCCCTCTTCTGCACACTAAAGTGACCTTAAGTACACTTCTGAACAAGGGGACAAGCATGCCATGATGAACATTAGCATGTCTCCATCTGCTCACACACATGTATAATAATGTACATACGGTAAGGGTTGAAGAAAGTGACTCAATCAGCACACTATCATGTACAGAAGAAGCTTTTTCACTTTCAGTACTAAACAAACACCTGTAACAGTCTGCAAGCAGGGTCATCTCTGAACTAGCATTGAATGCTAAAGGGAGAGTTCACCCAAAAATTAACATTCTGTCATCGTTTACTGACCCTTCAGGTGGATCCAAGTTTCTTTCCACAAAATAAAAGGTGGAAGAGTGTTGTAAACCTGTAGCCATTGACTTTTTGATTTCCCACTATGAAAGTCATTGGCTTCCAAGTTTCCAGCATTCTGCAAAGTATCTTCTTTTGTTTTAAATGGGGAAAAAAGACTTTCAAACAGGTTTGAAAACACTTAAGGGTGGTTTAATTGTGACTAAATTTTCATTTTTGGATGAATTATTTCTTTAAAGGTCAATCTTTTTGCCGAACGATATGCATTTAATGCATCCTTTATGGTAGCATGCATGCTTTTGCTTAAAAATGACTTCCAACGATACACTATGCAGGCAGAAATATATTTGTAATCACACAAGTACAATATACGGTATGAAACACTGAAAGCATCCAGTATGCAGGCTACATTTTGCCCTAACCAATCAAATCCATAAATCAGAGTGAATATTTGGTGCTGGACATCAGATTTCTTAGTGTCATCACTTTCTCAAGAAGCAACATGCATTTAAACTATATTAATAGACAAGCATAATTGATAAATGGGGTCAAACACCAAAAAATGAAAAGTTCGGTGTTTATTTCCAAGATATAAGTAGACTTTATTCTTCAGGCAAACAGTAAAAGAGCTGAAAACCGGTCATTGGTGATGTATAAAATGCCACTCATTTGCTTACAGATATTTTAAGAGTAAAACAAAAACATAGATAAAACTAAATGAATACCTGTGGATCCTGACGAAATACTATAGTCTTATTATTCAAAGTGACCAGTCTTTAAATGGGAAACTGGCTATTATTTAAAACATTACCATTAATAAACAAATTCTTCCTGAAAAGTCAATCACATACTGAGATTACATACACAAAGATTCCTTTTTAAACCATCCAGGATGAAGTCCAAGTACACTTTGGTGAGCAACAATGCTTATAAATAGTGTTTAGTTTTTTTGCACTGACCAAGTAGATCCAAGGGGATTCATTTTGTTTTGCCTGTATGTTGTTGTTTTTTTTTACTGTCAAAGTGCCTAGTGGCTTTGACTTGTATGATCGACCGTTTCATCTAATATCTATTTAAATATTTTCCTGAAGAAGAAAAGTCTGCGAATGCACTGAGAAAGAGTAACTAAACAGCACATTTTCATTTCCGGGTGAACAGTCCCTTCTAAATCTTAATCCAGGTGCTTCATTCAGGCGGTTTTGGTATTTTATATTCAGTTGACTGTGACAGGACTCTTGCATGCTCTTTTAACAAGCAGAAGGGCCTTTTTTATTGACATTTAATATCTTCTGTTTGTGTGAAGAGGACAAATATCAGGATTAAACACCAGCACAGAGTTATAAAAGGCCATAGTGAACGGCTTTGAATGTCTTGTGCGGCACTTCTTTGAAAAACATACTCATGTGACCTGTGAAGCATAGCGCTGCATTGTGAAATAGCTTTTGCTGTATTGTGGAAATATGAGCTATATGCTAATAGGCTAGCTGTTGCGTTTTGAATGATACACAATCTGTTTATGTTGGGACATACTATTACAATTCAGTTTTAAATGGTAAAAGTTAATCACTTCTGATTTGTGTTTCTGGTGTTTTATTGAGCAAGGCTTTTTATGGCCTGCGATGGATATAAATGCCAGTGTCTTTTTGAAATGCTAATATTTATGTATGTGTTCCAAGGAAGAACTTCGGTTTGTGTCCTCAATTTTATGAGCACCGTCATTGATTGTGAGAAATGATAAATAATGAGATTGGATTCATTTGGTATTAGAATAATATTTGGGTTAGAGAGCCCTGGCAGCCTTCATTTACATGTTATGAATAAACATAATTGTTTTGCAAAAGATCTTTCTTGTGTTTGAATTAATAGTATGCAGCTGCAGACCCATGCATCTTGCAATCTACATATAGGCGAATTACCAGTTTGTAAACAGTTCAGGATGTGTACACATCGAGGTTGCAGAAATAAAGCGAGAGCACTAGCATTTACAGCGAGTGAACGACATCTGATGTGGTACAGAGTTTGTTGTTGTATTAGATATGTTATTTTAATTACATATTATATATATTATTTACATAATGCTTTCACTATATTATAAGAGCTTGTCACTAAGTGATAAGCACAGTTTTTCAGCAAAATTAACATTAAAGTGAGCGGCGTTTGTCCTACAGGTTCATTTGCAATAGCACCCTTCCAATGGATATTGGATAAGAGGAAATGGCCAAGCATCCAGCCCCAAACATACAACTATCTTATTGAATCTCCATGGTTTTACAAGAGAGAAGTTAAAGGCCTACAAGTCTTTGAATGTCAACAATGTTGTTCTCTGTGGTCATGTGCAAGAAATAATGTTCCATGATTACCAGATTCAAAACTATGTAGTGCTAAAAACTGAGGTTCTCCCTAGCTAAAGATAAGGAAAGAAGACGGAACTGTACAAGGCCTGGGTAATCATCAACAAGCAATTCTGCATTCTGACAGTGAATAGCATCTGTACAGCAGGGTATGTGAACATACATTTTTACATTTCATTCTGAGCATTCAGTGTCTGCATTTTAACTATATTTTACTGTTTTTGCTAAAATCATTGCTGTATTAAAAACAAGTAATGTGTATAATTCAGCATAGTGTGAACTTACCTGAAATGAGAACTGCAGAGTCTAGCATTTTTAATTAGGTCATCACTTTATTCAGCTCTTCTAATGGCTGCTAAGAAGAGCCATCTGAAGTCTGCGGTTGGCATTAAAAGCAGTGTGTTGTACGATAAAATTTAAGTTTTCTATTTTTGGACTTGATTTTGGCTTCCTACTGCACAACACGGCATGTTTGTTATTGCAACAGGTCTTTTTTTTGCAACCCGAATGCACGGTTGAACCTGTGTGACGTAGGCTAGGTTGGTAATTCCCCTATATGATTCGCCCTTGCCTAGATCGTGTGGTCTGGATTCATTCATTCATTCATTTTTCTTTTCGGCATTGTTCCTTTATTAATCCGGGGTCGCCAAAGCAGAAAGCCGTCAACTTATCCACCTTGTTTTTACGCAGCGGATGCCCTTCCAGCCAAACCCATCTCTGGGAAACATCCACTCATCCAAACACACACACCCATACACTACGGACCGTGTTTGGACTGTGGGGGAAACCAGAGCACCTGGAGAAAACCCACACGAACGCAGAGAGAACATGCAACCCCCACACGGAAATGCCAACTGATCCAGCCGAGGCTCGAACCAGCGACCTTCTTGCTTTGAGGCGACAGCACAACCTACCGCATCACTGTGTCGCCATGTGGCCTAGATTGTTTGTCCTAAAATGTGTGGGTCTGCAGCTAGATATATCTCATTTTAATCTAAAAGGTTGCAGTCTAAACGTCTTACCTCTAGATGGCGACTGAAATACACATTTTGCCATTTTTGTCCTCAGTCCTGCTTTGTAAAACTGGTAGTACAAAAATTGTACTTTAGGGGTCAGATCTAATTAGTTCAATAGACTTTATGAAAACAACAAATAATATGGTATAATGCATCGCCTATTTTGGATAGGAAATTATTTTAATATATTATATAGTACAGTTATGAATTTATTGTTATACTTTGTGTGTGTGTGTGTGTAGAATTTAAAAATATATATGGCATGTATAAATCACATTTCAGCCCAAATATTTGTTCAGAAAAGTCTAATATGTTGTTCTAATTGGTTAGATAGACCCTGAAATAGAGAGCGGAAGTTAAAATTGCAAAAAGTGTCCCAGATTAGTGGAGTGGGTGCAGTGGGTAGCATGATCGCTTTACAGCAAGAAGGTCGCTGGTTCAAACCCCCTGGCTGGGTCAGTTGACATTTCTGTGTGGAGTTTGCATGTTCTCCTCGTGTTCACACAAGTTTCCTCTGGGTGCTTCGGTTTCCTCCACAGTCCAAAGACATGCGGTACAGATTATAAATTATGATACTGATAAAGTCTTGACATTCGTTTATATTATGTTTACCAACAAACACACACACATTATCTGATGTGTGTATTTATAGTGGATCTCAACCTTGAGAGTCCAAAGAGTACAACACAAACATATTGTGAAATAAGAATATGGATTTCAACATGATTTATTGTTAGGATAAAACCTTGCTATGTTTGCCATCTCATGTTTGTATTATCTGCAGTTTTCACTAACTTGAACTTCATCCCTTGAACCCAATGTCTGTGATCAGTGCCAACAGGTTGATCATTCTGCAAAGCGTATCTTGACACAATGACCTTTTCTCTCTTTTTTAACTCTGTTTTTGCAGATCCACTATTACTAAGCATGTTTTGCAGATTTGATTTATGTTATAGCTAAATCCGATTTCTCTCACACCCATTCAACAAACAAAAACTACAGCGTAAGCTCTAATGAATTGCTTTTCAGAGATTATAAAGTGATATATTAAGGCAAGACACAGCAGGTGAATATGGTAAAAAACATGTTGATATTTGTCACCATACTTACTCAATTGCATTAAGAATTTCACATATTTATGTATTAGATGTTTTCTAAAATCTCTAAATATGCAAGTGAGGCATTATTTTATAAAAGATCTGCTAGTTTGCATGTATTTTTAGTACAAAAATCTAAAAATGGGGTTTAAATTCTTGTTTTGACATACAGTTAGGTCTTTAAATATTGGGACATCGACACAGTCAGTTTTATCTCTATACACCAACACAATGGATTTGAAATGAAACAAACAAGATGTGCTTTAACTGCAGACTGTCAGCATTAATTTAAGGATATTTACATCCAAATCAGATCAACGGTGTAGGACTTACAACAGTTTGGATCACTTTTTATCACTTCATAATTCAGAAAATATTGCTAACAGCCCAGAAAAATAATTGTAGAATTAAATGTTGTATATATTCAGCCCAAATGAACATATCCTTCTGAAGATCCTTCTTAAAGCCCATGTGAACAAAGTGGTGAAGTTTTACTTTATACTGTAAGTACTGCTAAAAAATCTATTTAGGAGAAAAGAGCTTTAAATAATATGCACAGAAACAATTAATAAAGAAACACTTTTTTAGGTGTTTATTTTCAATAAAGCCAGGAAAAGAAAAACAATTTATGAAGTCAAAAAGCCCAAAATGTGAAATAAAAATTGCCAGTAGTGTCATGTTAGATACATATAATGTACTGTAATTGACTATAAATATTGTTCATTAATTCCTAATAAAAATAGTCAGATTTGTCTCAACGTGCTGTTGCACAGATCTTGAACGGGTGTGGAGTGCGTGTTATTCCAATCACTCCATCCATGTTGAGTTTCTCTCCCTCTGTGGCTGAAAATCTGAATTTGCGGAACAAACTGACAAAAAATAGGAAGAGTTCAATTCTGGCGATCTGCTCCCCCAAACAGACCCTCTTTCCTGTGAAAGAGAGACACAGAGCAAGCAGATGTTAATGCAAACAAGTCTATAATCATTTTCAGTTTGTCTCTGATGTAGAATACTGAAGAAATTTGGGGCAAGTAAGGTTTTTGTTTTATTATTATTATTATATAAAAATCATTATTATAATTTATTAATTTAATTATTTATTAAGTGCTATGCAAAACAAGGCTGTATTTTGTCAATCAAAAACATTAAAAAAACATTCTATTTTGATATATTTTATAAAGGATTTCCATGTCATTTTTAAAGTGTTGATCTGGTGTTCAAGAAACATTTTTGATCATTTCAATTTTCAGAAAGTTCAGTTGAGATTCTAACATGAATAGAACATTTGAGAATATTAATTTTGTGACAATATTAAACTCTTGATCATTTTAATAAATCATTGCTCAATAAAAGTATTAATTACTTTTTTATTTTACCATACTGAACCCAAATCTTTAAACAATCACAGTAAAGTGTTTTTGCTCTCTTATTACCTGCAGAAAAGGGCATAAATGCATCTCGCCTTACAAACTTGCCCTCTTTGTCTAAAAAGTGGCCAGGATTGAACTTGTAGGGTGTCTCCCATTCGTTTTCATCAAAGAGAACAGAGTGCAGTATAGGTAAAACGGTTGTGCCCTGGTTGAAATAATGTAAAAGAAAGGGAGGTTAGACTTCATATTATGACAAATACCACCATTGATCACCTTTCAAATAAAACATTTTACAATTAACCACAGGAAAATCTTTTAAAAAGTGATCTATTTCTTGCAAGTAAGATTTTAAAGTGGCCCATTATGCTTTTTCCTGCTTTATCCATACATGCTATGTATAATGTATCTGTTTTTAGAATGATAAAACATCTTCAAAGTTTCACAGTGCATGATGCATGTAGTTACTGTCACCCAAATGATAATTACTGATTCAGCCTGAAAAACAAATTGTCAGTTATTACTGTTTACTAAGGACACAACGCCAATCTATGGTCTTACTTTCACCCTACTGAAGTTTTATCTGAGCCCTTGGCATCCATTTCCAATGCATGAGGAGTCAAACTGATAAAGTAGAACAGCACCATTGTTACTGCTCATATCACTGTTGTGATTGTCAAGTGCTGAGGAAACACATATAGCTGAGTTTCAGATATGGTAATGTGTGTTCTGGTTCCTGGCAAGCTGTAAGCAGTTGACCGATTATAGTCTAATCCTAACCAATCAGAGTAGAGAAGACTCTCAGAAAGCTATATATATATATATATATATATATATATATATATATATATATATATATATATATATATGAAGGGAAGAGCAATTTGGAGCCTTAATAGAGGCAGTTTTAGGGTGGCTGCATAAATTTACCTTTGGGATGAAGCATTCTCCAAGGGTTGTGTCTCTTGCAGCCACTCGCAATCCATTCAATGGTATAACATCTCCAAATCTCATGATCTCATGGATGACAGCCTCTGTGTAGGGCATGTTGGGTTTGTCGGCTATACTTGGCTCTCTTGAGTTTCCAATCACTCTGTCGATCTCCTCCTGGACCTTTTCTACAAATAACAAAGTATATTCAAAAGACAGCTGAATGTACAAATATATTGATTTATTAGTTTTGTCCTTGTGTACAATGTTAATACTTGTTTAAAGGCCTGGTAACATTTCTTTCTACTCTATATACAAGGATTGTTGTTGTTGTTGTTGAAAAGAAGTATTTTTTTAAGAATGTTGGAAACTTGTAACCATTGACTTGCATAATTTCTTTTTATTATGGATGCCAATGGTTACAGGCCTTCAGCATTCATCAAAGTATTTTATTTTGTGTTCAACCGAAAAGGGAAGGGGAATCAAACAAGTTTGGAACTATAAGAGTGAGTAAATGATGGCATAATCTTTGTGTTTAGGTGATCAGCTATCCTTTAAACTCTTTTAAAGTAAAACAGTATTCTGTTGTCTAAAATATGAATCATTCAAAAGGAAACTTTTTGTTGTTATTTTGACCAATTGTCATTGTATGCTCTAGATTACAGTTTGGAGAACATTGTATCACTAGTTTGCAGCAGAACAAAACAAAAGTTGCTCTTTTTGCTCAAACACAAATTGTACATCCACAGAAACTTATGACTCAATATTCATTACTGACCATAATTCATTTTTACCTTGTACGTCTGGATACATTATGAGGTATATGAGCCCCCAACATAATGTATTGGATGTGGATTCAGTTCCGGCCAGAAACAGGTCAAGAACACATGCAACAAGGTTTGGTTCCTCAAAGCCGTTTACTCTTTCATGGGGTTTCTGGTTGGAAATTGAAGTGAAATAATTTTCTGTTTAAACATAAGAGCATAAGTTAAAGAGGCTTCTTCTGTCATTTAAGCATTATTTTACCTCCTTCATCTCGATTAGGAAGGTATCGATGTAGTCACGAGGCTCTGAGGGATCCAGTTTAGCCTTGTGTTTTACAATGACCTCATGTACGAAGCTCTTCAGTAAGTCATAGTTACTGAAAATATCATTGTGAGGCCCTGGAAGATGCTTCATAATGGCTGGAAATGCTTCATAGATCTAATAAATACAAATGAACATTGTTTATTTTTATAAGCTGTTACATTATAAGGATATAAAAATTGTAAGACCATTGATTGATTGAATTGATGAGTTAGTGAATTAAATATTTGAAGCGAAGTCATTCATCGATTTACCTGTCCCCAAACGGATCCTTCTAGTTGAATGCTTTTAGAAATATATTTTAACATTGTTTTGAACTGGTGGTCAGCATAGTCAAATCTCTGGCCAAACACCATTTGACAGATTATATTGGAAACAGCATTGTATAATAGGATTGTTGGGTCAAAAGCAGCTCCTAAAAAGGGCAAAAACAACATGTGTCGTGTTAGTTACATGTATTTTAACTAGCTGGTGCATGCAAAAATCATTTACTTCGGAATATGTACAGCCAAGGGCCAGTTTGTAAGGTACACTGCAAAAAAACATCTGTAAAATAGAGTAAAAGCAACTGGGGTGGCCAGAATTTTACAGATAAAATACAGTTTAAACTGTAAAAGAAAATTGAAATCTCTGGTAATCTACTGTATTTCATTACTCCAGTGTTATACTCAAATTTTGAAGTACTAACATCAGCGTACCTTGACTACACAGACGAAAACACAACTGAAAGCATGTGGTGATGAGACAAACAGAAGCATTGCTAGTGGTGGTGGTGGTGGGGGTGGGGGGTCACAGCCCACACAGCAAAATTTCTCTGGCCCAGCTCTGGCCCACACAATCAGGTTTTGCTTGGCCCACATGCCGCAGTGAATTACAGTACATGACTGGACCAAGTTTGGCTTCCAGACAAGGGCCAAACATGGACCATACCTGGGCCAAGTCTAAGTCAAGTTAATAACTCATAACTGGGCCTGAACTGGGCCAGATTGGTTGGTGTGTCACAATTGCAAAGAAATTGATAAACCCATGACATTTTGCACTTTGAGCACTCTATGGGCGTGCTTTTTCTCAAAGAGACTTGATTGGTAGAATTTTATTTCTTAACTCAAAAATAATTCTAATGTATTTTAAATGTGGGTCAAGACAGGCCAAACTTACATGGCCCACTTGTAAATTTTTAACATCTGGGTAAAATACTATATTTTACATTTGGCCCAAATCTTGTGTGCTGCCTTTAAGACGACGCCACCTCTGCCAAACTCGGGCCATGTTTGGCCCACATGCTATATGCCAGTGCCAGATGAATGCCTGCCCTGCTGTGCCAGCTTAATGCCAAATCTGTAATCTTTTCAGTTACCAAGAAGCTGGTAAGTTCATACAGTATATACCGTAGCATGTTGCATACCTTTCTGTTCGTCTATCTCTTCCAGAAGAAAGCGGCTCTCCTCACAGATGGCCAGCTCCATTGTTTTCTTTCCCAATCCAAAGTTCCTCAGTGTTGACAGAGCGAAGCGTCGTTGCTTCTTCCACATCTCACCATTACTGAAGAAGAGTCCAGCTGCAGAGGACAAAAAGAAGGCCTCGCTAACATGATCAGTGAAAATTGGTACATAAATTTTTGCAAATCGAAATATATTATTTTGTTTATTATTATATATTCCTATGTTGTTTTCTATTTATTTTGTTTGAGCTTTGGGATGTTTCAATACAGTTTAAATATTTATTTTATTTATTTTTTTATTTATTATTATTTGTGGAATTTGCATGTTCATCCTGTGTTTGAGTGGGTTTCCTCCGGGTGCTTCGGTTTCCCCCGCAAGTCCAAAGACATGTGGTATAGGTAAATTGGGTAAGCTAAATTGTCCATAGTGAACGTGTGTGAACGAGTGTATGGGTTTCCCAGTGATGGGTTACAGCTGGAAGGGCATCTGCTGCGTAATACATATGCTGGAAATGTTGGTGGTCCATTCTGCTGTGGCGATCCCAGATTAATAAAGGGACTAAGCCGAAAAGAAAATGAATGAATGAATGAATATTAAACATATATTAAAATAAATATAATTATTCATAATAATAATAATAATAATAATAATAAATATTTAGTTACATGTTGTGTTGTGTCAGTTACTTCAAAAGTAAAATTGTAGAAAAGTACATCATTAAAAGTGTAATGTTTAAAAAGTAATTTAATTGCCAGATAGGTAATTTTTGACTCAATACTTAAAATTCTTACAAATCTCAATGCACACAAAACACAAATAAAACTCTTTTCATTCTGTAAATGTAAAATGTACATTTATTTAAAAGAATTAACAGTTAATAAATGTAATAAATTAACATACTGTACACTTTTTTAAAAATCCGTAATTTTATGGTTTATTTCCAGCAGTTCGGGTGCCGGAAATAAACCGTAAAATAATGGCTGTTAAATTACAGGAATTTACTGTGAAATAACAGAGGTTGAATTACAGAAATTTACCAGATCATTTTAACTTAAGTACATTTCTGTAATTCAACAGCAGTTATTTTACTTTTTTTTTTTTTGCAATTTTGCTGGCTGAAACAAATTTAGAAAATGCGAAAAAATCCTTTTTAAATGTTGGTCTGACGTTTTCACCAACATCTGCTTTATGGCCCTAGCGATCAGAGTTTCCTGCCGATGATATTCTGGCAGTGTCGGATTTTAGACACTTTCCTACAGTGTGTCTTTTTTACCGTTAGAACCTCAAATCAAGAGCCAACAGGAACCCCGAAGCTGAATTACAAACTACTGCGAGAAAATGTCAAAACAATTCTGATTTTATGATTGAGGCACACTTTGAGTAAAATTATTGCAACAGTTTGTTTATTTTAGAGTGTATGAGTGTTTCCCAACCCGAAGGGCATCCGCTGCATAAAATATGTCCTCCTGAGACCCAAAGAATTTTTTTTCTTTTTTTTCTGTGATTTTTTACATCCTTTGGGTTATAAAAAAAATTCTACAATTAAGAGTTTTCACATTTTTTTATAGCATGTCCACTGTAGTGGACCGCAGGACCATTTTAGTTCAAAACGACCGCCCCTCAGACAACAAAACTGTTCAGGATATGGCTGTAAAGGGATATTAATCCAATATTAATGTAACAAAAACAAAAGCCAATTTTTTTCTTTTGTATTAAAATTCCTAAAACAGTTCAGTCTAAAAGAGAGCCGAACTCAAAAAAAAAAGAAAAAAAAGAAAGAAAGAAGTGATGTTAATCCAAAACAAATTTAACATAAAAGCGATTTAAATCTGATTGTCATTTTCTAATTGTCTCTAATTCTCTAATTGTCTGATTGTCAGACTCTAAATCAGAGTCTCCCTCAGCTATCTTATAAAGAATCGTCTCTGCTTCAGTTTTGCCTGCTACAACATGCAGTCATTAATAACATTAAGATGGTCCTGGTGTCCACTTAAGTGGACATTTAAAAAAGGATGACATTTTAAAACACAAACAAGTTAACAGCTTTGAAAGCTAAATGCATTGTTCCTGACACTTTAATAAACAAATATATATGTAATTATAATAGGAAAAAAACATTTAAAAGGTAAATTTACATGCATCTCTCCTTCCCATAAAATGTGCTTTTTTTGTATGTCGGCCATTTTGGATGCAGTGTAAGAAGTGGTTCCTAGCATGCCAGCCAATCAAATGACATAACACTAGAAAGCCCAGGATGTCCTCTAAACAGTACAAGAGGACTTGGCAGAGTAGCTCAAAAAATTCAAAGAAAATTCATGAAAACGCAATGCCCACTACAGAGCAAACAAGTCAATGGGCGGGGTCTCAGGAGGATATGCCAGAGTAATTGGTGGTTCATTCCACTGTAGCAACACCTTATAAATCTGGCACTAAGCCGAACTCACACTGGGTGAGTTTTCTTGCTCATCTGTATTTGATGCGTCTTGATTGTTTCTCAGTCTGACATTACTGTGTGACAACTGTGATCTTACAGTGTGACATGGAGGCCATGTGTAGCATTTCTCTTTTTTCACACTTTCACATTGTTGACCTACCATTTCCAGAATACACACGTGCTAGCACTGGACTGTTGGGCCGATCCACAAAGTTTTCAGCTTGTGTCACCAGGGCCTCCTTTACCATTTTATAACCAGTAATGAAGACGGTTTTGTCACTTCCTAATCGAAGACTGAAGATATTGTTGTAGGCATGGCCGAGCTGTGAACAAAACAATGTCATCTTGAGGCATGTGACTGGAGCTAATGCCAAACAATCAGTCAAAAAATGTGTTTTTGTCAGCAAGCTCCTAAAATCAGGCTTGAAGACATTAAATGCTATAAAATACACATAATTATAAATAAATATTAATAATATTATTCCATCAATAGATGTTATTTCTACGATTAAATAATCTCTTGATGAAGTTCATAGGCCATAATGCAAAGTACTTTCGTGCTTTATTTCAATGAGTAATTTTCTGTGCTATCAAATTCAGGAGTGGCAATATCATCTGCTCACCTTTGTCAGATATAAATGAGGCTCTTTGGAGTCAACGTTGAAGATGTTTCCTAGTAGTGGAACAGAGAAAGGGCTGGGTGGGTATTTCGGTGGGTTTCTGTTCTTCAGGTAATCTGCCACCAAAAGAAAAGCCACCATGAACAGCAATATTCCCTTCACATCAAGAGTCTCGAGTATTGCAGTATACGCCATGACTGCATGTGAATGAAGACAGACCACGTGAGCCTAGCAGAATTTGTTGAACAGGCTGTCTTTATCCATCTGTTCAGCCTGACACTCCCCTCACATTTGGCTCCATAGCTGTAATGTTGTGAACTGTGAGTTATGTAATATCTTCATCTATCTTCCGGCAGGGTACGTGAGTAAAAGTTATCCTCTGTAGCACAAGTGGTGGACTATTGGAGTTTATACTGTCAGGTTTGTTTTTAACAGAGGTTGACTTTTGGCTTAGTGCTAATAATCAGGTCCTCACACCACACACATTTATCCAGCATTTGCCCTTTGCTTTATTTAGATTGAGGGTTTTGACTGCAAGTTTAGGAGCTCATGTACATTATGATTTATTCTAGAAGTAATCTATCAGTAATTGGTGAATTTATAATGTTCTGCTTTACTAAATTTTCAGAAAAATTAATGGTGCATTTAAATTAAATGTCTTTCACACCACAAATAAATGCTTTGTGGTTATATGTTCAGATTCGATTGTTAAAGTTGTTTAAATATAGTTTATTAGTTTAAAATGTCTCAACATTTTTTATATGTTGACACACACACACACACACACACACACACATGCACAAAAACACAAATGATCATTGGTGATTTGTGTTTGATTGATCATTGTAATTGTTTAATGAAAGTTTAAAAGATGATAATAGATGCACTAAAAATACAGTTAAAATTTACTTATTACCCCTTACTTATAACCTTAAAGTGACATTTAAGGTTAAGGCTTAAGGTTAATGAGGTTAACTAGACAGGTTATTATATAATGATGGATTGTTCTGTAGACTATTGAAATAAAATATAGCTTAAAGGGGCTAATAATTATGACATTCAAATGATTTTTAAAAAGTTAAAAACTGTTTTTATTCAAGACAAAATAAAACAAATAAGACTTTCTCCAGAAGAAAAAATATTATCAGACATATTGTTAAAATGTCCTTGCTCTGTTAAACTTCATTTGGGAAATATTAAAAAAGAAAACAAATTCAAAGGTTGGCTAATAATTCTGACTTCAAATGTTTATAGCATATTATATATAGCACAACACAAAATGTTGAGAAAGCAGGATTTAATTTATAATTAAACTTTTGTTAGAAATGCTCTTAATGGCCTTTTTTTTTCTTTTTCTTTTTTGCAATTTGGAGGAAATCTTATCAAACTTTTATAGCAAAAAAATATTAACAGTTTACACAAATCCATATACTATGCAATAATTTATCTGGCCAGGGCTGGAGAAAATGGCTGGAGACCTGGAACTGGGGCTCTACCAAATTTGGCTGCTAGAATTAGGCTGACCTTTCAATGCCTTACACAACATGTTGAAAGCTGCGTTCTTCTCACAGTGCTCTTTTTGTTGTCTCCAAGACACAGCTTCACTCTAGGGTTGCATTTGTCTTTTATGCTCTAAAGTTGTAGAATACTCTCCCAGTAGATATCAGGAAAGTAAATTCTCTAGGGACTTTTAAAATCAGTTCCTCAAACATTCAGGATCTGATTATTAACTTTGCATGGGCTTTGTTGTAATTCTATTGTATCAGACATGCATTTGTTTCTGTTGAACACAAAAGAAGAGATCTTGAAATAGCTGGAAAACGGTAACCATTGTCTTTCATAGTATTTCTTTTCCCACTATGGAAGTTATATAAAATGTATAAAAATAAAGGTTTGGTAATACAAGAGTGTGAGTAAATTTTTATTTTTTGATGTATAATCGCTTTAAGCGTGTGTGAAAAATTTTAAACAGAGTCTAGATGTCCAATTTTAGTTTATTTTGTTGAAAAAGCATACATTATTTATTGTAGGAAAGGAAATAATAACAGAACAGAAGCTAAATAGATGCATGCATACATGTATGTGGCCTTTTAGATAGAGCTAATCTTTTCCATGTGTAGACTGAGGTAATTGTTTAAGGCCAGAACACATTTCCTGTGTTTATACAGATCATAATCTATGTTGGGAAATGTGGAGACTTCACAGCAAAAAGAAAACAGAATTCTCTGTATAAACTTTCTTTATACTTTTCATATGTATGCATATTGACAAATAGACGATTTTTTTTTGTAAAACACTATTTTTGAAGAAATATTTGTGCTATGTAGTTAAAGTCTCATGATTGAGACAATAAAAGGGATCACTGTCTTTATCAGTTCTTTCAGTTTTTTTACTGAATTGTACTGTAAAAAGTCAGCGTGAGGAATGAGGAAAAACTTATATTTAAAATAATGTAATTCTGAGACAATGCTTAACAGGTGCATGTCTTTTGATTCAAAGGGGGTTTCAGACACGTGATCCTTTTTCTGGACTTTTTCTGTGGAATTGCTGATTTCAAATTAGCATACATTGTCAGGACATGGTTTTCAGTGACAAAATGTATTAAATTCCTATGTTTTTAGAAATAAATAAATGAAAAAAAAATGACTGGAGTATACTAAAATAGCCATTTGTAAAAATAGGCCTGATATATTTATTAATGACTTTTACAAGTTTCATTTATAAAAGCGGGGCGATGCAATGGCGCAGTAGGTTGTGCCGTTGCCTCAAAACAAGAAGGTCGCTTGGTTGCAGGTTTGAGCCTCGGCTAGGTCAGTTGGCATTTCTGTGTGGAGTTTGCATATTCTTCCTGTGTGCGTGTGGGTTTCCTCTAGTTACTCTGGTAACTGCATCTGCTGTGTAAAAATGTGCTGGATAAGTTAGCAGTTCATTCCGCTGTGGCAACCCTGGATTAATAAAAGGACTATGCTGAAAAGAAAATGAATGAATATATAAAAGATGTAATTAATGAAACTATGCTTGAGACACACTCTAGAACAGTTCTGAGATTTGGCTAAAATATATATATATATATATATATATATATATATATATATATATATATATATATATATATATATATATATATATATATATATATATAATGTAATAACAGCCTCTTTTATAACAAGAGGTCCATGGAAGAGAAAGAAAAGTTTAACAATTTTAACAATACTAATTATATTCAGTTTTGTCATGTGTGACTGAAAATGCAGTGTCACGCCTGCAATGTTAAAAGCTCAGAATGCAGTCATAAGTAAAATGCAGATAAGGGCGATATTCTTTCCACAGAGACATTATGCCACAGAGTCGATGGTCAGGTGTTCATCTGGGATGAGCGCAGATCTTGTAGGGCAGCGGCGCTTGAGTGAAGCCCACCTGACTGTCCAGACTGGGCTCTTCTCCGTCAGGAGGGCTGAAGCTGAAGGTCTGCAGGAGGATGGTGAGGAAGATGAACAGCTCCAAGTGAGCCAGATACTCTCCTGGACACTGCCTTTTGCCTGTTGGTGGAACACAGTTGGGGGAAGTTGAGCATTAAGGAGACGTGGCTGAATTACATTTGTTGCAGTGATGTGGTAACAGATTATTCATTCATCCATTCATTCATTCATTCATTCATTTTCCTTTGGCTTTAGTCTGATAAAATGGTAAAATGCTTGGAGATTAAGTCAAGTTTTACTCATACTTCAATATATGTGTGGTAATGAAACATGTCATTCTTTCACACACAGAACATTCATTCATTCATTTTCCTTTGGCTTAGTCCCTTTTTTATCATCAACCACCAACTATTCCAGCATACAATTTACACAGCGGATGCCCTTCCACCTGAAACCCAGTACTGGAAAACATCCATACACACTCATTAACACACACACTCATACATTACAGACAATTTAGCTTACCCAATTCACTTTATAGCATATCTTTGGATTGTGTAGGAAACTGGAGCACCCGGAGGAAACCCACACAAACAAGAGGAGAATATACAAACTCCACACAGAAATGCCAACTGGTCTCGAACCAGCGACTTTCTTGCTGTGAGGCAACTGTGCTAACCGCTGATCATTGGATGTAATTAGTTAGATCAACTGTACCTGCTGAGAAGGCAAAAAAGGCATTTCTCCTACAAAAGTGGCCCTCTGAGTCTAGAAAGTGTTTAGGGTTAAAGGCGTCTGGTGTTTCCCATTCCTGTTTGTCATACAGCACTGAGGTCAGGTTTGTGATCATCACAGTTCCCTTTAAGGAAGGAATACATCATTTAGATGAGGGGTCACCAATCCTGGTCCTGGAGGGCCGGTGTCACTGCAGGGTTTAGCTCCAACTTTCCTCAACACATCTGCCTGGATGTTTCAAGTATACCTAGTAAGACCTTGATTGGCTTGTTCAGGTGTGTTTGATTAGGGTTGGGGCTAAAATCTGCAGGACGCCGGCCCTCCAGGAACAAGTTTGGTGACCACTGATTTAGATCATTTATTCATTTATAAGTAATAATACAATGAATTCCATAACTAAGACAAATAAGATGTGTTTTAGAAAAATATTAATTCAAATTTAAGTAATAAATCTATACATAATATTTACAATATCTATTATATATATATAATAAATCTAGACAAAAAATGTTCCATATTTAAAATGTACATTATTAAGAATTAATAGGATATTTATAGATATACATCATTTATAACTCAATCATGTATAACAATCATATATAACTAATAATGAAATGAATTCAATAACTAATGGCTGTTTTACAAAAATATGAATTCATGTTTAAAAATGTTCCATATAAAAATGTATATTCATATGAATTGATAGGACACTTAAATATACATATGTAAACACACATGCTGTGGATATGTGTAAGAGGTATTTTTATAGTAAATAAAAAGTTTCTTGATTCATAAAAAAATTACATTTAAACATTACGTAATATTAGTAATTATTTTATACAATCAGCTTGAATGTGTTTGAAAAAATGTATATCAATTAAATCCTTTTATTTTATTTTATTCTTAAATTTGTATTGAATAAAATATTTATGATTATATAATTATATATTATCCTAATAATTATTGAAATAATGAAATACATAAATACACATTGCAGTTATGTATGTGAGTAAGGTTATAACTAAATTTATATTGATTCAAAAGAATTATTTACCTTATTAGTAAATTAATTCATTGCACAATATAAATGTTATAATTATATATAATTCATAAAAATAATATAATGAAGATACTTACATATACACAATAATTTATATACAAAATACAAATTATGTATGCTGAAAATCTTTGATTTACCTTTGTTATGAAGTAGCCCCCCAGAGTTGTGTCCTTTTTTGCAACTCTAGCCATATTAAGAGGCACAAGGTTTGCTCTCCTGAGGACCTCATGAATGAAAGCATTCAGGTAGTGCATGTTTGCTTTATCAGACATAGAAGGAAGACGGGAACCAATCACCTCGTCAATCTCTGCTTGCACCTTTTCTGTTTAAAGAAATATTTTGTTGTGATATGTAAACTGCATCCGTAAATCTGTTTAGACAGTTTTCAGTTTGGGTTAAGAATATAATTTGATTATTTGAATTTTAGAGTCCATATCTTATACTTTAAATGTCATACTTTGAATGTCAGGGTACTTGATGAGGAAAAGCAGAGCCCATCGGAGTGTGTTGGTTGTTGTTTCAGTTCCCCCCTCAAACAAATCCACCATGGACCACACCAAACTGCCAACAGTAAACCCTGCCTCTGTATCATTCTTCTTCTGATGATGCACAGGGACATAAATAAGCAACAGGTATGAAGATAATTCAAGAACATGCATGTAGATACATCACCTATTATTGATGTTTTACCTTCTCTGCTTCGGTTAGGTAGGCATCAATATAATCTCTCGGATTGCTGATGTCCCAGTCTGGTTTATGTTGCTCAATCTTCTCTTCCAGAAAGTTTGCTAACTTTTGATAGTTTGAAATGATTGTCTGATGAGGTCCAGGCACCCACTTCATTATACCTGGGAAGGCATCATACAGCTGGAAAGCAAACAAACAAAACAGCTTTGTTAAAAATAGTGTTACTGAGTTTCAACTATTGACGTTTTTTTACTACTTATCTTGTAAGATATATATGGGAATTATGCGTAAAAATTTAATTAATGTTCAATAATATGATAAGGATGCCATCTATAAGAGCATGTACACTAAGAGAGGTTCCCTAAAAACTTCCAAATGCTTTCTAGATCAACCGATAGCATGGAGCTTGGGCTGTGGCTACTGAAGCAGGTTCAGCCAGATGGTTTTTAGCAAGTGTGAGATCATGACTGAGGCAAAATACATTCAGATTCACGTATAACGAAGTGAAAGACTACAATTGAAGATTTGCCAAAATTTGCAAAGACAGACAATAGGTGAAACAAGCATCAATACTGACATTTGATGAGTTCCTTTCTGACAGACACACTATAAAATATGATTACTTTAAAAAATATTGTAAGTCATTGCCTTAAAGTAAGGGTTTCTAAATTCGGTCCTGGAGGGCTGATGTCCTGCAGATTTTAGCTCCAACTTGCCTCAACACAGCTGCAAGGATGTTTAACCTAAGAGCTTGATTAGCTAGCCCAGGTGTGTCTGATTGAGGTTGGAACTAAACTTTGCAGGATACCGGCCCTCCAGGACCAAGTTTGGACCCCCCTGCCTTAAAGCAACAAGTTTACATGGAACTAATAAGTTGACTGGATGTTTAACTTTAATAATTAATTTTCCTTCTGCTTAGTCCCTTTATTTATCACGAATTGCCACAGCAGAATGAACCACCAAATTATCCAGCATATGTTTTATACAGCGGATGCCCTTCCAGGTGCAACACAGTACTGGGAAACATACTTACACTTTCACATTCACATACTAAGGCCAATTTGGCTTATTGAATTCACCTATACCATATGTCTTTGGACTGTGGGGGAAACCGGAGCACCCAGAGGAAACCCATGCAAACATGGGGAGAATATGCAAACTCTAGGAAGCTCAACTGACCCAGCCGGGGCTCGAACCAGCGGCCCTCTTGCTGTGAGGCGACAGTGCTAACCACTAAGGCACCACATCGCCAATGTTTAATTATTTTTTTTATAATTATGGTCAGTTCATTTACTTAAATGCAAGGCAACAAGTTTACTCGCTTTTTAAGCAAAATCAACTTATCATTTTAATAGCAACAGGTTTATTCCTTTTTTAAGTCAACTAATTGTTATTTACAGTATAATATAAACTAGTTAGCTATTACTAACTAGCTTTGAAACCCTAAATAATATAATAACACATTAAAAAGATAAAATGCTTTAAAGAAATGGTGCGTTAAGTTTACAGTGAGGTGTTTGAAAATATGTTTTAGTTTTGGTAAATCCACTAAAAGACCCTAGCAGTGCACAAAATGTATGTATTTCACCTTTAAATGCTCTTTTAATTGATTACAATTTCAAAATGTTTTATAGATAGGCTGTATTTTGAATATACTCCACCTGGTTCCACACAGATCCTGTAAGAAACACTGACTCCGCACTCATCTGTAGACGCTTCTGGAAATTAACATCACTATACTCATATCGATGGCCGAACACCAGGAAGCCGATAACGTTGGCTACTGCATTATTGATTTTGACCAAAGGGTCAAAGGGGCGGCCTGTGTGACAATGTAAAGGAATTACATAATTATATATATTAACTGAATATTACAGAACAATATCTGTCAAATAATTGTGGAAATGTAGTGCAAGATTTGCATAGTCAACTTTTTTGAAAGCACAAACCCTTGTTTTGCCATTGATAAACTATCAGGATTTACTAAACGTAGGCAGTACTAAACTAAAAATTAGCAGTAGTCAGTTTACTTGAATTTGCAACATTATTTAATACCATAAGGCTTTTTGTGCCTGTTTTATTAGTTAATATCTATGCATGATTATCATTGGCGTAGCTTTTTAGTTTGTGAACTAATTTGTGCTGCTTTCTGCACTGCATTGCATTTTATAGAAATGGCTGTCAATATTCTTTTAGTTGTAGACTATCAGTGGATCATCCACAGAATTTTACACTCCCATCAACATTTGTATACCTACGTGCTTATTCTGTTTTGTGAATCTGGCATTTAGTGTGCTCATTTATAATGTATGTAAATAACATATATTATATTATCTGTCTATAATTACTGTTATTCTGATTTATATATATATATATATGAAACACATTTCGGAGCAACCTAAAAAAAAATATTTTAAATATTGTACATCTTTTTCACCCACCCTGCTCCTCTTTGAAGGCTCCACACAGGAAGTAGCACTCTCGTTGATTATTTTCTTCTAGAGTCTTCCTCCCCTCTCCAAAATTTTTCAGGTGACTCATGGAAAACTGTTGATGCTTTCTCCACGAATAGCCATTGTTGAAGGACAGGCCTTGCTCAGCCAGGGGTCGGTATCAAAAACAATGGAGGGAAATTGTGATTAGAACTATTGTAGCCTCAGTAGTGGAGATTCTTATCATCATTTTAACCCTGCCTTAAAAGCTAATTTCAAAGAATGTTACAGACAGAGTTCATCAGAAATGTTAGCACTGTTTTTACCTAAAGATATGAGAACCATTAGTACTGTTGATCCTCATTGGGGTTAAGTGTGAAACTATGTGATGTTAAAAGTTTAGGAAAAATAGCTGTTTTGCAATCGACCATCAATCGCATACCTCATAATCACTTTGTTTTAACTGAAATGAAAATGTTAAGTAGTAATGGAAAAACACACCAGATGGACTTAAGATGAGCAATTCTTTTTTGCTGTCAAGTGTATAATGTACGGCTGTAACAGATGTGCAATGCTAGTTTTCTATGAACAAGTTGAATGTTGATTTTGTCCAATCAGTGGCCATAAAATTTGGACGCACAAATGAAGTCATTAACCCAGGGTGTATCCCAGTTGTAAGAGCAACAAATAATAACTTGACTTCTAGTTGATCATTTGGAAAAGTGGCAGAAAGTGGATTTTTCCAGTGAATCATCTGTTGAAATCCATACCTATCATCACAAGTACTGCAGAAGACCTTTAGGAACCTGCATGGACCCAAGATTCTCACAGAAATCAGTCAAGTTTGGTGAAGAAAAAATCAAGGTTTGGGGTTATATTCAGTATGGGGGTATGCGGGTGATCTGCAGAGTGGATGGCAACATCAACAGACTCAGGTATCAAGACATTTGTGCTGCCCATTACATTACAAACCACAGGACAGGGCAAACTATTTGGCAGCAAAGCGCTCCTTCTCATACTTCAACCATTACATCAAAGTTCCTGAAAGCAAAAAAGGTCAAGGTGCTACAGGATTGGTCAGCCCAGTCACCAGACATGAACATTTTTGAGCATGTCTGAGGTAAGTTGAAGGAGGGGGCATTGAAGATGAATCAAAAGAATCTTAATGAATTTTAGGAGTCGTACAAGAATGCTTTATTTGCCATTTCAGATGACTTAAAAAAGTTATTAGAGTCACTGCAGAGATGCATAGGTGCAGTCATCTAAGCTCATACACAATATTAAATCTTTTTCCACTGCACTATGACATTATATTCTATACTGTTCATTATTTATGTTAAGTGACAAGACTTTTGTCAGAGCAAAGTTAGACATTACTGTCCTAATTAAATAATTAAAATTAATTCAAGACATGATCATATTTTATTTTGGTAAAATAAGCCTAATCTAGAGGCCTTTGGTTTTCATATAAGCCACTTCTGATACCAAATGGTCGACTAAGAGATCAAGTTATTATTTGTTGTTCCTAAAACTTGGATAAAGTCTTTTGTCAGGTAGTGTGAAAACATGTGAAACATCAGCATAGGATTTATTGTTAACCCTGGGTAAAGAACATAACATTGGCCCCCTTATTAATATTTATTTGATTACATGTAGTGTATACTTACCTCTGCCTTTATAAAGTGTGTCAAACAATGGTGAAACAGGACGGTCAGTGAAGTTTTCCCCTTGAGTGATCAAAACATCCTTCACCATTTTAAACCCAGACACATACACTATTTTATCACTTCCAATCCTGACACTGAATATGTTCCCATACTTCTCAATCAGCTGTAGGGAAACAGTAATGATTAAATTATTACCAAACATTCAAAGGTATTCATCAGGGCATGTGGCTGCCTAAATAAGAAATTGCACCAAACTCGATTAAAGCAGATACAAACTGTTCAAGCACAAAATAAACTAAACTACAAGAGCAGTCACCACTTAAGTTAAATGTGAGAATAAACGTGTCAATTAAGTTTGCTATATTAATTTGGATGTGTATTTGTTTGGTAGCAACAGTCTGGCAGCCAATCACACACGTGTATGTTGAGTTTAGGAATGTGGTATCCAATCAGACGCGTTTTGATTAGTCACCACACACTCCCACAAACGCTCTCGTCATAAACAAAACAAAAAGGTGCTGAAAGGATGTCAGAGATTAATTTCGCAGCTTCGGCGATTATAAAGTGAGTTTTTGTGTTATTTGTGCTAGACTAACTTTACAGACCGACGTTTTATTTTTGTAGACAGTTAATTCCTAGGTTTAGGCTAGGTTTGTTTTACATATAGGGCCTGAATAATACATTAATTGTCTGCGAAGGTAAAAACAAACAACTATTGAGCAAATATTGTTCAAGTTAATTTCTGAAGTTAGTTTTGTCTTCAATATTTATATTAATACAACAACAAAAATGTTATTTATTTATAAGCTACACGTTTATTCTAATATAAAACATGTCATAATCACAGACTGTATAAAACAAGGGCATCATATATTCAAGAGTGCTCACCTGATCCACAGTTTTATAGTTAACATCAGTGAAGACATTTCCTAAGATGGGTAAAGGCCATGGTCCTGGTGGAAAATTTGCTGGGTTTTTATTCCTGATTAAATCTATAAGCAGCAGCAGAAAACAAGTCAAAAACAACCACCCTTTAAAATCCAAGCAGTCGTATAAAGAGTATAAAATCATGGTTGTATTGGTAAAAGGCTCTTCTCAAGTGAACCAGCTTATTTAAGTCAGATAAGACAGGGTGTGTGTGAAAGAGTGCAAAAAGGCAAAGTTGCAGTGGGCCTCAGAAACCGGCAGGAAGACAAATGAGCAGTTTGGGAGGCGTTATGTAACCACATTATGTAATGAATGTGTGTAGTTTGTGCTATAGTTTCCAATGTAAACAGACCCCCCAATTCAACCTCTGCATGAACTGCTACATTCCACAAGACTCTTTCCTGGGAACTAGTCATTAATAATCATCAGTTGAAGACAAAAAAGATAAGCCATATGCATGCTTGCAGACCGCAGATACTGTAAAAACATCTGTGCAGCAGGGACTATGATAAAATGTTTTAGTTGGACACCTAAAAGCACAGTTTTATAGAAAATAATACTATAAATAAACCATACTACTGGAATACAATATGAATATGTGCAATGTACCATGAAAATGCATTTGGGTCTTTATAAAAGGTCTTTGTTTCTGAATGAATAGAGGGTTATTAGGTTTGGGGGAAAGTAATAAGACACTCTTGTTTTGCTCTTTTCCACTTATCATCCACACTGATGGTAACCCTATAGCCCAATACACGATGTTCAGTTTTTATAGCCTGAAATGTTGTAGGAGTACATAATTACAGACTTTTAATGTTGTGTACAACATTGATGAAGATTAGGATTACATTTGCTGGAGTGCAAATTATATTTCAGTTCACTAACAATTAATGTTTAATTCAAAGTTCCTTCAAAATTATTTGTGAAAACTGCTTTAGTAAGTGTTGACTGAGCAAATAAACCTGATAAAATGGACAGATGAATATGGACGCTCTGCAGATTAGTTACGAAAGGAGATCATTCACCCTAAAAACAAGCACACACTGAATCTAAAAAGGGAGTTTGCCCTTGCTTTGTGTGGTCTGTACACTGAAGGTCTCTCAGGATTTAAAAAGAAGGGGCCCCTCATGGGGTTGAGGCTCAAGCTTGTGCAAGAAACACCTCAGTAGCATAGTCTATGAAACTTTAGTTTATTAGTAATGGTAACTCAAAGAGTTTTTGCATGACACTGTGCAAAGGGATATTTAATGTGACAAATAATCAATTCACGTGTCATTTATTTACATGAGAATTATATATCGACATATCTGTAAATCACTTGCTGTACTGATACATGCAGATTTAAACATTAAAATCAAAACTTCTACTAACACTTTAATACTGTTGCATTTCCTAAGACATAGAAATGATATAAAGAAATATGTATCGACATATCTGTAAATCCCCTACTGTACTGATACATTTACATTTAAACTGCTACAACACTGAAACACTGCTGCAGTTTCTAAGACACAAACACTTCTGTCCCGTTTAAATGACTTTGTTCTAACGTACAGAGACTGAAATGCGAAAAGGAGCAGGAGCGTAAGTGAACCAAATCTCGCCCTCCAAACTGGGTTCCTCTCCTGGACATTTGGAGAGGGTGAACTGCTGCAGCAGAGAGGTGAAGAAGAGGAAGAGCACATTACGAGCCAGCAGCTCTCCGACACAAGCTCTTTTACCTGCAAACAAATGGAATAAAAGGTAAAGTTACACATTTTGTGAAATGGACCAAACAAAGAACAAAAATGTGTTGCCTACTAGTGAACTCATGAATAATATTTGCTGTTAATTTACTTCTTTTTAAGCTATGATTGAAACACATTTACCCTATATATTCTATTAATGTGGTTAAGTTTAAAATATTATACGATATGCACAACAGGACGGCTTTAATGGACAACCAACATCTAAAAATTAGTTTTGGTCATTTTAAAATGCCTTTGTCAAAGTCTGTCATCAAAGTAGTTCAGTATTATTACCTCCCAGAACTCTCTTGAGCAGCAGCTGCGCTCCCAAAGAGCAGCCTACAAAGCTATTGCATGTTCATTGCATTTTGACTGTGGCACAAGTAGCCTAATTTAAGTGAAAAGGCAGAAAGTGGCTTCTCCTACTTCAGCAAATTCCATTTTACTTTTTTGTTATTTGCACCGTTTTATCAGGAAGTGATGCTTTTGTTCTTAGACTCATTGCTGGAAAACAGTATGTTTTTTTATAATGGAGCAGAAAACTGTGTTGTGTTATTGTGAACACACTTCGGAAATGTTTGTCATATTAAGCCGTTTGTTGCAAAAATTGTTCAGTTTGAGTTCAGTGTATCTCATTTTGTTCATACTTATATGTTTTTGCACAGTGACTCAGTGGTTAGCACTGTTGCCTTACAACAAGAAGGTCGCTGGTTCGAGATCTAGCTGGGCCACAAGGCATTTCTGTATAAAGCTTGGATTTTCTCTTTGTTTGTGTGGGTTTTTTTCCGGGTGCTCTGGTTTCCCTCAAAGTCCAAAGACATGCTAGGTGAATTGAGGTGACTACATTGGCTGTGGTGAATGAACGAGAGAGTGTATGGATGTTTCCCAGTGCTGATTTGCGGCTTGAAGAGCATCTGCGACATAAAACCTTGAAAATGTCAGAGCAGTTGGAAGTTCATTTGGCTGTGGCTACCACTGATAAATCAGGGAATAAGTCAAAGGAGAGTGAGTGTTTTTTTTTTTAAGTGCCAGGAGTCATTGGGTTGCGTTTTATAAATTAGCAAGGACCACAGTTAAGTTTAAAACCTTCTTTGTTCTACTGAAGAAAAGTCACCAGTACATTTTAAATACCCTGAGGGTGAGTAAACTGACCCCAATTTTTTTTTTCAACAGTTTTCAAAGCTTACTAATGTACAGGTACATTTGACAGATATGCCTAATATCTAATTAAGAAGCTTGCCAAAGCATTCATCTGTCAGTCTACAGTAATTCTAGTCATAGTTTCATCTTAATTGTTCTTTCCAATATGTAGAGAATTAATATTTTATTTCATCTAGTCAGCAAGTTAATTCCAAATTTCGGTTCGGTCCGGTTTTGTTACGATTATCATGCCATCGATTCGGTTCAATTCGATATCTCGGTGCGTCATGGTGCATTGACGATGCTTCCCATACATAATTAGATTTTTTCTTTACAACACAACTTTATATTTTTTTATAATTATTTTAATATTTATATACTATTTGTAATACAATTTTGCCGTTTAATACAAACAGTAAGATATATAAAGTGTACCTTTAAATTGACCTGCTGAAAGAAAACGTATCGAACAAAACTTCAAAACATGACAGAACATGAGCAGTTATATCAAATTAACTAATGTAAATATTATCCCGCTTGCTTTTTGAGCACTGTTAAACTAGGTCTTAAATCCCTATGACTGGTCATTGTTTTTACCCGCTCAACAGAAAGGGCTGCGATTGTCTTTAGAAATGAAAGCGCTGTTCACCAATGAGTGACTCGGGAAGAACAGCCGCAGTTACAGTCTAAATGCATATAATACGCGGTTATCACAGGTAATCCATAATAGACACAGTGAAGAAAAGAGGCAGAGGTGGATTTTTACAGCATTTCTCCCTAGTAGTGAAATAGTGGCTCGTCTGCTGTGCCTTCTTCAGTGTCAATAAAAGACAAAAAAGTCTTTGATTGACTTAATTTATAAGAAAGTTGAACTGTGCATAATTATCTACCTTTTAAAACGTAGGAGCCCTTCCTTCCTTCGCCATAGTATGTAATGTAGTATGTATAGTAAGTGACGTCAGTACGTAATAACTGGTTATGACTATTACTGAACGGATATCGAATTGTCCCCGTCTGCATTACGGTGCACCGATGAAACAATTAATTTTGACACCTCTATTTAGTTTATTAAAATAATACCAGAAAGATAAAAGGATTAGCAAATAACATATTAAAGCTATACAAAAGAAAAACTAATATTACCTGCGGAAAAAGGCAGGAAGGCATCTCTTTTCCGGAACTGGCCATTTTTATCTAGGAAGTGTCCAGGGTTGAAAGTGTCTGGGGTTTCCCATTCGTTTGGATCATGCAGGACCGAAGACAGGTTTGTTGTAATAGAAGTCCCCTAATAAAGAGAGAATGAAATCTACTGGATTTGTTCAGACTTGGCAGAAATAGAATATATATATATATATATATATATATATATATATATATATATATATATATATATATATATAGATAGATAGATAGATAGATAGATAGATAGATAGATAGATAGATAGATAGATAGATAGATAGATAGATAGATAGATAGATAGATAGATAGATAGATTAATAGAACCTTTGGAATGAAGTAGTTCCCAATTTTTGTGTCTACAGCTGCTTGTTTGGGGAATCCAAGTGGAACAACATCCCCAAATCTTTGAATCTCATGTAAAACAGCTTCAGTATAGGGCATATTAACTCTGTCATCCAAGCAGGGTTGACGTGACTGTCCAATCACTCTGTCTATCTCTGCCTGGACTTTTTCTGACAGACAAATACAAGTTTGAACCAAAGTATGGACATTTGGACAATATGAGTATTCTTTAACCTTAAAATAAAACCACACTTACTCTGTATTTCTGGGAACTTGATCATAAAAAGCAGACCCCAGCGTAATGTAGTCGCACCCGTCTCTGTCCCAGCCTCAACTATGTCTAGGCAAGAAATGATTAAACTTTCTATGTTAAAGCCAGCTTGAGGGTCACTCTTTTTCTGGGGGAAAAATATAACAAATGCTTAATATTAAATCATTCAAATTCAAGTCTTTGAAATTCAATTAGTTACCTTTTCCATCTCAGTCAGGTAGTTGTCGATAAAGTCACGTGGGTTTGCAGGGTCCCAGTCCTCTCTGTGCTTAATAATCTCGTCTTTCAAGGACTGTGTAATCTTCTTATAGTTAGAAAATACTTTTTGGTGAGGGCCGGGCAAATAGTCCAGGAGCTTAGGAAATGCATTATACAGCTGCAAGACATAAAATAATGTGGTGATGAATAAAGGTTTTAATTATATTCACCTCAAAAGCAGCTGGGATAAGAAAGTGTTTAAAGGTGTTCACACTTGTATAGTTCAAGCGAAGTTCGGTTCTTTTGGGTTTGTTTGGTCTGTACCAAATAAGAAAAAGATTTTAGCATCGTTCACTGAGCATTCATTTATTTTCTTGTCGGCTTAGTCCCTTTATTAATCTGGGGTCACCACAGCGGAATGAACCACCAACTTATCCAGCAAGTTTTTACGCAGCGGATGCCCTTCCAGCCGCAACCCAGCTCTGGGAAACATCCACACACACATTCACACACTATGGATAATTTAGCCTACCTAATTCACCTGTACCGCATGTCTTTGGACTGTGGGGGAAACCGGAGCACCCGGAGGAAGCCCACGCGAAGGCAGGGAGAACATGCAATCTTCACACAGAAACGCCAACTGAGCTGAGGTTTGAACCAGCGACTCAGCGACCTTCTTGCTGTGAGGCGACAGCACTACCTACTGCGCCACTGCCTCGCCTCACTAAGCATTCATATTATCATAATTAAGACCGAACCAACCTGTAGGTGTACAAAACAATTTAAGGATGTATATTTTACAACAGAAATTACTGAACATCCAAAACAATGCTGTGTGCATAACTGAATAGGCTCATGGCATCATGTGTGTACATGATAGATGGAGGTGTGTTTTAACTCAAATCTTGCAAGATAAATGTTTTTTTCAATACCTGTATTGATTGTAGTGGTCAATGTTGCAACTTTGAGGAGAAAAAAATTATTAATTTTACTTTATTTCACTCATTTATTTATTTAAGTTTACTTAATCATCGGAAAAGTCCCAACAAGAGCTTTAACAAATCAACCTTGCCATGTCACAACACACCATAAAGCCAGTTGCACATGTGATGTTGACCACGATTTGGTCAATTGAGACTAATTTTAAAAGCTGTAAAAAAGTTTAGTAATCCTAAATTAAATCTGCAATCTTTAATTGATTGCCTGTTTGACATGTTCTTTAGAGCCGATTAATGGCTGTTGCGGTCAAATTTCACCCAAGTAAATTCTGTCAGTGTCAGAATATTTGAGAGACTTTTCTGCAGTGTGACTTCTAACAGTGTAATTATTTAATCATTCTTTCATTTTCCTTTAGCTTATCCCCTGATTATCAGGGGTCACCACCGTGGAATGAACCACTAAATTCTCTTTTATGCTGCACTGGGAATCCAACAGTTGTTTGACTTTCATTTAATTTTGGTTGTTAAACTTGACTGTGGGCGGCACAGTGGGTAGCGCTGTCACCTCAAAGCAAGATGGTCACTGGTTCGAGCCTCAACTGAGTCAGTTGGCATTTCTGTGTGGAATTTGCATGTTCTCTCGATATTCGTGTGGGTTTTCTCCGGGTGCTCTGATTTTCCCCACAGTCCAAAGACATTCGCTATAGGTGAATTGGATAAACAAAATGTTCATAGTGTATTTCTTTGTGTGTAAATGAGTGTGTATGGATGTTTCCCAGAGATGGGTTGAAGCTGGAAGGGCATCCACTGCGTAAAACATATGCTGGATAAGTTGGCGCTTCATTCCATACCCCAGATTAATAAAGGGACTAAGCCGAAAAAAAGAAAATGAATGAATAAAAAACTTGATTGGCTTGATTGTAATACCGTCTGACAATATGAAAGCTGGATCTTACAGCGTGACATGGAGATCATGTTTGTACAGTCTGAGGATCATAAAGTACAATCATAATCATAGAGTCTGCATGCAGCTTATATATGTTATCATGAGTCAGTACCTGTACTCTTGGAGAACCTGCCAATTGAACACACTGGTTGTCAAGACGCAGAATTTCTTGGTACCACTCGTCATTGTAGTCAAAGCGTTGCCCAAATGTCAAACAGGCAACGGTATTAGAGACAGCACCGTGTAAAATGAATATGGGGTTGAAGGGTTCTGTTTGGAAGAAAGCATAGATATTGATCAAAATAGCAAATTGTTTTCACTACTAATTAACTAAATCTCTACAGTTAGCCAGACATTTGGCCCGTACCCTTTTCTGCCTTAAAAGCATCACAAAGATAGACACACTCTTGCTGGATGCCGAGCTCCAGGTTTTTTTTCCCCTCTCCAAAAGTCCGCAAATGGGAAGCCGCAAACCTCCTATGTGACCGCCAGATGTATCCATTACTCATTGTTAAACCTGCATAACGATACATAAAGATGATTATCTTTAAAACAACACCAGCAATATAGGAATATAGGAGTTTATTTTAGGGTCATCATGGTTGGTACACCTACCGATTCCCTTGTAAACTTTGTGAAACAGAGGGACTGGTGGACGCAAAACGAAGCTATCATTCTGAGTGACGAGGGCCTCCTTTACCATTTTATATCCAGACACAATTATCATTTTCTCGCTTCCCACTCTTAAGCTGAACACCTTCCCATAGACTTTAGCCAACTGAAATTTAATGGAAAATAATTGATTTTTAACAACCATTGAAAAAAACAGGCGAAACACCAGTAAAAGTAATCAATTTGACGTGAGAAAAAGTATTAAAGTACATAAGCTGCGTGTACTGAAATATTAAAAGTAAAAAGTAATCCTTGCAAAAGTATTTATTTTGAAAGAAAGTTGTGTATTTAAATTATTTGTAATACTACCAGTTAACAATAGCTATTAATTATTATTCACGTATGCAAAGAAGTGAAAATAGTCAATAAATAGCAAACTAAATAAACAGAATTAACTGACATTACATGGGGCAAAATAATGATTAAGAAAAATCTGATTACATCATTTGTAACTGGAAAGACAAATTGTGTTGTTTTAATGTTATGTTTAATTTTTACCCAAAACAGTATATCAAAACAAGCAGCAGTTCTCACAAATCATAAATAGTAGTCCTTAAAATATGAATCCTAAAATTCAGGATGAATATAAACTTGTTTTTCATGCCATCAGTCACATGTGCACGCATTATAGGAATCTTCTGTTCTTTGATCATTTAGTGAATCATTAATTGGAGACTCACTCTGACCGGATCATTTAATCTAGTGAGTTTTATACTCGAAAACAGATGCAGTCACATTGGTTCAATTTTCTAAGCTATGTAACAGGTTAAATGCAATGGGAAAAAATACGATTTAATGCTTCGTAATGTACTGAAGTAAAAGTTTCCCAAAATAAAATACTTCAATAAAGTACAGATGCTTGAAGACTACAGCTGCAGAGGAAAACATGTGCTACTATTCAATGCTGACTGTTAGTAACTGAGAGAAAAAAATGACTGTATTTTGGAATTACTGCCCAAAACCAACCTAGAATGAAGGCAATAATAAGTGTAAACTGAAAATCATGCAAAATAGTGTAAAAATGTATATATAGATCCTACCTTATTTATGTTCTTAAAATCCATTTTAGTGAAGACAGTTCCCAGGAATGGCAAAGGCCAGGGTCCTGGTGGGTAATTGGATGGAGTCCTATTTTTGATCATTTCAGCAATGATCAGAAAAACAACAAAGAAAATGATCCAGCTTTTAAAATCAAAGCTGTCATATATCAGGTGCAGGATCATGGTGGTGGAGAAAATGTCACGTTCCCCTCGTCTTATCTGAACTCTGCAGTCAGTAAATGCACACTGGTGTAATGCCTACTTTTATACTGGACTGCAGGCACATGTAGGGGGTGGCTGCCGTTTTTTCTTTTCTCGAGAGAAAATGCCCTTTATTCTGGGGAGTTTTCCTTACAGTGCATAAACAGTGCTCAGCATAAATGGGCACACCCCACCACAGATTTCTTTTTAAATAAATATTTTCATTATGATGCTTTACATTTAATTATTTGTGTAAACATGAGATCCAACTAAAAGTCAAAACTGGAACTAATCTAACAAAAAAAAAAAAAAAAACTTGAGATCACAGTTTAGAAATTAGCTCACTCAAATGAATATGTTTGGGGGGGGGAAATCAAAAGAAAAAGAAAAAATTTGTAAATTTAAGAAATCATTTTTTTTTTTTGTTTAAAGTTTTAAAGTAGTTTAGTTTAGTTTATTTATATAGCACATTTTTTACAACACAACGTTGCCCAAAGTGCTGAACACAATCAATACTAAACATGAAATCTACATCACATAAATAACAATTAAAACATAAGGCAAATCCCTCAACATTAAAAAGGCTCAAATACTAAGGAACAAAGATGGTGTTTCAAACGCTTTTTAAAAACAGGTAGAGTTGGAGCATGTCTGATGTGGGGCGGAAGCCCGTTCCAGAGTTTTGGGGCGACAACAGCAAAAGCCCGATCCCCACTTCGCTTACACCGGGACCTTGGTACAGATAGAATAAATTCATCAGAAGACCTCAGTGACCTACCAGGATTGTATACGTGTAGCAGGTCTGATAAGTATGATGGTGCCAGATTGTTTAAGGATTTAAAAACAAAGATCAATAGTTTAAAATCAATTCTCGACCTAACAGGCAGCCAGCCCAGAGAGGAAAGAACTGGGGATATGTGCTCAAACTTGCGAGTCCCTGTCAGAAGTCTCGCAGCTGCATTCTGTACTAATTGCAATCTGTTTAGGGCATTTTGACTAATACCCACATACAGAGAATTACAATAGTCAAGTCTTCCCAGAATAAAAGCATGTTAAGTTTTTTTTTTTTTTTGCTAAAGCTTATTTAAATTTAAATGTATCATCTTTCTATTCCTAAAAAAGTTAGGTGACCAAACTCTTATTTTTAAAGGATATAACTATTTAATAAAACTGTTTTGCTTAAACGCACCAACAATTATTGGCTTATTTAGTGAGAAATTGATCAAAATATAAATTTTCAAAAGTGCATCTGTCAAGTCTACTCACCGGCGTGAAGCACACTAAGAATTGCAAGATGTTTTTCCAGAAGCATGAAGTGTTGATAAGTGTACTTAAAATAACTTCAATTCTAGGTTTATACAGTTTCAATACAGTAGCTGTTCTATAAGTACTGTAGCTATTCTGTATAATATGTTATGCTTAGCACTATATATAATAAAATAATATAGTTTTTGTGTTCTGTTTGCAGAGTTTTAACTGTCAACCCCGTTTTTTAAATAATTATAGGAAATATTGAGACTTTCAATTTCCTTTTTACTTCTCCACACAGGTGTGCGTCACATGAGCACTCTGGTTCCTTTTTCCTTTTTACAGTACCTGCATAACACTTACTGTCTGACATCTGTTACTGTAACAAACTTTGATCGACAGAACCACCAAAGTAAATTTGTCCATCTTTCATCTTTATGGAGGTGAGCAGTGATTAACAAAAGACAATGCTACATTTGGCTCAAATTTACAGCTAATTATCCAACAGACCAAAGGCATTTATTGTCAGTTTGTCTTGTTAACATGAGCAGATATGTAATGTTACGTAAAGTTTGGCCAAGACAATATATCATGGCCATACAGTCAGAATTTAAAGGGACATAAAACCTGTAACCACTGACTTCCATATTCCTTTTTTCCCCTTTAATGGAGAAAAGACAACCGAATTGTGAAAATACAGTATGTCTCTCTATTTTCATTTACTGTATATTGAATATATAACATTACTTGAAACTAGTTACCGGTGCATAAAAAATCATGCATTGTTTCCTAACCTGTTTTTGTGATAAAATGTTTGAATTCTATGGAGGATTATGCATGAGTATTTAATAGAAAAACTAACGTGTGAGGGAAATACAATTTTAAAAGACATAAAATTTGTGTCAGATTTGCGTAAAAGGGATGGTCCTTTCAAAAATGCATTGTAAAAAAAACTTACATTTTAAATTGTTCACTATCTGCCTGTTCTAAACCTGTTTTAGTATCTTTCTTTTTTGGGTAAAAAAATAAGATGTTTTGAGGAATAAGTGGCAACCAGTAACCAGTTGCTTCCATAGTCCATGCATTACATAATGTACACCAGACACCAGGAAAGTTGTCATCTCTGAATCAATAAATCAAGAGTAAAAGTTTGAAGATATAAATAATATACATTTAAAAAGATGCTGTGCATGTGTTTGTATTTCTTTTTGGAGATTTTATTTCACATGCATATAGCATCATTTGGTTGTTCTACCTTTTTTAACTTTGGTACAATTTAAGGTTCATTAGAAAGTTCAAAGGTACATCTGAAAAATCATTAACTTGAAACATGTTGGTTTGCCACCTGTCTGTTTGCTTTATCTTTCTCTGTTTTGTATTTTTAGGGATATCAATTTTGACAAGTGCCTTCCCAAATTTGATTTATATAGAAATAATAAAAAACACTTTGTAAATATTTTGAATATTTATAAACATGAACATTTAACTATAAAAACAAATTGCTATTAGGATTACAGTAATATGAAATGTCAAAGGAAAATTATTTGCATGTTTATAGATATACAAGCACATGCAGAATGTTACACTAACTTCAGGTGAAGTCAGAATTATTAGCCCCCTTTTGATTTTTTTCCCCTTTTTTAACATTTCCCAAATGATGTTTAACAGAGCAATGAAATTTTCACAGTATGTCTGATAATATTTTTTCTTCTGGATAAAGTCTAATTGGTTTTATTTTGTCTTGAATAAAAGCAGTTTCTAATTTTTAAGCCATTTTAAGATCAAAATTATTGGCCCCTTTAAACTATATTTTGTTTAGACTACAGAACAAACCATCATTATACAATACCTTGCGTAATTACCCTAACCTGCCTAGTTATCCTAATTAACCTAGTTAAGCCTTTAAATGTCACTTTAAGCTGTATAGAAGTGTCTTGAAAAATATCTAGTCAAATATTATTTACTGTCATCATGGCGAAGATAAAATCAATCAGTTATTAGAATTGAGTTATTAAAACTATTATGTTTAGAAATGTGCTGAAAAATCTCTCTGTTAAAACAGAAATTGGGGGAAAATAAACAGGAGGGCTAGAAATTCTGACTTCAACTGTATAATATAATTTCTTCCTAATTTAAAATAAAGATATTGAGTAGGAGCAAGTGGTCTCTTTTTTAATGTATTTACGTTATAAATACAGCTCCCAAATAATATGGTTTTATAGCTTGTAAAACATGATCAGGGCAATAAATCTGAGCAAAACAAGTAAGTCTTTAAACATTTTTTTTTTCAGTTTTAAATAACAGATACTTCAAATAGTAAAGAAAGAGTCAAAATCCACATTTTGAATTCAGGATATGTGCAAATCTGTATTTGGTTTTGGAGTCCTTCACAAGCTGATGAATTGATTGTGCTGTGTTTGATTAGGAAAAGTTGTACAGTGTTGCTGTGTGCGTGCAGGAACAGGGTTGGAAAACACTGATGTAAAAAAAGGCCACTAATTCAGTTTAGACAGCATTTAGTTGAATAAGAGCATTTTCTCTGCCTCCTGTGTGTGTTCAGTAATTTCACTTTTGTGGCAATAAATAGGTTTTGTTTATTTGCCTTTAAACTGAAATAACTGAAGGAGACTAAGAAAAATGTTCATTTCAGAAGACCCAGATGGCATGTTGAGGCTTTTGCATCTGAACTCTTCATGTCTACTTTATCCTGCACTGTTAGGTCTTTGTGTTCATATAGGTATCTCAATATTGTCTGTTTTACCGTCTGTCTAAAGCAATTCAGTTAGTTTCAGCCTATGTTTGCAAACCAATCTGACCAATTCATTGAGAAGAAAGTATTCTCTTAGGGTGAAGATTAGACCACTACAGCATCCACAACTAGTTAGAGAGGTTACGCTATACTTAACTTTATCTAAAATATCTTAACAGGCATTCAAGGCAGCCATTATTGAGTCTGCAAGAGCACATGAAGTGTGTGTCATCTTGGACTGGGTCATGTTCACTGATAATGACAGGACTACATACTGTTTGTCCCACACAAATATTTGTGTAGAATTTTATTTTGCAAATGAGTAAAGCCCTATTTTAGTCAACAGAAGCAGAGCACCCAATAGATTGCAAGGGAATATTTATCATATCTGTTGGATAAAAATACAGACTGTGGAATGTATTTTTAACAGAAATATAGATTGAAATTATGAATGTAAAATGTTAAAAACAGTAGACTACTGGCTGGTATTTTCCTGTAAAATCACGAAAGGGCGAAAAAAAAAAAAACAGCAAAACGTTTTTGTGTCACCATTGTGGAGGATAGTAGCATCTGTGTTCAAGTCCAAGATGGACTGAGTGTATCTGATGTTGTGCTGCATCTTTTTTTGTTTTAAGGTAACTGTGTAGTTACTAATGAAGTGAAAATCTGTTTGTTAATTGCAATCACACATGAACACATTAATGCATAACTTTACATTTTTGTGAACTAAGCTATAATTTTGTAAACTGAACATTGTAGTTCATGAAATACTGTTATTTTTGTAATTTTATTCAGTTCTATAAAACTGTATTTTTACACAGAAAACTTCTGGCAACCACAGGTGATGGTATTTTTTCGTAAATAGTTAACAGATATTTTACACTATAAGAGTTTGCTAATTAACACTCTCAGTGTTGATAATGTTAACACTTTCAAAAGTGTTATTTTACACTTTTTAGTTATTCACATATAAACTCTGAGGGAGTGTTAATTTTAACTCTAAGGTAGTTAAATCTACTATCTAAAATTTGCAGTGTAAACTGGGAAAATCTGAACAGTAGGATTTATTTGAAAAGAGCAACATTAAAAAACAATTTCTTTTTTTTTTCAAACAAAAATCAAAATATGGGTAAAATATGGACAAACCCAACCTCTAGGTTAGAAATTTAACCCAAACATTGGGGTTAGCCATAGCTTATCCAGGATTGAATTTAAATAACCCAGGAAACTGTATGGCATAATACATTCCACGCTTCTACAAACCCTAATCACCAGTTTATTTATTTTAAAACTATCCACAGGGCATATTTAACCACACGTATACGACAAATCATAGGTTTATCTCCAGATCCATATTGTAAGTTCTGTGAACCACAGCGTCTAGATACCTTTTTACATATGATGTGGGAATGTCCGGAGGTACAAAAACTTTGGGATTCGGTGCTAGACATTTTATTTAAAGTTACAAAAATCTGTTTCCCTAAAGACCCTATACTGTTACTATTGAATGATAACTCTCAATTTCCCTTAAATGCAAAGGTCCGTAAATTTTGGTTAGCTGCTTCAACTGCTACAAAGAAAATGTTGGTACAAAGGTGGAAACCTCCTCATGATCTCTCAGTTAAGCACTGGTTACATTCATTATTGGAAATACTGTATCTGGAACTGTCATCAGCACGGATCAACCATGCCAAAGTAGACATTCTTACGGCATGGAAAATCTACATATGCAACATCAAAGAAATCTTGGACACTTAACCCTCATCTTATGCTACGGATGACAACTTAATGGAAATTATCTAACAGCTTGGTCTAAACTATAGTTATTCTGTGTTTCCTGATGTGCGTATAATGGGGTGGGGGGGTGGGGAATATATATGGGGTTATATCTGTTAAAAGTATTTTGTTATCTGATTGTAAAAATTGTATATTCTCACTTTCGGAAATAAAAAACTGAATTACAAAAAAAAAAAAAAAGAATTTAAATAACCCAGTATTTTTTAGAGTGTAGGAAATAATTTGCAATATACAATAATTAAAAAGAGCAAAGAAATGTATGTTTTGTATATTTTGTATTTTTCTGTGTCTTAGATTTAGAATAACAAGATGTTTTCAAGAAGGTTGGGATGCTTATACAAAGGTGTCTGGTGCACATGGAGAGAAAAAGAATGTCTTCCACAGTTGGTTTGTCAAGTCCACTCACCTGAGCGAAGCACACTAAGAATTGCAAGATGTTTTTTCCAGAAACAAGGAGTGTTGATAAGAAAGTACTTCATATAACGTCAATAATCCTTGCTTTATTATACATCTTCAAGCATTTTTACAATGATTTTCAATTGTAATATAGTAGCTATTCTATAGGTAGCTATTCTTTATATTTGAAACCTGATTACATTATTAAACTCTTTATTATGTTATACAAGTCTCAGACTTGTATAACTGCAGGCCATGCTTAGGAAATAATCAGGGTAAAAAAAAAAAAATCTTAAACACTTTGGACATCCTGGTCCATCAACACTTTATAGCAGATATACTAAATTATCACAAAAGAAAAATAAGACTGAGCTAATTAAAAATGTCTGTATACACACTAACGAGAGGACACACAAATGTGAAAGGGAGCAGGAGCATACGTGAACCAAATCTCGCCTTCCAAACTGGGTTCTTCTCCTGGACATTTGGAGATTTTGAACTGCTGCAGCAGAGAGGTGAAATATAAGAAAAGCTCCTGACGAGCCAGATTTTCACCCAAACACGCTCTCTTGCCTGTGAACACATGCCGTCAGCTGAAGTCAAATACATGTTGAAGATAAAACATATTTCATACTAAACCAAAATCAATTCATTTAAAAGGATGTAAGTTTACAAAATATTACCTGCAGAGAAAGGCATGAAGGCATCTCTTTTCCGGAACTGGCCAATTTCATCCAGGAAATGTCCTGGGTTGAAGGTGTCTGGGGTTTCCCATTCATTTGGATCATGCAGGACCGAAGACAGGTTTACTGTAATAGCTGTGCCCTGATAAAAAAGAGAATGAAAACTTCACTATTTTACACAAGATCAGACCCCAAACATACAATAAAATAGAAATGCATACCTTAGGAATGAAATATTTCCCTAGTTGTGTGTCTTTAACAGCCCGTTTAGGGAATCCCAGTGGAACAACATCCCCAAATCTTTGAATCTCATGAATCACAGCTTCAGTATAGGGCATATTAACTCTGTCATTCAAGCAGGGTTGACGTGACTGTCCAATCACCCTGTCTATCTCTGCCTGGACCTTTTCTGAAAGATGAAACACAAATATTATTTCTGTATTCTGTGTTGTAAGATATGGAAAATGCCTGGGCATGATGCATTCCCTAGCTAACTTGCAGATGACATTTCATTTCACTTGTAGATGACTTGCAGTTCTTGTTAAATTTCCATCCTGCTTCAAATGAAGATCTGCATACTCACCTTGTATTTCTGGAAACTTGATCATAAAAAGCAGACCCCAGCGTAAGGTTGTAGTTGCAGTCTCTGTCCCGGCTTCAATCAGGTCCAGACAAGTAACCACTAACCCCTCTATGTTAAAACCAGCTTCAGGGTCACTCTTTTTCTGTGGAAAATGGGAATTATTAAACACATTTATGCACAATATGCATAAACTCGTGGAGCGTTCAAATTTGGCAGGTTTAGTCTGATGAAATCTCTTTTGAATAAGTGTGAATGCACACTTTATAGTTTTGAGCAGCGGAGTAATTCCTGGCACTGTTTTGACTCTTTTACACAATTTAAATGCTATTCACAAGTTTTGAGTTATCAGATACCACCACATGCACTGACAATACAACAATCTTGTTTATCCAAGTAAGCGGCATTATTAATAATATAAATATATGATGTAAAAATACCAAGAAAAAAATAGCATTTTGTTTTTTACCTTTTAATATACAGACCAAATGAACAAATACATGATGCAGCACATAGGTTGATCAAATATTATCCAAACAAATAATCCAACAAATATATCAGTATTTCAAAGGCTTAAAAAAGAAAAATACACTGTAGTTACCCTTTCCATCTCAGTCAGGTAGTTGTCTATAAAGTCACGTGGGTTTGCAGGGTCCCAGTCCTCTCTGTGCTTAATAATCTCCCCTCTCAGGAAGTCTTTGATCTTCTTATAGTTGGAAAAAATTGTCTGGTGAGGGCCGGGTAAATATTCAAAGAGCCAAGGACATGCATTATACAGCTGTAAGACATGACACAATGGGTGATAAATATCAACTTTTGATTGAAGTAAATGCACAGGAAGTTGGAATATAAAGCAGTGTCGAAGCGTAATGACTCAGTACCTGTGCCCTAGGAGAACCTGCTAACTGAATGCATTCAGTGTCGAGACGCAGAATTCTTTGGTAATATTCATCATGATAGTCAAAGCGTTGTCCAAATATCAAGCTGGAAATGATATTCGAGATTGCACTGTTTAAGGTGACCATGGGGTCGACAGGTCCTATTTAAGAGAAAACACAGTTATATATACATACAAAATCATTTGGTAAATTCTTGCATTTTGTTTGTACATTCATAAAACCCATGAAAGATTCAATTCCAAGACAGCAAGGCAATAAATACCCTTTGCATACCCTTTTCTGCCTTAAAAGCATCACAAAGGAAGATGCACTCCTGTTGGATCTTGACCTCAAGACTTTCATTCCCCACTCCAAAGTTTCGCAAATGAGAGACTGCAAACTTCCTATGCATCCGCCAAAGGTATCCATTACTTAGTATCGTACCTTCATAATGTAAATTAATCAAATGATTTCAGTAATTGATGAGTGATATTAATTAAGTGGACAGTGAATGTATTTCCTTAATTTTAAGCATAAAAGACTGTATGGTCAGTGCACTTACCAAGTCCCTTAAATACTTTGTGAAACAGAGGAACATTTGGACGATCAATGAAACTGTCATTCTGAGTAACGAGGGCCTCCTTTGCCATTTTATATCCAGAAACAATTATCAATTTCTCACTGCCTAGTCTTAAGCTGAATATTGTCCCATAGACTTGAGCCAACTGAAATTGAAAATACATTTACATTAAAATATTATGTCTGTATGTTCCCTTTTCTTGAATATGACACATTTTCTCCATGCTTCATGAGTGTTTTATTTTCTGCAAGAGTTTATAACTGGCATTCACCAAGAAACAATCTGACTTAAAAAAAAAAAAAAAGTTTTAAGGCGATGTAAATAAGCAAATTATGAGCTTTTCTCCTACCTTATTTATGTTTCTGAAATCCTGAATTTCAGTAAAGACATTTCCTAAAAATGGTAGAGGTCGTGGTCCCGGTGGGAAACTGGAAGGATTCCAGTACTTAATCAAATCTACAAGAAGCAGTAAACCAAATCCTAAAAGGATCCAGCTTTTAAAATCAAAGTTTTCATATATAAACTGCAGGATCATTGTGTTGATAAAAATGTAACTTCTCCTTTGCCACTGAATACAAAAGTACTGTCTGGAGCCCTGCAATCTCTAAATGATCAGGCTGTCTTTTTGAGCTAAGCAGTTTGTTTTGTCAAAAGTGAGACAGCCCAGACCCCGCCTTTTCATACTTAGGAGGCCCCTGGTGAGACACAAAATGTAAACATTCCAGAGAGCAGCCTCTCAGATAATTCCAGGAAAGAGGGAGAAACAGACCCCTATTAGGTACTTTGCAAAAAGTCAACAAAACAAATCTATAACGTTACTCATTTGTTTAATGATTTTGTCGATTGCTATTAATGTCGTGTATAGTTGTCCGTCGCAGACTCAAACCTAATTTTTATAGTGCAAGGGGCGTATTAGTATATCAGCCAATAAAATGCTCCGTAACAGTTTGCACTAGAATGCTATTTGCTGGCGCTCATGTCAATCATTCAAGGCAAAAAGCCGTCACGCGCTTTACTTCAGTGAATGATAAATATAAGAGTTCGCTCGGTAAAAACACTTAAGCGTTCACTATTACAAATCGACTCGCTCTCTATGAATGTCAAATCTTCTTAAGTGCTTATTTTTCAGACAATTGGTTTGTAGTTAAGAAACGAAAGCAAACCGGGAAGTAAACAACTGGCACACACGTAAGTTAACGTAAGTGTAGAATACAGGTAAACGCGTAAAATGGCGTTGGAAAACATCTTGTTGCATTTAAACTCAAAAGTGTGGACAGATGCAGGTACGATATTACTATTGTTCATCCTCTTTCTGCTGGTCTCAGTCAAACTGAGAAACAGAAATAAGCCACATAAAAACCTTCCTCCTGGACCCACACCTCTTCCCTTTATTGGGAATGTTTTCAACCTGGATACTTCACAACCTCATATTGACTTAACTAAGGTAATTCTTATTTGTTATTACATGTTGTGATTTGATTTCTTAAATATTCGACAGCTTAAAACCTGAATTTCAAATATATTCCAATATAGAAATCTGATATATGGAAATGTATGCAATTTACATGACGTCCAATTTTATATTTGGATTTCACATCTTATAAAATATGTTCAACAAGTACTCATGTTTTCAAATATATTTGATAAAATTGTGTTTTCTTATTTGCCCATACATGAACACATAAAGTTATAGCTGATATTTAAACTTGGGCGATATGGTGGCTCAGTGGTTAACACTGTCACCTCACAGCAAGAAGATCACTGGTTCATGTCCCGGCTTGACCATTTGGCATTTCTGTGCGGAGTGTGCATGTTTTTCCTGTGTTTGTGTGGGTTTCATTCGATTGTTTCCCCGACAGTCCAAAGACATGCACTTTACATGAATTGAGTAAACTGGATTGGCTGTAGTTGCAGCTGGAGGGTCATCCGCTGTGTAAAACATATGTTGGATAAGTTGGCGGTTCACTCCACTGTGGCGAACCCTGAATAAAGGGACTAAGCTGAAGGAAAATGAATGAATTTAAACATGTACATTTGTAAATCCAATGGTTGACATATGTAAACTGGCATTTTGCAACAATTTGAAATGAATGTTGCATATATACTTGGATATTCATTCATTTGTTCATCTTTTTTTTCGGCTTAGTCCCTTTATTATTCAGGGGTCGCCACAGCGGAATGAACCACCAATTTATCCAGCATATGTTTTACACGTCACTGGGAAGCATTCATACACACTCATTCACACTCCTACACTATGGACAATTTAGCCTACCCAGTTCACCTATACCACATGCTTTTGGACTTGTGGGAGAAACCAGGGAACCCAGAGGAGAACATGCAAACTCCACACAGAAATGCCAACTGGCCCAGCCGCCGGGGCTTAACCCAGCGACCTTCTTGCTGTGAGGCAATTGTGCTACCAACTGCACCACCGTGACACCCTACTTCAGGGGTCTCAAACACGCGGCCATTTGCGGCCCTCAGTGCAATATTTTGTGGCTCCCCGCTCCGCTGATTCTATCCGTACACAGCGGTCACTGGCATTCCCCGCCCGCCGTGTAAACAAAGGGGCAGGGATGCCGGTGACGTCACCACGCACCCCGCCCCTTTGTTAGATGCTGTGACGGGCGGGAAGTGTTAGGAGGGAACTCGCGCCGGCCAGAACCAAGCTTTTCCCGCCCCTGCCTGCCACTTAGCTACCTATCTGCAGCCTGCCACCTACCTAGCTACAGCCTGCATCTTATATATATTATAGGTAGATACAGACTGGTACAGACTGATGTGACTGGAGTGGGGTTCAAGCGGACCATGTGCCTTTTTGGGAGCACATATTTGTGTGAGAAGTTATTCTCCACCTTGAACTTCAATAAGTCAAAGTACAGGTCTAGACTTAATGATGATCATTTTCAAGCCATACTGAGGGTCTCAACTGCTTCCGCTCTAAAGCCAAATGTGGTTCAGATTTGTGAGAAGCGCTGTCAAGTCTCTGGCAGCAAGAAGTAGGCAAAAGATGCCATGTTCAGAAGAACTGTTCATAATCTTCACTCAATGTTTTATTAATGTTCAGGACACTTCATGTTCAGAAGAAATAATGAAAACTGTTAATAATGACATTTGAGGACTTTTTTTTTGTGTAATCCCTTATGTGGCCCAGCCTCACCCAGACTTTGCCTCCTGCGGCCCCCAGGTAAAGTGAATTTGAGACCCCTGCCCTACTTAGATATCATTTATGTAACTTTTATATTTCCATATATCATTCTTCTATATGAGAAGTCTGATGTCTTAGGTGCTGTTCACTAAAACATGATGATTCTTTAATCATTTACAATTTTTTTTCGTCTGTTCAATATAAAAGATGTTTTGAAGATGTGTAACGGTTGTTAATCCTCACTGACTCTGCATGATGGAAAAATACTAAAGGGGTAAATGTAGATCAAAAACTGGTTATTAACATTCTTGAAAATATCAGAGTAAAAGAAATCAATTTAGGTTTGAAACAAATTCAGGTTGAGTAAGTAATAATAATTTTGGTGACACTTTTTATGCCTATTAACCTTTTTAATTAATTTGTTTTTACATGTTTATCTTTTTTTCATCATGCAGATGTCGGACCACTATGGCAACATATTCAGCTTGCGTCTGGGAAGCTTAAACACAGTTGTTGTGAACACCTACAGTATGGTGAAGAAAGTTCTTAATGACCAGGGCAACTCTTTCATGTACCGCCCAGTCAATGATATCACCGAAAGAATATCCAAGTGCCAAGGTGAACATTAATTTGACATTTTAACTCTCTGTAAACATCACATATTTTATATTGTGTAATGTCTCGCGACAGGTCTAACCTTTAATAATGGCTACAGCTGGAAGCAACATAGGCGTTTTACTCTAAGTACTCTTAAATTCTTTGGTGTGGGAAAGAGAAGCCTGGAATTCATCATCATGGAGGAGTACAAATTCTTGCACCAGTCCATCATGGATACCAATGGTAAAGTACTACAGTGAGATGATAGAAATCATAATAGGTGGAGTGATAATAAGAGTTGTAACCTGGCTAATTGTTTAGCTTTACTTTGTATTTAAATATATGTTGTCAAATTATATATTATAAATATATAATAAATAAATGTTGTTTGCATAATATTTTATGACAAGAGACATCATATATTTTATGATTTACAAGGAACTTCTAAACACTGTCGCCGCTATTGTTACACACCACTTTGAGTGTTACACAGGCTTGCCGGTGCATGTTTTCCAGGTTTTTGCTATACAAACACAAACAATTGTGTATATGATTGAAATGCCCAGATGGTCTTGAAAAAATAGTCATACTTAGGTTCTTTGTGGTTAAAAATTAGTGCCATTGATTAGCATTAGTGATCTTTGATGATGTTTAAATATAAAGTGTATCCATATAAGCAATAAATAATGTTTGTAAGATTTATACACATATAAGTAATACTATTTATAAACTAGGTAATACACAGCTTTATTTATTCCACCAAAAGAACTCACACTTCAACTTCCATCCATGAACTGGATTTTAAGTACACTTTTAAATAATTTCTGTGTTATTTAATAAAAACAAATAAATGGTGAAAAAACACTTCTTTTCAGTCTATTTGGACAAAGAAATGGAGGAAAAACTAGTGGAAATTTGACAGGAGCCTGTTTGATGTGTCATCTGAGCAATACCACAACCGGGTCCAAAAAGAAAAAAAGTGAAGGAGAAATTATTCCTTTGAAAAGTCAGATGTGCATAATAAGTACATTTTCTACCCCACTAAAGGCTTCTTCCCCATCCCAGATTTATCTTGCAGTGTAAACACAGCAGTGACTAAATGCTACCCCAGATAGTCATACAGTGTGAAAACATCTGTGATGCGACTACCTTGAAAATCATGCAGTCTGAACTCAACATAAGTTAGAAATAGCTGATAAATAAGGACACAAGCCATGTGTAGGAAGCAGAATATCATTGATTTGCATTCATTTGACATGGGCTAGCAAGCAACTTTTTAGAAAGCGAGTAAGCAATAAGCTCAGAACGCTTTAGCAACACTTTTGACAAGTACCCCTAACATAATCTAGTTCGACACCGAAACCAGTTTAACCTGTTTTTCTATTTTTACCAGGGCTGCCATTCAACCCTCATTACATCATTAACAATGGCGTCTCCAACATCATCTGCTCTATGGTGTTTGGAAGAAGGTTTGAATACACTGACCAGAGGTTTCTGAACATGCTCAGTCTGATTTCTAAAGCCCTTAAACTACAAACGTCTGTGTTTATACAGGTGACAAAGTGATCATTCCAATGATGAGTAGACACCCAATTACTAGTCAAAAATAAATGGATAAAAGACAGATGGCCACCTCAGCTGACCTTCTACTTGTCCATTATAGCTTTATGCTGCTTTTCCTCGTCTTATGGACCTCCTCCCAGGACCTCATAAAGAGCTGTTTTCCTGCTTCCACCAAGTTCGTGCTTTTATTAAGGAGGAGGTGGACAAACATCGTGCAGACTGGGACCCCTCTTCACCTAGAGATTTTATAGACTGCTATTTGACTGAAATAGAGAAGGTACTATCTATCCTTCTCTGAGCATTTCCATGGCCTGATTATTGTTAAAGATGGTGAAATATTGCACTTCTTTTAACCTAACTTTGCTGGTTGTTTGTGTTGTTTTTGTTTTTTTACAGAAGAAAGATGATTTGGAAGCAGGATTTCATGATGAGGGTCTGCAATATGCCGTTCTTGATTTGTTTGTGGCAGGAACTGAGACCACATCTACCACTCTACTGTGGGCCTTTGTGTACATGATGAAATATCCAGAAATCCAAGGTAAAATGCCCCAGATTACTAGTAAATTCAGTTTATGTTTGGGATAAATACATATAAGGATCATGTGGTCATTAAAATACAATAGTTTGTGTGTGTGGTTCTGATGTGCATCTAATATGTTAGATGCATATTACAGAATTATATAGAATCAAATGTTATATTCATGTGTACAGAAAAGGTCCAGGCAGAAATAGACAAAGTTGTTGGACGGTATCGCCGACCCAGCATGGATGACAGACCCTGCATGCCATACACTGATGCTGTTATCCATGAGATCCAGCGAATGGGCAATGTTGTTCCCCTTAGTGTGCCAAGAATGACTAATGAAGACACAATACTGGAAGGATATTTCATTCCTAAGGTGAGATGAATATTAAAACATTGATATGAGTAGTTTTTGTTTTCAGCATTGTACCAAATATGTACCAAAATAAGCCCACAGAGAATTGTAATGTGTTTTTTATTTTTTATTTTATTAGGCTTTCTTGTGAAAATAGCTTCAGCATTTGATGCCATTAAAATCTCCACTACAAAAAGTTTAAATTTAGTTTTTAGTTTTAATCATAGGTGTGGGTGTGTGTGTGTGTGTGTGTATATATATATATATATATATATATATATATATATATACACACATATATATATATATATATATATATATATTATAATAATATTATTATCTACTTTTTATTGTTTCTTAAGGGTACACAGATTATTCCTAATCTGACCTCAGTTCTGTTTGATCAAACTAAGTGGAAGACACAACATTCATTTGACCCACAGAATTTTCTTAACGCTCAAGGCAAGTTTGAAAAGCCTGAAGCTTTTATCCCCTTCTCATTAGGTGAGTGTTTTGGTCTTTATTAACAATTGTACTTAATATTAATGGTGTCTGTACAATATAAACAAACATCTGTCTTTATTTCAATCATCGAAGGAAAGCGATCTTGTCCAGGAGAATCACTTGCCCGCATGGAACTTTTCCTCTTCTTCACATCTTTTCTACAATCCTTTAGTTTGTCTGCTCCAGACGAAACTCAAACAAGCTTGGATTTTAAATTTGGAATGACGCTGTCTCCAAAGCCATTTAAAATTTGTTTCACTCCTCGTTGATATTTTTCTTGATTTTCCTTTGGTGTGTTTTCTGCACAATATTGTTTAGATATTTTAGCTTTCCTTTCAAATGAGACTTAATATTTCTTTATCTGAGATTGTTACAAGTTATCTACTAGACTACAGTAATAAAGCTAATAACCTGTTAAATGGCTTTTATTTCTCTTGTTTATCCTTTAAAAAGATCTATATATTATATATATACTATATATATTTAGAAAGCTTTTGTTTTGTTTGTTATTTTGGCCTTACCCTCTCATGATGATTTTGGCTAGGGGAATTTTCATTTAAGTATCTCTTTGTTATGTTTACCCTTTCTGGAAATGTAAAAATTATATATATATTGAACTTTGTTAAACAGTGAATAAAAGAGAAAATTTTTCTTTTGAAATCTCTTTTCAGAGTTTTTTTTATTATTATATCTGAATTGAAAGTATGCTGGGATAGAGAAAAAGGAGATTCTCCACTCACGTTATTAAATATTAATTTATTATTAATTCGATCAAATTAAAATTTGATTGTTTTTTTTATTTATCTATTTATCCTAATTAATTTTTTTTTGTGTGTTACCTTTTTCTCCGTACCCTTAGAAAGGAGATAAAATGTAACATTAGCTTACTCTGTCTTTAAATCATAACTGCATTTCGTTTCTAATCATGACTGAATATTTTGAAAGGGCTCTGGCAAACTTGATCTTCCTATCATGAATTATTCCTATTATTAACAGTCATCATAATAAAACCTGGTTCAGATTAGCTTACACACCAACTCAGTCTATAGTGAAAATTGGTCTTGGTATAAGTAATAATATATAAAACTGCACACGGACAAAACAATACCTAAGGAAGTGTAAGTCATGGACCTGTTGCATCTTTACGAGTGGATTGATATCAAGACTATTTTGTTATTCACACTTGTGTTTTTATTATTGGGTGATTACATTAAAAACAAACTCCCTAAAACTTTTCACCCGGACCTTGGTCTTTGCCGATTATTGGAGACGTCCATATCAATCACAAGAAGATTCCTCTTCAGTTGGAAAAGGTCATATCGAGCTGCTTATTAGCTGATTGTGGAGCGATCATAAACATTGCATTTCAGACTGTAGCCCACAGCTTTTTCAGCTGTATTCATGTTTTTTTTTTCAGTTTGCTGAAAAATATGGAAATGTTTTAAGCATACAAATTCTCGGAATAAGATTTGTTGTTTTGATTGGGTACAAAACAGTGAAAGAATTCTATGCACAAGGTGACAGTCTCACTGATCGACCCATATTGCCAATATTTTATGACATCTTTGGAGACAAAGACTAGTCAATCTGGTAACCTAAAGGTTCACTTTTCACTGTTACTGACAGTCCCACACGTATAACAGAAAATAATGGCACAAAGAACAGTGTGTGTGTGTGTGTGTGTGTGTGTGTGTGTGTGTGTGTGTGTGTGTGTGTGTGTGTGTGTGTGTGTGTGTGTGTGTGTGTGTGTGTGTGTGTGTGTGTGTGTGTGTCTTCTTTTCAAAGAAGTTTTTAAAAACACAACATCATTACAGCATGACTGAGAAAGAGGCCCTAGCGTTACTTCTTGCCCTCCAGCACTTTGTGGTTGGTAGCAACTTACCTGTCGTGATTTACACTGACCACGACCCTTTGGTTTTTCTCCAGCGCATGGTCAACTCCAGTCAGAAGCTAATGATGTGGTGGTCATAAAGCATAGTAGTGCAAGGTTTTAACATTGACATCCGCCACAGGTATGGTACAGAAAACGATATTGTCAATGCTCTTTCTAGAGCTTGATATGTGTTTGTTTTCTGATATTAGTTGTCAACATTTTTTTTTGTTTTTTTTGACTTAAATGGGTGGGGGTGTTGCGTTGGCAGGTGTGTTTGTGTCTGTCTCTCTTGCTCCCTCTCTTACCACCTGCAGGTCCTGCCCCAGTTACGCAGGCAATGTGCCCTGGGATTGGAGTAGGTTACCCAGGGCATTCTTTAAAAATAGACCAACGGGTGCGGGGCGGGAGGGCGAGTTTTGTTGGCTTGTTGTTTTGAATTGGTGTTATAAAATTTTTCTTGTTGTTATCGTTGATTATGTTTCCTGTGCTGTTGTTTAAGTTTTGACTTTGTGTTGTATTCCCATCTGTGTTTCCCCTTTCTATTATTTTGTTTTTGGTTTGTTTGTTGGTTGTAAATATTGTAAATATTTTATACATGGCAGTAGGAGATGACGCCACACTTTTCTTTTTGTAAATATTTTCATCTGTTTTTGTTCTTAGTTATGGAGATAGGTGTAAAAAAAAAATTTTTCTGTTATTTTATTAGGTGTAGTATTAAGTTTCATTTGGGTGTTTAGTAAGCGTGTATTTTTGTTTATTATTGTTCTGTGGGTTCACCCTGAGGTAGTTGGCTTCATGTTTTTCTTGGTGATAAAAAAGAAAAAGACATATAAAGAGACCCTGCACAAAGGGGTCATTAAAAGTGAAATTTTCTTTGTCAGGTGTTGTTTTTATGTGGCGGCCATGACCCTAGACCAGGGTCGTAACAATTTTTAGTTGTAAATGTTGAACTATCATTATAAATGCTGTACAAGTATTGTTCATGTTTATTTCATGTTAGTAAATGCGTGAACAAAACCTTAAACTAAAAATATGTTTGCTATATTTATACTTAAATATAACCTCTTTGTATTTGTAGGTATGCTCATGTACACTAAGTCTATTTCTTTAGCTAACGTTCAGGAGGAGATTGATGGTGTTGTTGGAGGCTCTTTATCAGACAGAGACAACATGCCCCACACTATTGCTGCCATTCATAAGTTACATAAGTTATAAGTCATAAGGATGGGAAATATTGTCCCATTAAATTTGGCCTGTGTTACTTCAAAAGAAACCCAGACAGGAAAATACTCCATTCCAAAGGTAAGTCTAGTAGTTTCAGATGATTTTAAGTCTTGAGACTACTTGATTTGTATTTAACCCTCAGTCATTTTAATGTGTTCACATAACAGGTCCATACATCTAGTGGTTAGACTTTGACAAATAAATGTCTTTTTTTTTTTGACCATTTTTACTTTAAAGATATAAACTGCATTATGGGACTATGATCTCACTCATGCTCTGTCAACTTTTAATGTTGAAAATGCAACAGTGCAATATAAAAGTGATAAGTGACTTTAATGGACATAAAAGTAGTATATTTATTTATTTATTTATTACAGTGGAGAAAAACTGTTGTGCATAATTTAAGTTAAATTTGTGTCGCATCATGAATTTTCTTCAAAAAGAGTCAAATGAAATGAATATGTAATAAAATAAAGTATATTCATTTTAGGAGGCTACTTCAACAGGGACTAATCATTGACTAAGCTGAAGAAAAATGAACAAAGGAATGAATAACCACTTATTTTTATTAAAAGAATAACTTAATGTCATTGGTGGGTTTTGACCATCAGGGAATACCAGAGAGTTAAAGTTGTATTCTAAATTTAACTTTTATACATGTATATGTTTTTTATTAACTTATTTATTATCTGTTTATTGTCCTGTATCTGTAATTCAGTTGCACTGTAGAAGCTCTGTCACAAAAACAAATTCCTCGTATGTACGAACATACCTGGCAATAAAGCTTTTTCTGATTCTGGTTCTTATATCTTGTTGTTCTTCAGGGCACTCTTGTGATTGGCAGTTTGACATCAGTGCTGTTTGATGAGTCTGAGTGGGAGACGCCTCACTCTTTTAACCCGGGTCACTTCCTGGATGCTGAGGGCAAATTCAGGAGGAGAGATGCCTTTTTACCTTTTTCTCTAGGTACAAAACAATAAGTTTTCTATCAATCCACATTTATACTTTCACAATATTGTATTGTTTTATAAAAAGGACTGTTTTAATTTCCTGTAAAATGTAACCCATTTAATGAGCAAACAAACATTTTAATTATAATATATAAACATTCTTTGTATTTGATTTTCAGGTAAAAGAAGATGTCCCGGGGAGCAATTGGCTTTTTCTTTACATGTGGGTGTGGAGCCCAGCTTTGATTATAAAGTAGGGAACCACTGGATGTCCCCTACCACATAATTTGTGTGCTGTGCCACAAAAAGATATGCAATTTTTATACACAAATAGACAGGAATTGGGACACTCTTCTTAATCACAAAAAGTAAAAGTACTTAAAGTAAAGAGACATACAGAGAAAATATGTATCATTTTATTTTTGGAAATTGTGATCATGTTTATTGCCTGTAATTGGCTAGGGAGGAGTTTTTCAGTGGGTAAAGATAAAGGCTGGCAGAGGTGGTGACTTGTTTCAAAACCCTAATGTATGAGATTATATAACATGCAGGTTACTCAAGGGGATTATACACTCATTCAGATGTGTAGAAGAATTTGTTTATGTTTTAGAAAAAATTGATTAGTGTAATGTTGGCTGAACGGCTTTGAATCACAGGGGAAAATGCATTTTAAAATAAATTCACACAGAAAATAATTTGTTTAAAATCAAAACAATATTTCACAATCTTTAAGTTTTATTGTATTTTAAATTGACACGTGGTATAGAATGAAATTTTATTTTTCATTTAAAGTGATATGATTTCTGATCTGAGAAGTAGAATGTTCAGAAGATGTATGAAATGCTGCAGATATTTTGCATGATTAATATTTATATCTGATCATAAATGAATGTTTTTACTTTGTAATTCTTGGATAAGGATGCCAGCTTTAAAAAAAAAATAATGTCCCCTACCACACAAGTTTTGTGCAGTGCCACGTAAGGACTAAATGGACACACTTTTTAATTACTGAATAAAGAGACATACAGAGAAATATGTATCATTTTATTTTTGCAAAATTGTGGAAAAACTCAAAAAAAAAAAGTATCTTCTGTTCGTCATATTTAATGTAACGTTTTAAAAATTGGAAGATAATTGTGATACTGAATACAAGTGAACAAAATGGTCATTATTTAATTCCTAATTATTCATTTCAATAATTCAAATATTAAAGAAAACAATCGACTAGAAAACGATTTACGTTCAAGACGTTCTGTGTTACGTAATAGCCCATCAAGGGGAAATGCGCCAAAAAAAAGGCGGTGTATGGTTGGACTTTATATCGGCAGGTCGTGTAAACACCCTCGACTTGTAATTCGCGTTATTACTTTAATTCAGACATTAAATCTTCCCAACAGACCAAACATAACCGTCATGGACCTGTTGCACATTTACGAGTGGATCGACATCAAAGCTGTATTGTTTTTTGCCTGTGTGTTTTTATTACTGAGTAACTATATCCAAAATAAAACACCGAAAAACTTTCCTCCTGGACCATGGCCTTTACCTATCATTGGAAACCTTTATCACATCGATTTCAATAAGATTCATCTTGAAGTGGAAAAGGTAAAAGCAGTCTTTATCTTTGTTGATGTTTGGCATGTTCTGAGTACGTTACGTTATTTTATCCCATGCGGAACATTTATATAGAAGTACAGCTAATACATTTGAAATATGTGCATTTATGAAATACCAATGCTTAAATTTAGGCATATAATTTGTTGCATAAGCTAGGATGGATATCTTTAAAAAAATGTGAAATGCAAACATGAACTTAAATTTGTGTCGTTTTGTATACTGTCGTATAAGCTTTTTTGAAGATTACAAAAGTTCAGCAGTCTTTGAACTACGTACATCTAATGCATATTTTAAAGCTTTCAGAAAAATACGGAAGCGTTGTAAGCGTTCATCTTTTCGGACAAAGAACTGTTATTCTGAACGGGTACAAACAAGTGAAGGAGGTGTATATACAACAAGGCGACAACGTGGCTGATCGACCTGAGTTACCTATGATTCACGACATAGCCGGAGACAATGGTAAGTCTCGTAGCCTCATTTAAACACAGCCTTTTTGGTTTCAGTACAAATTGTAAATTGTTTTATGCACCAGATGATGGTGCATAAAAATATTTAACTGAAAACAATTTTTCCAAAGATAAAAAGTTAATAATTATTATTAATCATTAATATCTTAGGTTTAGTTGCTCCCAGTGGATATAAATGGAAGCAACAGAGGAGATTTGCACTCTCAACTCTTCGGAACTTTGGTTTGGGGAAGAAAAGTCTGGAGCCGTCCATCAATCTTGAATGTCACTATCTGAATGAGGCTATCTCAAATGAAAATGGTGTGTATTAAGGTTTATGGCGTAAAAAGAATAGACTCTAAATTACTTTTTAAAAGCATTTAAAATTGGAAGCGTAATGTGATAATTTCAGTTATAATAACTTTCCAGGTCGACCTTTTGACCCTCACTTACTTCTGAACAACGCTATCTCAAATGTGATCTGTGTGCTGGTGTTTGGTAATCGATTTGACTACAGTGACCATCACTTCCAGACTCTGCTGAACAACATCAATGAGGCTATGTATCTGGATGGAACAATTTGGGCTCAAGTAAACAATTTTAGAGTATGACAATCTATTTCTGCCCTTTCAGCATCTTTGTTGGACACCTTATATTTTTGTATTCTTTGTTCAGCTTTATAACTCCCACCCACGGATTATGCGGCTACTGCCTGGACCACACAAGAAAAATATTACTTTGTGGAACAAAGTGATTGACTTTGCTCGAGAGAGGGTGAAAGAACACAGAGTGGATTATGATCCATCAAATCCTCGAGACTACGTTGACTGCTTTCTAGCTGAGATGGAAAAGGTGAATCCCCGTCTAAATTGCTGCCCAGGAATGTAATGGTAATTGTAACATGAATGTCTCTCATTTATCTTGTTCAGCTTAAAGACGACACAGCTGCAGGGTTTGATGTGGAGAACTTGTGCATCTGTACTCTGGATCTGTTTGTAGCAGGAACTGAGACCACCTCCACCACTCTTTCTTGGAGTCTTCTCTACATGATAAAATATCCCGAGATTCAAGGTGGGAACTGACTATGAGAAGAGTATATACATATATACACACATACATATATACATGCATATATATTAGGGATGTAACGGTATCAGAATTTCACGGTACAGTAATACCTCAGTATGAATGTCACGGTACGGTATTTATTGAATCATTTACAGGAAAAAACAAAACTTATGAAAATACTCCAAAAAAGTGCCAAAAGTGTCAAAGGCATACAAATTAGCCATCTATCTGTAAGCTTTGAAACAGGAACTTCAATTTTAATAACAAAAAAATATCAAACCATGTAAAAAAATAAAGTTTCAATTTAGTATTGTTGAAAACTCATCACATTCAACATTTAATCACTCACTCACTTAGATAGAGATGGGTTTAAAGGAAAATTATCATATAAATATAATCTGGTAAAAGCTGGTATCTCTGGGCATTTACAATGTCCCCTGCAACAGAAAAAAAAAACCTCTCATTTGGGACTGAGGTTTCTGGGACAAGAGAGATATGACTTGGCCCAGGTTGACAGCAGTGGGTAACGTTGTGCATTGTCTTTCACCCACTTGAGAGGACAAACCATGAGTAAGATAGAGGTCTCATGTGTGCATCAATCTGAACAGTGTGCTGACAACACCGCTATTCAGTACGCGCGCGACAACACAGCTGATAAGAACTTGCGCGACAACACAGCTGATAAGAACTTGCGCGAAAACACCGCTATTCAGTACGCGCGCGGCGACAACACCCGCTTTAGAGTTTTCCAGCTCTTTTTCATCCCCGCTTCTAGCAGCACACTCCATTTCCGCATTACTGGATCTGTAGCGACAACAGACCGCAAGGGATGATGGTCAAGCCTGGGCTGATGGGAATTGTAGTTTTCGCTACCTCCCGTTCGCTTCATTTGCCTGAGCAAATTTTCTCAGAAGACCTATAGTTTTACCGAGTCATGCGACTTCGGTAATATCGAAAAAAATTAATATTGCGGTATGACGGTATTTACAATACCGTTACATCCCTAATATATATATATATATATATATATATATATATGTGTGTGTGTGTGTGTATATATATATATATGTGTATATATGTATATATATTTATATGTGTGTGTGTGTGTGTGTATATGTGCGTGTATATATATATATATATATATATATCACACACACACATACATACATGCATACATACGGAGATAATGTCACGCTCTTAATTTTGTCTTGTAATATATCCACTGTGTCTTTTTAGCTAAAGTTCAGGAGGAGATTGATCGTGTTATTGGAAGCTCACGGCAGCCATCTGTATCAGACAGAGACAACATGCCCTACACCAATGCTGTCATTCATGAGATACAGAGATTTGGAAATATTGCCGCATTAAATTTGCCGCGGGCTGCTGTGAAAGATATCCAAGTTGGGAAATACTTAATTCCAAAGGTACAGTAACAATAGTTGGTGTAACATTGCATTGTACGTCTACAGACAGCATGTATTGTTTGATAAATTTAAAATTTGTTTGTATTTTTAGGGCACAATTGTAATTGGCAATTTGACATCAGTGCTGTTTGATGAGTCTGAGTGGGAGACGCCTCACTCTTTTAACCCGGGTCACTTTCTGGATGCTGAGGGCAAATTCAGGAGGAGAGATGCCTTTTTACCTTTTTCTCTAGGTACAAGAAAACTCAGATTTTTAGCAATCAGTTTATTTTTGACAATTTCCATTGTTGTGCATTACTACTGTACTGTATATTTGTGCAGATGCATAGTATTGTTTTGCAAAGAAACATTGCCACCTACTGGCCTTGCCTGCTGACTGCATTTCATTGCATTAGTCCATTGTTGTCTTGTGTAAAAACCCTGAGAATTCATTCATTCATTTTCTTTTTGGCTTAGTCCCTTTATTAATCTGGGGTCACCACAGCGGAATTAACCGCCAACTTATCCAGCATGTTTTACAACTAGGAAACATCCATACACACTCATTCACAAACATACACCACAAACATTTTAGCTTACCTAATTCACCTATAGCGCATGTCCTTGGATTGTGGGGGAAGCCAGAGCACCCGGAGAAAAGTCATGCCAACACAGGTAGAACATGCAAACTCCACACAGAAATGCCAACTAACCCAGCTCGAACCAGCAACTTTCTTGTTGTGAGGCGATTGTGCTACCCACTGCGCCACTGTGCTGCCCACCCTGAGAATTTATGTTTGAAAAAATGTTTGAATTATCTTGTAAAAGTAGGCTTTCATCCAGCAAATGAACTCAAAAGCACTTAAATAAATTCACTTCCCGCATGTCAAATATTTGAATCACTCAACTTTAGGAGTATGAGCTTCCATGGTAAATTAGCACATAAGCATATTGTAATGCAGCTATTTACATAGAGGTGTTTACTTTGCAGAAGTGCAAGTCACATACAAGTTCATTCTGTTTCTATTTTCAGGAAAGAGAGTGTGTCTTGGGGAGCAGTTGGCGAGGATGGAGCTCTTCCTCTTTTTCACCTCTCTGCTGCAGCATTTCACTTTCTCTTCACCAGCAGGTGTGGAGCCCAGCTTCAATTACAAACTGGGAACAACTCGTGCTCCTAAACCATTCAAATTGTGTGCTGTATCTCGATAAGACAGACAGTACTTGTGACTGATTCTGTATATTTACGGATTTGATTGTTTTGGAAAATGCATTACCATTCGCTTGCTTTGGATAGTGATATATAATTAAGTTTGAGCTAGCGTCTAAAAAACTTGTGCTGTGTAAACTATTTTTTTGTGTGGTCATGATGCATAAAATAGCTTAAATGCTTGATAAATGTCTCTCATGCTGCACCCATGAGGTCTTCACAGTATTGAAGCAGATGTATTAGGTTATTGTAAGCTGAGAAAATATTATATACTATTCCTTCTATGCTAATGAAGGACAACTGAGACATTCCAAGCATGGGATGGGTCCTCCTGATGTGGCAGAATTCCTCACAGCTCCGATACACATCTCTGCCATTTGCTTACAGTAACCATGTGCTTTTCACCATACACAATTCATCTGCCCGTAATCTTCCTTCATATAACTTTGTCATGTTTGGTGTCATTTGACAGTTTAGGACTTCAGCTTTGTAGTGATGAAATCAACAGAGACATTGATTGATTGTATTTTAATATACAATATAATAACTATTGTTGAGTCATGGCCTGAGGAAAGAATGTTAATGTTCTTCTCCCCCACTTTATCTCCTCAACTTTGCTCTCATGTTCAGCTGGTTTTGGGGGTTGGTATTCACTTATTTTTGACAATGCTTTGCTCAGTATAATAAGGAAAGGGTTGATCTGGGAGAATGGCTTTTATCTGCTTCTCCCCCACACCAGTGCGTAGCCTCATATGCTAACAAAGGCAGTTTCACTGTCTTTGTTACACAGCAGTGCTTACTTTACAGCTAATTTCATTATACAGTATGTTAGTTTGTTTTATTCTACTGTCTGTATATTTAAATGTAACTTGATAAACAACTTTGCCTGCTTTAAGACATAGAGATTCTTTCTCCTTATCAATGATGAAAACAACTTTAATGGAGTCAGATTAATTACAATGGAGTCAGATAAATAATGGACTTAAACCTTCAACTGCTTTCTTTCCGATATTGTTTCAATATAGCAGCGTAAGCCTCAAGCCTTACAGTTATGCATTTAACTTTGTGACTCAGTGACGTATACTGTATGCTTGTCAAATATAAGGTCATGTAGAGTGTCTTAAAGCACTGATTACATAACCTTAAATCTGGAACTGTGCCACAACTGCATTGCAAAACAGTCCAAGGAAAGGAGTCCTTTCGAGTTAAAGCGCTGTACAGATCGTAAACCTGACTGAAGTTCATCATGGACGTGTTGCAGTTCTACAAGTGGCTTGACATCAAGACTGTTTTGGTATTTTTAGTTGTGTTTTTATTTTTGAGTGATTATATCAGAAATAAATCGCCGAAAAACTTTCCTCCTGGACCCTGGTCTTTGCCGTTTATTGGACACATTCATCATATCGAGCACAAGAAGGTTCATCTTCAGTTTTTAAAGGTAAATTGTTATACATCTTTACTTTAAACGCGTAAGTTATATATTGTATTTGTAGTTAAACTACAGTAGCTGACTTTTAATTGTTGAGGGTTGGAAGTCTGGATAATTTACAGCTAAAGAGCGCGAAGAGGTCAAAATTACGATTATTTAAAAGACAAATGGTTTACTGTTAGTTGAAAGGTGTTTTGGGCATGTTTTAGCTGGTCAGACCAATTATTACTAGAAGCACATTTAGCATGAACAACATCGCGCTCGCACACACAAAATCTCTGTTATTTAATTCAATCTGTGTATAATGTTTATAGTACATCTATCTGTAAATATTACCCATAGTTTTTCTCTAATTGCACTTTATAAATTATACCTATATCCACTTTAACTCCGCGACTTTCGCTTTAAGATTTAAAGGGCTAGCATTGCACCAGACCCCTAAGTGTTTTCGTTTAAGTGTAGAAGATATTTTATGCACATAGGCTATGGATCATTTTGGTTTTTATTCGACTGTACAAAAGTTATTTACACTTAAATACACAGTATTTTGGAAACCCAAGCTGGGTATTGAACATTGGTTTGTTTTCATATTTTTCATATGGTTCATATGACAGCTGTACAAGTTATAGCTCAAATATAAGCTCTTGCCGGTGCTCATACAGTTCTAGCTTTCTTTTTACTGAATTATATTCACATATCAAACACTTGCCAAATGAATTGTGGTGTTTCCATGGCGCAGAAGTGAAAACAATACATTTATGATCAATAAGCAGCCCCAGATAGCACAGACAGCTGTCATCTCTTACCTTATGCTGTGTGCTTCAGGGCCATTTCTCCTCTGTTTTTGAGGTGATGTGCATAAGTAGTCCTTTATATGTCTGATGTGGTCCAAACACAGTGAATTAAGTTTGATCAAATGTAAGAATAGTGAAATATGAAGACAATGATCGATCCCTGTGGCCTGTATAGCACCTCTCATCAGTTAGAATACAATAACTTTTGCATAGATAATGGTGGAGACTATTTTTCCCCCCTATGATTACAGACATGTGCAGGAACCACCAAAATTAATTACAGCAACCTAGACCACACAGAACCTAAAAGGTACACTTTCAAATTTGAGTTTATAAAAAATACAAAAAGCGCCTCTTTTTTTAGGTGTTTATTATAACACAGACGACATATACAGATATTTTAAACACTTTCAATAGTGTTTTATGAAAGTTCAAAGGGTTTTCTTTAAATGATACCAAATTTTTGCATTTACACCTCTGCATGTGGATTTGGAAAGCTTTTAAATTTGGGAAGGCAAAATCCAGGTGGAAATCCAAAAACAACACTGGGGTTTAATATATATTTTATATTGCATTATGTTTAAATAATATTGCTATTGAGTTATTGACTATATAAGTTATTGACTGTATGAAAACATTGTGAACAGTTGGGACTTCATAAAGTTGAAAATATATGAAAGTGTGTGAACTAATAAATATGACTTTTTTAGCCTGCTATTTAATGCACCATTTCTTAATTTTCAATCTTTATTTTGCAGTTTGCTGAAAAATATGGCAAGATTTTCAGCATAAGACTTTTTGGACCAAGAATTGTAGTGTTGGATGGATATAAACTGGTAAAGGAGGTGTATTTGCAACAGGGTGACAATCTGGCTGATCGGCCCATTTTACCAATGTTTTATGACATCACTGAAGACAAAGGTCAGTCTGAATGAAAAATGCCATTTACTCACCTTCAGTGTTCAAATTTTCAAGTTATGCTGGCTGAATTTAAATGTAGCTCTAAAATTAAGCTAAATCAAGTTTCTACAGAGAGTCTCATCTGTTTCAGGCTAACAACCAAGCTAAGATTAATCCTAGATGAAGATTAATACTACATAAAAAAAAGATTAAAGAGTAGAAAATATGATTAAATAGATTATTTTAAAGGTAAAATAGATGCACAATATTGAGTGTTTGCGGTTAATCTTCATGATAAATTTCCTGGTTACATTAATGTTTGTAGTTCACATTTAAGGCAATGACTGACTGTTTTAAGCTCAACTCTTCCTTTTGAAGAGTTCACAATTAGCTGACGATTAATTATAAAACAAGTTTGGCATGCTGTCCTGGGAGAGATCCCTGGGCTCCCTCCTGTTTGCAGGGCGAGAGGGGAGCTCTGAGCTCAGGTAGGTCTCAAGAACTCCCCCTTATTTAATAAGAGCTGATGACAGAAAATGATTGGTATGAAGGGATATGCTGCTGGATGAGAGTTTAACGGTAATGCTAAATATAGATTGATCAATTCACTTATGGTGCATGTTTTCTGGAATGTGGGAGGAAACCATAGAACCCTGGGGGAAACCCACGCAAGCACGGGAAGAACATGCTAACTTCGCACAGAAACAACAGCCAGTCTGTTAAAGGACTAGAACCGGTCACGTTCTTGCTGTGAGGCAACCGTGTTAATCACTGGGCCACCATGCCGCCCTATGAAGGGAAAGGTGGAGGAGTAGGGGTGGAAGGGGGGAGTCTTCAAATCGAAGTTGACTGTAGTGAGAAACCCTGGCTCTTTACAGTGGCTTAGGAATCGTCTGATTGGTGAATCATGCATTAGTTAATGCAGAACCAGCCGTGTTCAATCATAATCACGTTATCGTTTTAAAATTAGTTTATAAATAAACTTCACTTAATAGATAGTAGACTTATACTTAAGAGAGGAATAAAAAAATAATAATAATCTAAATTAATATTACATTAACAGGGTTAATTGGGTCCAATGGGTATAAATGGAAGCACCAGAGACGATTTGCACTCTCAACTTTTCGAACCTTTGGATTGGGGAAGAAAAGTCTGGAGCCGTCCATTCTCCTGGAATGCAGTTGTCTGAATGACGCCTTTTCAAATGAACAAGGTATTTGAAAAAAGAAAGTAACATACAAAATTGGAGGCATGGTGTAACTTCAACTTCTGTTGTAGGTCGACCCTTTGACCCTCGCTTACTTCTGAACAACGCTGTCTCAAATGTGATCTGTGCGCTTGTGTTTAGTAATCGATTTGACTACAGTGACCATCATTTCCAGACTCTGTTAAAACACATCAATGAGGTCTTATATCTGGAAGGAACAGTCTGGGCTCAGGTAAATGTATTTTCAATATACAATACAGTGACTCACACAAACTGATGTTTTATACATGATATGCTAAGTTTACCTGTTGTTCTTTAGCTTTACAACTTTTTCCCATGGCTCATGCGACGACTGCCTGGACCCCACCAAAAAATATTTGTTCTGTTGAACAAAGTGATTGACTTTGTTAGAGAGAAGGTGAATGAACACAGAGTGGATTATGATCCTTCAAATCCTCGAGACTACATTGACTGCTTTCTAGCTGAGATGGAAAAAGTGAGACACTTACTAATTGTGCTGGAATGATTTTGTAATAATCATGTATGGATGTTCATTTGAAATGCTTCTTGTTTATGTTGTTCAGCTTAAAGACGACACAGCTGCAGGGTTTGATGTGGAGAACTTGTGCATCTGTACTCTGGATTTGTTTGTAGCAGGAACTGAGACCACCTCCACCACTCTGTACTGGGGTCTTCTCTACATAATAAAATATCCTGAAATACAAGGTGAGAGCTTACTATCAGATACAGCATTCATATGCACATAAAAATAATATGTTAATACTTGAAATGTTCTCATTGTCGTTTTGTATCCTCAGCTAAAGTTCAGCAGGAGATTGATGCTGTTGTTGGAGGCTCACGGCAGCCATCTGTATCAGACAGAGACAACATGCCCTACACCAATGCTGTCATTCATGAGATACAGAGGATGGGAAACATAGTCCCATTAAATGTGTTTCGAATTACTGTAGAAGATACTCAGATAGGAGAATACTCTATTCCAAAGGTGGGTCTGGTGTTTAAAGCACTCTTTATTTCTAGATTTTCTTCTACACATTTGTAGTTTTTATTAAACCTTTTGTTGTTCTTCAGGGCACTCTTGTGATTGGCAGTTTGACATCAGTGCTGTTTGATGAGTCTGAGTGGGAGACGCCTCACTCTTTTAACCCGGGTCACTTCCTGGACGCTGAGGGCAAATTCAGGAGGAGAGATGCCTTTTTACCTTTTTCTCTAGGTACAAGAAAACTGTTTCCAAATGATCCCAGTTCAGTTCAGTCCTCCTATAAAGAAATGCATTATGATTAAATCTGTCGGTTTGTTTGATTTTCAGGAAAGAGAGTGTGTCTTGGGGAGCAGTTGGCGAGGATGGAGCTCTTCCTCTTCTTCTCCTCTCTGCTGCAGCGCTTCACTTTCTCTCCACCAGCAGGTGTGGAGCCCAGCTTGGATTATAAACTGGGTGGTACTCACAGTCCCCAGCCATATAAATTGTGCGCAGTGCCACGATAAGACAGTCATAACTGAAATATTTGTTGATGCATTGTTAATTTTCTGTTTTTAACAGATTGATAAATGATAGTATACATAGCGTGTTACAGAAAAACAACAAACAACCATAATAAAAGTAACAAAAACCACAAAAACATAAATATTTCAAGAGCAAAGATAGATCTATGAATAGACAGAGTGTGTTGCAAACATTTCTCGAAGCTATAATAAAAAAGAAACCAGAAAGACAGTACTAATAATAAGAATAATTTTAATGTACAGTTGAATGAAAATAATCATACATTAATATTATATCTGAAAAAAGGCTTGTATTTGGATATTTTTTGTATTAATAGGTAAACAAGCAGGAGGAGATTTGAGATTAAAAATATATTTTTTTTATATGTAAATATATACTGCTATTCATTTATTAAAATGTATTTTATTTGTGAACTTGTTCATTCATTCTTTAAATTATTTATTCATTCAACAATTCCACTGACACCATTATTTTTACCCAGGTTATCTTGTGCAAAAGTTTGGTTATTATGTGAGACGCAATAGTCATTTTTTATCGATTGCTTGGGTTTTGTTTAGCTTTCTGATTTATTCATTCATTCATTTTCTTTTCGGCTTAGTCCCTTTATTAATCCAGGGTCGCCACATCCCTGGGAAACATCCACACACACTTATATACTACGGACAATTTAGCCTACCCAATTCACCTGTACCACATGTCTTTGGACTGTGGGAGAAACCGGAGCACCCGGAGGAAACCCACGCGAATGCAGGGAGAACATGTAAACTCCAAACAGAAATGCCAACTGACCCAGCCGAGGTTCGAACCAGCAACCTTCTTGCTTTGAGGCGACAGCACTACCTACTGCGCCACTGTGGCCTAGTTTTCTGATTTATTTATTAGAAAAACCTAAATTATTGTGAACATAAATGGAAACAAATTAAATGTATGTTCTCCATCCAAACAACATATTTTTTCCTACATAGTAGGACAAATAGTGTGGATGTCAATAGCTCTGATTAGAAGCCAACTGTGAGTAGATTTATGTGGGTAGCTCTTGTTGAATATGTGGAAACTATCGAGCTGTTCACTAAGATGATGCATCAATTGAAATTATATTAGTGAAAAAAAGTACAATGAGCAGAAAATTATTTTATTATGCAGTATTTTTCTGACATTTTTGCATTTTATCCAGTACCATAAATTAATCACATTTTGAACAGCAAAGTTACAGAGTGCGTTGTTATTTAAATGATTATTTGACCCAAAAATGAATATTAATGAAATCATTTACTCTGCCTTGTGTGATTTTTTAAATAGATTTCTTACTTCTGTTAAATACACACACACAAACAAAAATAGTTTTAAGAATGATGGTTGCTGGCACCCATTAACTCCCATAGTAGGAAAACAGTTTTTAGGAAACCATTAACACAGTAGAAAGAATTATTTAGACAACAAAATAAATTCCTGATTTTAGTTAGAATTGGACTACTACAGGGGGATCTAGACTAATATTACGCCTAAAGAAGTTATCTGAAACTCTACCAGTAAATCAAGATCTTCAGACCTTGGCTGTGTTTGAAGCTCTATGGTTTGTTGAATAGTTGAATAAGAAATGAAGACTTCAGATGCAAAAAAGGGCCATCTGACATTTTCTTCCAAACTCAGTATTTTTCAGTATTTTTCTCAGGCTCCTGTTTTCACTTTAAGATTCTTTTAATTGTCTTTAAAGTGTACTTTAACAAAAACAAGGAGGTTAAGAAAAATTACAGAGGCACTCAGAGGTTTTTGTATCTGAAGTCTTCGATATATTTTGCATGTCTTAATTTTAAACTGTGTTCAATTCTGAATCATAGTAAGGTTGTGGCTTTCTTTTTCTTTGGTGTGGCTCGCTTTTGCTGTAATTTTCTGCAGTTAATGTGCAAAAAAGAGGACTTTGAAGCTTTACCATAGATAAGAGGGACCTATACACACACAACCTATCTGGAGCCCAGCTCACTTGAATTACTGTACTGCTCAACAAAACAGGAAACATCCGTCATGGACTTGTGGTACCTTTACGAGTGGATCGATATCAAAAGTATTTTGATATTTCTGTGTGTGTTTTTATTGCTGGGTGATTATATAAAAAATAAAGCACCAAAGAACTTTCCTCCTGGACCCTGGTCTTTGCCGATAATAGGAGATCTTCATCATATCGATAATAGTAAGATTCATCTTCAGTTCACAAAGGTAAAGTTCATCTCTATGTTCAAGCAAATCTTAATATAGTTGATGGCAAAAAACAAACTTGAGTCCAGTGTAAAATTGTTTTTTTAGTTAGAAGATGTCATTACTAAATATTAAATATTCCTGTTCTTTGCAGATTACCTATTTTGATTGTAAAATCGTATTTTTTAGTTTGCAGAAAGATATGGCAATATTTTCAGCTTTAGACTTTTTGGACCAAGAATTGTGGTGTTGAACGGGTATAACTTGGTCAAAGAGGTGTATATAAAACAAGGAGACAACCTCGCTGATCGACCAGTGTTACCACTATTTTATGAAATCGTTGGAGACAAAGGTCAGTCTAATGCCAGAATGTTAAAGTCATTTCACATTTCAACAAAAATAGTAACTAATCAATTAACTGTAAGGTTCATTTTGTGAACAGGTTTAATTCTTTCCAGCGGATATAAATGGAAGCATCAGAGGAGATTTGCACTCTCGACTCTTCGAAATTTCGGATTGGGGAAGAAAAGCCTGGAGCCATCTATCAATGTTGAATGTGGCTTTCTGAATGAGGCCATCTCAAATGAACAAGGTATTTCACTGAAGATTGTTTCATTGAGAAATATATTTGACATTTAAAGCACAGTGTGATTTATGACTTTCTGTTCAAGGTCGACCCTTTGACCCTCGCTTACTTCTGAACAATGCTGTCTCAAATGTGATCTGCGTGCTGGTGTTTGGTAATCGATTTGACTACAGTGACCATCACTTCCAGACTCTGCTGAAGAACATCAGTGAAGCTGTGTATCTGGAAGGAAGCATCTGCAATCAAGTAAATATTGTGACATTGTAAAAAAACAATTGCCCAGCAAGCTTTTTTTGTACTTAAATAACATCTTTGTTAAAACAAGACTAAATTTAACCTGTCAGTGAAAATCTAATATAAGAATAGCTCCAAACTACAATCCCAGATCAGAAAAGATGGGATATGAATATGGAAAACACAAATTAAAAAAGAAAGAAGTCATTTCTAAATGTTCTTAGTATTTCATTGCAGACAATACATCAAACATTATTTAATGTGTTCCACATGATTGTTATTAAATAAACACTTATTCCAATTTTGGTTCTTGCAACACATTTGAAATAAGTTGGAACATTAAAGCATTGAGAGGGGTCTAGATGCAGACCTGGTGCAGTGCAATCTGAGCTGCACCCAATGCTTTTTAATGCGCTCACCTAACCCCACCCCTAACCCTACCCATCACAGTAACGTCACTCACTCCACTGAGTGCATTGTGTCTGACATTGCATCGCTGAGTGATGCAATCTCAGCTTGCATTATAAAGGCTGCACCCAGATATTATTGAAAAGATTTACCACTTTATAGTGTTTTCATTCCTTTTCACAACACTTAAAAGACGTTTAGGAACTGAAGACACCAAGTGATGAAGTGTTTTAAGTGTAATTTTGTCCACTTCTTCCTGCAAACAAGTCTTAAGGTAGGCAACTGTACAGGGTCTTCATTGTCACATTTTGTGCTTCAAAATGCACCACACATTCTCTATTGGAGACAGATCAGGGCTGCAGGCTGGCCAGTCGAGTACCTGCATCCTCTTACTCCGCAGCCAGGACTTTGTAATGTGTACAGAATGTCGTTGGTTTTGCATAGTTTTTGCATTTTGTGTTTCCACTGTGTGATGGTCTATCCCAGATGCCTATGAGCCCAGCGAAGTCATTGGCAGTTCTGGACACTGTTAACACACGGCTTCCTCTTGGCACAGTACAGTTTTGACTGGTATTTGTGGATGTAACTATTGTGGTACTTGACAAAGGTTTGCCAAAGTTGTCCTGAGCCCATGTGGTGATATTGCTTATAAATGAATGCCGATTCATGATGCAGTGCCGCCTGAGGGATCGGAGATCACAATTGTGCAGTTTAGGCTTGCGCCCATAAAGGATGCACTGAAATTTCCCCAGATTTCTTGAGCAATTCAATGATGTAATGCACTGTTAAAGGTGAAATGTCCAAATGTCTTCCTATATTTCTCTGAGGAACATTGTTTTCAAACATTTCAATAATTTTCTCATGTATTTGTTGGCAAACTGAAAATTCTCTGCCCATCTTTGCTTCTAAAAGACTAGACCTTTGTTGGATGCTGCTTCTGCACCAAATCATAATTAGAATCACCTGTTGACATCACCTGTTTCATTATTTAACCAATTTACCCAATTATTAGCCCTAAACTGCTCCTGTCCCAATTTTTTTGGAATTTGTTGCAGGTCTGAATGGCAAGGAAGGAAGTATATTTACAAATGAAATGAAGTTGACTGGACATAACATGAATTAATTTGTGTTCATGTTATCTGCAATGAAATGCAGGTCAAATTAAATTTGGAAAAAATTCTATTTTTTATTTGCATTTTTCAAACTGTCACAATTTTCTGATTTGGGGTAAAAATATAATAGACATCTAAGAATAGCCCAAAATACATATAAATAAATAATTAACTAAATAATTAACTACACATATAAAGTCTGTCTATTTGATGATTAGTGATGATTTTAACCTAGACATCTCTTAAAAACAAATTTACTTGGTGGGTTATTTGCTCATTTTCACTGCTCGGTGTACATCATGCTTAGTTCAGATATACACAGTATGTAGTCAAAAATAATACACGTTTGACACCGATTTGATCTCAAATTTATACAAACAAAAAGCAGAATTGTGATAAATTAAAAAAACAAGATTTATGAGAGCAGATGTAACTTTTTTTTAGCTTTACAACATGTTCCCATGGCTCATGGAGCGACTGCCTGGACCACATAAGACAATTATTACTCTGTGGCGGAAGGTGACTGACTTTGTTCGAGAGAAGGTGAATGAACACAGAGTGGATTATGATCCATCAAATCCTCGAGACTACATTGACTGCTTTCTAACTGAGATGGAAAAGGTGAAACCCTTTCTTATAGTACAGGAATGTTCTTGTAATAATAATGCATGGATGTTCATTTGAAATGCTCCTTGTTTATGTTGTTCAGCTCAAAGACGACACAGCTGCAGGGTTTGATGTGGAGAACTTGTGCATCTGTTCTCTGGATCTGTTTGTAGCAGGAACTGAGACCACCTCCACCACTCTGTACTGGGGTCTTCTCTACATGATAAAATATCCTGAGATACAAGGTGAGAGCTTAATACCAGATACAGCATTCATATGCAAATACAAATAATGTGTTTACATTTTTTCATGGCTTTCTCTACTTCATCCTCAGCTAAAGTTCAGGAGGAGATTGATGCCGTTGTTGGAGGCTCAAGGCAGCCATCTGTATCAGACAGAGACAACATGCCCTACACCAATGCTGTCATTCATGAGATACAAAGGATGGGAAATATAGCCCCAATAAATCTGGCCAGGAGTACTTCAGAAGACACCCAGATAGGAAATTACTCTATTCCAAAGGTGGGGTTAGGGATATTTAAACACAGTTTTGGTATGTGTGATTATACTCTTGTCATAAGGATATTTGTCCATGAACTATATACTGCTCATTTACTCAATGTGCAAAACTTACTAAGAGTAATTTAACAGGTAAATATTATTCCTGTGGTGAACTGTGATTTTAAGCATCTTGTGTTTTTTCAGGGCACAATGGTGACCAGTAATTTGACATCAGTGCTGTTTGATGAGTCTGAGTGGGAGACGCCTCACTCTTTTAACCCGGGTCACTTCCTGGATGCTGAGGGCAAATTCAGGAGGAGAGATGCCTTTTTACCTTTTTCTCTAGGTACAAGAAAAGTATTTCCAAATGATCCCAGTTCAGTTTAGTCCTCCTATAAAGAAATGCATTATGATTATGTCTGTCGGTTTGTTTGATTTTCAGGAAAGAGAGTGTGTCTTGGGGAGCAGTTGGCGAGGATGGAGCTCTTCCTCTTCTTTTCCTCTCTGCTGCAGCGCTTCACTTTCTCTCCACCAGCGGGTGTGGAGCCCAGCCTGGATTATAAAATGGGGGGCACACACTGTCCTAAGCCATTTAAACTGTGTGCAGTTCCACGCTAAATTAAGAAACACTCATGCAAACCTTTCAGCAATTTTAAAAGATACATTTTTACATTCAAGATTATTTGATGATTTATAAAATACAAAACTACTTACAAATAAGCCTGTATTGAAAACAAAGAGATTAAGGGGATAAATTGTTGTGTAAACTCAAGATCTGAACTGTGAACTGAGCTCTGGCATCAGGAGAAAGAACTGTGAAGCAGTCCAGACCTGAAAAAGTGAGAATGAGAGAATGTTTAGCAATGCGTACAATAAAACTGCACTGTAGACTAATGTTAAGATGTGTAGGTCTGCAGATTTTAGAGAAATATAACTAAAATATGTGGTATTTGATGACATCATAGGACCCAAGTGATCACTTCAACCTGCCACGGCAAGAAAGGTGGTGCTCCATCACCTGAGAAGAAAAAAACACATTGAAAAGTTGTCATAACCCACTGTAAATAAACAGGTCTTGATAGATAAAATGAAAGGCAATTATAATCAGCTTTGATGCGGAGTGTCTTATCAGGTACCACACTTCCTCTTGCCTCGGACTCCAGCAACAGCTATGAACAAGCACGTTTGTTTTTAGTTACTTGTGGATCTTCTATTATGGTGAATAACACATAAACGACATTGTCTCTCATTTAAAATAAATCCCATTTCCCAAGTTTTGCCTATGATATATTTCATCCACAAAAGATGGTAACGTTAATAACCACTCGGTAAAATCCCTTAGCTACAGACTTTTATTATTATAAAATTTTATTATATTTTATTATTTCAAAGACTTTTATTGGAGGAGAGGTGGGTACTTGGGACCCTAAAATGTCTTGAAAGGCTGTGTTCAAAACTGAATGCTTTCTTGAGTGATTTGTCATTTTTGACCACTTAATCTATAGAATATATTATGAATGTAATTTAGATTTATATTGTTCCTGCCGTAATGTCTTAACTGGTTACCAGCTCCATTAGGCATTCAAATGTGTTTTTACCAGCTGTAGGACCTATGAATAAAATCAGACGTTTCAATGTTAATGCAATTGTCTTGTTGTTTGGTATCAAGTTATTGCTGCCACATTTTTTAACTGTGATAAATTAGCAAATGACTATACCCTGTCATGAGAATAAGTTATATTAAGGTTTGTAATAAAATAAAAGCAACATACAAAGTCAGTGGTGGTAATAATAGACAGACAGATATATGGATGTTTAAACATAAATCAAAGACTTTATAAACAATTTAGTTATCATCTTTAAACAATTTGATGGAAGCTCATGGCAGCCATCTGTATCAGACAGAGACAACATGCCCTACACCAATTCTGTCATTCATGAGATACAGAGTATAGGAAATATAGGCCCATTAAATGTGTTTGGAATCACAGTGAAACCACTCAGGAAAATATTTTATTCCACAGGTGGGTCTGGTGTTTGAAGCACTTTATTTCTAGACTTTCTTCTACATGTCTGTAGTTTTATTAAACCTGTTGTGTTTTTTTCAGGGCACTCTTGTTATTGGCAGTTTGACATCAGTGCTGTTTGATGAGTCTGAGTGGGAGACGCCTCACTCTTTTAACCCGGGTCACTTCCTGGATGCTGAGGGCAAATTCAGGAGGAGAGATGCCTTTTTACCTTTTTCTATAGGAAAACTGTTTCCAAATGATCCCAGTTCAGTTTAGTCCTCATATAAAGAAATGCATTATGATTATCTGTCGGTTTCTTTGATTTTCAGGAAAGAGAGTGTGTCTTGGGGAGCAGTTGACGAGGAGGCTTCCTCTTCATCTCCTCTCTGCTGCAGCGCTTCACTTTCTCTAAGTATTAAATTTTGAATCTTAATAAGGTTGTGGCTTTCTTTTTTTTTCTGTTTGGTGTGACTCGGTATTGCCACCATTTTTTGCAGTTAATGACCAAAAAAGTGGACTTTGGAACTTGATCATAGATAAGAGGGAATTACACACACACAGCCTATCTGGAGCCCAGCTCACTTGGATTACTGTACCGTTTATGCCAACCTCTGTTAAAACTGCTCAACAACACAGGAAAAGTTAGTCATGGACTTGTGGTACCTTTACGAGTGGATCGATATCAAAAGTATTTTGATATTTCTGTGTGTGTTTTTATTGCTGGGTGATTATATAAAAAATAAAGCGCCCAAGAACTTTCCTCCTGGACCCTGGTCTTTGCCGATAATAGGAGATCTTCATCATATCGATAATAGCAAGATTCATCTTCAGTTCACAAAGGTAAAGTTCATCTCTATGTTCAAGCAAATCCTAATATAGTTTATGGCAAAAAACAAACGAGTCCAGTGTAATAAAAATGTAAAAAGTAATTGCTAAAAATTAAATATTCCTGTTCTTTGTAGATTACCTACTGTATGTTGATTGTACAATCATATTTTTCAGTTTGCAGAAAGATATGGCAATATTTTCAGCCTAAGACTTTTTGGACCAAGAATTGTGGTGTTGAACGGGTATAACTTGGTGAAAGAGGTGTATATAAAACAAGGAGACAACCTCGCTGATCGACCAGTGTTACCACTATTTTATGAAATTATTGGAGACAAAGGTCAGTCTAATGCCAGAATGTTCAAGTGGTGATTTAACAATTCAACAACAAAAAAATTAATTATCAATTAACTGTGAAGGTCTGCTTCATAAACAGGTATAGTTCTGTCCAGCGGATATAAATGGAAGCATCAGAGGAGATTTGCACTCTCGACTCTTCGAAATTTCGGATTGGGGAAGAAAAGCCTGGAGCCATCTATCAATCTCGAATGTGGCTTTCTGAATGAGGCCATCTCAAATGAACAAGGTTCAGTTTTAACTGAGTATTGTTAAATATATTTTAGGTGAAACCACAATGTTATTTACCACTTTCTGTTTAAGGTCGACCCTTTGACCCTCGCTTACTTCTGAACAACGCTGTCTCAAATGTGATCTGTGTGCTGGTGTTTGGTAATCGATTTGACTACAGTGACCATCACTTCCAGACTCTGTTAAAGCACATAAATGAAGCGATCTATCTGGAAGGAGGCATCTGTGCTCAAGTAAACATTTTCACTTTGTTTAACACTTGCTCTGCTCTTTTTGCTATTGTTGGAATTGGGCATATTTGAAATACATACTGCATGTTTGATGCTGATTTGAGCTCAGATTTCTGAGAATAAACAGAACTGTGTAAATAAAAGTATTTTGTAACCCTTTTTTTAGCTTTATAACATGTTCCCATGGCTCATGCAGCGACTGCCTGGATCACATAAGAAAGTTATTACTCTTTGGAAGAAGGTGATTGATTTTATCCGACAGAAGGTGAATGAACACAAAGTGGATCATGATCCATTGAATCCTCGAGACTACATTGACTGCTTTCTAGCTGAGATGGAGAAAGTAAGAATCTTCTCAAGTGTGCTGGTGCAGGAAAGTTCTTGTAATAATAATGTATGGCTTTTCATTTGAAAATATGTCAAATTTATGTTGTTCAGCTTAAAGATGACACAGCTGCAGGGTTTGATGTGGAGAACTTGTGCATCTGTACCCTGGATCTATTTGTAGCAGGAACTGAGACCACCTCCACCACTCTGTACTGGGGTCTTCTCTACATGATGAAGTATCCTGTGATTCAAGGTATATAAAGATACAGCCATTAACATAAACAGTAGTTCACACTTTCAGTATTCTTATGGTCTTTCTGTATCCTCAGCTAAAGTTCAGGAGGAGATTGATCGTGTTGTTGGAGGCTCAAGGCATCCATCTGTATCAGACAGAGACAACATGCCCTACACTAATGCTGTCATTCATGAGATACAGAGGATGGGAAATATTATCCCAATAAATGTGACCAGGACTACTTCAGAGGATATTCGGATAGGAAAATACTCTGTTCCAAAGGTGAGCTTAGGGATATTTAGGTAGATTGATTAAGCATCATTTTACTCTTGTCGTAAGGATATTTCTGCATAAAAAGAATATGTACTGTTAATTCAACAGGTAAATATTATTCCTGTGGTGAACTGTGATATTAAGCATCTTGTGTTTCTTCAGGGCACAATGGTGACCAGTAATTTGACATCAGTGCTCTTTGATGAGTCTGAGTGGGAGACGCCTCACTCTTTTAACCCGGGTCACTTCCTGAATGCTGAGGGCAAATTCAGGAGGAGAGATGCCTTTTTACCTTTTTCTCTAGGTACAACAAAACTGTTTCCAAATGATCCCAGTTCAGTTTAGTCCTCCTATAAAGAAATGCATTATGATTATGTCTGTCGGTTTGTTTGATTTTCAGGAAAGAGAGTGTGTCTTGGGGAGCAGTTGGCGAGGATGGAGCTCTTCCTTTTCTTCTCCTCTCTGCTGCAGCGCTTCACTTTCTCTCCACCAGCGGGTGTGGAGCCCAGCTTGGATTATAAATTGGGGGCCACTCACTGTCCCCAGCCATATAAACTGTGTGCAGTTCCACGCTAAATTAAGAAACACGCATGCAATTTTAGACATTTCAGTCATTTTAAAGATATATGTTTTTTAAAAGTTTATTATTTGGTGATTTTTTATAATGCAAAACTATTTACAAATAAGCCTGTATTGCAAACAAAGGAATTATGGGGATAAGATGTTGTATAAATCCAAGATCTGAGCTGTGAACTGAGCTGCGGCATCAGGAGAAAGAACCGTAAAGCAGTCCAGGACCAGACCTGAAAGAGAGAGTATGAGAGAAATGTTTAGCAATGCATAACGTATAACGGCACTGTATACTGCTAATATTACATGTGTGGGTGGGGTCAGTAAAATGGAAATAGTCATTTACAACATAATTTGGTCACTTGCATGTCTTTAGAGTGTTATAAAGTTACAGTTATAGGGTGGCAGTTAATAACCAATAATGTACTATTTCACAACATTAGTCACTTCAATCTGCCACTGCAAGAAAGACAGTAGTCCATGTTCTGAGAAGAAAAACATTTATTTTTTGATAACCCACTGTAAATGGACAGCACTTGATGATAATAGTACAATTGGTCAGACCCTCATATTCAGCTTTGATGCGGAGTGTCTCATCAGGGCCTTTATGGGCAGAGTTGACTCTGAGGTGGCAGGGAATGCCATATGAAACACAAGCTTAGCTTGTTTAGAGAACCTTTTCATGATATGCTTATTTTTTGAGATCGGAATTTTGGGTTTTTATGAGCTGCATGCCAAAATCATCAATATTATAACAATAAAAGGCTTTGAAAAACTTCAGTTGTGTGTAATGAATCTGTAAAAATGGGTTTTAAACCACAGTGGTTCAAACTGTTCTGCAATCTCATACCAAAAAACGGAAATAAGGGCAGTATTAATAGCTATAAATGTGGGAGAGCATTGATATTATGTGATTGTATTGTATTGCAATATGGAACAATTAAGTGTTGATGTTAAATCGAAAGTAATTCACAAATACTTAAAAATGAAATGATTTAATGACAATAACTTGCTATGGTTACAACTGAATTAATTACAAAATATAATATTATAAAAAATTAAATGATAAATCATATGATATAAATTTTACCCTAATTTGTGCTAATTTGTGCACAACTTTGTGTGTGCATACATGTTGATGCTGATGTCATGGTGGTTGGCATTGTGTCTGTGTATGATTTTGTGACAGCTTTATTTCAGTGTTTAATTTATTTTTTTTGCATGTCATTCATTTTTTAAACTTCATGTTTATATAGTTTTTTGAAACATTTGTTTTGTGATTTTTAAAAATTTTAACTTGATGTGTGGTGTTTTCATTGTAATTTTTGTATTTGTGTTTATTCTTTAAATGTTTACCTTGAGGTAACGTTTTACATAAAGAAAAAAAAACAACTTGTGTTAAATTATCTAAATTAAATCTGTGAATAATATTTGTATTGACACTTTCTGTGTGCTTACATGTTGTTGTTGTTGTTGTTGTTGATAATGACTTTATGGTGGTTGGTATTTTATCTGTTTGTGCATGAGTATTTGAGTAAAAATGCAATATTTTTTGGATACTTTATTTCTGTATTGTGGTGATACATGATCTTTGTTTGGTATTGAAAAGGGTTTTCTTGGAACTCGAGTTCTTAAAAACACAAGGTTTCAATTTTAAGTGACCACACATAGTTAGAAATAAAATAAATTGTCAATTACAGCCTTGTTATATGCAGCATATTGGGATATCATTGGAATTGGAGAGACATATTAGAAATAGCTTAATCTTAAATCATAAAGCTCCTGATTGTAAATATTTATTTTGTTTATAATATTTATACTTATTCTAACATATTTATACTTCATATTTAGAGTTTTAAAAAATCGTTTTGTGTTATTTATATTAATGCACAGGGATTTCATTATAATGAGTTTTTTGTACATAACTTTTATATTTATTTTATTTGTAATATCTTGTGATTATATAATATATAATATATATATATATATATATATATATAGATGCGGCTGTATAATAATAAGTAATAATAAGCCGACAAGACAATGAAAGAATAAATGAATTAATTAATTAATTAATTAAACAATTAATTAAATATAACGTTATATTTGTCTTTTAATCGGACGAGAATTTGCGCCACCACTTCCGATGAGATTTTGTGCTACTTCCGGCAGCGTATGTATCCGTTATTTTTTACAGTCATTGATCCGTTCTAGCAACAACCGTCATGGATATGTTTTATTTTTACGAGTGGGTCGATATCAAAAGTATTTTGATATTTCTGTGTGTCTTTTTATTACTGAGCGATTATATAAAAAATAAAGCGCCGAAAAACTTTCCTCCTGGACCCTGGTCTTTGCCATTTATAGGAGACCTTCATCATATCGATCCAAACAAGATTCACCTTCAGTTCACAGAGGTAACAACTTGTTTTTGTCTATGAATAAGTTAAGCAGTAGCAGTTATGACTGCAAAATTAAATAATACCTTATAAGTTACATAGCTCTGATGAAAAAAAAGCAGACAACGTTAACGTTAGAGCTTGGCGCTGTTTTTCGTAAAGGTCGATATAAGTTATTAAAAAAGCGGGGATAAAAGTCCAAAAACTGACTAGAAATATCAAACTAAGCGTCCTCGCTTAAAGTGGTTTCATAACAGCAAGTAAGATTTTTTGATACAACTACTTAGTCCATTTTAAATCGGTTTAAACAGTCCTCCAGATAACTGGGTCGAGCATATTTGTTGTATGTGTGCTACCATGGCAACTACAAGCAATGTTCACAGCGAGCGAGCAGCATTTGTCTTTAGAGAATTTAAACAATACAAACAGTGCTGTACATATAAGAGTACACCTATATTTCTAACCTAGTAAAGCCTTTAAATTGTGCTTAAAGCTGTGTTATCCCACAAAATAACTATAAAAATATAAGGTACTGTAATCATGGTAAAGACAAGAGAAATGAGTTATTAGAAATGAGTTATTAAAACTTGCAATTTAACAGTAGGGATTTTAAATGGACTAAAATAAATGAATGAAGCAGACTTTTAACTTAGTATTTAAGCTTAGGCAACGGAGTGGCGCAGTTTGTAGTGCTGTCACCTCACAGCAAGAAGGTCGCTGGTTCAAGCCTTAGCTGGGTCAGTTGGCGTTTCTGTGTGGAGTTTGCATGTTCTCCCTGCGTTCGCGTGGGTTTCCTCAGGGTGCTCTGGTTTCCCCCACAGTCCAAAGACATGCGGTACTGGTGAATTGGGTAAGCTAAATTGTCCGTAGTGTATGAGTGTGTATGGATGTTTCCCAAAGATGGGTTGCAGCTGGAAGAAGCATCTGCTGTGTAAAACAACATATGCTGGATAAGTTGGCGGTTCATTCTGCTGTGGCGACCAGATTAATAAAGGGACTAAGCCTAAAAGAAAACAGTGAATGAATGAATGTTTAAGCTTACTCTTTTTGTGATAATTGTGTAACGTGCATGATGTAATGATGATTACAAAGCTTTTTTTTCAGTTTGCAGAAAAATACGGCAAGATTTTTAGTTTTAGACTATTTGGATCAAGAATTGTAGTGTTGAATGGATATAACCTGGTGAAGGAAGTGTATACACAACAAGGTGACAACCTCGCTGATCGACCCACATTACCCATAACTTCTGCAATCATTGGAGACAATAGAGGTTAGTCTAATATCAGAACATTAAATTATCAAAATGTTAATCAATTACCTGTAAAATGTCTGTTTTGTAAACAGGTTTAGTGGCCTCCAGTGGATATAAATGGAAGCATCAGAGGAGATTTGCGCTCACGACACTTCGAAACTTCGGATTGGGAAAGAAAAACCTGGAGCTGTCCATTAATTTTGAATGTGGCTTTCTGAATGAGGCCATTTCAAATGAACAAGGTATTTAGTGAGGTTTTTGATGGATGCAATAATTGAATTGAAAATAATTGAAATTTTCTATCATTTAAAACTTTTTATTCAAGGTCGACCCTTTAACCCTCGCTTACTTTTGAACAACGCTGTATCAAATGTGATCTGTGTGCTGGTGTTTGGTAATCGCTTTGAATATAGTGACCATCACTTCCAGAATCTGTTAAACAAAATCAATGAATCAGTGTATCTGGAAGGAAGCATCTTTGTTCATGTAAGTAAGCATTTTCATCATCCTGTTTTAACAGGTTAACTCTCCTCTAACTTTTCATTCGATCAGATTACTACAGTGTCCCTAAAAGAACATTTGCAAAAATAATAAAAGTAAATAATGACTTTAGTGAGCTCACTCAAAACGGGTGTACACAAGAAACCTATTTATTACTAAATTTAAAACTATCTTATGTGCACATGAAATGTACGGCACACACAATGGTTCAATTTATAGTTTTTATGCAGTTTTCAACTTTCTGTTGACAGAGGTTTTCAAAGTGTGGGGTGCATCTCTCTAGGATGTAATATAAGAGTCATCTTCTGAGAGTGAGCACTCAGAGAGAAACAGTGTGTGATGGCTGAATTCAATTTAATTTTGCAATGTATTGTTGGCAAATACACGCTTATGTGTTGAAATGTCCATCTTAAAGTTTAGTCATTGATTCATTTTCTTTTCAGCTTAGTCCCTTTATCAATCTGGAGTCGCCACAGCAAACGGAACCGCCAACTCATCCAGCATATGTTTTACGCAGCGGATGCCTTTCCAGCTGCAACCCATCACACACCTTCATCCATACACACTCATTCACGTACACGCACTCATACACTATGGTCAATTTTAGCCTAGCTAATTCACCAGTACCGCATGTCTTTGGACTTAGGGAAACTAGAGCACCCGGAGGAAACCCACAAGAACACGAGGAGAACATGCAAACTCCACACAGAAATGCCAACTGACCCAGCTAAGGCTTAAACCGTGACCTTCTAGCTGTAAGACGAACGTGCAAAATTAAAACAGAAGTATGTGTAAAATATGCACTTTTTATGATTGAGTATGAATATTTCACACACACAAATATTATCAAAATATAAAGGTTTGATATTTCTCATATGCATCGTAAATGTTAGAGCTTCAGTTGAGGGAAGCTGTGGTCGCACCAGTGCAACTGCTCTAGTTGCAGTAACAAAATTATGGACCTGTAATTCATATTTCTTTGAAACCCTTTATTCATTCAGTATGGAATCAGGCATTATGATTATACTTCCATGTAAAGCTGAACTAAATTGATTTTAATATTATAGTATCCAGGGTGGCATAGTGGGTAGTGCTGTTTGGAGTTTGCATGTTCTCGCTGTGTTCGCATTGGTTTCCTTCACAGTCAAAAGACATGTTGCTATAGGAGAATTGAGTAAGCTAAATTGTCAGTAGTGTATGTCTAGGTGGTGTTTCCCAGTAATGGGTTGGAGCTGGAAGGGCATCTGCTTCGTAAATCATATGCTAGTTAAGTTGGCGGTTCATTCCACTGTGTGCGACCGCTGATTAATAAAGGGACTAAGCCGAAAAGTAAATGAATGAATGAATTATAGTAGCCTATACTACCCATCTGTATACTCCATCAGCCATTCACCTGGACTACACACCATATCAGGCATTGAGCCAAATCAACCCTCTACAGCTGATACCTATCTGAACACTGATTACTCAGAGCTACAAACTCTAGCTGCGTCTCAAATGGCACACTATGCACTCATGCACTATGTACTTATGCACTTACACACTCAACAGTATAGTATATGTATGTAGTGTCGTCCCAAATGGAGCACATATGTTTTTGTTTTTTTTTACTAAGCGGAAATTTAAACCATTTCCCTGATGACGTTTGACGGTTGCCAAACCAGTGAAATAAATGGCCAAACTATCAAATAATACCTGCCATGAGTATAACCGTATTCACCATCGGAAGGCGCTATAATCACTCTCGTAGAAATATTTTGCTTTTACCATCCAAAATAAATAGTTATCCAACATGTGCGCCCGATAGCTCCGCCCTTTCCGGTACATAAGCAAAGCTGCGGTCGTTGAGTGCAAGAAGCGTCCATCAATCCACACTTTGTTTTATCGACTGAATGAGTGCATCATCTGGGTAATAAAAGTGCACTTATTATTTTTTTTAGAGTTTTGGTGTGAACACACTACTGACACTATTTATACTACAAAATGGCGTAGAATAGTGCATAAGTATGCGATTTGGGACGCAGCCTATATAACAGGGGTGTCCAAAGGTGGTCCTGGAGGGCTGGTGTCCTGCTGATCTTAACTCCAACTTGCTTAACCAAACCTACCTGGAAGTTTCTAATATACCTAGTAAGAGCTTGATTGGTTTGTTCACGTGTGTTTGATTAGCATTGGAGCTAAACTCTCCAGGACACTGACCAAGTTTGGACACCACTGCTATATAAGCTCCATTTGCACACACATGTGCACAAAATACATTCCCATGGCTTAGACAAAGAATGACACAACCTGAATATGTAAGGCTCAAAGTATTTTATGCAAATAGGAAAGTTTCTTGTGTGCATGAAATACGTTGCACATGTGAACTCAAAGTCTTCAATATTTCAATTCTGCAAATGGTCTTTTAGGGCCTTTGTAGCTTACATTTCAGTAGGTGATTTTTTTTTTTTTTTTTTTCATGTTGTCTTTGAAATTACATCTCAAAATTCTGAGTAAAGTGAGAAATGTGCAATATAACAACATTTGAATTTTTATTGTCCTTCAGCTTAGTCGATTATTTATCAAGGGTCACCACAGTGAAATAAGCCACCAACTATTCCGTTATATGTTTTATACAGCGAATGCCCTTCAAGCTGCAACCCAGTACTGGGAAACACCCATACACTCTCACATTCATAGACACACTCATGCACTACGGCCAGTTTAGTTCACCCAATTCTCCTTTGCTGCATGTCTTTGAACTGTGGGGGAAACCTGAGCACCCGGTGGAAACCAACGGAAACACAGGGAGAACATGCAAACCCCACATAGAAATGCCAACTGCCCCAGCTGGGACTCGAACCACTGTGCTAACCACTAAGAAAAATTTATGGTAGAAATAAGCATCCACATAATTCTTTTTCCTTTAGCTCTATAACATGTTCCCGTGGCTCATGCAATTGCTGCCTGGACCACACAAGAAACTTATTACTCTGTGGCAGAGGGTGACTGACTTTGTTCGAGAGAAGGTGAATGAACACAGAGCGGATTATGATCAATCAAGTCTTCGAGACTACATTGACTGCTTTCTAGCTGAGATGGAAAAGGTAAGAACCATTCTGAGGAGGCATCAGTAATTGCTCTAGTATGTGAACACTCTACTAATGATGAAATATGGTTGTTGGACGGAAATGCCTCTTGTTTATGTTGTTCAGCATAAAGACGACACAGCTGCTGGTTTTGATGTGGAGAACTTGTGCATGTGTACTCTGGATCTGTTTGTAGCAGGAACTGAGACCACCTCCACCACTCTGTACTGGGGTCTTCTCTACATGATAAAATATCCTGAAATACAAGGTGAGAGTTTACTATCAGATACAGCATTCATATGCAAATACAAATAATATGCTCACACATTAAACACATGTTTTCTTTATCTTCAGCTAAAGTTCAGCAGGAGATTGATGCCGTTGTTGGAAGCTCACGGCAGCCATCTGGATCAGACAGAGACAACATGCCCTACACCAATGCTGTCATTCATGAGATACAAAGGATGGGAAACATTATCCCATTAAATGTGGTCAGGACTACTTCGGAAGATACTCGGATAGAAAAATACTCCATTCCAAAGGTGGGACACATCACAGTTATTGAGTAGTATGTGCTTTTCCTTCCGCAGAACGTTAATGAAGCGTTCCCTTACATAAAATCACTGCAGTTTTTTTAAATGAATACTGCAGTTTTAGTTAACTTTTGAAAAGTTCAGGTTTTGTTTGGAGTTTGCATGTTCTCCCCGTGTTTGCGTGGGTTTCCTCTGAGTCCTCCGGTTTCCCCCACAAGTCCAAAGACATGCGGTACAGGTAAATTGGGTATGCTAAAAATGACCATAGTGTTTGAGTGTGTGTTTGAGTGAGTGTGGATGTTTCCTAGTAATGGGTTGCGGCTGAAAGGGCATCCGCTGCATGAAACATAAGCTGTATAAGCAAGCGGTTGATTGCACTGTAGCGACCCCAGATTAATAATAATGGGTCTATGCTGACAAAAAATTGAATGAATGAATAAATGAATGAACATACTACTATATTGCCCCTCTCAGTTTATTTAATGTTACTTCAGTTGTACTGCAGATTTTACTGTTGTTGAACTATATTACATTGTACTGTGTTTATACCTCATTATACTTCAATTTTTCAGTTGCATTGAATTAAGGCTACTGCTGTTGTACTTTTCAGTTCACTGCAGTTATTTTTTATTATTTGTTATTGCAAATAAACTATTAAAATTTTAATTAGAAAATTACTTGAATCTAGAAAAACAGAGGACTAAATATTCTCGAAAGATATTGAAGAGCAAACCCTTTGGAACACAAGTGCAGTACAGTTCTTACCACACCATTGGCATATTAGACTACAGCAGCACAAGTGCAGTAAAAATGGAGTTTACTTCTTTTTACTTCAGGTTACTGCAACTTATACTGCTGCTGAGCTTCATTGTACTATATTTAAACTGTGTTTATACTTCATTGTATTACAATTTTGCAATTGTACCTAATTTTACTGCAGTTCTACTTCTATATACTGCTGTAGTACTGCTGTTTTGCTTCAGTTTACTGCAGTTATTTTTGTAAGGGTTGCTCTTTGGTGATTCATTAAATACTGGTCAACAACTTCTGGCACTTTGATTTACAACATTATTACCTTTAATCAGCGGCTTTCACAATGTTTGCTCTGAAGCACAAACTTTAGTTTTATGAATCACCAAGGACAGGCTTCATTTAAAAATCTTCTTTAATTTTCTACTGTAAATCACATGTAGGTTGGCCTGGAATGGATGGCCTTTTTGGCTGAACTGTCATTTTAAGCATCTTGTTGTTCTTCAGGGCACTCTTGTGATTGGCAGTTTGACATCAGTGCTGTTTGATGAGTCTGAGTGGGAGACGCCTCACTCTTTTAACCCGGGTCACTTTCTGGATGCTGAGGGCAAATTCAGGAGGAGAGATGCCTTTTTACCTTTTTCTCTAGGTACAAGAAAACTGTTTCCAAATGATCCCAGTTCAGTTTAGTCCTCCTATAAAGAAATGCATTATAATTATCTGTTGGATTGTTTGATTTTCAGGAAAGAGAGTGTGTCTTGGGGAGCAGTTGGCGAGGATGGAGCTCTTCCTCTTCTTCACCTCTGTGCTGCAGCGCTTCACTTTCTCTCCACCAGCGGGTGTGGAGCCCAGCTTAGATTTTAAAATGGGGTTCACTCGCTGTCCCAAGCCATATAAACTGTGTGCAGTTCCACGCTAAATTAGAAAATACACGTGCAACTTCAAACATTTCAGAAATTTCAAGAAGAAATGAAAAAAATAAAAATAAAAATTTGGTGATTTTTATAAAATACAAACCTATTTACAAATAAGTCTCAAACAACGGGATTATGGGGAAAAATGTTGTTCAAAAACCCAAGATGAAAGAGAGAGAATGTTTTGCAATGCATAAAATAAAAATAAATAAATAAATAAATAAAATAAATGTGCAGTTTTCTTTTTTAGTGCCAAGGAATGAGAATGTTATATAAAGAGAATGTTATATAAAGGTTTATAATAAAATAATACATTTAAGAAGGTGCGCCTCTTTTTAGCTCTGCCCACTTGGATTATTGCGCCAATCTTCGTTTTACAGTAGCAAAAGTGATTCACTGTTTTGTGCAATTGTTAAAGGGGTGGTCCACAATAATCAATAAAAACATATTTTAAACGTTAGTTGATGTGTAATGTAGATGTGTAATATAAATAACATCTCTGAACGTAATATGCTCAAAGTCCAAAGTACAGAGTTAGCTTAGCAAAGTACAGAGTTAGCTTAGCAAAGCTTTCAGCGAACAAAGTTTGGGGACTACAAAAAAATACATCCGGGTAAGTGAGATCACAAAAGCTTCAGTTTATGTGCATTCACCATCCGCACACACCCTGCGTAGCAAGGGGCGTGGCTAGAGGTGCTGTGATGTTAAAGCAGAGAAAACTAAAATACTGTCCAAACAATATTTCCACAGAGCTTGTTCTGTTTCTGTATTTTGGCTTTCAAAGGACACAACACAAAAAGAGAAGTGCTTACAGTTTAATTTTGTTCCAGACAATTATAAAAAAGGTATAGCATTTGACAAAGGACAGCTTCCAGAATATCTCCAAGTTCAGTGTCGGAATCGGCTAAAACTCCTCCAATCGACGAAGCCGTGGATTGTGAGCCACAACCTGTAAGTGTTTTTATTTGTCAATTGATCTATTACATGCAGTTAATGGCAATAACAGTATGTTGTAGCGAGGATGTAAACAACTGAAAATACTGTTTAGCATCATTAACATTTTAGCTACAAATTCATATTTATCAGTCAAACTGCTGTAAACCCACTATCTTCAACAGCGCTGCAGTGTCTTTCTATGTGACCGCTTTCCCTGCATTCTGGTTCTACATTTCTAATAACTCGTAAAAGATATGTGAGCGTTTCATATTACTTACACATGCTTATTCCTAATATATGTGAAAGAGACTTGTCAGATTTTATTTTAGAGGTGGATAAAGGTTCACTGTGTTTTTCAGTGCACGATGTTTAATTAATTTATTGTAATTTAACTCATATCTGACTCCAATTTTAATATGAGGTGGTTTAGAATATTAATATATTTATCCTCATTTTATCTGACACCATTTATAAAACATTGAGAAGCTTATTGTAATATTTCATTTAGATGAATGTTTCATTATTTCATTTAATCTTGTTTCTATATATTACACTTGTTCATTTGGACTCCTATAACATCCTTGTTATAGGAGTCTTGTACAGGCCGAGTATACAATATCTTAATCACAAGCATATCAGTCTTGGTCACTAAACAGAGGCAATTAACCATTATTCTAAAAAGCCAGAAACCTGCTTGCTCATTTTTTAAAAATTTTGTGCGGTCCGGTCCCCATAGATATGCTATCTACTAAATCAAAACAAAGTTATTAATTGGTACCATGATCATTACTATAGAATCAAGCTGATCAATTTACTTTAACTATTGGTATCGTTGAATGATCACCATGACCATATGATTTAAATTGTTAAGTTTAGAGATGAAGGCCTTCCCACATTTAGATTGGTCTCAACAATACTTTAATGTTCTAAATAGAAAACGCATTGTTAGCCTTTTACAGTCTAAGTATACTTGAATTAATGCTAATGTGTTAGTCAAAGCTCTTAGAACATTGTGTAGTGTGCCACGCTGCTCTGTCTATCGTGTTTTAGTTCATTACTAACATGTACAGGGGCTTGTGGTGTTATGGACTTAACAAAATCTACTAGAGTTAATAATCGATTCACAGCAAGAAGGTCGCTGGTTCGAGCCTCGGCTGGGTCAATTGGCATTTCTGTGTGGAGTTTTAATGTTCTCCCCATGTTTGCGTGGGTTTCCACTGGGTGCTCCGGTGTCCCCCACAAGTCCAAAGACATGCTGTACACAGGTAAATTGAGTAAACTAAATTTGTCCATTGTGTATGAGTGTGTATGGGTGTTTCACATTGATGGGTTGCAGCTGTTAGGGCATCAGCTGCGTAAAACATATGATGGATAAGTTGGCGGTTCATTCTGCCGTGGCGACCCCAAATTAATAAAGGGACTAAGCCAATAAAAAAAGGAATTAATGAATTCATTAGTCAGGTAAATGTGGATTATGCCAATTATTCAGTCAATTCATAAACAATCAACATAAGATCAAATTTTAAAGATAAATCAGATCAAAAGATATACCTGACTTCAAAATATTAAAGGCACAGGCAACAAAGTAAAACAGCTACAAAGTCAAAATTTCCAATACTCTGATATTCTGGTATAATAAATCATCTGATGGGTGTTTTGAGCAGAAACGTTATAGACTCATTCTAGAGGCACAGAAGACTTCTCTTAAATTGTGAAAAGGGGTAAAATAGGTGCCCTTTAAAGATACTAAATTAATCAGGAAAATATAATGAGAATGACACAATGAAACTGTTTTAAAGGCTTTCGAATTGTTGGATGTAAGACGAGTATTGGGATATTTAAGATCTTACCAAAAAAAAAAAAAAAAAAAGAAATCTAGAATTTTCTAAGAACAATGAAAACATTTATAAAATGATATTTGTCCTTGTCTTATTTCAGTTCAATTCCTTTTTATTAATATAGTTACCGTGATTTTATAACATAGAAATTTTGTAAAAGGATTGGAGCCAAATAATATATCTTTATATGATAAACAGGGCTATAAATTAACATGTTTTAGTGGCACTGGTGCTCCCAGCATCAACAATTTTGGAGCACCCATGAAAAAAAAATAACAATAATAAAAGAAAAAAAATAATTATATATATATATATATATATATATATATATATATATATATATATATATATATATATATATATATATATATATATATATATAAGCTGCACTCCACTGCAAATTGTATATCAACAGATTTATTGAACCTCCAAATGGGAGCAGCCCACACTGCTGAAATTTCTTTTAAAGATGAACATATATCTTTTTAATCCCAGTTTCAGGAAAGAGAATGGATGGAGCTCTTCCTCTTCTTCTCCTCTTTGCTTTACTTTCTCTTTACCAGCGGATGTGAAGCCCAGCTTGGGTTATAAAATGGGGGCACACACTGTCCCCAGCCATAAAAACGGTGTCCAGTGCCATGCTAAATTAAGAAACATGCAACTTTAATTATTTATTTTTTTTATTGGATTTGGTAATGTAAGAGTGTATGGGTGTTTCCCATTACTGGGTTTCAGCTGGAAGAGCATTCGCTGTGTAAAACTTGCTGAATATACTGGTGGTTCATTCTGCTATGGTGACCCCTGATGAATAAATGGACTAAGAAATGTACAAATGAAAAATATTTGGTGATTTTTTAAAACACAAAACTATTTGCTAATAAATCTGAAAGAAAGTGATTAATAAAGGTGATAAAATGTTGTTTAAAAACTCAAGATCTGAGCTGTGAACTGAGCAGCAGCTTCAGGAGAAAGAACTGTGAAGCAGTCTAGACCTGAAAGAGTGAGAATGTTTATAGGTAATTAAGTGTGCAGTTTTCTTGTTTAGTGCCAAGTTCTTGCTGCAGTCACCTCTTTTTAATAACTGCGATTAATGAGCAAATATGGCTATATCACATACTGTGAGAATGGGTTATATAGGTCTATTATAAAATAATACATTTTTGAAGGTGCGCCTCTTTTTAGCCCTGCCCATTTGGATCATTGCGCCGACCTTCGTTTTACAGTAGCCAGCGTGAGGAAGTGTCAGTCATGGACATGTTGCACTTTTACGAGTGGATCGACATCAAAAGTATTCTGATATTTGTGTGTGTCTTTTTGTTACTAAGTGACTTTATTAAAAATAAAACGCCGAAAAACTTTCCTCCTGGACCCTGGTCTTTACCGATTATAGGAGATATTCATCATATCGATCCAAGCAAGCTTCATCTTCAGTTATCAGAGGTAAAAAAAACAATAACGCTTCGGTCTTAGTTGTTTGAAAATCTGTAAAAAAAATGTAAAGCGGTAAGCTAACTGCAAAGGAACCCGTTTAACTCGCTAAAATGGGAAATTATTAGCAAACTACAAGTAAATCATTTACATTATAGTAACTAGGGCTGCACGATATTGGAAAAAATTGACATTGCGATATTTTTTTCCCCTGCGATATATATTGCGATATTTTATATATATATATATATATATATATATATATATATATATATATATATATATATATATATATATATATATATATATACTTAAAACTAGGGCTGTGACGGTCACCATGACAACCGCGTCACCGCGGTGGTCATTGCCACCTCGGTTGTCCATTGCCACCGGCCGTAGTACGTGAAGTCACGCACTTTAAAACACAAATTACTGTTATGTTGCCAAGTATTACATATCTGTTAGAATATAACATTAGGCGCGATTCAGCAAGTTCAAGTTCAACCAAGAATCTTGTTAGAAAACGAACTCTTACATCTGGGAACATTTTGGATTCGTGCCGAACTAGAAAGGTGAACGAATCAATTTGGATTAAGCTTTTTGTATGGGGGTTTTAAGTAAAGTGTGTTTTAATATTCACTGCTGAGTGCTGAGAGTCCAAACACTGAGGAGCAAATCCATCGATACGCAGATCCACGGGTCCCGAACCATGCAAGCTAGTGGCGATTGACGGCGAGGGAAAAAAAGCCATGTAGGCTTAATCAACTCCTGTCTTCTAAACGCAGAAGCCCAGCTCAGCCAGGCATGGCAGAGGCATTTGCAAAAATGGCCAGATACAAAAGAGAAAGTGATAAATGGAAGACATTGACGAGAAATTGAGCATAGGCTATTTGGTAACTACTTAAGAACGCGCCGCTCCGCGTTGCGAGAAATGCGGGCGGCGGAACAGAAGGAGAAGCCCTCTCTCGCATGGTTGTGAAAAAGTAACCTGTCTGTGCTTTATCGCTACAAGCACACCGTCTGACAGTGTATTGCTGGAAACATTATAACTCCATTCTATCGCGGATATACAGTTTCAAGCAGTTAAAGTAATGTAATATTTAACTACAATATTTATAAACAGTTTTGTGTTGTTTTATTAACGAAAGTTCAAAAATAAACATGCACGTTTATACGGATGTTTTATTTATTAATATTAAATTCGGTTATTCCTTAATTTTTACATAAAAGGTAAATTAACTTAAATAGGCTACATTATTTGTTGATGTACGAGATCGAGGAACATTTGCCAGTAAATAATGTTCGCACCACTTAAAAAACAAAACAAATGAATAACTTGCGAAAAGGATGCAATAAAAAATGCAAGCGCTTAATCATTCTTCACAATCGGATTCGTACGTGCAATAAGCCGAGGCTATATTGCGCCGACAAGAACAAGCCCTAAAACTAAGTCTAGAGAGAGAACTAATACTAGTTAATATTAATGATTATAAACACGAACTGCGTTGTATGATAAACGCATCACAATGATGTCGTGATCTTTGCTGAAGAACTGATATGTTATCGCCGTCTCCCCAGCCAGGTTTTCGCATCTGCTTTTTCCCCCTTCTTCTGGATACAAACAATAAAGTATCAGCGCCAGACCAGTGGTTTAAATTATATTTTACTCTCCTGATTTCTTTTCTTTTCATTAAAAAACAATTAAATGTTTAAAGTTTTGTATTGCATACACTCTAAAAAAAAATTCCGTAAAAAAACGGTAAAATGTACTGGCAGCTCATTACACAAATATTTTACCGTAAATTAAAAACGGAAAACTTCTGTTAATTGACAGTGTGTCCACATTAAAAAAACTACAAAATATCAGTTTTTTGACGGTTAAACTACTGTAAAATAACGAAACATTTTATAGTAATTTAAGGGTTTTCTATATAAAAAAACGGTTATTTTCTGTGTTTTTAAGGGTATACCAACAGTAAAAAAGCGGAAATATTTTGTGTTTTAAAAGTATACCTATTGTAAAAAAACAAACAGATTCTGTGTTTTAATAGTATACCTACTGTAAAAAAACAGACAGATTCTGTGTTTTAATAGTATACCTACTGTAAAAAGAGGACTTTTTTGCTTTTTAATAGTATATATACACAGTGAAAAAATGAACAGATTCTTTGTTTTAATGGGATACCTACTGTAAAAAAATTATTATTTTACTAATTTAATGCTCTTCAAGCAGCATAGAAATGGCAGTTGGTAAGGATAAACATATACATATGGGAAATACACTATTAATGGTTTACCATAATAAAAAAAAAACATTTATTCTATACTGTATGTGTAAAGAAGCAGTAAATAGTTTGTTAACTGTGAACTTACAATTAGTACAAAAACAACTTTGCAATTAAAACAGATTCTTTAATGAATACAAATCATTTGAATTCCAAATAGCTAGTTATACATACAATAATACATATTGACATGTGAATCACACAGTGAGAGGTCTTGGCAAATAATCTCATAGCAAATTAGTTTTAAATGTTAGCTTTAAGATAATTGAGGACAAGTGGGCAAAGTACAAGTACTTTACATTAAGAAACCAGGTTAAACTGCAAGATGGCAGGAAACAGACGATACAACTGGGTCTTCTTCCGCTCCAATACTGATACTTCAATGGCTGTAAAAAAAATAAATAAAAAAAAAAAACATTACTAATGACATTTCACTTACAACTGGGGTGATTCCTTGCATGTCAATAGTTTACACAAATGGAAGTTTTATCATCATCTTCTTGTCTCACTCTTGTAATTTCAAGCCTGTCTGACTGACATACTTCCACAGAACAAAGTAGGAGAAATAGGAGCAACATTCTTTAAAATATGATATTTTGTGTTTTGCAGAGGAAACAAAGTCATACAGTTTTAAAATGTCAAGAGTGAGTAAATTATGAATTATCAATTATTCAGTTTTGGGTGAAAAATCACTTTAAGGTTTTTCAAAATAAAGTGTAGGTACTTTTGACAATATTCGGAACAATAATGCAAGAGAGAAACAGTAATATAAACAAACTATGCTGGTAACACTATAATAACTACAGGCTATGATTCATTTATGAAGCATTAGCAAATAGTGAATTCATTATCTGTTAAGCATTGACTCTAAATTAATAGATGTTAGCAGTCGGGTATAAATACAGCTGCAAAATTTGCTACAGCTACAGTTTAATAATTGTGTTATCAAACTTTAATGATTGATTTTACATTACTATATATATATATATATATATATATATATATATATATATATATATATATATATATATATATATATATAAAATATTATATTTAATATTGCATTATTTACAAAACTTCTTCCAGTTGTGGCCTAATCTGTGAGGATTATTTATGATTTATAAATCCTTATAAACGACAGTTAAAGGCTCAGTATCAAATGAACATTCTTATCTAAACAGTCTTATCTAAAAAATGTAATTACTGTAAATATGAAACCTTGCTGAATAGCTGGAGTGCCAAAATATAACATAAAACTGGATAAAACAACACTAAAATAATTTAATGATATTACGATGCAACATTTCAGTGTTATTTAGCTATGTTTAAACTGTACAGTAATTTTATTTTAGATAAGATTTATTTTTCATTTAATACAATAAAATGAATTTCATTTTTAGAATATAACTGAATCTTTAATTGTGATTTATAAGGGGATTTACAAAGCATAAACAATCCTCACTTTAGGCTACAAAACTGGATGAAGTAAACAAAAGCACTTATTAAAATAAATATTGTATATACTTTATATACTTATTTTTTGTACTTTATTTACAAATATAACTATTACAATTCATTCATGTATTTTCCTTCAGCTTAGTGTGTACTCACACTATGTATAGTTGCCTTAAACCAGGCCGAAGCACTCTTGTCTTCCCTCCCGTCTCCCCTGACGTCCCACACTCACATTGCATTCGAGCCTGAGCACTCTTACATCATCGATGATGCGCTGTTTAGTTTAGGAAGTGCTCTCAGCACGGAGGAGAATTCTTTAGTTATATTGTTTTAGTCATTTGGGATGCAGTAACACGCTGTCAAATATTTCGCCGAACAGATCAGCCACTTTTGATGTTAATAAACAATCATAAATTCCTTGTGCTGCAGGAATAGGAGGTTTGCTAAAGGCGCAGCTGTGGTGCAGTAAGGGGTTTGCGTTCATTGAACAGTAATAGTGATTAATTTATCCAAATCAAAGTCCCTTGCAAACTGTCATAGATTAAAGACACAAACCCCTCACTGCACAACAGCTGCACCTTTAGCAAACCTCCTAGTACCTGCAGCACGTTGACTTTGATTGTTTATGAGCGTCAAAAGTGGCTGATCTGTTCGGCGAAATATTTGACTGCGTGTCACTGCATATTGAACAACTAAAACGATATAACAATATAAAGAAATCTCCACTGTGCTGAGTGAGAGCACTTGTTAAACTGAACAGTGCATTATTGATGATGTAAGCATGCTCAGGCTCAAATGAAATGTGAGTGCAGGTCGTCGGGGAGACAATCACGCTTCCAGTTTCAAGGCAACTGTGCATAGCATGAGTACGCCCTTGAAAACACCCATACACACTTATTTACAAACACACTCATACACTACAGCCAATTTAGTTAATCAATTTCCCTATAGCTTATGTCTTTGGACTGTGGGGGAAACCTAAGCACCCAGAGCTCTACTTGCTGTGAGGCAACAGTGCTAGCCACTGTGCTGCCCAACTATTACTATATGCCTGAATAATAAGATATATAAATGTTAGTTTGAATAGTTTATTAACCATTTACTTACACATTCTGAATGATTAGAAAAAAAATACACCAACTATTCTTAAATCACTGGTTTGTAAATAATGCTATACTAAATTTAGTAATGAAAAATTTATCATTAACAAAATATAAAAACAAAATCATTAAGCACATTATAGATGTGCTTATAAGTCAAGATTACAGCATTTGCAGCTGTAGTTATAAACTGTATACTAAGGTCTATTAATGTAGAGTTAATGCTTAACAGAACTTTTTGCTAATGCTTAATAAATTAATCAATAGTGTTTAGTTATTATAAAGTATTACTGGTGTGCTTAATTACCTTTAAATCTTCCAAGGATTCTGAAAGTCTTTCTGGTCTGACAGGAATCGAAGGAGTTTAGATGGTATGTTTCTGCTTGGTGCTCTTTTTTCTGCTTTGGACCTACATTCTGGATAGTTACTCAGCATGCTCCTGTTGTAAATACAACAAACATGTATCAACTTACTTGTCTTATAAAAATGAAATAAACTTAAAAATGTAAAAACAGACCTTCATATAAACTCCAGAGTCAGGGCTGCTTCCTTAGGCTACATAATGTTTAGCACATAAGAGACTAAACATGTAGCTCACCACAATTAGGGGACAGCCCAATGATCTTGTTATTGTGACTGTGGACTCTTCTTCTGAAAAAAAGAAAAGTGAGTTGTGTGTTGGGTCTGGTACACGTCCACATGGAAAGAACCTATATAAACATATGGTTTAATATAGGTTTTGATTTAGGTTTTTGAAATATGTGACAAATATAAAATTGGCTGTTTTCCTATATTACATGTACATATATGGGTACATATATGCACACCTATATGTTAAATTATTAATATTATAAATAATATTATAAATATTATAATTATTATGTAAAATTATTCAAATACATGTCTGCTACATAATTTAAAAGAAATTAAAATATATTTACTTAATCAAATATTACAAGAAATAATTATAGTGCAAGAACAAAAATAAGGCAAAAAAAAAAAACAATAAAGGAAAGAAAACAAAATTTAAAAAAATGACAAACCATTTTGTTTTACATTTCTTTCTTTTCCACTATCTTTATACAAGAAAGAATTGACCTTGAAAATGTTTCAGGAAAACGTGTAGACATCATAGCTTTCCATCTCCTCTCACTTATTTGCCATGGTTAAATTCCATAACATGCTAATAACATGTGATACAAAAGTCAAGTGGCACATACATACTGTAAGTTTTTCGCATTTTTTAAGTTAGTTCTTACCCAGAGAGCAAACCTACGTTAAATTAACATTGAATAAATGTTAAAACATCAATCAAACTATCATTGAAACAACGTTAAAAAGTCACCACTGATTTTTAGGCAGTTTTCTACCCTGAAATAATGGTAATTCTATGATGATAAATAGACAAAACTGTCCCAAAATCAGCATTTATTCAACCAAAATTAAATCTTTTTTTTTTTTTTACAATGAACCCAACATTAAATAAAATGTTAAATCAACCACACTATCATACAATTAATGTTGAAATTTAAATTTGATTTTTAGCCAGTTTTGCATCCTGAAATAATGTTATTACAATGACGCTAAATAGAAAAAACGGTCACAAAATTAGCATGAAGGCCTGGCTCACCATCAAGATGCCCACATTGAAATTGTCTCTCTCATCATCAGGTGGCTAAGAGAGAAAAGAAAAGAGATTCAGCAGTGGACCAGTTATTTCCTTATTACTTTAAGCAGACATTACCAAAATAAAGAACTTGTAACATTTCAAATGATGCAAAAATAAATAATATTAATAAATAACTGCTTGGTTTATTTAACAGATTACAGTAGCAGCTTAAAAAACCCAGATAAAACACCCACATCAACCCAGTACTTTTTAGTTTGAATACATGTTAACAAAATTCTAAATTACTGAAGCAAAATGTGTTCATGTAAACACTTAGTAAAAATATAGGTACAAGAAATTGGTTTTGCCAAATAATAAAAATAAAAGCATCAATATAAAAAAAAAAACCCTGACCATTTTACCTCTTAAGCTTGAAAGTTTACTGTCATCCCCTGTACTAAGTACAGATGGTCCAGCACAACTGCCCGAGTTCTGAAAGAGCAAACACATTCTTGGTAAAATGACAATAGATGCAATGCTAAATATAAATCATTTTTTATTTTTATTTTTTGTATTATTTATAAAAATGCAGTACTGACCAGTCAGCATCAATTTTTACACCAACACCTACAACAAAAATAACACTCATTCAGTTTGAAACATGCAACGTAGTCTACTTTTATACTTTACATAAAAAAAACCCCAGCTGTATTTTATTTCATTTGTCTATATCAATTCAAATTTAGTTTGGATTGAACGTAAGATTTAATATTTTTATTTAGATTGCTGTGAAAATGTACCTGTACCTTGTACTTATAACCAAAATTACAGAACCTGGAAGTCAACAAAGCAAAATATCAGTGAACCTTATATGTACAAAACACTTAAAACCAAACAGAAAAAACGCTGAACATTTTACCTCTTAAACTTCAAAGTTTACCATCATCTCCTGTATAAGGTACAGAGGGTCCAACACAACTGCATGAGTTCTGAAAGAGCAAACACATTCTTGGTAAAATTACAATAGATGCAATGCTAAATATAAATCATTGTTTATTTTTTTGGTTAAAAAATGCAGTACTGACCAGTCAGCATCACTTTTTACACCAACACACCTACAATAAAAATAACACTCATTCAGTTTGAAACATGCAGCAGGTAGTCTACTTTTAAACTTTAAACTTTGTAAATAACAAAAAAATGAAAACATTTAAAATCCCAGGTGTATTTCATTTAATTTGTCCATATTAATTTAAATTCAGTTTGGATTGAATGTAAGATTTAAGATTTTAATTTAGATTGCTGTGAAAATGTACCTGTACTTTGTACTTATAACCAAAATGACAACATAAACATAAAGCAAATCTTATATCATATATCAGTGAACCTTATATCTACAAAACACTCAAAATCAAACAGAAAAACCCTGAACATTTTACCTCTTAAACTTGAAAGTTTACTGTCATCTCCTGTATAAAGTACAGAAGGTCCAGCACAACTGCCTGAGTTCTGAAAGAGCAAACACATTCTTGGTAAAATGACAATAGATGCAATGCTAAATATAAATCATTATTGTTATGGTTAAAAATGCAGTACTAACCAGTCAGCATCAATTTTTACACCAACACACCTACAACAAAAATAACACTCATTCAGACAGTCTACATTTAAACTTCACAAACGTTGTGAATAATAAAAAAATTAAAACATTTAAAATCCCAGGTGTATTTTATTTCATTTGTCTGTATTAATTCAAATTCAGTTTGGATTGAATCTAAGAATTTACCTGTAACATGTACTTATAACCAAAATGAAAGAACCTGAAAGTCAACAAAGCAAAATATCAGTGAACCTTATATGTGCAAAAAAAACTGACTCAAAATCTACATAAAAAGATTTCATTTGCGATAACACCATGTGTAGTTCACTCTATTATCAAGGTTTCATTCAAATAAAACTCCTGATCTCCTAATAGTAAAGAAAGTATTATTTGCTATAATGAATCGAACTGACAATTAGTTTGAAGAATTTTAAGACTGTGGAAGAACAACTCATCTTTATATCTTCATATTAGCTGCCCTTGAGGTTCTTAAAAGTGAATAAATAAATATCAATGACAGTTCAACTCGACTACAACAAACATTTAATTGTGTGCTTTAAGGTACACGTTGTAGGCTATTTGAGGCCGACTTTTAAATGTCACACACTTACTGTATCACTCTGTTATCTCTGTACACACAAACACACGTCGCGAAATGCGGAAGTTTTTTTTTTCGTTCCATTTGGCGAGCGTTATTAAATTCCATAACATTCTCATCAGTTCTTGCTTCTTATTTGCGTCTATTACCCCAGTTTGTCACGTGGGATGAATGAAATGTTCATGAGTTAAAGTGAAACTGCCGAACTGCAGTTAAAGTCAGGCATCCTGCTGATTTGATTCAGAAGGGCACTTGTTTGTCAGACGGCTCACCTGTCAGGTATACATCCGCGCTAAAATGTCAAAGTATGAAAGTCACCCATGAGCTGCAGCTCCCAACCCAACGTTGAGAATAGATTAACGGCGATATATATTTTTTATCGCGCGATAAGTCTCGCGTTAACGCAGCACGTTAATGCTGATAACGGCCCACCACTAATAATAACTTTACGAGTGTGTATTTCCCCTCATACCGAGTTACAAATGCCTCCAATTCACGCGAGTCTAACTTATAACTTAACGTTACTTAAAAACCAGCAAAGCTGTTCCACTGAAACTCGGTCACACAGCCTTAATACGTCGGTCAAACTAAAGCTAACATTTGATAACGTCAGTAAAATATGAAATTAGTTATTAATATGCAAACAAACACAGACGGTCAGGTGTTACGAGCGTTTGAAACACGTTGACGTTAGTGTTCATTAAAGGTAACGTATATCAACCAAACTACACAGTGTCACAAACTTTGAATGCTATCCCTTGTTCAATGCACTGTACAAAGAAAACATTTATATTTCTATTAAATAATTAACATACCTTTCACACTCTCACAGACAAGCTGACGTTTACCGTTAATCCAGTCAGACTCACGCAGGTGCAGAGGGAGTGAGTGGGTGATTGGGACGTCACGTCACTTCCCGCGCACGGCAGTTTAGAAAAATACGGACAAACAACTGTAAATGAACAGATACCATATTTACTGATGAGTAAACCGCATAAAAAGGTAAAAAATCATTAGGTAAATGCTTGTTTAAATTACATTTAACCACTCATAGCTCAGTTTGATCTTAATGAAATAAAGTCTGATCTTATTAACAATAATTAACGTAATTCACTGCTGTACTTTCCATGGGCACTTCATACAAGACAAAATCATTTTAAATAACGATAAAAAGGTAATAAAGCAGTCTTTTAACTAAAATATTGTTATATGTTTTATTAATCGTACTTACCAGGGAAAAAACAGAGGAAGAAATATGTCCCGGTGTCCATCAAACGCTGTCTGAGCTGCGATCCCCTTCCCACAATGCAATTCGAAAATGTATATAAACGGAAAAACACCCGTAATACGTGTATACGGAAAAAAATCTGTTAAAATATACAGTCATTTAACTGTTATTTTACAGATTTTTTTTACAGTGTAGCCTATATATTTTTAAAGATTATCATTCAGCCTACCTGCAGCGCATGAGGTTGTGTGCTGGGCAAATCCCCTTTATTCATGCTACCCATTTCATTTATTTTCATTTTCATTTCATTTAGTTTTAATAATAGCTAATGTATATAATAAATTATAATATCGATTATTGTGTAGACTACAGTGTTCAACAAAACAATTTTATTAGATTACTCTAATAGACCAAATCCCTAACTGAAAAACGAATGTGAAAATGACAGGCAGTTGCGTCTTTGCTAAAATTAATTTAACGACAAATTTCTTTTGCCTTTTTCCCCTTTAGAGATCAAAAGAGATGTATTTAAAGAATTATTTCACTAAAACATGAATTGAATGCCCAGTTCTTTCCCGTGTGAGTTTAGTGCGCCTCCGCCGCGTCTGCGTTTTTAAGGTTAGGTGCACCCTGACCTGACGCGGGACCAGATCTCTGTATTGCTTTAATTTCTCAATTTTCATAACTGCATTGCATTTTCATATGGTAAAATATCAAAATTTATGCTCTGAAAGTAGTAGGAATGACGGGAGTGTTAGTAATTAATAACAGAAAGAACTTTCACTTTTGAGTGAACTTCTGTCACGTGTTATTTTAGTATGATAAAATAAACAAAAATAGTAATGCTGAAAAGTATTTTTCGCTCTGCCAAGCCTTCTCTGTTGCTGTATAGAGAAGCAGCCTGCTCAGTCTCCTTACCCCGGCCCCACCCCGCCCACCGACTCCTGAACGTCTCACTCACTAACTCACTCATTCACGCGGGCATGCACTGCGGTCTCATGAGGAAACGCAGCTTTTTGATATAATGTTTTTCTTGTTCCCAAATACAAATAATTTATCAAGTATTGTTTGACATAAGTATTCGTAAAAACACTCTATTCCTGCTTTTCCGAATACCGTATTCCGGTTCGGCTCCACCCATAATATATATATAATTTATTATTATTATTATTTTTTTGCATCGCACCCTCCTGCGATGTGACTATCGCGGATGCGCACATCGCGATTTCGATGCTGAAACGATATATCGTGCAGCCCTAATAGTAACACTGCAAGAACTCGTTGGTTTAACCAGCAGTAACTCGTACTACCTTGCATATTATAGCGAAAGAACTTAAACATTACGTTGCGTGTAACTACAGTAACGTTACGTCAATATTTCGTCAGTTACCCGTAAGCGCGGACACACTCGGGTTAAAGGGATAGTTCACCCAAAAATGAAAATGTATTATTATTTCTCGCGCGTGTGGTTTTATACCTTTTTTCTTTGAACACAAAAGAAGATGTTTTGAATAATGCTGGTTGCAACCATATTGACTTCAGGAAAAAATACTATGGTTGAGCAGAAGATATTATGAAGAAAGCTGAAAACCTGTAAGGTACAGTGGTTAAGTTGTTTACATGGTAGCTTCACAGCCAGATAAAGGTCGCAGGTTCGAGTCCCAACTGAAGTTTGCTTATTTTCCCAGTGTCTGTGTTGGTTTCCTCCGGGTGCTCCGATTTCCAAGGTTTCCAGATTCACAGTCCAAAGACATAATAAACTAATTTGGCTGTAGTATGTGAATGGGAGAGTGTTTGGGTTAGGACTGGGTTGCAGCTTGAAGGGTATCCACTGTAAAAACAGTTGCCAGAGTAATTGGTGGTTCATTGCACTGTGACTAAGTGAAACCTGTAACCATCGACTTCCCCAGTAAAGAAATACATTGGAATTCAATAGTTACAGCTTTCTTCTATAAACAGGTCCTTTAAAAAAATGCATATTGTAATAAAGTTCATTATTTTCTGCAATGTACTGATAAACATTAGACTTTCATATATTTTAGATTCATTACACACAACTAAAGTTGTTCAAAGCCTTTTGTTGTTTCATTATTGATGATTTTGGCATACAGCTCATGAAAACCCACAATTCCGATCTCAAAAAGTTTGCATATTTCATCCGACTAATAAAAGAAGTGTTTTTAATACAAAAAAGTCAACCTTCAAATAATTATGTTCAGTTATGCACTCAATACTTGGTTGTGAATCCTTTTGCAGAAATAACTGCTTCAATGCAGAATTGCATGGAGGCAATCAGCCTGTGGCACAGCTGAGATGTTATGGAGGCCCAGGATGCTTTGATAAGCTCATTTAGAGTGTTGGGTCTTGCGTCTCTCAACTTTCTTTTCACAATATCCCACAGGTTTTCTATGGGGTTCAGGTCAGGAGAGTTGGCAGGCCAATTAGGCACAGTAATACCATGGTCAGAAAACCATTTACCAGTGGTTTTGCCACTGTGTGCAGGTGCCAGGTCCTGCTGAAAAATGAAATCTTCATCTCCATAAAGCTTTTCAGCAGATGGAAGCATGAAGTGCTCCAAAATCTCCTGATAGCTAGCTCCATTGACCCTGCCCTTGATAAAACACAGTGGACCAACACCAGCAGCTGACATGGCACCCCAGACCATCACTGACTGTGGGTACTTGACACTGGACTTCAGGCATTTTGGCATTTCCCTCTCCCCAGTCTTCCTCCAGACTCTGGCACCTTGATTTCAGAATGACATGAAAAATTAGCTTTCATCGGGAAGAAGCACTTTGGAATACTGAACAATAGTCCAGTGCTGCTTCTCTGTAGCCAAAGTCACGTGCTTCTGCCGCTGTTTCTGGTTCTTGCACACGGCTGTACACTGTGGCCTGGATGTTTTTACCTCCAGACTCAGTCCACTGCTTTCGCAGGTCCCCTAGGGTCTGGAATCGGTCCTTCTCCAGCAATGTTTTGCAGTTGTTTAGAGTTAATTAGTTGATTCAGATGATTAGGTTAACAGCTCATTTAGAGAACCTTTTCATGATATGCTTATTTTTTGAGATAGGAATTTTGGATTTTCATGAGCTGTATGCCAAAATCATCAATATTAAAACAATGAAAGGCTTTGAACAACTTCAGTTGTGAGTAATAAATCTAAAATATAAAGTCTAATGTTTATCAGTACATTACAGAAAATAATGAACTTTATCACAATATGCTAATTCCTTGAAAAGGACCTGTATTTCTGTTGGCGTTTAACAGAAGAAACTCCCAGCAGGTTTCTCACAACTGAAGGCAGAGTAAAGGATGACAGATTTAGTGTTTTAGTTTTAAAAGTTTTGAATTATGCTTTTAAGAAATATTGACATTACTAATATTTGTACAGTGTGCCTCATGATGGTTTTAAAATCACATTTTTCAGTTTGCAGAAAAATATGGCAAGATTTTCAGCCTTAGACTTTTTGGACCAAGAATTGTTGTGTTAAATGGATATAACTTAGTGAAGGAAGTGTATACTCAAGAGGGTGACAACCTCGCTGATCGAGCCATTTTACCCTTATTTCACGACATTATTGGAGACAAAGGTGAGTCTGAAAACTTTAAAGTAATTTGTCTCAACGCCTATTTAAACATTTATATAAAGAGTTATTTGTGTGAACACAATGGATAACCTAATATCAGAATGTTAAATCTGCAGTTTACCTAGTGATGGGTTGTAACTGGAAAGGTATCCACTGTGTAAAACATATGCTGAATAAGTTGGCAATTCATTCCTCTGTGGTGACCCCAGATTAATAAGGGAACTAAGCCAAAAAGAAAATGATTGAATAAATCTGCAGAATGACTAAAAACAACAATAATTAATTACTTTTCTAATTAAGTGTCCGTTTTGTAAACAGGTTTAGTGGCTTCCAGTGGATATAAATGGAAGCAGCAGAGGAGATTTGCACTCTCGACTCTTCGAAACTTCGGATTGGGAAAGAAAAACTTGGAGCCATCCATCAATCTCGAAAGTGGCTTTCTGAATGAGGCCATTTCAAATGAACAGGGTATTTTCTAAGATTTGTTGGTTGAAAATAACGGAAAATGACGTTTTAATTTGAAATTATGGTGTGATTTATCTCTTTTTGCTGTAGGTCAACCCTTTGACCCTCGCTTACTTCTGAACAACGCTGTATCAAATGTGATCTGTGCACTTGTGTTTGGTAATCGCTTTGACTACAGTGACCATAAATTTCAGACTCTGCTGAAGAACATCAACGAGACTGTGCATCTGGAAGGAGGCATCTGCGCTCAAGTAAACATTTTCTCCTTTAACAAGTTAACTTTAGTTCAACGTCTTTTCTGCTCAGTTTACTTTTTTTACATGTCTCATAATTCTGAGGGGTCGGGTTGAATTTTATAATGAAACAGTGTTCTTCACAGGCTTGCGCTCTATTTGTAGTGGCATTTCAAGTAAATACACTATATTAGCAAAATACTCCCCTACAAATCATTAAATTCAGGTGTTAAAAGCACTTCCATGTCACAGGTGTATAAAATCAAGCACCTAGGCATGCAGACAGCTTCTACAAAGATTTGTCAAGAAATGGGTTGCGCTCAAGAGCTCAAGATATTTAAGCATGGCAACGTGATGTTTCCACTTGTCCATTGATGAAATTTTCTCACCACTAAATATTTGAATTAAATTGTTTATGGAATTAAAACAAAGTGGAATGAAATTAGAACAATTGGGAATGAAATCAATTCTAAAAGATGAGCAGGGTCAGCGTATGCTGAGAAATACAATGTGCAGTAGTTGTCAACTTTCTAAAGAGACAAAAGCAATAAACTTCTAAATTCCACTAAGCGATATGGTGGGTACATTACAGTATGGTTTTCCTTTTTTTTTTTTTTTCATTTTCCTATTAGAAATAACCAACAATTTTCATGTTTCAATTTCAATTCCCATTTCCAACAATACCTAACACAACAGTACACCATAATAATTGGAAAATAATGTCAGTCTATGGTCAGTATACAGTAATGGCTGTTGAATAGACCCGTGCGAATGCTGATTGGTTTACAAAGAATCAGCACAAAAAGCCATAGGAACAACAACACAAAATGCAATTATTAAATACACAGTCGGTCGACCAGATTAAACAAGCCTTGTCCATTTTTTATGGTTTACAGGCCTGTTCACATGGAGCATCTAAATGTTTAAAAAGTGTGATGAGTGATGCTCTTCCTATTTATTTGCACATGCTTTCCACGCCTCTACATTTGAATTAATGTAGCTCAGCATGTAAAAGACGCTATATGTATATATGGCTTTCTTCGTTCAGTGAGAATGATGTCAATTGCAACATTCTGGCATACAACAGATGCCTACTATTGGATACTATTGGCAGTTTAATGCCCTGCTCACATGGGATTGTCACCGTTAAGGCTTCCCATTGACTTTGAGTGGAGTGACATTAAACATTGCCAAACTGAATTGTGGGTCCGTCGAGTCACGTTGCCTCCATTGCACAGAAGTTTAAATACGTTCAACTTCTCAAGTGCTAACAGAAGAATCATCCAATCAGTTCGCTTTGTGCAAATACTAGAGCAGACGCTAGCCAATCATGTTTGTGCAGCAGCAAAGAATATCAGTATGTCAAAACAGATTAAAAGCTTAATATCATGGTTGGTCATGTGAGCTTCAGAAACATACTCTGTTAAGCATTGATCCCGATGCCCAGTGTGAACAGGGTGTAAATGCAAGGCTGATCCAGGTGACTTTTACTAAATCACACTGTTCTGTACTACACTCCATTGTACTGCTGAGTGGAGACGAGGCAATTTTTTTCAGAGAAATAAATTCTTAATGCTTCAGAATACCAAGACATAATGGTAAATTTGATTTATTTATGAATGGCTCCTTCCTGTTTCAACATGAGTGCACACCAATGCACTATGGATGAGTGAGTATGTTTCTATGTAATCGTACTTCTAGAAGAATGATTCCCATAACCAAGAATGAAAAATAAGCTGTTTTAGCTGCTGAGTGGGGCAACTCAATATTAAACTCAAATTGGAAGAACTCAACTGACCGTAGTATGGGTGCGTGTGTGAATGCGAGAGTGTATGGGTGTTTCCAAGTACTGGGTTGTGGATTAGTTGGCGGTTCATTCCGCTGAGGTGACCCCTGATAAATAAGGGTCTAAGCCGAAGGAAAATTAATGATTAAGCAACTAATTATTGTGAACCCTGTGTCTTATACTTCTCTTCAGCAGTCTTCTGAAATGCAAGGAATGTGGTGATTAATTGTCAAGTTAGCCAATCAGAATTTAGCAGCCATCTGATTGGCTGGACTTACATCATATTGTGATGCTGGGTTTGTGTTTGGATGCTCATGTTTATGTCAGGCCTACTGTTGCATATGCACAAAATGGTACCTGTGCACTGCAAAACTTTATTTATTTTATTTTTAACTTTGCTTTAACTGCAAAATTTTGCTTGCTCAAAATCATTCTTCTTTTCTAGACAATTTTCACCACAAAGCCGAGTTAACATCTGTCAACAAGCCATTTTGCTTGTTCAAAACATGATCTTTTGTGCGCAGAATTATGTCACAAATATAACACCATAGTAATTTTTCATATCATGCTTTATTATAGCTTTATAACATGCTGCCATGGCTCATGAGATTGCTGCCTGGACCACACAAAAGGATTATTGCTCTGTGGGGGAAGTTGATTGAGTTTGTTGGAGAGAAGGTGAATGAACACAAAGTGGATCATGATCCACTGAATCCTCGAGACTACATTGACTGCTTTCTAGATGAGATGGAAAAGGTAAGAATATTTTTAGGTGTGCTGGTGCAGGAATGTTCATATTGTATGGCTGTTTTTGAAATGTCTCTTGTTTATGTTGTTCAGCATAAAGACGACACAGCTGCAGGGTTTGATGTGGAGAACTTGTGCATCTGTACTCTGGATCTGTTTGTAGCAGGAACTGAGACCACCTCCACCACTCTGTACTGGGGTCTTCTCTACATGATGAAGTATCCTGAGATACAAGGTGAGAGCTTACTATCAGAAACAGCATTCATATGCACATAAAAAGAATATGCTCACACATTAAGATGTGTTTTCTGTCCTTAGCTAAAGTTCAGCAGGAGATTGATGTCATTGTTGGAGGCTCAAGGCAGCCATCTGTATCAGACAGAGACAACATGCCCTACACCAATGCTGTCATTCATGAGATACAGAGGATGGGAAATATTATCCCCATAAATCTGGCCAGGACTACTTCAGAAGATACTCAGATAGAAAAATACTCTATTCCAAAGGTGAGCATAGTGGTGTTTAGGCGCAGTTAGTGAATAGTATTTCTAATTGAATTTGCTGTTAACTTACTTTCAGGCCATCTGAGATGCAGGTAAGCCTTTTACTTCAGTCGAACATTAACGAAACACTGCTACTTGGTGATTCATATTGTGCAGGTCAACAGCTACTGGCAAAACACATATACAGGCAATATTAAATTAATACTTGTGGCTCCTGGTAATTTATTAAAGTGTTATGAAGAGGAAAGATTGGCCTAAAAAATATTTACAACATTATTACTTTTAATCAGCAGCCTTAGCAATGGTTGGTCTAATGCACAAACTGTATTTTATGGGTCACCTAGGACCATGTCTTGAAAACTAAAGTCACCTATATCTTCAGTTTAAGCATCTTGTTGTTCTTCAGGGCACAATGGTGACCAGTAATTTGACATCAGTGCTGTTTGATGAGTCTGAGTGGGAGACGCCTCACTCTTTTAACCCGGGTCACTTCCTGGATGCTGAGGGCAAATTCAGGAGGAGAGATGCCTTTTTACCTTTTTCTCTAGGTACAAGAAAACTGTTTCCAAATGATCCCAGTTCAGTTTAGTCCTCCTATAAAGAAATGCATTATAATTATCTGTCGGATTGTTTGATTTTCAGGAAAGAGAGTGTGTCTTGGGGAGCAGTTGGCGAGGATGGAGCTCTTCCTCTTCTTCTCCTCTCTGCTGCAGCGCTTCACTTTCTCTCCACCAGCGGGTGTGGAGCCCAGCTTGGATTATAATCTTGGGGCCACTCACTGTCCCCAGCCATACAAACTGTGTGCAGTACCACACTAAAACAAACTACATGTAAAAAAGTGATTTAGCCTACTTGATATATAGTATTTTTTATAATTTATTATAATACAATTGTGTGTGTGTGTGTGTGGGTGTGGGGGTGTGTGTGTGTGTGTGTGTGTGTGTGTGTGTGTGTGTGTGTGTGTGTGTGTGTGTGTGTGTGTGTGTGTGTGTGTGTGTAAATTTACCAGACTAGTCCTGTCTATTCTGTGAACTTCTCTGACAGAATAAACAAATGCCTTAATTTCTGAAGCATTTTGGCTGTAGCTTAGTTATTAGATTAGTAATACAGTAAACACTTTAGACAGCTTTAAAACTTTATTCAGATCGTAGTTAAATTCAAATATTTATCTTGATTATAATGATCTTTTCAGTGGAGCGGTTTTGCTAATGAAGTGTTTTGGAACATCCTAATTCGGATCATTGAGTTTTTATCGCCATCAACTGGTGACTTGCATACAATGCAATCTGTACCATTCGGATCTCTATTCTGAATCAATAGATAACTGTAACTGTACTTTAGATGGTATGCATTTTACATATGAATAAACAAAATTGAAAGTAACAAAGGATGTATTTGATCTTAAAGTGTTATAATGTTAGGGGACATTCTATCAGAACTGTACATTATTTGCCCCTAAAATGAAAACATAAATGCAGTGAATAAAAAGTATTTATTCCCCAAAATTTCTAAAATGGACTGATGGATTATTTCTGTGAGTTGTTCTGTGGAGAAATATGTCATTCGTTTGGGTCTCAGATTTTTTGTTTCTTTATTAAAAGCACTTTATAAATGTGCAAACCCTGTCATATAGTCTTCAGCCCAATTGAACCTACAGCTTTAATAGTCAGTCCTGTCACATTTGCATTAAATTTAACACACAATGCGTGCAATACACCTTGAAGAAAATGACTTGAAAGTCAAATCATTTGACAGAGAAGCTGACAGTGATCAAGAATGCTTTCTATCATTGAATTGTAAGATTTTATGCTTGTTTTTGTATGATATTTTGGAGGACGACAAGCTTAAAGTTCAAATCTTGCCCCCTTTTTTATTAAAATAAGTTTCTGGTAGAATGTCCCTTAAACATGTTACAATGCTACCTTAAGCTGAGATTACATTGCAAGCAGTTTCCTTAAATTTGCACAACACACTCACTTCTGTGAAATTACCTCAGATTACAGCAACTATAAATGTTCTTATGTTTATTATCATTGCATTTCATTAATATTTAAAAGGCATATACCACATCATTTCTCTTTAGTTCAGTTTAAAAGATGTTTTGTTAAACGTGTAAATTACACCGGGGAAACAACATGTGTCCTTTTTAAAACTGTACAATTGTAATACGTCTGTCAGACTAAATGTTTCCAGCAAAGCAATGGACATACTGACATTTACATAGCTACTATATAATACTATAGTAAAAAGTAAACACCATACTGTAGTAAAGCGTATTAAAGGCTTTTGTGTATATTATAGAATTTACAAGTCTTTAGTAATGATTTCCTTAGCATACTGCAGTACTACACTGTAAAACCCAAGTCAACTTGATCAAATGAAATGAGTGTAGTTAACCCAAAATTGACTTGAAAATCTACTCATTTGAAGAGTTTCAAACTGTGTTGAAGGTAATGAGTTCATTAAATACCTCATTACTTCAACTTAAATGGAGTAAGTTCAAAGTACTCATATAGATTAGTTTTTTGATCTCAAATAGTTTGTAGCAATCGATTTCCTCAAACGGATTGAGTTGCCTTAAATTATTGGGTTTTACAGTACTCAGTTTGAGTTCTTTCCATTTATTGGGTTTTCTGGTGCTCAAATTTCATCATTTACTCAAATGGATTAAGTTAACAGCACTCATTAGGATTAGTTTTTGAACTTAAATAGTTTGTTGCAATCAGTTTCTTCAAACGGTTTGTTACCTTAACTTATTGGGTTTTACAGTGTAACTATATAGTGCCCTGATAACCTGTGACAAATACTGTAATGTACTTAAGGTTTTACTACAGTAAATAATGTTGTTTTGTAGTATAATAAATCCCATAGTTAAAGAAAACTACAGTATTGGGTCATTTGTCTATATTGCTATAGATTTACAACAGATGCAAGTACTTTACTATAGTATGCTTAAAAACACTGTAGTATTTACTATAAATTACTACTGTATTTTTTTCATGTGGGATTAAAAATACTTTCTTAGTCGGTAACAAAGTTTTGCTAGTAAACTGATCATAGTTTATAACTACTGTTTTTCGATGTTAATCAATACATCAAAAAGGGTTAAGAGTTAACAATATTTTCTAAACAACTCACCAAGGTCAGTTACAAGTACCGTTTATCTCTAGAATGTGGATTACAATCAAGATAACTTGAGACAAATGTCAATGAGGAATGTTTTATTGATATAGATTTACACTTGAAATGTTGTTATTGCAAACAAACTCTAGGTCAGCATTTCACACAGGCTTGTCAAAGGCAATGACTGCTGTGTGCACAAAAATATCAGTTGGAAATGCAAAAAGGGATGGTTTATTAAAGGCTGCAGTCTTGCATCTTTTTATCAGCCTGTTTCAGGGAGACCCAGGTGTTCAGCATGGATGCACGAAGTTTGGCCCAAATCAAATGGTTGTTTAGACCCAGGATCTGCGCTGCAAACTGAGCAGCAGCTTCAGGAGAAAGAACAGTGGAGCAGCCCAGACCTGAATAAGTAAGAATGAGAGAAATGTTTAGCAATGCGCACAATAAAACTGCACTGCGTATCATTGTTAAAATCGGTCGATAAAATACTTCATTAAAATATTTAAATGAATCTACCACTAGGCATGCGAAGAGACGACCAGATGTCCTGAGCTCCCCAGTCAGGGGTTACAGGGGGACAGTTAATGACTGGATAAGCAGTGTTTCCTGACATCACAGGACCCAAGCCGTTACTTCTGCCTGCCACTGCAACAAAGATAGTAGGTTCTCCATCGCCTGAGAAGAAAAACAGTTAAATAAGTTAATAAGCAATCCTAATCAAAATTTTCAAATTATCTTGGCAATGAGAAATGAGGAAAGTGGAAAGATTGTTTTTTTTTTGGATTTTCATACCCTCATATTCAGCTTTGATGCGGAGTGTCTCATCAGGGCCTTTATGGGCAGAGTTGACTCTGAGGTGGCAGGGAATGCCATATGAAGCACAAGCTTTACGGATCTTCTCACAGTGAGCCACATCTGAGGTGGAGCCCATCATAACTACCACCCTTCCTCTCGCCTGGGACTCCAGGAGCAGCTATGAACAAACAAACACAAGGTTGGTTTCAATTTTGTAAAAGGCCTTTATTGGAGAAAGGGGGATGGTGGGGTCATTAAGGTCTTCAAAGTTTAACAAGGCTGAAACCACTATCTAGGTAAACTAAAAAGTAAAGAGCATCAGATTGCAGAGCTCTTTGTTAATGTTCAGCTTCTTCATGTGATTTATAATAGGTAAAATTGACTGCAGACCCTGTTCAGCACTTGAGTCTTGTTTAAAGTTGCAATGAAGCAAGGACAAATAGTTTCTCCTCTGTTTTGACATGTGTTAAAGGAGTTACAAATTAGGACAGGGACTTGGTTCATTGGTTGTTCATAGATTTATGATGTAGGGATTGCACTCAAAATCAGAGTTTGAGCTCATTAAATGATTGGACCCATTTTAAAAATTAAAGGTTTTCACCTCAAAGGCATAGTTTACACAATTATGATTTTGTGTGAGCATTTACTCACCCTCGTTTCAAACCTTTATGAAATTTTCTTTCTTCTGTTGAATACAAAAGACATTTTGAAATATGCTGGAAACCTGTAACCATCGACTTCCATAGTATTTGTTTTTCAAACCATGAAAGTAAATGGTTACAGATTTTCAGCTTTCTTCAAAATATCTTCCTTTGTGTTTAACAGAAAAAAGAAACTAGGGTGAGAAAATGATCATAATTTTCATTTTACTGATAACCATTACTTTAAGATGCAGTTATGACAATTAAAAAAAAATCATAAAAATGTCATAAATTGGACACTTTATAATTTAATTTGCTCAAACATGTTTTAATTATGTCATTTTAAATACACAGAAAAAGAATAGTATTATCCATATCTCCAAATTGTGGAAACACATGAAAATGTAGACATGAAAAATTATGATTTTCTAAACCATGGTACCTTAACTCGCTCTGCGACCCACTCGAAGTTCCTCTTTACCATCTGCATGGCCTCGGGAGTGACTTCTTTCAGGTCACGGTACACCTAAACAGACCATAGCATTTAACAGACAGTCAGTCATACTCCTATTAATCTCTCATGCTTCTAGAAAGACCCTGATCAAAGCAGAAAAACACATGCTTCATCAGAATAATATCTTAGCGACTCTTAGTGGCTGCTAGTTTTACATAAATGGTGTACATTTATTTTATGCACAAGGTGGAATTTTTTTTAACACATTCAAATCGTCACCTTAGAATTAAAAGGTTCTATCTGCGTTTTAAATGATTTTGAGATATTGAGCTTCAAAAATTTTGCATTCAATATAGCAAACAACATGTGCGTAACAGTTCTCTTTTATACATTAACATGAGAGAGACCCTAAGGGTTCTCTAAATGTAAATTATCAAAGTTCTCTTACATTTGCAAATTGGAGTAAAAAAAAAAAAACACAGTAAATGCAGATAGAAGTCATTTTCCGCTTGGAATTAGAAGGTTTAATCTGGCAGATCATTCATTAAGGCATTACTTTTCAAGAACTACAACCTAAAAATATATACGTTGGTGTTGTAACAATATGTGGATGCTTGAGAAAGTTAAACTTTTGCTTTCTATAATGTTTATTTCATGTTTTAGGATGAATATTTTTTCTTGTTTAAACTAAGAATACAAGACTGTGCTAAAAAAAATGTTTCCAGTGCGAATGTTAATTTTATCTAATTAATATGTTAATATTTATTACATTTTATGCTTTATATGAATTATTAAATTATATTTATTGAATTATATAACCCATGAATTAAATTATTTAAACTTCAATGCTTAATATCAAATTTAAAGACTTAAAAAGAAACAGACGATGAGAAAATAAGTTAAATAAACACTGAAAAGTGTGTCACTGACTATATGTAAAAAAAACAAAAAAACTTCACATTTAATATATAATTTAATTTTTTTTTTTAAATAATTTATTTAATATTACTTTTTCAACAATGTAAAATGGAACATTTTATCTCAATGTCGTCGGCTATGCGGTGACGCAGTGGGTAGCACGATTGCCTCAAAGCAAGAAGGTTGCTGGTTCGAGCCTTTCTGTGTGGAGTTTGCATGTTCTCCCCGTGTTTGTGTAGGTTTCCTTCGGGTGCTCCGGTTTTCCCCACAAGTCCAAAGTCATGCGCTACCGTTGAATTGGGTTAGCTAAAATTGGCCATAGCATATGTGTGTGACTGAGTCTGTATGGGTGTTTCCCAGTGATGGGTTGCAGCTGGAAGGACATCCGCTGAGTAAAGGGACTAAGCCGAAATTTTTTTTTATGAATCTCAATGTCAAGAAATGCTTCTAAATGATTCATCACCTTTACACACGTCTCAATTTAGCCGACTCTGATTTGGTCTGATTTTATCTTTCTGGTGTTTCCTGTTGTCAATGGAGCAGTCCGGCGAAATGTGTAAACCACAAAAAAATGCTAATTGGCACACAGAAAGACCCTTATAGAGATAAGCTAGAGTTCAACTTTGTAGATTTTTTTTTAAGTCTTGAAATGTAAAACAACCTATAAAAACATCCCATAATGTAACTAAGTTGTCATTTAATAAGAATATGTGAATAACTTAATTTTGACAAAAATGTCAGATAGAACCTTATAATTCTAAGGTGACGAAATGTTTGCCTCTTTACCTGTTTGTCTTTCTGCTGGCTGCGATCCCCAGCTGGCCAGAGCCTCCATGAGTCATTGTCAATCACATCAGCCAGCACAATCTCCTTAGTGGTCACATTTACTCCAAATTCTATCTAAAATGACAGATGATGGAGATTACACATCTTTACGATGGACATTAACATTCTGTTTTCCAACTTAACTCTTCTTTGTTTATTAAGTTGTAAAAACTAATAAACAACACTGATTCTTGAAGAATTTTGATTCATTTTAAAGTAGAGCTGCACAATATATTGTTTCAGCATCTATAAAGCAATGTGCAAGTTCACAATAGTCACAGGGATCTGCTATGCAGTTGAGATTATAGTTGACCAGACAATACATCCATAGTGGAGAAATTTCAGATTTTAATCTCGGACTCAAAGTTTTTCCATTTGTGTTTTTAAGACCTGACTGTAAGAATTAAGCAGATATAAGCTATTTGGGCACAATAAATTAATTGTTTGTAGCTTAAATATTGATTGTACATTATGTACATTTTTTATTCAATTAAAATGATACAGTGTTATTATTATTATACAGTGATTATTTAATTTCTGTTTCTGAACACCGTTTGACTCCAGAAAATCATAAATCCTTGTTTATTTGCATCTTTTCTCTGCTGTATTTAACTTTGCTTGTCTTTTTTGATTAAACTTTATGCAGACATGCTGCTCTACAGAATTATACCAATCAATCTAAAATCATGAATTCTTCACAAGTTATTCAAGTTATTTGCTGAAATTGCATTTATATTACAATATATAAATCGCAGTGAATGAAAAAATTGCAATGTCAGTTTTTTTCAATAGCATGCAGCCCTATTTCAAATGTTGACTACTGCATATACAGTTGAAGTTAGAATTATTAGCCCCCCTTTAAATTTTTATTTCTTTTAAATATTTCCCAAATGATGTTTAACAGAGCAAGGTAATTTTCACAGTATGTCTGATAATATTTTTTCTTCTGGAGAAAGTCTTATTTGTTTTGTTTCAGCTAGAATAAAAGCAGTTTTGAAAATTTTAAACACCATTTTATGGACAAAATTATTAGCCCCCTTAAGCTATATTTTTTTCGATAGTCTACAGAACAAACCATTGTTATACAATAACTTGACTAATTACCCTACCCTGCCTAGTGTGGAAATATACATTTTTATAATCTAATTTCAAACGAACAATAATCCACATATAACTGAAAAGTTCTGTTCTTTGGTTTTTAATTATATAATTTCATTAACATCCCAGCTAGGAAGGACATTTAACCTTTGTCTTTCTGACTACAGGCTAAGCCAAAGTGATGCAGATGCTACGGGCAGGTTTTTAACGACTCTACCTTTGTCTTCAGGTGTTGCTTTTATTCTACAGAAACCCTTTGTTGATTAACTTGTTAACCTAATTAACCTAGTTAAGCCTTTAAATGTCACTATAAGCTGTACAGAAGTGTCTTGAAAAATATCTAGGCAAATATTATTTATTGGCATCATGTTAAAGATAAAATAAATCAGTTATTAGAGATGAGTTATTAAAACTATTATGTTTAGAAATGTGCTGAGGAAATCTCTCCGTCAAACAGACATTGGGGAAAAAATAAACAGGGGGGCTGATAATTCTGACCTCAACTGTACATAGTTAACCTGCAGTTATACAATTTATAGTGTCCTGTAAAAAAGGTGGTGTGTATATGTGTAAAATATGTTTGCAATGAAGTGATCTGATCTTTACAATAATAAGGAACATCATGGTTTTCTCTTTTGTGTCATTACTGTTATAACTTTACTGTAATTTATGGTTTCACTCAGGTTTCTTACTTTCATATCCACCAGCGTGCAGTCCTGGGTGGCCCAAGCCTTCTCCAGGACTTCAAAAATGGCCACAGTGCTTTTGCTCATGATGTCCACCTCACAGCGACCAATAGTCAGTCCAGCCAGGTCAAAACCAGCTGCCAACAGCTGCTCTTCTGACCATTGAGGGTCATTATTGGCATCATCCTGAGCAAAACATAATAGTAGATAAAAAAAAAAGAGAGTAGTGGATCAGAATGTGAAATGCCATGGAATTACATTTGATATGTGATAAAGACTTTATTCCTAAAAATCAAATCCTCACCTTAAAAAACATCTCCATTTTTAAAGGAGTGAAGCGGTAGCCCTCTTTAACCCCAGGGTTGCGTTTGAGGAAGGAACCCGTGGCGATACGTCTGCAGACCCATTCAATGGGTATCATTTCACATCGAGATGCCACAAATGCAGTGTCAGAATGCTGCCTGACAAATGCGGTCTTAAGCCCTGAAGGAAATTATTCGCATTACTTGGTGCATCATTTTAGTAGACGCTTAATGTTCTGGTTCATTAGCTGCACTTTCAAGTAGATAATAGTAATGTTCTGATAAATGATACACTTTCACATGGTGTAACTAAAACAGCAGTCCTACTATCCTCAACACAGCATGCGTGTATTATCGAGTTTAATTAAAGGAAGTGTGGAAGTCACAAGACAGTAAAAAACTCAAGAGCAGCACATGGTGCACACACCAGCTTCAATTTACTAAAATTGCTGAGGAACTATTTTAAAGCAAATGTCATCTAGAGACCTCTGACATCTCTTTCCGTTTTCCTCTTGAAGGTCCAGATACACACTTAAAAAAACTTAGAAACTGAAATGACCAAAAAAAGCAGCTCACCAGCATCTTGTAAAAGTTTAAACACACAGCTGGTGGTCTTGTTGGCAATAGCAGCTTTGCCCTCCATCTGATCCTTCCGAACCGCATTGCCCGCGGTGATCTGATCTTTAGACTGGACCAGGACATGACCCGGCTCATCCAAAATCTCAAAGATCTGCTTGGTCTTCCCCTCATTCAGCTTTTGACCTAGTTTTAGTTCTACACAAAAGCCAAAGTAACAACACACATTAATTGATCACATAAATAAGATTTTAACATGCAAAACGTAGAAACTTGTAGTGAAGGCAGACACATGGGTAAGATAAAATAAATGTTGCCACTAGAGAGCAGTGTGTCAATCATTTTAAAACTGCAACAATAGTTAAAATGTCTTTATTGAAAGAACAAAAAAAGTAAAGAATTTGCATTGAAAAATATTGTTAATGTAAAAATGTTAAGCAAATTAATGAGATGTAATCAACTTTGTAAGGTTTTTTGCCATTTAGTAGAAGAATTAGAAAACATTCTTAAAACCTTTTCACTTTTTTTAACACAATTGATTTTTAGATCAGAAGGAGCAAACAGAAGAACAACTAATGATTTGTAATATTTCAAAAAGTTATAATGTTATAATTTTATTTCAAATGCTTTACTTTGGGTATTTTTTATTTATTAATTTTTAAATGTAATTGTTTTTTTCTTGATTGTTAAACTACTTCCCACTTTATTCCTTCACCTGCCTGTTCTACCAAATGGTTGACCATATTTTGACTGTTTTAAATAATGACTGTTAAAGTCATTTAAAGAATGACTGTTTTAAATAATGGTTTGCACTGCACAGCATTGTTGGTTTACAAAATAAAAAAAAAATCAAAACAAAGATAATTCTGTTGCAATACAACACTTGATTTTTTTTTTTTTACAATAAAAGCAAAATCATGTTAAATGGGAATCTGAAATATTGTATGGCATACTTAAAAAAAATCAGATTTATTATTCAAAAATGTTTTATTTTGATCGTTTGTAAAGAACTTGGTCTTAAACTTTATATTTTCAATTTTTTTCATAAAATATGGATTAATTCCAGTACCTTTACCATATACCAACATATCAACCATTTGGTAGAGGTTGATTGTTTAGAAATTATGGGATATGTTGGGGAAAAAATGCACTGAGTGTGTTACCTAGTGACATTAGGTGTTAATGCAATCCAATTTTTTTTCTTGATGGAGCAGGTAATGGGTTAAAGCAATTACATTTTAATTCATAATAATTTTTTAGAAGAAGATGAAAAAACAAAAACAAACAAGGGCTACATTTCCAAGAATTTTTCTTTCTTTACGTCCAAGAACAGATTTATTTACACAAAAATTTATTTATTTGGCCTCAGAATGACTCATCTTACATAGCTAATTACACTACCATATAATAATTGCTACCATAATAGTATATCTAGTATTATTAACTATTGTGATTTACGAATCTACCATAAAACATAAGAACCGAACAATGAATCGTGCCACATGGGAACATTTTATATTCACTGCGCAACTGCACGGATCTAAACATGGTGCACACAGAAACAATCGAGCAGAAGAATAAACTCTAACTTACCTGTTGCAGTAGACATTCTTGCTGGGATTTGTTTTTCCTGCAAAATAAAATAAATGATGAGGAACTTTATTCGGTGTGCTCGGGTTTAAGACACGCGCGCTGTGCTTGAGATGAAGGCTTATTATAAAGTTCGACGAAGAAGAAGGGTGAGGGGTGAGACTCAACTCATTTATTTTCACGAGAGTAAAGCGTTACGACACTCTGCCGATTCATAAAAACCAATCAGAGTAATGCCATCTTCACCACGTGGACAGAATCTTAATCTGCATGCTTTTGGAATATAGACGTTTTATCTATTGAATGATAATGTTTAGACGCAAACATTCTCCCTACAACACTTCTTTATAACTGCATTGAAGTTTGGGCGCGTGACGCAAGCTATTGAGCAGTTTCGACTTTGTGTTATCGATTTGACAAAAATTGCTTTTCTTGGACAAAAAAACAACAACAACTTTATTATCCATCTGCTCTAACTTGGATTTTTAAACTGGTGTTTTGGTCTTACGAGCTGCTGGGTTGCCAGATCCTCTTCTGCGTGTTCCGCTGTGCGAGGAAACACGTGCTTCGGGTGACTCTAGCCAGCGTGGAAACACGCTAACTAACACTACCAACCCAGTGAGCTCCACTGAGACGAGGACATGGAGTTTGAGGAGTCGGGCATCGGAGAGGAGTGCGGGGTGTTCGGATGTGTGGCGGCGGGCGAATGGCCAACACAACTGGAGGTCGCGCAGATTCTGACACTTGGACTTGTTGCTTTACAGCACAGGTAAGTGTAAAAGTTGCTGGTCCCTGTAATGTAACTTGAGGTGTATTGTTTTGCATGTACTGTTTCTGTACTATAACAAACAAACAGCGAAAAAACCTTATCAAAATATAACCTGAACCAGTATATACTGGTTTGCTGCTATCAACATTGGCAGGTTTTTCTATTGCATTTTATATAGTTAAAGAATATGGTGGAAGACCATCTTGAAACAGTTAACACCAGGAAACCCTTAGACTGTTTTAGTATGGACCATTTAGACCTAATTTGCATCTAAACCAAGAAACAATTCAATTATGATTTGAATTTGTTTTAGCCTTTTAAAACAAAAGGACCACCCATCTCTGACCCCAGTCAGCGTAGAGAGCCCAAAATTCAATAAGTTGTGTCATTGCCATCCGTAAGTCTCAGCAGATCATAAGATAACACTTTTAGAAAAATGTTACATGTAAACATGTCTAGTTAAAAAACAAAGCTCTCCGGGGTTTTTTTAAAGCAAATTTAAGTACTTTTATAAATACATAAGGGATTGTTAACTCAACTAAAAATTCTGTCATCATTTACTCATCCTTCAGCTGTCTCAATTCTGTTTGACTTTCTTCTGTTGAACACAAATGAAAATATTTAGAAAAAAGCTGGAAACCTGTAATAATTGTATTTGTTTTTCCTACTATGGAAGTTAATGCTTACCGGTTTCAGCTTCCTTCAAAGTAACTTATTTTGCATTCAACAGAAGAAAACTCTCACAAAGGTTTTGAATCACCTGAGGGAGAATAAATTGTTAGTAAATTTTCATTTTTGGGTGAACTATTCCTTTAATTTAAACTGGTTTAATGTTTTTAAAGTTATTGTTAATTTTTAGATTATTTTGGCGCATTATTTAGTGTGTCTGCTGGAACATCAGCTTAATTCAGCTAACCCCAGTGAATAATCTCTGGCTGATTTACATCATTTTATCTGTGTTAATCTGCCCGTGGTTTTGATTTTTGCAATTGGCTAATCTTGATTGCCTAAAGATAAAAAGTTTTATAAATCCTGATGTATTTAAGTTAATCACATTCAGTAACTGTCTGCAAAACCCTGCTGCTATGCAATAGAATCACAAATCAATAAGCTTCCACTGTTCTGAGTCTCACCGACTGTTCAGACGTGATTGCATTAGATGCCATTGAACACACAGATGTGATCTCCATGATCGGAAAGTATTGATCGTCTTCTTCTTTGCATTGGAAGTCTATATTCTCTGACCAATCTGTGCTGCTTTCTCCATCGTCTGTGCTCTGATGAAACTGTTTGCAAAGCAAACGATCTCCTAAACACACAAGATATAGTTAACAGTGTTAAATGGGTCAAAGAATGTTTTTCCACAGTTTCTTAATATGCCACTCTTTATATAAATCATTATATCGTCATGATTCCCATTTATTGATTTTCATTTAAACTTTCAGAAAGGTGCAAGATTGTTTTGCCACTGTTGGATTGTCTATAAATTAAATCACTTCTTAATGATATTAAATGCATTCCATGTATCCTTATGAATTCATTCTTGCTCCTGTCTTGATTCTCTTAGTCAAACTGAAGTCACAAGATTGATTCTGACAATTTGTCTTTAAAAAGAGAAGAATGTAATGAAAAACCTTCATCTGCAGCTTTCCTCTTTTTCCCTTTTCTAGCCGGCTCATGCTCTCCTCTTGTGTATGATGGGTCGCCGTTGTCTACATTGAAAATATATGCAGTTCAGTTTGCACGTTTTGAGAGAAGACAAATAAAAGTCACATTATGTATGTTTGCATGGTGTGATGCAGTGGTTTTCAACTGTAGGGCCATGACTAAAAATGGTCAGGACCCTTGGCATGTTTTTAGGATAACAAAATAATATTAACTTGTAGTTTGTGAAGCATTTGTGTATAATTCTGTATAAATTTGGAACAAATTCAGATCACATGGTTGAAAATGCCAGCATGGACAGATTGCGTCATTCACTCACATGAAAATCACCTAGAATAGAGATATTGCTTTAAGAAAGTTTTGTGTAATGAAATACTGTTTTTAATGTAAATAATAATATTTTATTTAAATGACTGTTACTTTGCTGCATTTAGTTTACTTTTATTTGATTAACCAATTTGATCGTGCTTTGAGCTGCCACATGATGTGTCAGATCTGATGTAAAACCAGTTAGGAACCACTTTTAAATCAATTTTGTTACCTGAAATCCTTCTGTACTTATTACTGTCATCATATATAACAGCAGAGATGGAGTCAGAGGAAAGATGCTGCTCATATTCTATCTGAGGGCTGCCAGTTGTCCTCATTATTGTGGAATTCACAACAGGTATCTCAAATTCGACATTTGATGCTTCTTCTGATCTTGTTAAAAAGGTTTGGATCTCAGCCTGGCTCTGAAAGACCCTTGCAGAAGTGGCAGGAGAACCTAAAGGTGCCTCATCCATGGGTGGCTGGTCAAATCTAACTGCATCAATGTCATTGTTTTCCTGTGGAAGTCCACCCATTGAGGGCTCCTCAAATGATGGTGGAGTAATCATCCTGGAGCTCCTTCGTAAACGATTTGTTTCAGAAAACTCTGCGTAACTCATTCGACTTCTAGTAGGCTTGGATAAAAGTGTGTCCAACTGTTCGTAAAACCTCATGACACGGCGAGGATCTCCGATATCGGCTTTTCCTCTCTGCAGAGAGCGGTAGAGATACTTCAGGTTTTTGTACTTGGTCCGACATTGTTTCCAGTCCCGTTCCACACCCTGCTGAAGAAGCCTGCGTGAAATCTGCACAAATATGTCTTTATTTCTGGTTGAGCCCTGAAGCTGTCGTTGAATTCCTTCTTCGGCCCATATTTGAAGCAGTGCAGCCACTTCATCCTCACTCCAGTTTCTCCCCGAGTCATGCACTGTGATGACATTCATCTCAGTTGCAGATGCTGATGTTGACGCTGAAAAAGAAACAAGGTGTTTGAGGAATTTGGTTTTTAAACAACATTTGTCTTTGTCAGTTTCCACTGGAACTCACTTGAATCTCTTGGGATCAGTGGGTGAGTGGCAGCATTCATCATAGTTTGCATCTCTGCTAGACTTTCATCTAAAAGAAAGATGGAATAAGTAAAATTTTGCATTTAGTACTTCAACCATTTGGCTTTTTAGTATTATTGCAGTTGATAATGGAAATCTAACCATCATCAATCTTGATAACCTGCTCTTCCATAGGTTCACGCCTCATGGCCAGGTGATCCCTGTTTGGTATATTCCTAGGTGACTCATCATCCTCAAATCTACCCTCAAATTCTTTTCCCTGCATTATTGCATCAAGCTCAGCAAAGAACCTTATTGGCCGGCCTTGACTCTTGCTGACTTTGTAATCATATTTCATGTTCTTGTATTTGGTGCGGCACTGTCTCCAGTCTCGCACCACGCCATGTTGGCGCTCCAGCCGGTGTGCCATCTCCTGAAAGATGGCCTTGTTTCTGTGGGAGCGTTGGAGCTGTTTATGAACCTCCTTGTCTCCCCAAACAGTAAGGAGAGCTCGAACCTCCTTGTCAGACCAGTGTCTGCCTCCTTCCAGACCTAGAAACAGATAGTTCTCGCTTAACAGGTTTGACAACATTAGGCAGAGGAACATTTAGTGTAAACAATGGGGCTTAATGGGAACCACCAGGTGGGTTTTTAACTCACAATTTCTACCCAGAAAGACACAATGAAGGTTTTTACTGATTTTTTTTTTTCATGCCAAGAGCTTTTAAAAGTTATGCTACCTTTTAGAATCCAGGTGTTTCTAGAATATAACCTCCGTCTTGTGAGGTCAACTGGAAAAACTAATATTTTTTTTCGTGTGATCTATTTTTTTTTTTGTAGATGCTTATTATAATGACTTGTTTGTCTCATTTTAAATAAATGAAAAGTATATCATCATTTTAAGTCATATTGAGGCTCTGTTGGTTTCAAGAGATGTGATAACTATTTTTATGAGGAAAACAATTATAAAACTTGCGTTATTTAATTTGTATTGTTCAAATTAGCTATTTTTTAAAAACATTAAATTTTATTTATCCTAAACTGAAAGTGTAAATTGATAATTGTAGCTTTTATTATCGTGCGAATATTACCTTCCTGAAGACCTGGCACTGCAGTAGCCTCCTCTCTTCTGCCAGTCGTGGGCTCTTCTTCTGTCATGTAAGGCCTTTGGATTGGCGTCCTGCTATCAGCAGCAGATCGTTTGTAGATGCCCTGCGGTGGCCTCCAGTCTGGAAGAGCCATTCTCCTACTCTGGGCCTTGCATTCAAGCCAGTCTTTACACACACCAAGCTCTCTTAGGCGGCTTGAGATGGCCTCATACTTGGCCCTGCTCTCTTCCTCTTCCCAGGCTAGTCTTTCCCTCCACACTGTGAGCAGAGTTTTCACTTCCTCTCCTCTCCAGTGACCAGCTGTGTCCCTCTGTCTCTTGTCCTCTCCAGCGTGCCTTTGTGGGTCTGTTTCAGGCTCCATGTTTCTAAGCTCTCCTAGAAATGGCTTCTGTTGGTGCGCCTCTGCCTTTATCCTCTCTTCTCCCCCTCCCTGTTGACTTTAAGCTCAGTGTCCAAGGCAACCAGACGACTGAGCCAGTTAAAAGCGACCATGTGACCGAGAACAGCCTCATGACTGGCTTAAGCTGTGTGTGTCAGGGGAGGGCGGGGGAGGAAATGTGAGAAGTGGCTTGGCGAACGAGCTACACTTGCTGCGTCGATCATTCTCAATAAGACACGTGGAAATGGCTCAGATGTGTTTGGCTACTCCAGCACATCTATTCTGAATGTCTTTTCTGGTTATTTGGTCTCATCTTTTGGGATGAGCTGTGTGTACATTATAGCCTTGTGCTTTCAGTCTCTGTGTTTCACCCTGTGCTCACTGTGTTTCTGTCCTCCGTCTCTCTCTCTCCCTCCCCCCTCTTTCTCTGGCTTACCACTTCACATAAACCGGTTTGATCTGCTTTAGTCACACTTTGTGCAGTCATTCACTCATATAAAACAGATCTAGCTTGATTTCGATTTTGTTGGTGGGAAAGGTGGGAGAAAGGGAGTGACAGATTTTTCTTTATCCAGTCTTGCCAAAACATGTTTCTAATGGTTCACAACTGCAGTATCACTTGAACAAACGCCACTAGTTTGCAGTTGTTTTAAAAATATTTTTTTAAAAGACGTTATATATATATATATATATATATATATATATATATATATATATATATATGCATGCATGCATACATACATACATACATACATACATACATACATACATACATACATACATACATACATACATACATATATATATATATATATATATATATATATATATATATATATATATATATATATATATATATATATATATATATCCATCATCATTATATTTTACAGGAAAGCTTAAATGCTTTCGTACATGTGATTTGAATGAAGCGAGAGGCAATCTCCCTTTGATTGTTACAAATTTTAGTAAAGTAAAAAAAAAAATAATCCGCAGGTCACATGTACCCAACTGCGAGTTGTGATCAGTGATCTGTTACACCCCCAAATTATATAAAATTATATAAACTATAAATATATAATAGTTTTTTTTAAGTCTTTACACTTACAGATCCCAATCATATGAGAAGCTTAATAAAACCTCTTTTGTTTTACATGGAGTGGGTGTTTTCATGGAGGCTATCATGTTGAGATTACATGACTAGTTACTGCCCTTCTTTCACTCAATTACTAAATGTGTAGGTTTACAATGAGGTAATAGCTAACTTTGAAAAAGACTGAAAATGCTGTAATCCATAAACATGCAAATGACATAGGTTTCTATATGCCCTGAAAAGCCATTTATATGTAAATGAGTGGCCAAAACACTTTTTTAATTGTGTCAAATAAACACAGTGATTGTAAAAAGGTGTTTTTAAAATGTTCCTGACAGCTGAATTTTTAGTTTTTGCAACATCCACACCTTTGGATGTCAGTATACACTACCATTCAAAAGTTTAGTGGCCTTTTTCTAGTGTTTTAAGGTGCCTTTTGAATGTTGCCACGGCATCATTAGTCTGTATGGGATTGCCATGGTTTCATTTATTTGATCAAGTTACTATACTCTGTGTTAAATAGGGGTCAGGAAAGTGCTGGAATTGTCACAAGTACTGGAACAAACCCCCCAACATTCTCCACCCTGAAGGTAATGCAGCAGGAATAACAACATTTCAATGTATAAAGCATCTATTCCCCACTGCAAATATGATTTGTTCCTCTCCCGTGGGCCAACATATGTCAACATACTGCAGTGAATTCAAGATTAGACATGCCTGACATAATTGCTCCTCACTCTCTCCTACTCAGGGAATGGGTTTAGTGAATACAGCTTTTAAACCAGAGGATTTGCTGAAACTGCGCTATGGTAACCTTGGCATTGGACACACACGGTACTCCACCACGGGCATCTCAGAGCTGCATAACTGCCAGCCTTTTGTTGTAGACACCCTGCATGGCAAGATTGCAGTGGCACACAATGGAGAACTGGTCAATGCCTCCGCACTGCGCAAGAAGGTGGGCTTTGATTTTTCAAGATGCATTCAGAATAGACTTTGAGTATGCATAGTTTTTATGGACACTAATACTTACAATATGATGTCACAATTTACAGTATCTTTAAAAAAAACACAATTTAGCATACAGTATGTTATCTATCCTAAAGATAAAAAATATGCAATCTGTTCTACTTCACTGCAGCACTGCAATACTTAGTCAGTTAAGCCTGTTAAAGTTTCTCCGTGTACAATCCTCAAACGGGGCATAATGTCCTTATTTACATATACTGTAAATGGAGTCAGTGTCATTGATCGGATGTTTGCTTAGTGTACTTTTAGAAACCAATTAAAAATTGACTTTCCCTAGATTTGGTATGAATGTAATTGTAAAAAGCTACAGATTTAAAAAAAAAAAAAAAAAAAAAGATTAGGTTATAGATTAAAAGAAAAGTGCAGAAATTTTGACAAATGACATTTGGAGATAATGTTTTCATGAGTTCCTCAAATTGTATTGCTTTTTAAACTCTTCTGAAGGTAACTTTAGCATTGTGATGTCAAAAAGTTAATATAATACCTAAAAAAATTGCATGTTTTTATTTTATGGAAAATGTTTTACATTTGGAAGTTTATGTTTAGTAGTTTATGATCTGAAACAAAAAATACATTTTGCTCAAGCTCATACTATAAATTGTAAACTGATTGTTTGTTTTTTTAAATCAGTGTCTTACAATTTAGTTTTTCTGAATGGACTTCACCAGTGGTGTATAGTAATGAATTACAAATACTCAAATTACTTAAGTTTAGTTTTTTCTCAGGAATTTTACTTTGCAAATGTAGTTTAAAAAAGTGTGTAGTTTTACTGCTACATTTAATGCACTATGTACCTTCAATCTGCAGTCATTGTGATTGGCTAAGTTCAGTAATAAAACCTATGTTTCTCATTCAATCAAATTGGGCATAAAAAATCTGCATCAGACAGCTATAAATGCTTTATAAATGCAGCAGATATTCCATTCGTCAATCTTTCTTTATTTGGCCTACGGCCAGTAATCCAATCAGTTCCCAAAAGACAAAACTATGCACTGCCCTATATATTTCTTTCTCATTTCAGGAACCATTTGAATGTTATGTACATCACATTATGAGATTAAAACCACAATCTTAACTTTCGCTTCAAGCAGACTTTAAACAGTAACTAAATGCACTACAGAATGTTTTGTTTTCAAATACATGCACAAATTGCATGTCTTCTATCAGTGCTGCACAAGCTTGGTTGGTAGCACCAACTGCTAGAAACTTGTAGCTTGTTAGTCAGGATTCAAAGTGCATAACAAGAATAACATATCACCAGATTTTTTTTGCCTCTCTTTTTTTTTTCTTTTTTTAGATTTTGCTCCGCATGTAACCACATCAAACTGCTTTTGACTGCTTATTTTAGGTCTATATATTAATGTATTGAGGTTTCACATTAAATTAATCTCAAATTGTGATGAATGCTAAATAATTTAACTTGTATTTAGGAAAAGTAGCTACTTTTTTATTTTGATTTGCAGTATAAGTTGAAATATTTTTTTCACAGCATAATACTCACTGTTCTTGAGTACTTTTAGAAGGACTACTTTTTACTCATACTTTGAGTAGTATTTAGACCAGATACTTTTACTCTGCTTGCACTATATTTTAGGGGCAAGTAATGGTACTTTTATATGAGTGTATTATTTTTAGTTTTTACAATGTTTGGTCATTCTATGAATGACATAAATAAGAGGTACGTGTTTGTCAGCCTAATGCTGAACATTTAACATTTGAAGCCAGCATTTTTTTCAGGCTGCACAGGTCATTGAGGGCTGAACCCCTCACAGCACAGAACTATACTGGAATAGATTTATTTATTTACTTGATGAATTCTATTTGTGTGTTGTAGGTTATGCGCCATGGTGTTGGTCTGTCCACCTGTTCAGACAGTGAACTCATCACCCAGCTCCTTGCTTTGACTCCACCCATGGAGGAACTCGACAATCCTGATTGGGTCGCTCGGTAGGTTCTGCACATGTGATTGAATTACCATTTATATCATTCACTCATTAATCCCTGCCAATCTTTCTGATTACTAAATTGAGTTCACTACTAGGGTTCTTTATTTTAATGCATTTGTTTGCTCTTCTCAGTATTAAAAACCTCATGACAGAGACGCCTACATCATACTCGCTGCTTGTGATGTATAAAGATGTGATCTATGCTGTGAGAGACCCCTATGGAAACAGACCTCTCTGTATCGGACGTTTAGTGCCAATCTCCAAACTGCACAGCTCAGGTGTGGGATTTAAAAGGGTTTAAGTTGAAGATTTCCCTGCATCTGCTCTGAGTTTGGGTCTAGTTTGTGTTGGATTTGAGAACATGCAATAAAAAGCTTCACTTACTTCTAATCAGAAATATTCAGTTTGTCAACAAGTAACTTTAATATTATCAGTTAGTTTGACAAATGTTATAGTTTATTTTTGTTTCCTGCATTATTTGATGCTGACATTGCTATTAAAATGATTTTCCCCCACTGTAGGTGCTGGAGAAGCAGACACAGAAGGCTGGGTGGTTTCATCTGAGTCCTGTAGCTTTCAATCTATTGGAGCAAAGTATGTTTTGCTCAGATTTGAATATTATCAGTGCATTTTACATGCTTAAGGCTCTCTATGTCCACACAGCTACTGCATTTTTTGTTGTTTTTATTTATTGCTTGTTTTTATTTTTTGGCAGGTATTATCGTGAAGTAAAGCCTGGAGAGATTGTCCAGATATCAAAAAATGGTGTAGAGAGTCTAAGTGTTGTGCCACGACCAGAAGGAGATCTTCCTGCATTTTGTATATTTGAATATGTTTACTTCGCCAGGCCAGACTCCATGTTTGAAGGCAAGTTCATAATGTCAAGTTGAAGGTTTGTGAATACAGGGACAAAGCTTTGTATTATTAAAAAATATCAGCAATCAACAATGCACCAACTGTGGTTGTAGTTTGGGCCAGGGCCAGACGGAATCTGCTGACGTTTTTTGCAATTTTCGCAGAGAATTTTGGTAAAAATCGGCGGATTTCTGCGGAATGATTTTGGGAGTATCATAACTAAAACCCTAATATGTCAAATTAAAAAATAATATCTTTTTAACTTTTATTTAATGTTTAAAATGCAAATCCAATTAGATTTACTTTATTTGGTAAACAAAGCAAGTCTCTCATATATCTACTAAAAGACAGTAAATATTACTGTACTAACTGCATTGTACATAAATCAGATTAACATTTTCACAGTCAATAATGTTACTGTAATTAATTAAAAAACTGAATAAATATATATTTGCACACATTTACTCAAGTTAATAAAACCGAATTAATGATGGGCTACAAATCTGCAGAACTCTACACCAACCGATTCCGTGTGGGCCTAGTTAAAGCCCATCATATGATGAAAAATGCTTTTATTAAAACTGTAAATCATACTTCCACATTTTTGTATACTCAGTTTTCTAATTTTTTTTTTTTTGCCAAAAAGAGATACTGAAGCCCCTTTTTCTGTCTTTTTAAAATATTGCCAGTTACATCCATAGACAGCTAATGTTTTTTAAAGGCAATATTTCCACAAGTAAATTACCCTTTTAAAATGATCAAAAATGAGATGTTTGTATATTTGGTAGCTATTTCTATTTCCACTAACTTTCTATATGTTAAAGAATCATACATTTACTGTTTCAAAACAATAATATCCAGCACATTTAATCACAATTCATGCTCTTTGAGCAGAAAATAAGCATATTGAAATGATTTCTGAAGGATCATGTGAGATGTCACATGAAGACTGGGTTAATGACCCATGTACACTCAGCCTTGCTGTCACAAAAATAAACAAACGGAAAAACTTTTTAAATCTAATCAACATTTTGAATGTTAAAAATAAAATGTGTCGTATTCAATAATTTTTTCTTGGGATAAAGATCTACTACTAGGTGAAGTAAGTGTTGTTTGTTTGTTACAGGTCAGATGGTGTACACAGTGAGGCAGCGCTGTGGGCGTCAGTTGGCCATTGAGGCTCCCACTGATGCTGATGTGGTCAGCACTGTTCCAGAATCAGCCACGCCTGCAGCATTAGGATACGCACAACAAGTGAGTATTAAGGATACTGTAAATGTCTTAATGTTTTTTTAGTCACTCATTACATTTAATTTTGTCACTTTTAGTCTGGCCTTCCGTATGTAGAGGTGCTTTGTAAAAACCGATATGTGGGTAGAACCTTCATTCAACCAAACACTCGCCTGCGTCAGCTTGGAGTGGCCAAGAAGTTCGGGGCATTGACTGACAACTTTGCTGGCAAACGAGTGGTGCTCATTGATGATTCCATTGTGAGGGGAAACACTATTTCACCTATTATAAAACTGCTGAAGGAAGCAGGGGCAACAGAGGTAAAATACTTTTGGATCACTGCTCGATTGTTGCCGGTTTGGTCTTTTTTTCACTGAAACATCTTGGTTGTGTCTTATTAAATGACAGGTCCATATTCGAGTTGCATCTCCTCCCATCCGGTTCCCATGTTACATGGGAATCAACATTCCTACCAAAGAAGAGCTAATTGCAAACAAACCAGAGTTTAAGGATATAGCTGGTTATATTGGTAGGTGGAAATGCAGAGAATTTGCTTTATCTCTAAGATTTTAAAATTTAATCTCTCCTGAAGCTTGTTTAAACCACAAGATTTAAATAAAGACAAAGCAGTTTTATATTTGGAGTTTAATGGTCAGATGTACACTCAGTGCAAGATGGCTTATTAACTCAATTATATTTCAAGAGTTCACACTTATCTGATGATTGATTATAAAGCATGTTTAGCATGCTGTCCCAGAAGAGAGCCCTGAGCTCATAAGATCCTCAAGCCCAGGGATACCTCCTGTTTGCAAGGCGAAAGGGGAGTTTGAGCTCAGGTAGATCTCGAGAACTCGCCTGCTGTAGTTAATGAACAGATAGTGATTGCTCGTAAGAGATAACTATTTACTAGGAGCATGTCAATGGTGACATCCACCAAATACCACTGTGCCACCGTGTCACCCATAGGAAAAGAGGAGTAGTAGGGGTGAAAGGGGGATTCTTCAAAATGAAGATGGCTGTCATATGTTAGGGTATTTATAGTGGCTCTGGAATCCTCTGATTGGTGAATCATAAATTGAATAGTGCGAGACCGGCTGCAAGCAATCAAAAGCACATGATCCTCTTGAAATTAGTTTATAAATAAACTTCACAAAAAATAATTATAAAACATATTTGAACAAATTTGACCAAAAATATGTCATAATTCAGGCTTTCTATGTTCTGAGTTTAATTGCAAGATGTAAATGTATAAGTCCAAGATTACATGTGAATGAAAATCTCACTATTCTTAATCTGTTTTAATTGATAGAAATCAAATCAGAATAATTCAATCAGAATATAGGCCAGTATGTTTTTTTTATTGAAAGAAGAGGCAAATGTGAGACTAACTCAAATGCAAGACATTAACATTTTTAAATCATGTGGAGAAAACAATATTCCATAACACAGATTAATATATAGTATAAAAATACTTTCACATCCAAACTATTTAAACAGATATCCTCCCCTCCTTTATTTTGAACAGGTGCTACAAGTGTGCGCTATCTGTCCGTTGAAGGCCTGTTATCTGCTGTTCAAGGTGGGATTGAGTCGCATGGAAAAGACGAGAGGATCAGCTCCACCACTAAGACCACTAGAATTGGCCACTGTACAGCCTGCCTCACAGGAAAATACCCAGTGGAGCTGGAGTGGTGAATTTCAGCCCTCCATTATTGTCTAGTCATTTCTGTATACAGTAGGTTTGGTTTGTCTTTTGAAGTCCTTTGTTTATATGACCAATTTAAAAAAGAAAACTGATGCTGCTTTAACATTTGTCACAGCTGTAAAATTCATGAAAATATTGCTGGCCATTTACTATGTTAGAATGAAAAAATAAACACAAATCCCTACATGTATTCTCAAACATTCCATTAAACTTTGCTTTAGAAGTATTTCTGTCACTGTCAGTTTTTAAACAACTAAGATTCTCAAGTTAAACTTTCCAAAAATGTGAACTTTTTATTCCGAGCAAGATTAAAATCAATGTGAGCATTAGCGGTCCTGGATCTTAAGATACAGATTGTTCTGCCTTTGTTAGTCTACAAAAAATGCAAAAATAAAAATGAAAGAAACCTGTGTATGTGAAGTGTACATTTGTTTATTAAAAAAATCGTTTGAACAATAAATTGTAATTATTTACAGATAACCATACCATTTGTCAATGCACATGTAAATAGACGTTATTAAAAACAATCATTCTTTTAAAATTTACAATTTTAAAATGCGAGATGAAAAGATTCATGAAACAACAACATAACAAACAGCTTCATTAACATGTACATGCATATATTTAAATACAAAAAAGTCTTCAGTTTAACTTGCGGTCACCCCCCAGGTTTTCACTAGGGCAGTTAAAAGGAACTTAAAAGAACTCTTGAAATGAGTAGTGTTTCCTCTCAAGGGAATACATGCAGGCTGTGGTTCTTCACTGTAGAAGACTGTACTGCAGTCGCCTCCTTGACAGACTGAAGAAAACATTTTTAATAACAGGTGAAGATTACGTCAAGCTCACAGTACATGACTTCTTGCTTGATTTATCTGTCGATTGGATATAAACTATCTTGTCAGAAAAGCTGCAATATTTTCAAAACAGTTTGATGTTACAAGTAATAGATCATATAGTGCACAGGAGTTAAATTCAGCTCCTGGAGGACCTCAGCCCTGCAGAGTTTAGCTTTAACCCTAATTAAACACCTGATCAAACTAATTGAGTCCTTCAGGTTTGTTTTAAATCTCCAGGTAATGCCGAGTTCAGACTGCATGATTTTCAAAGTAGTCATGTCACAGATGTTTTCACACTGCATGACTATCTGGGCTAGCGTTTCGTCGCTGCTTTGTTTACACTGCAAGATGGATCGGCGACAGGGACTTTCACATTGCCTGACTTTACTATAGGAAGAATCGCCGACAACTTCGTCCAAACTACATCTCACAGCCAAAAACACAAAGTATATCTTTTGTTATTAACTACATAATGAGAAAGAAGCCTTTAATGGGGTAGAACATGTACATGTTTGCTCACCTAGGTTTAAAGGGAATTAGCCATTTCTCCTCAACGATGATAATAAACTAATTTCTTTCTGTATGAAACGTCTAACAGACACGGTTGCTCCTGAGTCCTGTCAAACCTCCACTAGTTTTTCCTCCATTTCGTGGGTCCAAATAAACCGTAAAAGAGCGCTTTTAACTTCTCCCCCAGCCTCCTGCTGGCCTGCAGCAGGTATACACACAAACACACACACAAGTGAATGCTGCTCTCTCATTGGCTGTAGGCGATGGCTGATATTATTTTCAGTCAAAACTCAATTTACATGACATGATTTGAATCGCCGACAGCTCCAGATATTTAGCATGCCAATTATCTCACAGGCATCGGCGATTCTCTCAGATCGTGTCTTTGAAGGTTCATACTTTGTGATTGGCACTCATGTGCACGAGCACCGATTTGCCTGTGATTTCAGGCATTTGTCGGCGAGCCAAAATCGGGGCTAAAATCACGCAGTCTGAACTAGGCATAAGTGTGTTGAAGCAGGGTTGGAACTAAACTGTGAAAGGATGCAGTCCTCCAGGAACTGAGTTTGACACCCGATACAACGAGTGCAAACTGAACAAATTGAAACTACTAAAAAAACACAATGTAGACTTACAAATCTCATAATTTCTTTTTTTTGCCATTTGCCTCAACCAAAGTTTGTTTGTGCACCTCATCAGTGTTTGGTTGTATGCATGTTCCTATAACAAGAAATCTTGTGTTGTGTGAATACCACAGCAATTCAGGCCATCTTTAACAGTCCTCCAATATGAGTTTGACTTTAGAGCAAAACAGCAAAATCTGGATAATTCATTAGCATATACTGACATGTATATTGAAAAACGTCAATATACACAATAACATGTTTTTTTGCTATATCTGATATTTAACTGTAAAACTGTCCTCCCATTTTTACGTTAAAAGTTAACTTCATTCGTTTAGGAACACTATCGGATGTAATATCTAGAAAATCCTAATGTCTAACTATAATACAGTATTTAAAATAATTAATTTAGGTAAATATTAGCAGAACATTTTATTTCTAGATATTTAAGACAGTGGGTATTTTTTGTGACCGTGATGTAATTACCTTGGAGAGTGTGAAGCGGTAGCTTGGTTAAAATGTCTCATAGGTGACGCAGCTGTTGAAATAAAACAAAGACTTGATGTGTGTTTAAAACGGCGAAATACAGATAGCATGATGAGGTTTTTATGTTATAAAATGTGGCTACAAACCTTCAAGTAGGTGGACTCCGCTTGGGGCATCTCTCTGCAAAAGAGGTTAGGGAAAATCACTGTTTAACTGCATTTATGTACTTTTATAATGATTAAGATGCTCTTAATGCTCACTAGGCCTGCATTTATTTGATTAAAAATACACGAAATATTTATAAATTATACTAAATATTTTTAATTAACACTTTTTCTTAGGCTAAATTGTAATTCTTCAGTGCCGCATGGTCCTTTAGAAATCACCAATATGCTAAGATCAATATTTTTGTTTATATTGTCATACACTTAAAAAAAAGATTAGGAACTAAAAATCAAAGCAACAAAATATCAGAAACAAAATATTTCATATTTTTATTGCTAAGAAATTTTATTTGTTAATTGTTTAAAATATTTTAATAAAGCAAATAACTAATGACAGGTTTTTACTTCATGGTGAACTGTCCTTATAAATATGTAAATAGTCACACCAATAATGCTTTTACCCAAGACAGAGCATGTTGGTTCATCTGCATCTTCAATTTCTCCTCACGGATTCTTCTGAGGTTTCCGGTGCCCCTGAGGAAGCCTGGACTGGGGCACTGCAGGAGGACGCCTCTGTCCCAAGCATGCTTGTCCTCATGAAGATCTGTCAGCTGGAAATGTTTCAGTGGGGAGCGACTCTCTCTGAAGCGTTTAAACCGGAGTGACTCTTCCACTTCAGGCTGACGGCTCCGTTTCTTAAGTTTGGCTCTCAGAGGCGTCAAAGCCAGAGCAGACATGCTGGAGGAGGAAAAGCCAGGGCTTTGGAAGCTCTCCTTTGTGTGTCTTTCGCACAGATGACAATGGGAGGAAGCACAGGGTGATGATGTTCCACGGCAGATGAAGTGGTGGTACAGCTTTCTGAACTCCGCATCAATTTGAGATCCACTGAATGAGTATGAGGACGGGGAGCCAGAAAAAGAGCGTTGGCGTTTTAATGGTGTAAAATGGGACCGACTCTCTACCTTAGAGGAAGTTTGATCAGTGTTGTCATAAACAGGTCGTCTTTGTGATGAAAATGGCACCTGTTTGGCACCATAAGGAGATCTAAGAAGCTCTTGGTGGATTACAGAAGACCTTCTGTTTGGACTTCCTATCGAGTTTATTTGTCTTTCCATGTTCAGAATGCTTGGTCTGAAGGTGCTTTTCCCATTTGGAGATAAGACACCAATGAAGCTACGGTGAGGCGAGGGAACAGGAGGATGTAGGCGGTCCCTGAAACAGTCTTTGTCCAATGAGGAGAGTTGGGAGATTATTGATGTTTCTCTCTGGTCAGTAATAGACAGACCTGCTCTGCTTTGTTGTGGAGAAGTCAAGATCGATAAGGTTGGAACAGCAGGAGATGTTGGTTCAACATCATAGGTCTGGTCCAGATCTGGAGATTTGTCACTATGTGAAGGGGAACCAGAATATGAAGGTGTTGAGAAGTCAATCACACGAGCAGGATTCTGCTCCGGCTTCCTGGTTAAAGCTACATCAATCCATGCAGACTGATCCGTCACACCGCTCACATCTACGCTGTTCCTTCTGGGTGAGTAAAAACAGGCACTGGACTCGTAGGATATATTGAGTGGAGAAGACTTTAGTTTGTTCTTGAGTAGATTTTGTAGTTTTGGACTACCCTTGAAACAGTTACCGATGTTTCTTTGTGCTGGACTTTGAATTTGATTGGAGAATGAGATATCTGTTGTTTTGTTTAATGTGCAGCCGTGTCTGTTTTTGAAGGATGTGTTGCGCTGTGTTGGACCAGTTTGCCAGTGATTGCGGCGATACTTCTGTACCACAGATCTCGCCGTATCAGTCAAGTGTTGGCGCCGGTATGCTTCACCAATCTGGTTAAGCATGCTGGGATAGACATCCAAAAGAGTGCTGCCATTGCTGCTCAAAGATTTCTCCAGTTCCTCATCCTCTTCCTTAGGCAAAGATAACTCACTCCACAAAGACCCAGGAGATGTGGTGTTTAAATTCACTGATTGCTGGAATGATTCAGCTCCGTGCCCTAGATGATGATCACAGAAGTAAACTTCAAAATTGCAGATGTGTTTTCTTACTTACATTTATTACTTAAGTGTAGCAGTATTATTTAAAAAAAATAAAATAAAATTATATATATATATATATATATATATATATATATATATATATATATATATATATATATATATATATATACACACACACACACACACACACACACACACACACACACACACTCATTTCTTACATAGATTTTTGCTGTCTTCCTGTTGACCAGAGCCGTTAAGATCATCCTCGGTGACCCCTGACATGTCCATCTGAAAATGGTGAAGTATCAAAACAGAAGTTAAGAAACTTTACAATACAGGCTTGTTTACATAGAAATACTTCACGCAGAGCTGAAGCAATACGAAGATATATCGATTTATTTACTCTTGTTATTGCTTGTGTCATTCTAGAAGTCAATGAGCTGTCGTCATGATCCTAGTCAAAGTTTGGTTGCATTTGTGAGGATTAGACATATAAATGGACTCAATCAATGATAGATCAATTAAAGGCCCCTGAATCTAGTTAAATCATAATCAAGTCAAAATAAGAGCCAAATTCTATAATTTCTCTTCAACCTACCTTATC